AATTAATATAATTTAAACTTAAATTAATATTTTAATTATTTATATTTTTTTAATTAAAAAGGTATTTAAGCTATATTAAAACTTTATATATAAAAAAAAAAAGCTTAAATGTTTAAAAAATAAATAATATTAAATATTTAAAATTATACTTAATTATAAAGGTTATAATAAATATTTAATAATATTTTTATTATTAAATATTAATAATATAATTATAATTATTAAAAGGAGGAGGTTAAATTAAGGATTTTTAAGTAGTTAATTATATATAATTTATTTAACCTTTATTTATTTTAAGGAATTAATAGGTTAAAAATTCTTTAAATTAGCCTTTAAAACCTAGCTTTATTAACTATTATTTAAAGTAATAATATTTTAACGTAATCTTCGTCTATAGGATTAATAAAGTGGAATTTTAACGCATATTGTTATTTTATATTTACAAATAGTAAAGGATTAAAGATAAAGTATAATTTTAACCTTTAATAGCTAAAAATACGTTTAGGTAAACATCCGGGCTTATAACCTATTAAAAATAATATATATAATCCTATTAAATTATTTAAAAGTCTAAGTTATAATATAGTCATCTAGCTAGATAAAGGTCTTATATATAAATTCCTAGCATTCCAATATATGGAACGTAAGTATCACCGCCTTCCCTTTCTGACATTGAGGGCCCTTGTGCAACAATAAATGTCATACCTTGCCTCTATCGCTACAGTGCTGGCACCATAGGCTCTATACCGCATGAATTGATATATAGTCAACAATCAAGGATGCAAGAATACTCTGAGTCAAGTACGAGTTCATCCAAGACGATAAGAATCATATTGGCAGCGATCAAGACAGTAAGATATAAATCTAAATAGGCATATAAATGCAATATAATTAACGAAACTTTTATATATATATATAAAAAGCTTTTAACTAACGTTAACCTTAATATAATAAAAACTAATTTAATATATTTAAATAGTGAAAATCTCACCCTGGAGCTATTATATATTCAAAATAAATAGCTAATGGATAGCTTGCCATGTCCTAGTGCCCTTTCGGAGGCCTGGACTAACTGCAACGCAGGATAGTCCCTATAACGTTAAACACCATTAGTCAATCAAGCAAGCATTTGGTATAAGCAATCGCCCTCCCAGTTAACACGTCGTAAACAAGTGGATTAACGTATCCAGAAGATTGAGCCTTAGGATTAATGGGAAAGGGATAACGGCATGCGGTTTACCTCCGATATAGAGGCCTAGGGCAAAAGCACCGGTCCGAAAATTTCCACACCTGCACCATAGGACTCCCTCTGCCAAATTCTTGACTACTACGGCCGGAGCGACCGCAATCATATCATGATAGCTGGATATGCTGGTATCCAAAGTGTCCTTATATCGCGAAGAACTCACGCCGAATTTTTGAATATCGTCGAGGGTCATGTTTGCATGTCGATACGTAAATGTTATACCCACAACGGGGAAGGCGGGTTCTTCCGAGACGCTATGCCCACGCGGCCAATGCATCCAAAGCTGTTGGTGTTGTACAGTTGCCGTATCCTGTTCGCATGAGCCATATGAACGTAAAATACGCTTACTCATTTTCAATCACCGAGTACCTTACGGAGGTTGGGGTCCAAAATATCCATCACCGTTAGTATTGGCTTATAGTGCCAAGCCTGATGGAAATCTGCGACCACAACCTACGTACAGGTGGCTGCCGTTGCATTCTAGACTCTAAGACATGAAGTTTGTACTAGACCCGAAAATGCGCCCAGAAATAAGCGAGGTGTGACATGTCAACTTGATTTGCCGGCCGGTCGCGGTGCCAAGGGATGGAGTGAGATTTGGAATTATGCCATACCTATTCTCACTCTGTAGTACGAAGACCAGGGCCCGGAACTGAAACCGACACCGACAGCCGCAATTGATCAGCTGATAATACTCAGCTCAGCTCAGCTCATGTTATTGAACTTGAATAGTTTACTCGATCTCGCTTGATCTCGCTTGATCTCGCTTGATCTCGCTTGATCTCGCTTGATCTCGCTTGATCTCGCTTGATCTCGCTCGATCTCGCTCTTTCTCGTTCCTGACACAACAACGCATAGTGTAAATCTACAATGGATCAGACCAGCAACGAACAGCCGAACATTGCCAACAAGTCGCAACCGGGACAGGATGAGGGGAAGATCGCTCCTTCAAGTGAGAAAGCAGTAGTTGGCAAACATGCACCACTCCCAGCGCCAGCAACACAACAGAATAATGGCAAACGCAAACAACGTCGCGGGTTCTGCAACCCAATCTTCACCTTTTTCAGCGCGATTGCATCTTTATTTGTTACTATGATCAGTATATCTGCTGCTGCTGGACAAGGAATGTCAAAGGCGTACTGGCATATTCCACTTCTCTACGGTGATGAGACAACCCGGGAATGGCCCGATGTGACCGGGTTTAGGAATGGTTGTGTAGCTGGAGCTAAGGTTTGCTCTATTCAGCCCAATTACATGGCCCAGGGCATCCTTTATTAATATAATCTACCTCCAGAGTTTATTTTTCGGCATTTACGATGGGATCACGGGCCTTGTTGTGTTGCCTTACAAGGGTGCTCGGAGAGCAGGTATCAAAGGGTTTGGGGTAGGCATTCTACACGGGATTGGTGGGCTAATATTCAAACCACTCTCTGGTAGGTCTAATTAGCACGGCATACATTTTTACACGATGGCTAAAATTCTTGAACCAGGGTTTTGGGCATTTTTTGGACACCCGGTTCTTGGCCTTCACAGGCATTTTTACAAAAACCGGGAGGATCCTTTATCCCACCTCTAGCTCCTTGTTGACGCACTCTACAGGTGTGTTGAAGAGTCACACATTGCTAATATGAAGGTTGTGGCGGCTTGGAAGTGCTTGGACGTAATCGGCGTGGTTGCATATGTCGAAATGCATTAATAATGACCCAATGATCGTGACGCAGGACTATAGAGAGCTAGTTCCCCGTGATCGGGAAGATTATAAAAGTATTATGTGTTTTGCTTATTCTTTTCATTTCTATGTCTTCGCTGTATCCCCCTTCTTCGCTACTAGAGGGTAGGTATAACATTTCAAAAGCTAGCAAAATATCCGGTTTTCTCAACAGCACAGCCTAGGCAGATAGGCATTTGCTGGATTAATCTACTACCTGCACTAATATAACCCAAATTCAAGATGGACCGACAAGTTCCGATGATTCCTCGTCTTCGTAAGGCAACACAGTCTCCACGGCCTCAACTACACAGGAAATATATAGTCAGCATGACTGTTAGTCTTGATACTTAATCCCACCTGGCCAAATATCTTTAACAATGTGCCACCACGAGAATACAATGTGCTCATGTGCTCTATTTTCTAGGCTAGTGAGCAATAGTAACAGGTGAAATTCGGCCGCGTGGCACCAACAGCAATGCAAACTTACTATGTCGATTGCGGGTTAAGTTTCTCAGTCTAGGAAGGGCAACGAAGGCCGCCTTCTGATTTGCCGACAATGGTCGTTTACATCCCGCGATATCTCCTGCTTGTGATGGTCAGGTTCCTGCCCTCTCTACTGAGGCAAATTATCAAGGCTATGAGGCAGTAAGCAACTGAACGACCATTCTCGCCTCTTCACAGGTACTAATGGTAACTGAGCGTGCATACAGCAGCGGTACTGATGGCTCATGAGCTCAATGCTGACGCGCTCTCCATCTATATTACTCAAGCTCGTGCAGCGCACGCCACTGAGATAAGACTGAGACAGAATACATGAGTATTTGGAGCCACATGCTGTGGTCCCGCGTAGGGTACACTCGACTCTGAATTAGAAGGCTATAAAGGATTGTCAAGGCAATATGTAGTTTCGGTAGGAAACCGTACCTGTTACACGTGCAACCTTTGTGCCAGCTGAATATGTAGTTCGCCTTGCACTTCGGCCGTACAAAGGACCATTACAGGCTGTTCATGATCTTCCAAGATATTGCAAAGTGAGGTTATATAGACTTCGTTTTTTGAAACAGACCCCAGAGACCTAGGCGGTCTGGGCTGGCAGACCAGTTGTATATAGAGTCAAGTCAAGCCACCAACAGGCAAGAAGGAGTTGGTTGGCCAAGGACTTATGCAGCCCTAGTTGATCATTATAATCTGAATTCTCAGTTCCAAGCTCAGTATCTTCTGCCCTTGTTGTAGTACCTAACCTGTATAACCAGACAACAGCCAGCCGTACCAGCTCGGTAACTGCCCATTTAGCTGTGCTCTTCTTTAGTACCGTGGGGCTTTGGTACTTTAAAGCTCAATTGAAGGCCCCAAGCAAATTTGCAGAGACATACTGATACAGACCGCGGAAATCACAAGAGCCATTGGGATTCTGAGTGTATCGTCTTTACCTTGGCGGTAAGCACCGAATCCTTGAGTGCCGCACTAGTGATTCCCCAGTATGACCTCTTAGGATAATGGAGGCCAACAAGAAATGCTTCAATTAACCTAGATAGAAGTGAGGGACAGACGAAGATGAAGCTCCACAAGCGCCTTGTAGCTATACACCGCATTTACAACGCCATATTGATCTTGGAGGTATACTACGACCAGCTATTATTCACAAACTGTATAAATATTGGATTACAAGACAAATGCAGACCATGATTATATGTCGGCTTATGGGATAACTTCACGACATAATTACCGTGTTTGGTAATTACTTAGATTTTTGTGTCTAGTGTCAAGCTGCCTGACCCTTTCCTGGCACTATTTCAGATAGCCTTATGAAGCAGTGTTTTGGTGCTGTTACCAACGAATCGTAAGTCTCCACCGATCTCAGGCACTCCGGTATCTCGCGAAGTTCAAAGGTCCAAAGTAGCAAAGTCAGCATAATTCTGAGCTCCAAATATCCTAGGCTCCTACCCCAGCAACCTCTTTCTCCTGAGCTGAATGAGAGGGTTGGGCCACTTGAGCGATCAAAAATAAGTTTTCCGTCTGATGTTTGGCGCAGCCAACGACTAGGAGAAAATTTCGTAGAGTCAGCTTTATCCCAGTTTCCCCTCCTAGATGCGCAAGACCGTGAAGTCGGGCTTCGTAAAGATTCCTCCACAGGAACGGACGGCTCGGATAGAGACGATCCCGTAAGATTGAGGAATACAGCAGTGTGCTTAGGAATTTGATAGCCCAGTATTGTTGTATCTCTTCGTGTATTGACCATGATAGTTACGACGGGGCAGTTGACACGTAGAACTTCCTCAATGAATGCATTAAGATACGGGGCGGGCTTTGAAAGTTCCGATACTGTTGGCAAACGATTCTCTGCCCAAGCAGCCGAATATGTATTGTATAGGTCCTCTCGAACTCTTTTCTGCTCTGCCTGATACGCAACTAGTTGTGTCAGAAGCCATAGCAACGAACCGGCAGAAGTGTCGTGGCCGGCAATAATATATCCATATATACTATCTCTAATGCGTGGGTCCTCAAATACTGGGGAACGCCCGACCTTTTCAGCATCATGGACCTGACCTCGTAGGATATAATCAAGAGCACATTGAGGATCGTACCCCTTTCTTATATTCAGAGCTGACGTTTCGATTCGTGCACTTATGAAAGTCCGCATGGTCTGCCTTGACTTTCGCACAGCTGGGCGCAAGTTGTTGAACCAATGATAAAGGCGTGGTGATGGCATGTAAAAGCCTTTCCACAAGCTTTCCTCTTCGACCGATAATGCCTTCCTTACAGGGGATGGGCTGGTAACGGGGAAAGAAATGGGTTCATCCACAGAGGCCATTTTTCTAGTGATCGAAGTGAGCTTTTCGGCATGCAATTGCAAGTTTGACATCTGGTGTTGCAGATCTCCACCACTGTCCGGTGGACCAGTAGCAGTACTCAGAATCGCGTCAAAGGAAAACGTTAAGATGTCATCGGCAATATCAAAAGGACGACCACGGCTCATGTGGCATTTTAGCCTCCACAATTCCAAAAGCTCAACATTCACACGATATAATTGAGACGCGGAAACCTGTTATAATAACATTAGAATATAGCTTCTAGTCTCATCGATACAATGATTACTCACACTCTGTAAAAAAGAAGGGGTCATGAGACCTTTCATTATAGCCCTGCCATCCTTGTACTTGGGATCAAATGACTCCATAGAAGGGTACGCATGGGGCAAGATGCCCTTGAACACTTCCACCTTCTTACCACGCTGAAAGTCGGCTGCGCGATAAGTTAAGATATCATAGACCTCTCGGTAGTCGGAGAGAAGAATTGCTGGTGGTGCAAAAGGTCCAAGAAAGATTTGAACGATTGCTGACCCGTGCCTTTGCGCTTGCTCAAGAAACCATGGTCGAATACTTCCTACAGCTTTCTGCCTTGCTTGTACCTCAACCAGGTCCCCTGTGATTCGCTTGGTAGCATATAAATTATAAGGAACTCCTGGTATCGGTCGCGGGTACAGCCTCAGTATTGTTGCATATATCACCGCCATGAATACAATAGTAATACTGAATAGGTACCGGGATAACCAGATATTACAGTGGGACTCCATTTTCAATTATGGCAATGGGTAAATGACACAGCGTTCGTGGCGACTCAAGTATTATGGATATGTCGCAAGAGCGATTACACAGTCATGGTCTCATGGGGAATAGGAACTTGTTAAGGTGAGAAATTTCGCTGCCTACACTGGTGCTCAATATGGAAATTATGACATGAGTGTACCTGAAGGCATACCCCTTGCATTAGATTAATTACTCTGCATCAAACCAGTGATGTACTGTCAATGAGTAGCATCGAGGTAATGGTATTCTCACCTGCCCTCGTAGAATAGTATCCGGGGGGAGACGGGGGTGTTTTGGGTGGGCGTATACCTAAGTGTCCATGTCCAGGGTAGTGTAAGCTGCACCTAGGCGCCGATTCCGCCATCAGCTAACATGGCGCAGGCGTCAATGTATGCAAAGGGGTGGCAAGGCCAAATTCGTGGCTATGAACTTCGCGGGGTTGTTCTAGGGACGTGGGTCTATATCGCAGACGAGAAGAGCTCCTTCAGACCCTCTAGGACCGGGGCCAGGACAAAGAGCCGGCGCGAAGGAAGTATGCTAGGATGTGTGTGCGCGATAAAACCACACGAGAAGTAGCGTAGATCGATATGAAGGCTTATAATTTTCTCATCTTCTTCATATCTTGTAAGCTAAGCAGGCTTTCACTTGGATTCTTGACATGATCACTTCTGGGATTCTTTGATCAAAGAAACGCAACAATGACACACTCCAACAAGAGTGCACCCGTCCCACAGGAGAAGGAGAATACACGAAATGCATTTGCGAGACAGTATGGTGGCATTCACAGTGGCACTTGGGTCGATCTCTTCCCATCATCCTGCATCCCCTACATACAACTATCACGTCTCAGCCCTCCGGTAGCCTTCTTTCTCATCTATCTACCTCACCTCTTCGGTGTGGCTCACGCCGCAAAAGTTCACAATACGCCTATCGAAGAGGTAATTCGCACGAGCGTCATTCTTTTAGGCGGTAGTTTCTTCTGCAACAATGCCAGCCACGCTTGGAATGACCTCATCGACGCATCCATAGACAAAGTGATCCCTAGAACACAAAATCGTCCAATTCCCCGCGGCGCAATTAGTCCCAGGGCCGCTCTCGTATTCACAGGTTTTCAGGTTCTTGGAGCTGTATCTTTCCTACTGGTGCTGCCGGCCTCGGCTGTCAAAGCATCTATTCCAACAATTCTCATCACAACATACTATCCATTCGCGAAGAGGCACACTCATCTCGCCCAGTTTGTCCTTGCTTTCTGCCTCACGTGGGGAGTTATGCTCGGCAGCGCAGCAATGGGTACAGATCAACCATGGACGGACAATTCCACCCTGTGTCTATTCTTGGCCGCCGTTGTCTGGGTAGTAATCTTTGACACAGTCTACGCACACCAAGACTTGCCAGCCGACCTTGAAGTTGGGGTGAAAAGCATGGCAGTCCTGATCAAGGGCCGGGCGAAGCTTGTGCTATGGCTATTCTGGGCATGCTTGGGAGGATTCCTAGGCTGCAGTGGGTATTTTGGAGGGATGGGACTTCGGTACTATGCCATTTCAATGGGTGGATGTATAGCGCTGAGTGGAATCGTGATCCTACGTGTGGACCTGGAAGACCCAAGAAGCTGTTGGAAATGGTTTTCATCAGGTTTCTGGCTTACGGGGACATCTATCGCGGCAGGCATGTTAGCCGAATACCTTGCAGAGTTGTACTATGCAGCACGAGTGTAACCATGAATGTCTAGCTGATAGATACAACAAGAAGGTGGTCCGGATCAATTGCGGTACGGTCATGTAGAGCCTCGATGCATATAACACTTTTTGTGAAATGATAAATATAGTTTTGACTATGTGTAGGGATCTCGCGCTGATGATAGTAAATATGCGGTTACGCGATTGGACTGTAACCATCCCAAGGCTACGTATGAACCCGCAAGCCAACATATTGTTAGATGCCACACAAAGCATCAGCATCGGCCCGATATTACATACTTACATCCTATTACACAGCAGTTTGGATGTTGTTGCTGTAGGTAGTCTGCTACAGCCTCGCGCATTGACACGACTGGCCCAGCTTGATACTATTTACAACACAACACTCAGCGAAGGTGGTGCTACCCATGCAAGTGAGACATGCAACGCAAAGCTAACAAGACCGACAAAACTCCAAAATCATGATCCTGTCGGGTTAGACAACGATACATTCGGTTTGCTAGCCCTGAGTATCAGGCCATTGGAATGCTGTTGGTTATCCCGTGCATACGAGCAAGAGCTGACTGCATACACTACTCGATAACCAACCAACTCACTACCTACTGGCATATAGTCATTCTGTCGCTTTAACGTCACACCCCCGTTTCGCCTTTACATTACTGTTTTTGTAGATTTAAGTCTGCATACCCTCCGAAGTTACGCGCTGTAACTAATCTCCAAATGGGAGCCTTACTATTCACATGCCCTCTATACCGACACCGCAAGCATGCATAACTCGCCCGTCTCAGAAATGATATACTCAGAAACTGACCCAGTAGTGAAGGTGTAAGTACTCGTGTTCGTACCTCAAAAACAAGTCATAAGATCTTACAGCGGAAGTACTTAACAGAGGGGTTTTCAGATTCGATGGTGCTGTGATTGGACGACAACTTGCCCACCCAGATCGATCCTTCGCCCTACAGGTCGACCTAGACCTCGTCATTGGTAGGGATATTTTCGCTCGCAAGCCGCCCATGCACTTTCACCTCCAGGAAGAGTATATCCAAGCAATTGAGGGGAAATTAGGGCTCGAGATTGACGGCAAAGAGATCGTCCTAACTCCGAAAGATGGTCCTTACACTATTCATTCATTCGTAAATCATAGATCATATCCTCTCCCGGAAGCTCAACAGAATGGTGGGGGTGTAGTTAAGTTCCTGTTGTCTGGTGAGAAAACCACTCGCGCATTTGAGCTCAGCCCCGTGTTCTTCGAAAACTGGTACAGATATCAGAATGAAGTGGTTACCAATGGAGCTCCGATCTCACTTATACAGCTTCTCAGTGTAGGCCATCACTTGTACCTTTCCCAATCGCGCGCTGACAGTTTCAGACCTTCGATGCTGGAGGTTCTTACTTGAGTTTTCCTCGCTGGGTGCCTTTCGGCCAAGGAATCTCACGAATTCTAGGAGTTGTGGTGGGGCGGTGGATAGGTGGTCTTCTTGGGTACCAACCATTCTATGAGAAGTGGACGACGGACTGGGAGTTGGCATGCAAGAAGATGGAGTTATCGTTGACCCAACGGCGGTTCGCATATCTTCGCAAAGTGGATTAGATGGTTAAGACTTCGCATCTTGGGGCGACCAGCGGACCGGGTAGGTACCTAGTTCCTGTGAGGCGGTGGCACCCCACACACACTATTACCTTGCTCTTAAGTACAGTTCCCTCATGTAATCCTGGTTTCCGCGTGAGGCGGCAAAGGGATATTAAACAAATATCAATTACTACGCACGCACCGTGTAATAAACACTGTCTTCAAGTACAGCCGTAGCGACATTCCTAGACACCGCGTCGCAGCGGCTAGGTTAGACAAGTGTGCAGGGTCTCTTCTACAGCTGCAGATTGTAATTATGCGCTTATGCTAACAGTATTCCATGCGCAAAGCGAGATATCTAGATGAAGTAAAAGTGCCACCACTACCGTATAACAACCAGGAGAACTTTTTCATGTGCAATAAGCAGAGATTAGGATAAATAGTCGACGGTGTTAGTTTCATAAGTCGATGGAGAAGGGAGATTTGAGACAATCAACTTTGCTCGTTGTATTACTCGCTTCATAGGCCTTCGCAACCATGGCGTTCTTAAAATCCCTAAGACTATTCTGGACCTTTCATCTTCTGGTGTTTATTGTAGCTGATGGAATTGGTGGGCCACGCGCTCATACACTCTGTCAACACTTAGATGACTCGACGCATATTGAGGTCGTTAGACCAAATGAAGCAGACTACGAGGCTCTAAGGACTGAAAACTGGTAAGGCAAAGTCTCGCCATATTCCCACAGCTTCTAATGGCACAGCTAGGGCGCAAACAGCATGGCAAATGCCAACGTGCATAGTCCGCCCACGGAACACTGAGCATCTTCAAAAAGTGATTCCGAAGCTGGTAGCTTCGAATGTCAGTTTTACGGTACGGTCTGGAGGGCATTGTCCGCACGCGGGAGCCGGCAACCTAAACAACGGTATCCTAATTGACATGTCTTACTTCAATCATTTCACATATGATGAGCGAAGAGCAGTGGTTGAAATTGGGACTGGACTACGATGGGGTGAGGTGTACGCCCAACTTGATAAATACCAAGTTACAGTTGTAGGAGGAAGAGTTGCCGACGTCGGCGTCGGAGGCTTAACTCTTGGTGGTAAGTCTGCACGTGACGGTCCTTTGATCTTCCAAACTTTTACACGAACGCAGCAGTGAGCACTACTGATCAGTGAAATTAAAGGTGGCTTATCATGGCTCTCGGATCTTTACGGCCTAGTTGCCGATAACGTCCTGAATTTTGAAGTATGGCTTTCTCACGCATATAAAATGGTCGTGTTACTCATCAGTAGCTAGGTGGTTCTTGCAAACGGTGCGGTTATTAATGCCAATCTTGAACATCACCCTGATTTATTCTGGGCTCTAAAAGGGGGGGCCACTAACTTTGGTAAGTCTTATTCATATATATATTAGGAAAGAAATGGCAACTAACTCATGAAGGTGCGGTTTAAAAGGCATTGTTACAAAAATTCGATTGAAAACCTTCCCTATTCATCAAGTCTGGGGTGGCTTTAGATTTCACCCAATTTCGGATTTGCCCTTACTAATGGACGCCATGTTCGAATACCAGTCCAGAAGCATCAACGATCCTTACGCAAATATGATGATAATGGCATCACCGACTAACGATACTGTCGGGGTTATTGTTACATTAATCTATCTTCAACCCAAGATTCAGCCCGATGTCTTTGAACCTTTCTACCGTGTCAATAGCATATTAGACACCACCCAGTTGCAGACATTGACGGAATTCATTATCTCCAATCCTTTGCCGAACTCTACTACTCGGTAAGTTATACACGCTGTGGACAATGAATAGAAACCATTTATACTGAGTTCTGGTTTAGATTCGATTGGGCGAGCACGACTCTGAAGCCAAACAAACTGCTCTACCAGGACTTGGCCAATATCTCTGTACGGTCAACTTCGATAGAGCAGATTCATTCAGTGACCGCTGGAACACTTCTGTTTGGATTCCAGCCTATATGTTCAAGTGCTGTGCGAGCTGGCCATGCGAGAGGCGGAAATGCACTGGGTCTTGAGTCAGTTGACCAGACCTGGGTTGTCATCGACGCTGTATGGTGGTGGTCTGATGATGACGATACCGTTCACAGTGCCGTGCAAAGTGTTGTGACTGAAATCTACGACAGATCTACAGAGAGGGACTTGTCTCTCCCATTTTTGTTCATGAATGATGCGAATTGGGACCAGGACGTCATTGCCAGTTACGGCAGGAGTAGTGTCGAAAAGCTTCGGTCTGTACAGAAAATATACGACCCTAGCCAAATCTTTCAAAGGCTGAAATCAGGATACTTCAAACTACCATGATCACCTATTTAAGGTTTCGGCAAGCCTTGTTTGTTCACGTATCGAGGTGAAATAGAGTGCTGACTTAAGTAGGAATACCCTCAACCCTTGACCTAAGGTTAAATGAGTAGTTCGATAACATCCATAGTACTGTTGTACAAATTAATTCGAGAATTTTCGTAATAGAAGTTATCGAAGTGACGATTGACTAAGTGATAAGTAACTTCTTCGCGTGTGTGAAGACATCGTGTTCTTGAACGTGTACTGAGCATTAACTCCGAAAACCAGTGATCTTTTTTACTCACTGAATTAACCTCCCGTACTTCATTCTACTTCAGTGTACGCGGTTTCCTGTTCCTGAATACTGATAAAAACGACGCGAAATACACATCTTCCATCAACCCTCGAGTATCTACCTTTGAGCTCGGTATTGATGGGACACCCATCAGGGTGTTGACCAACGTGGGAATTATTTAATAGTAGTAGCATAGTCATAGGTGTTCTCAAATGTCATGCGCCTAGTGATCCTTAGTTGGTTTCAAGCTTGCAGGGGACTAAACTTCATCCGCATGAGCAAGTGTTATTACATCATTTCCACTAGCAGCACCGGGACCTAAGAATACATTGTCACAGTACTGCCCAGTTATGGTTTCATATATTTGTTCTATTATTGCACAAGGAGGGAAGTTCTAGTTTTCGCCCCTTATTCCCTTTCCTAGCGTTATATATAATGTTCCTTAATCCATACTATATATTAAAAATTAAGCTTCCTTAATTCCGTAATAATATTCCCCTTTTTTAAATACAATTAACCTTAATTATATAAATCTAAATTTGCTTATAATATAGTTATATAGCGTATACGCTATATTATTTATTTTAAGCTATATTCTTTTTTAAGGCAATATAGTAATGTCCCGTAGCTCTATAGTAGAATTTTTTACTATATTAATTAATTGTTTACTTTATACGCTTTTTTATTTTTCTTTCTTCCTTTTTTATATTTGTTTTATTACCTTTTTATAATTATAACGCCCGGCTTTATTTTTAGTTTTTTAAAAAATGTTTTTTTAAACGCCTTATCTATACCTTTTTTTATTTTCTTTCGTTTATTATTACCGCTATTATATCGGTATATATACCTATCTTTATAAATAAGAAGTTTTATTTCTATTACTTCCAAATTAACCTTAATATATATTATAAAAAGGGTAATATTGCTTAAAAGGTAATATTATTCTACTTTATATATATATTTAAAGGCAATATTTCTTTAACCTATTATATTTAATATAATAAGTGTTATAATTTATATAAATTAATATATTAATTATATTTTATTAATATTTTATCCCTATTTTATAATTTCCTTTATTATTTTTAATTTTTAACTATATTTTTTAAATAAATAATACCTTTAATAATTAAAAATGCTTATAATTTAAATTTACTTTTATTTTAATATATTAATTTTTAATATATTATTAATATTACTATTATTATTATTAATTTAATTATATTATATTAATATATATATTTATTAATATTATATTATAAAATTACTATTTTAATTATTAATTTTACCTTTATATTTAAAAATATAAAAAAGGAAATATATAAAGTATATATATTTATAGGTATTAAAAAAATAAAAACGGTATATATTACCTTTATATAGTTATTTCCTTAATATTTATTAATATTTTTTTTTATTTTTTAAAAGAATTATATTATTTATAATATTTATTTTAACTACTATTATTAATTTACCCTTACCTTATAACTATATTTTTATTTTAATAATAAAAAAAAAGTTTATATTTAGGAAAACTTTTAATTACTTTATTTTTAATTTAAAAATATAATTATTATAACTTAACATTTTATTAAAAAAATTTTTTACAATTCTTTTTTAATAAATCTTTACCTTTATTTTCCTATCTTTTATTTTTATTATTTCTTTATTATAATAGTATTAATATTTTAATTTAAAATTCTTTATTATTTAACTTTATAACTATAAAGCTTAATAATAATAAGGTTATTAAAATTTTTAACTTTTTCCTCCTTACCTTTTAAATAATTTAATTTTAAATTAATATAGTTATAATTAAAAAAAGTATAAATTTAACTTAATAATATAAATTTTAATCCTATTAACCTTTATTATTATTTTTTTAATTCCTTTATACCTATTTAATTTTACTTTAGTTTTTTTTTATTTAATTTAATTTAATTTAATTTAATTTAATTTAATTTTAATTTAAATAATGCTTTAATGTTTAATTATTTTATTTTTATTATTTATAGCTTTTTAATCCACTTTTATTATAGTAATGAATTTTTTAATTTTTTTTTTTAATAAATTTTTAAAATAACTTTTCTTTTCTTTATATAAATTTATAGTTTTTCTTTATATTCCCTTTTATATATAACTTATATTTTATTATTTATACCTTTACTTTAATAAATATATAATTTTTAATAATTATTTTACTTGAAGCATTTTTAACTAATATAATAATTTTAATTTAAAAGGGTTAAAATAATAAAATATTATTAGTTTATTTTTATAGCCTTTAAAGTTTACTATTAATTTTTAAATTAATTAATAAGGGGCTAGCTATTTAATTTTATATTTAAATTTTATACTTTTCTTTTTTTTATTATTTAAAATCTTTTTAAATAACTATTTTATTTCTTTAATTTTATTATTATTTTATAAAATTATTCCCTTTACCTTATTATTATATAATTTATTTAAAGTTAATTATTTTAAAAGGCCTTCTTTTATTAAATATATTAATAATATATAAAATATTAAAAATATTTTATATTATTAAAGTAGTTATATAGCTATAATTTATTAATATATTTTTATTATTTTAAAAGGGCTTATTTATTTATTTCCTAATTTTAATATAGGTTAGCTTATTTTAATATTTTTTATATTAATTTAAACTTTATTTTATATTATATAATTTAAAGCATTTAATTAATATATATTTATATTTTTAATATAATACTTTTAAAATATAATTATTAATATTTTAACTTTTTTATTACTTTTTAAATCCTATTAGTTATATTTAATATAGTTAAAAATTCATTTCGTTAAGCTTTTATTTTAATTTTAATTAAGTCCCCTATTAATTTAATTCTTATAATAAAATATTAGTTATAATTTATAAAAAAAAAAGTTAGCTTTATAATTTTAAATATTTAATTATTTATTATAAATTTAATTAAAGGTAATTAATTTATTTAATTATTTTAATAATAACTATAATAAGCTTTTAAATATTATTTTATTATAGTATTAATAATTTTTATTTACCTATTAATTTTTAAATAATATATTATTAAAGTATATAGTTATATATTTAAATAATAGTTTAATTCCTTTTAAAAGTAAAATATAAATTATAAGCCTTTATTTAATATAATTATTTTTAATATATTATATAAATAATATACCTATATTATAAAGACCTTTATTAATATATTTATTATTATATTTACTATTAAAATAAAATGTTTTATTTTTATAAATTTATTTATTATAATTAAAACTAACTTATATTTTATACTATTTTAAATATATAATAATAGGGGGCCTATTTAATTTATTAATATATCTATTTATAATTTATATAATATTAAAAGGGATTTAAATAGCTTAATTAATATTATTTTAAAGTTCTTAGTTTATTAATATAAATAATATCCTTTAATAAAGGTAGCTATATTTTAAAATATCCTTAATTAAAAGTAAAAATATTTTAAAAGGTTCTAACTTTTATATTAACTTAAATATTTTATTAATATAAAGCTATATATCCTATATATAATTTTTAACTTTATTATTATATCCTTAAAAATATATAAATATTCTTTTATATAAATATAGCTCTATTTTATTATATAATTATTTATAAATACTTTAAATTTTACCTTTATTTTATTAAAGAAGTATTAAACTTTTAGGTTTTTTATTATATTAATTAATTCTACTATTAATAGAAAATTTTAATATATTTAGTTTATAATAATATTTATTAATTTATTATTATTAAAGGAAAATAGTTATATTAAAATAGTATTATTATAACGCATCTCCCACTTAACCTGGCCACCCAATTAAGCTGGCCACCCCAATAACCTATATAAAATCCAATGTTTCAATCTATAATAATTTGACCAATATTAGACCCATAATAAAATAATTAATACCATTAGATCCGTTATTTAATAAGGAATCCAGCGGTATTTTTTACTATTTTTTATAAAATTTATTAAGCGAGATATCAAGCAATACGCTAAAAGGGCGCTAAGCAAGGATTAATTTAGCATTTACTTTAGCGTATTGCTTAATAACTCCGCGAATATAAGTCATAAAAGTTAGTAAAGGGTACCGTTAAATAGCTCTTTTTGTTACGAATCTAATGGTATATTTTATTATTTTATATGACTAATATTCGTAAAGTTATTAAATTATTACGTGATTAGTGCACCGACGTTATTTGTATGGGCTAGGGGGGTGGCCAGGTCAATTGGGTGGCCAGGTCAAGTGGGAGATGCGTTAATAGTATTTTATTATATTTTTATTTTTATATTTTTATTTTATATACTTTTAATATATTTAATTATTAATTAATTTATAAATTATAATATTAAAGCTATAATAATCCTAAAATAATATTTAGCTTATTTAATAATTATATATATAATATTAAGGTTTTTATAAAGTTTTTTAATATAACGCATCTCCCACTTAACCTGGCCACCCAATTGACCTGGCTACCCCCCTAGCCTATACAAATAACGTCGGTGCGCTAATCACGTGATAATTTAATAACTCTATAAATACTAATCGTATAAAATAATAAAATAAACTATTAGATTCGTAATAAAAAAAGCTATTTAACGGTACCTTTTACTAACTTTTACGACTTATATTTGCGGAGTTATTAAGCTATACGTTAAAGTAAGCGCTAAAGTAAACCCTGCTTAGCGCCCCTTTAGCGTATTGCTTAATATTTCGCTTAATAAATTTTATAAAAATTAGTAGAAAATATCTCTAAATTTCCCTTTAACTAACGGATTTAAAGGTAGTAATTAGTAAATTGTACGATTAATATACGTAAAGTTATTATAGATTGAAATAATGGGGTTTTATATAGGTTAAAGGGGTGGCCAGGTCAAGTGGGAGATGCGTTATATTATATTATATATTATTTAAAGATTATTCCTATTTTAATACTATTTATAAGATATAATATTTTTAACTATATTATAGTTATAATTAATATTTTATAAGTTTATATATATTTTATATTTATAAAGCTTTATAATAAATATTTTAAATTAATAAAGGTTTAATATTTAATTATTATTTTATTATATAATTTAATTAAAGTATTAAAATAAAAGGATATATTAAAGCTTATTAATTTAATATATAAATTTATTTATTTATTTTTAATTTTTTCTTTATTATATTTTTAATTATAACTTTTATTAAGGGCTATATATTTTTTATTTTATTTTTATTTAAATATTTAAATAATAGTATTTATTTATAATTCTACTTTACCTTTATTATTAATAAGTAAAATAAAGTAAAATATTTTATACTTTTATAATATAAATATAGCTTTAATAATTATTTCCTTATTTTTTTTTTATTTATTAAAGGTAATTTAAACTGCTTAATATAAATTTTATTTAATTATATTAAATTATTTATATTTTATTTAATTAACGTTATTAAAATATATATTAAATAATTCGTTTATATTAAATAGGAAAAGTATTCCTTTTAAAACTTAAGGTTTATTAAATTATTAAAAAGGTTATATAATAATTATATTTATCCTATTATATTATTCCCTTTTAATTAATTTATTTATAAAATAAAAGCTTTTTATAATTTAATATTAATTTTAACTTTTAACCTTTTTATTTATTATTTATTTAATTATTTACTTTCCTTTATTAATTTAATAAATTTAAAAATAAAATTAATATAAAATAAATCCTTTTATTTTAAACTTTTAAATTTTTATATTACTTTTATATATATATTAATAATAATATATAAATTATTTAACATTTTAAAGAAGTTATTATATATTATTTATATTTATTTTTTAAGTTTTCCTTAATTATTTATTATTTTTTTAACCTATTATTAAACTTAAATATATATAGCTTTAAATAATTTAAAGTATATATATAAAATTTTATTAAATTTATTAAAAAATGCCCTTTAGTTTAATATTAACTTTAGCTATATTTTTAACCGTTAAATTATATATTTAGCTTATTACTTATTTAAATTTAGTTTTAATTTATTAAATATTAAAAATTCCCTTTTTAAATTCTTCCTATATTTAATAATATATTATTAATAATTTAATATTAATATTATAATATTAAATTTTTATATAATAGGTAAATTTAATATAATTTTTAAATTTATTTAAAAGGTTAATAATAAAGAAAAAGGGTTTAATAAAGTTAAAAGGGTTATAATTAATATTAAAATTTAAATTATTATTAATTAAATTTTTTTTAAATAAAGTTTAAAGTATTAATAAAGTAATAATTTATTAATTATTATTTATTTATATTTAAATAAATATTATTATTTATTATTATAGGTTCCTTTTAATATTTTTTATTATTTAAAGTTTATTTATTAATATAATTTTTAAAGCTAAAACTTTAATATAGGTTTACTTTATTATATTTATTTATTATTATATTAAATCTTAATATATTTTATATTTAATATCTTTTTATTTAAATTCCTTTATTAATATATTTATATTTTCCTTTAAAATAATAATTTAAAGTATTATATCTATTATATAAAATAATAATTATTAAAAGAATTATTAAAATTATTTTAAAGCATTTATAAATCCTTATAATATATTTTTTAAAGTTATAACATTTAAATTTAAATTTTATAAAGCTATTATAATTATTAAATAGCTATTAATAATATTAATAATTATATACCTATATATAGGGAGTTTTATTGGGGTAAAAATATTAAGGGTTAAAGGTTTTAACTTTATAGCGTTTTAAAAGTAAATTTAAAATATTTATATAGGTTAATCCTTAAAGAAGGATATTATCTATTTTTTAAATATAATAAACTATTATAATATTACCTAACTATAGTTTTATATATTTATTTTATTATTATATAAGGAAGGAAGTTTTAGTTTTTGCCCCTTATTCCCTTTCCTAGCGTTATATACAATATTCCTTGGTCCGTGCTATATATTGGAAATTAGGCTTCCTTGGTTCCGTGACATACATCGAGGCTTCACAAGTCTCTTGGCTTTTATTGACTTCCACATGATTTGTGCTGAATCCATCCCTGACTCACGATGTCTCATCATCGTTGACCCTAACCCACTGTCCATCCTGCTTCATATGCCTCACTAACTCGACTTGGTCAGTAGCAGTAATACCAGACTGAGAAGCCATCGACGAATAGAATTTACTATTAGCAGATACCTGAGCGGTATATAGGTTCTTGGCGTATGGATCAGTCACTCTCTCTCGGTTGGTATCGCTCAACTTCAACCCGAAGAAGTGTTGGTAGAGGGGACGATAAGTTGCGATGGAGACGGCTAGGATTCCGATCATTACCTCAATGGAAGACACAATGCCGACGGGAGCATTGTCCCCTGTGGATACACGCCATAGTTAGGGACTGTGGTTTTTAAATAAAGCAAAATCTGCAACTTACAGCTTGGATCTGAGGTACTCCCTAGATGGGTTATATACTTTAGTTGAACAATGCTAACGATGCATGCACTATTACATGTTAGTCGGCATCTAGATAGGTATGATAAATCCTTACCCCCCACCAGTCGCAAATGTAAGGATAAGCATCCACTTCCTGTGCACCGAGAGCTTAAGCTTCAGCACGCAAGGGATAGGCATGGTCAAGATAACAAGGTCGATAACAATGTTAACTATGTATGCCAATAGAGCAGAAAGCCCATAATTGATGCAGGTAGCATCAACTATCGTTGGATCCCAAGTTGCTGCAATTGGTATACATTGCAAATTGGTCGCCAATATAACCCATATTCCAAGGGAGACAGCAACGAAGCCGACTAACCACGTCGCGCGAAAGAACCAAGTATGCTGTCTGAAAATATGTTGGTATAGGCTAAGAATGCTAAGCTTCAGCAAAGCGATCTCTACCGCATACAGGTTCTCGGCGACCAGACTGAGCTATATAATGGCAAGAAAGTATAAGTAGCAGTCGTGACGTGATGCCCTCCTTAGAATAACGACTAGGTAAATGGGGACTCGGGGTGAGAGGGGGGGGGGGGGGCGGGGGGCAGGGATGTTGACACGAAAATGTTCATGGTGAAGACTCGTGGATACTAACAATTTGCAGCATCCGTGGGTTGGTGACGAAAACAACATGTCTGCCAAAACCGTAGCGGGTGGCCACAGCGAAGATGGTTTCACTTGCGATGAAAAGAGCCTGACCGGGAAGATATCAGCAAGGTGCTCGAAGCCGCTATGACAGCTAATGGGGGGACACACCCAGGCAGTGAGACATAGCCAGTCGTTGACGTCTAGGCGAAATCGATTGTGGTAGAGTATCCTTTTGGACCATATTCGAAGAGCAACGAATACTGTACCGAGAGCGGAGGACACTGCACAGGCGGTAATAACACTCGGGCTAAGGTTATCCCCTGGATGTGCAAGCTGCCGCGCAGCTTGCTCCGCCGTTGGAAGTTTAGGCATTTTCAAAGAACACGAGGGCTGCAAGATCGTTACCTATCATCATGTTTACAGATTACTCGATCCTGTTAACAGGGCATGATATGAGTATTTAGCTAGTAGGTATATCCCTCGATCATGGCATACGATATCCAAAATTAGAAGATTTCACAACTCCAACGAGGCTGGGGCCTACAGGATGGCTTCGTGCAGATTCACGCATGCTGCAACTCACCAACAGTATATTCATAACGGAAGGTGGCATCCTTAGTTCTTTTCGCCAGGAAGATAAGGTGACAGGCGCTTATGCACTCATTCGTGAGACTTCTGGCATCATTTTCCAATTTTCACCGTGGCACAACAGTTTACCGTTGCATTCCGCCAGTTTCAACTGTACTTTCAAATTCCTCAGCCAACATCATCTGCACCAGGACCAACAATTTTGGAGCCGCATCCGCTAATGCAGCTGAGGTTACAGTTCCGACCTCTCTGTAGATAAGAATTGGGGGCGTATGCAAGTTGGTATTGATGCAGGATGCAAGGGCTAGCTCATGAGAACCATTCCGCTACATTAGGTTGTCAACTTGGCCTGCTGTACACGCTCTGAATGTTGCAATATGCCTTCAACCCCTCCACCCCACACTCCACCCCAAAGCCACTACTCTTGTGGCATCCGAATGCAACATGAGGCTCAAGTTCTCCGTGGGTATTGATCCATACACTTCCAGCTTTCAGCTTGCTAGCGATCTGATTGGCTTGTGCCACTATGATGCTGTCAGCTAGTGATTGCGATTATGGCGCAGAGCTGTCAGAGTGAAAGGGGCTCGTCTGGAGCCGCACCAGGTAAATAGGGTACTTGTTGCGCGCGCCATGGGGCAAGGCAAATGCACAGGGCTTCGGGGTTGACTCACTGTCTTTGGACCATACTGACGCGCCCAGGCCGTATTCGGTATCATTCGCCCGCTGAATGACATCTGACTGTTCGCTCCACTTTAGCAGCGGTAGAATTGGACCTGGTCAGGTGTCAGAGATACCTCTCAATGAAATGCACAAGGGTGTCATGGAACAGACCGAAAGGCTCGTCAACGACAGGTCTGGAATCGTCCGGTGGATTATCTAATATCATTGGGGAGATGAAGAATCCCTGTTGACTAGTATCAACCGAGTCTTTAGTTGCGATTTTGAATTCGCTTTCCTTGATATGATCAAGCAACTCCGTGACACGGTCGAATTGTGCCCTGTGTGTGATGGGGCCAATGAAGCTGTTTTCTGCAAAACCATCTCCGACCTTGAAGCTGCCCTCAACGAATTCGACCATGGCAGCAAGAAAAGCATCATAGATCGACTCGTGGACATAAAGCCTTTTAACTGCCATGCATAGTTGACCCGAATTCACGAATGAGATCATCGCTACTTTGGGAACAATAGCTGCGATATCGACGTCGGCGCAGATGATTGCCGGGTCATTACCGCCCATCTCTAGTGTCACTCGTTTCATGCTCGCACTACAAGTTTGAAGGATCTTCTTCCCAGTAGCGACAGAGCCAGTGAACGCTACTTTATCGACGCCTATACCAATTGATTAGGATGGGAATGCGTAAGGGCAGCATATACATGTGTTACCTGGATGTTCTGTGACCCATGGGCCAAGTCTATCATCGCCGCTTATAGCTTGAAGCACCCCAGGAGGGAAGAAACGAAGTCCCAACTCAGCCACTTTAAGACAACAGTATGGCGTGAATGGAGAAGGCTTCAAGATGAAGACATTTCCTGTAAGTAGTGCAGCAGGGATTTTAAAAAAGGAGAGCATTAAAGGAAAGTTCCAAGGAACAATCCCCACAGCAACGCCAAGTGGTGTGTATCTCTCAACAACACGGCGTTGCTCAGTGTCTTCTATGATGTTATCTGGTAGAGACAACTCACAGATCTCACGGACCCATTTGATACAACTCTGAACCTCAATCCTGGCCCAGAATAACTAGACCTCGTAGCACCACATTAGCGTAAGAGTACCGTCTCTGGAGGAGTTGACTAACATACAGGTTTTCCGTTCTCTTTCACGAGCATTTTAGAGAAATTTTCGGTTTGAGATTCCAAAGCGGTTGCGAAATCTTGAAGCTTCTTCTTCCGCTCGGCCCATGGGGTTTCAGCCCAATGTCCTGCAGCCACTTGAGCAGCATTAACAGCTGCGTCCACATCTTCCTGTGCGCTGAGGGGAACTTCGGGATTGGCTTGCAAAGTGGAGGGGTTCGTATTGTGATAAGTTTGCCCCGAGCTGGACTCAGTGAGCTTTCCATTCACCACATTATAGAATGTGTTGAACTGAAGCAAACTCTCACTAGCATATGGACTGGACATCTCAACTAGATCGTACCGAAATCGATGCGGACTGTAACTGTGCGTTGTGTTTCATCAATAGAGATGCCATTTGCTACATATAGAGACCATAGGCCGATGAAAGCAGTGAGCGGGATTTCCTTACTCTATTTGCCTGGATGCCTAGATGTCTGTTATGTCACATTGCAGATTGCAGATGCCTAAGTATAGTAGATCCTAGAATGGGGTCTTCTGGGAAATTGGAGAAACGTGCGGCGATGCACAAACCCTGCAGACCACCAACACTCTACCACATGTGATTTAGAAATGGTATGCAGACACGTCCTCGTCGTGGGGGCTGATATGGGCAGCCGCCCGACTAATGCCGACCCCTGTAGCATTTAACAATCAACTAACAACTTTGCAACTTCGTCACTTCTCCCCCTCCATTATAGTTGCTGCACCTTGAGATCTGTCGTCTTCAATCATCCAACAACTATCTCTCACGATGGGTACCGTTTTACTTACTGGAGCTAACGGCTCTATTGGCCTTCACGTGACGGAGGAACTTTTGAAAACATCACCTGAGCTGACACTCGTCCTGACTGTTCGGCAAACAGAGGATAAGAACACTGCTAGGCTTAATGATGTGATATCCAAATATACCAATGCCAAAACCTTCATTCACAAACTTGATCTTGCCGACCTTTCAGCAGTCCATAGCTTTACCGGTAAGATTCTTTCCAGCGTCGCGTCTGGTCAGCTTCCGCACATAGGAGTCATTATTTGCAACGCGATGTACTGGAATCTTGTTTCCGATCCGGAGATAACTGTTGATGGGTATGATAAGACCTTTCAGGTTGGGCATATCGCCCATGTTGCTCTCGTTCTTCGGCTACTCGGTTCCTTCGATAAAAGCATCGGCGGCCGCGTTGTCTTGATGTCGAGCCAGAATCATTACCCCGGGAAGAGCCAAATGGAGAAGATACCCCCCAAGATTCCTTCAGACATGAGCAAACTTGTACACACAAGTCCTGCCGACGACTCACATGTCGACCACAATGCTCGAGGGTTCGAGATATACAGTAACATGAAGCTCGCAGCGGTAGCATGGATGCATGCGCTCAACCAGCACTTGGAGAAGGTAAACATTACATCTGTGCCCTCCTATTCTGCATCTAGTCTAATAAGATTTTCTTCACAGGATCCTGCGCTCCAGAAAATTACTGTTGTTGCCATTGACCCTGGTGTTATCTGCGATTCGCGAGCCTTCACAACAAACACGCCGAGCTCCATTATCAACATGCAAAAATACGTGCTTCGACCATTTTCACCGCTATGTCGACTAGTTGGGATCAAAGGCTTTCGCACCTCGGCGCAGGCTGCCGTTGATGTTGCCCAGCTAGCCATCAACAGAGCTCAACCCAATGCCAGAGGCTACTTCACGCTCCTTAACAAAGACGCAACCGCCCCTCAAAGCTTGGAACGAGAGATACAGCAACGTGTTTGGGCACAAAGTGCGGTTTGGGCGAAGATCACGAAGGAAAACACTGCTCTCAAGGCAGACCTTAACTGACTACTACAATCAATATGATACTTTGTATATCACACTATATTAGTCTTTTAGGGCATCCTTCCATGTGCAATGGATAATAGTCACAGCAACTGAGATAGTTCCCTAGTCTCTGCGCTTAGTGCGCACCATCCTCGTCACCTACTACATGCCTGAGTGTAATCTGAATTAGTTGGATTAGTCACGATGCCTAAACCTACATGTTTGATTCTCGCCGCTTGTCACGTTTTGACTACACCGTTGGGCACATTCTCGGCTACTCCTACCCATGGTAATAATCTACAAAGGGACTACTGGCTGTGCCACACACAAGTAAGCGTTGGGTGCTAATGTAGTGACTAGGTAGATGTTTTCCTAGGCTTACCTATCGCGTTAGCATGGTGGTGGTATCCATGTAGGTTCTCATGGATAGACCGAGTCCGACGTTGCAATCAATATTGCCTGTTTGATGCATGCGTGCACCTATGCAGGACCCACATGTCAACTAGATGAAAAGGGAGTGTTCAATAATAACAGGCACGGAGTGTGCTTAACAGTAAGTCGAGTCACCATAGTTATGCAAACTCATAGTTGGCGATGCTCGTGCATGAGGGGAACCAGGCCAAATGTGAGATCAAACAGGTTTGATCGGTTCCGGTAATGTAAGACTCGTCAATAATATCTGATCTCAGACCAAGTCGCGACTACACCGTCGCCGCACATGATTTTGTAAGGACAATCAGAGAAAGAGAAAAAGAACCCCGAAATTCCAGATATAATGGCTAGAAATTACGGTCTCAATGGCGAGGGGCTTGGCATTCCGATTATATGCCTTCCTGTCTTCGTCGCTGCACTAGTAATTGCACTCTATCTGAGGGCTCCTGACCAGAAAGAGCCGCCGAGCCTCCCAGAGAGGATTCCATTCATCTCGAATGGGTACCAATACCTAACCAACGTATCACGTTTCATGGATCGTGTGAAGTAGGTTGCACTCCTAGAATACCGCCAAGACTTTACAGCTAACTTTCTAAAAAATTGTAGAGAAACTCTTGAAAAAAATAGGAGTAATATCATCAAATTTTACATTGGACCTACGCGAGGTTATATCGTGACCGGCACCAAGAATGTGCAAGCATTGTTGGGGTCGCCACATTCCCTTGGTGGTGACTGGCTGCAGATTCAACTAATGGATAAACACTGGGAAATGACGAAAAGCGAAATCCAGAAATTTGTCAATGATAAATCCGGCCGTCTTGAAACACCAGCGCCAGGAAGTGAACGTGTTCCTGAAAGCCAGCGATACTGGCTAGGTCATCAGCGCCTCTATGTGGAGTTTCTCACCCAACAGAGACATTGTCAAGCACTGGCTGACGGATTTTATCGGTTCTTTGATGAGAAAACGGACCTGAACCTTCAAGAGTTTGAGACAGTTAGTTTGTTCTCGACCTTGAAGCTCACAATGACAGAAAGCGCGACTCTCTCCTTCTTCGGCTCGCGAATCTTGGAGCTTAACTCGGGTTTTAGTGAATGCTACTGGGCCTTTGATCCTTTCGGCGGAAAGCTGGTTTGGGGCCTTCCAAAATGGTTGGACCCTGTTCCTTACCTAGCTCGCGCTCGACTACATCGCATGACTAGGAGATATGTTGATTCCGCTTGGAAGAATTTAAACCCAGGTGCATCTGACGCGGATTGGGATCCCCATTGGGGCTCCCGCCTCTCTCGAGAGACAGCAAAGTGGCTTCGTGCTGCGGGGTTCTCGGATAAGGCTTTAGCTGGCCATGTCCTCGGCACTTTGTTTGGGTCAGAAGCTCCCCATCGATATATTTCCTGTTTATCTATACTAAATATTTTATCAAGTCTTCACGGCAACACTGTCCCCATCACTACATGGATACTCATAGAACTCATCAAGGACCAGTCTCTTATGCAAGATGCCCGAGCTGAGGTATTAGAAGCCTTCGCATTCGATGCTAATAAAGGTAGACGTTTCCTGAACCCACAAAAGCTCACATCACAGCCTCTCCTGCAGTCGATATATACAGAGATACTCAGACTACACGTATCTTTCACAATCAGTCGCGAGGCAATGCGTCCTGTAGAGATAGATGGATATAAAATACCCTCAGGGTCCCTGGTCCAATCCAGTTCTAATATCGCACATTTCGATGAGTCTGTGTGGGGGACTGAAGAGCACCCTGCGTCAGAATTCTGGGCCGAGCGACACATTAAGTACGCTGACGCGGATGGAGAAGTTGGGAAACGGCAATTTTCCATGCGAGGTCGGCCAACGTCATTTTTCCCCTACGGTCAGTGACTTGTTGAGTTATCGGTGACTAATATAAAATGACTAACTTTTGAGTACAGGTGGCGGGTATGTGGTATGCCCAGGCCGCCATTTCGCCAAGCAAGAGATTTTGATAGCAGTTGCGCTCTTCATCACCAAGTTTGACATTGAGTTGGTCGAGTGGACCAATATGAATGGTACGAAGTCAGACAGGGAGGCACATGATGACCAGTACTACGCAGGTGTTATAGCTATGCCCCCAGATCGTGATATGAAGGTGCGCTTGAAGAAAACTCAGGGACTGATCGATTGAGCCTCTTAGAGTGAAAATGACTTTTGATTCTGCTTTTTGCTGTGTTGGTATGCACTATGCAGGTTGTGGGGAGGTGTAGATCATCTTGACTTACAACATGGGAAAGGGGAACAAGAGCGACGAAAGAGGGTTCTTCTCGACGCCAGTGTTCTTACTGAATTAATTTTCGTTCGGCACTAATTGCACTACATAGTACTTAAATTAAGCTTCCCTAGAATTATCGAGGATATATTAGCAGACTATTTACTACATGTACCTACCTTTGTTAGGCTCTATTGAGACATAGAATACTTGGTTCGGTGACTATTTGGTTGAAGACTTTCTACTGAAACTTATTGGCCGAGGAGTGGTTGTTGATGCTCTATTAAATTAGACTTTAGATCAGTTGCCGGGAGGGTATGTAGGATGTTTCTTGGGAACACCCCATGCCCAGCGTTGCTGCACGAGCGTAATGCTGCGATGTGCTCCTCTGCCAGGACTGGAGTAGCGCCATCGAAATCCTCCGAATCTGCGCCCTTCCATGCTTTAGTGACAGTCTCCAGTATGTGTTTCAATGTAGTATTCAACCTTTCACGTTCGAGGACTGTTGCGTTACCGACACACTATACAACTTACAGGTAATCTCCGTCTCATCGGCATAGGGTACAATGTTAATGTGGTTCCTGGTATTATTTCGCGCCTCCTGGGACGTTGGGGCATCCTTAATCAAAAATAAAATTTGCTATGACAGCCACGGTTCCTTTTTCTCTCTATATTGAAGGAGGGCATGCGACAAACTCTTTCTACCCTATGGCGTCCTCGACACCTTTTCCGTGCTCGAAGTAACTGCAGGTTTCTATTGTAATTATAAGCAACAGAAGCAATAAATGGGCCTCACATTGGAACATGGGGCCATTTAGCCATGGCTGATATGAGATATCAAGACAGACCTCCGGGGTTAGAAAGGCTGACCCGACTGTATATGGAATCATGGTCAGGGAGAGGACTAAATGGACCATAGAGCCTTTGGTAGCTACGGCAGATTAGTGTAGTCTGAATAATCTCAGTTTCAGGTGTCTCATCAGCTCTTATTTTACTCGAAGGATCTTTGGAGTTTCGTGTATAGATAGAGATCTTATTAACAACCCTTACCTGGGAATCGGCTTTCAAATGCGAAGGCTTTTGATTGTAGTATCAACTACGATCTATACAATCATGAGCTCACACCCCTGAGCCTTCGACGGTTACCAATATATTTCATCAATAAGGGTTGGGTAGCATGAATCTGTCCCGTCGCTGAGGCCTGCATACTGGACGCATAGACCGTGTTCGGCGCACCTGACACGTGATGATCAGGTGCTCTGGTGAATGTGCCGCCAGCAATAGGATCCCAATTTCCGTAGTCATAGCGATTTTTCTATGTTAGTAAAACCCGCTTCTTGATAAGGGATATGGGTATATGACCAAGGTGGCTGTTTTCCCTCGAATCAGTTGTGTGAGACACTAGAAACCTTAGCACCTATTCAACAGCTGGTTCCTCCCAAGTCACGGGTAGGGGAACCATAAAGACATATAATTACGGCCATGATAACAGTGGAGTCAATTAATTATTGGATTGGAAAAGAAGTAACATCCCATAAGCAGGTTGGTCGGGTAGGTAGCGCCACCAAATTGATTCCATTTGAGATTATGCATAAGGGGGCAATGTAGAGAGCTAATCTTCTTACTTTTATGGACTGAAGGAGGATGAGGAGGAGGAGAGGAATGAGATATATTAACAAGCTGAGATAGAAAGGCAATTAAATACGTACTAGGTAGGTACATAACCTGCGATTTGGAATTACCAACATGAGGGACTCGAAACTCGGTGGGCTGGCTTGCTAATCGATATTCGCTGTGTTTCATAAAGGGGGCGTCTACTATTGATCAAAGAATATAGGGACACGGTCAAAGAGTCACAAGGTGGTACAGAACCAGTGTCTCGCGATCTGCTTTGGCAAAAAGGGCGGAGGGGGGAGAAAAAGGAAAGAAAAGCACCATCACGAGGTTCGAACTCCGGTCCCCAGAAAATCTCTATGTATATGAAAACCTGGTATCCTAAACCACTAGACGATGATGGTAGATGCAGCCTTTCTCTCATACATATTACATTGGTGTGAGATCTGCCACCTACTATGATGTAAACTGATTCTTTCTAGAAGGCATGTGCGTTTATGTACTCTAGAAGAAGCTTGTTGACTGTATTGGAACTTCCTGGCCCTCTACGCCCCTTCCACTTCCCTGCATATTCTAGTATGAGCACAGCAAGCCTAACATGCTATGTGCCTTGGTAACCTGTGTTCCTGCACACGGATGAAGTGAGTGTTACTTTGCCTTCATCAAAAAGCTGAGACATCACGATTATGAGTACAACATCATGTAGGTCTTTGCTGTCAGATAGTGATGTATCGTAGTAGGGCTTAAGTCATCTGATGCAAACGAGTCTCTGTAGACACTGTGCAAGGGATCAAATTTATTGCCGTCGAGACGCAGACTCTCTAGATACCAACGATTAGTTTAGCATTGCTACGATTATGATTAATATTATATTTGCTTGTATTTACCATTCATATATAGATACATTTGATCTAGCCAATGGCATCTCTGTACGAAAACTTGGTAGATTTATAAAACAATAGGTACACATGCCAGTGAACCTGAGATATCAGTTTAGCAATGCCATTTCTCAAATTTATCTCCAGGTTTCATAGTTCTTCATTTAGGCATACAGGACCTAGTAATTATAGGTCTTACTACCTAGTTGAGTATGTAATTTACAATTTGGAAGCATTCCTCTTTATAACTTTCCATATACAGCATTGATATCACGTGGGGCCGCAAGGAAACCTGCAGCATTTGCATGGTTTCCCGCCGAACTGAAATTTCTGCTATCAATATTTGATTCAAAGAAGGGCATCTCTCTCTATTTCAACCTAATCTTGGAAACACCTAAGTACCTAAACTGGTTGATGTTCAAGCTACGCCACGAGCCATCCGCACACCGCCACATACATTACTAAGCCAGGATTAAGTACCGACTACCTAGGTACCTAGGTACCTACCTAAGGTTGCATTTGCTGCTTTGCTGAGCCACGTTCACCCCAATACTCAACAAAAACATCTGGCGTCATGGCGTCGGACTCGCGCTTCACGTCGCAAAACAAGACTACGCAGCAGCGCATTTCTAACAACACTGTTGGTCTTGTAGCCCTCTCCGATTTTCGCAAACGCCGTGCCGAGGTTCTAGAACAACAGGAGCGCGAGGCCCGCGAAGCTGCCCTGTCAGGCTCACCCATCTCAACACCCACACCGGACCGCTCCTTGACCAGCACACCTGATCCCGCGAGTGACCCTGCGGCGCCCCCTAAGAAAAGAAAGAAGAAGAGAAACGTTGGCGTCAAGCTGTCGTTTGGTAACGATGAGGACGAGAACGAGGGCGGAAATGAGGAGGACAAGGGAGCGACAGATGCTAGAAACGTGACTCCGGGAAAGGACGAAGGAACGCCTGCCGACAAGGATACGAGCAAGGCCAAGTTCAAGGTCAATTCATCTGTCTCGGTCGTTCCCCGAGCTGTTACCAAGTCAGCATTGCGCCGCGAGGCTGCCGAGAGAGACCTTCTTAGGCGAGAGTTTCTCCAGCGCCAGGAGCGAGTCAAAGCCGCCGAAATCGCGATACCATTCGTCTTCTACGATGGATCAAACATTCCCGGAGGCACAGTGCGCGTTAAGAAGGGCGACTTCGTGTGGCAATTCCTGGATAAGAGCAGGAAAGTCGGAGCGGATCTCGGCGTTGGTGAGAAGGCCAACGCTCGGAGAGAGTGGGCGCGGGTCGGTGTGGACGATCTTATGATGGTGCGAGGCAATGTCATCATTCCACACGTGAGTCTACTTCTTGAACATATTTCTAACACCGAAAGGAAGGTTGAGTGAGGACTAGCTGACAATACTTCTAGCATTATGATTTCCTGTTCTTCATCATGAACAAGACCTTGGGACCAAATGGAACTATCTTATTCAAATACGACGCCGACGCATCGATACCACTGAAACATGCAGCTGCCATTGATGATCAACCGCTTCCAATTAACACCCCTCTCTCTGCCACTAGTACACAAGCCCCAACCGAGACCCTCGAAGGTGCATCCGATGATCCGACCATGACCAGAGTAGTGGACCGAAGATGGTACGAGCGTAACAAACACATTTATCCCGCCAGCATGTGGCAGGATTTCGACCCGGAGAAGGATTATCAGAAGGAAGTCAGGCGCGATACTGGTGGTAACACATTCTTCTATTCTTGAAGAATAAGAGAGGGAAAAGCAAAAACATAAGCAAACCGATCGAATCGTCTAGTACTTTGTTGGGTATCACAGGAAGCAGAAAACGAAAAGCAGAGAGGGAATTCAAGAGAGACCCTTTCCACACGTTAGCAGCCAGTATAATGCGATCGACAGAATGAACAACTCAAGACTCACTGGGCTAAACAAAGTGTCAATCATCCCACAGTCAACGCCGAAAACGCAAATATAGCAAGACCGATTATGGCCCAGCCGGGCCAGAATACTATCAGACACAGGTTATTCCCTCCAGCGCCAAGTATCAGTGTGAAGAATTCGAACTCAATCTTCTTTCTCAGCCGTCGTATTTGTGCGCTGTCCCACAGCCTCCGTATTGCCTGCTCAAAGAGTTTGATGGCGTGGTAAACCACGAGCCCAGTTGCTTGACACGTCTGCATGGATACAAACAGACTGAACCCCAAGACGCCCGAGGCCAACAAGGCGACTTGGAGAGAGAGAGACCATAAGACCCTGCCAAAAATTTGCTGAAAATAGCTAGCAAGGCCCAGGGCAGACATCAGGGTGGTGAAGATCCGAGAGCCGTAGGGAGATATGTCGATAGGAATCTTAGTCGGGACGGCGACAATGGCCCCAGCGGGTAGGGAGACGGACATGGTCATCGTTCTGAGTCTTCCGTTGTTGTATTCGAGTCTGATCGGCCAACAACAGTAGGACAATACGACCACTCTCAAGTCTGGTGAGAAGAATTGCCCGAGTCTTGTTGTGAGGCTGATATATGGTAATCGAGATTCTAAAACTTAAGATTGTCCCCCCGAGAGCGTCAAACTAGATACATGGTCTTGGATACACTGGCATGTAGTGAGATGGTAGGGCTCACTGGGTCTTAGGACCCAAGACACCCAGGACCTTATATGCCACTACTGAGCATGCAGTGTCTCCGACTCAATGATGCTGTCGCTGTCCATCGCCAAGAAGGCCCCTCCCTCTAACTCCGGCCTACCGCGCCCACATTGGCTCCATAGGTACATGCTTATCATGTACCTACGAACATTTTACCAACCAATGCGTGTGTAGAATTGCATAGCACTTCGAAATGATTAGACCAGCTCAAGTTGCGACAATGCCGGATAGAGGGGCATAGTGGATCACGACATTGGTACAACACGGCGCTATCAATCAAGCATCTGCTGGTCGGTGTTTCGGGAACTAGTGTTCAGCCCAGTGACAGGCTTCATAGCTAACGCACGTGGTGGTTAAGCTGATCACGAGCAACCTGAATGTGTATTTAGTCCTCCAAACTCATATCAGACGAGAACTACCTCAGCTCAGCGCCGAATAGGACATAGCGAAGCACCCATGTTGGTATAGTAGTAGGCGACAACAGTAAGTATTCCGTCCCCGAGGGAATGAGTCTGCGAGAGATGTCGCATTAGACCGTTCTTCCCGGACCTAGGTCACACCCTCCGACACCTGGAATCTGTCTTGCCACCTCGTGGTGGAGGAATGAGGCGGCATTGGTTCGTTGGCCTGGGGATCGAAAGCGGGTGGCGCCGCGGATTACCAGAAACGTGCGGTAGCCTGAGACTTTATTGGCCATCGCTAGAAAGAGGGTCCTGGCCTGGTATATCCCTTGTCTACTCCAGAGAATTCCGGGAGCTTCGATGATGATACGTGCCCAAAAGCCTGTGGCATAACCGAAGCAATTGCTAGCCTATTATAGATCCATCGTGAACTACTATACTGATTCTGTTGAGTATATGAAGTTTGCACTACAAATCTTCGTCTTGCAACGGAAATAGTCAGGGATAATTTCAATCAGCTTCTTACGAGTGCGGGTCATACATATTACATCATCAGCAGGACGATTTTGGGCAAAATTACTATTACACTAGCTAAGCGGAGCTATCAAAGGTGATCAACGCATGTCTAGGACGGCTTCTGCCATGGACCAAGCGTCAGAAAACAAATCAATCGCGGGGCTATGGATAGCCTCATGCAGCTCGTTCATTCATTAATAGCTGCCATCAGGTCTGTCCATGGTCTTCTTCCTTTTCCCACCGCAAATTATCTCTTCTTTCTCTCATTATTCATGCCACATGGACACATCCATTATCGTCCGTCCATCATCATATCATCAGTAGCATAAAAGGCCAGATCCATTTCTTCTGTTTTGCATTGCACTGGACAGATTAGGATGCAATCTGCTCATGGCCAGAAGAGTATTGCACGCGCACACATGCCCATGTCTTAGCGCATCACGCCAAGGGCTTGTTTTGTGTGCAGGGAAAAACTGCGCGAAAGGTGAAAGATCGACCGATATAATAACACAAAGGAGAAGCAAGAGTGAAAGGTCAGTTGGTCGAAATCTTCTCGAGAAAGAAGCAAGATTGCTGCATGCGAGTCTACGCCCATGTCGTGCCAACTCGAAGCTCATATCCACAATTCTTAACCCACAGCATCCATTGCAGACCCATGTTTAGACTGCAAGAGCCCTTGAAGGCATGATGTGCGTCTGGAATAGGTGGTAAGTCGAGCCTCTAACCGTTTTGAGACGATGCAGCAGCGTTGTCAAAAGCTGCGCAGTGAAGAATTGCAGAGCTTGAAAGATCAATGAAAAGGAGAAAAACGCAGGGAGAAGCAAGCCTGAGAAACCTGTCAAAGGAAACCGATGCAAGGAGAAGCGAAGCGTGGATGAACTTCTCAGAAGCACATATCAAGAAGAAGAAAAAGAAGAGAGGCTGAAATCTATGCGAGTCTCACTCAAACTGCTCACGCGTATTGTGCAAGCACCCAATCATCTCCTCTAGAGATGGAATGTGACAGTCTATGCTGAGAATAGCGGCATTAACTGACAGGGGCGGTGATGAAATGGGAGAGCTGGATCTTGGCCAGCTGCCAGTCACAGATCAGTATAGCTGCGGCTACTCCTGAGGCCCAAAGAAGTCCGGAACCCAGAAAGGATCATCGGAAGGGTCGGGAACCTGGCCCGCGAAATTGTTGTATCCTTGCAGTTGGCCTTGGGCTCCGAGCTGTTGTGCTGGGAATTCGCTTTGGTAGGTATAAGCATCTGTGTGAGGAACATACCCCGTCCAAGCGCTAGGGGCACTCGGGGCATAGTGTGTCAATGGTTCATATTCGAGCCGGCGCCTTTTGTTGTTGCCTTGGGCCATGGCATCCCCAGGGGGCGCATACTGAGCGTCGGCCATTGGCATTTGGGGTTGAGGCTGAAAGGGCGGGTAGGAGTAAGGAGGCATGGGCATCTGTTGAAAAACGTGCTGCTGCTGCTGCTCCATGTATCCTTGCTGGGGCATCTGTATCTGCTGGGACGATGCGAACGGTTCGGGTGGGTGAATCTGCAGGGCTGTCTGCAAGGATGTGGATGCCTGCGCAACTGAGCCTGCCTCTGCGTCCAAGGATCCATGAGGTGGTGGTGATGACAAAATTCGGCCACGTCGGGGATGTGGTCGTTCTTCTCCTCCTTTAGAAGCCTTGGATCTGGCCTTTCTCTTGCCCTTGGCTCTCCGTTTAGATGTCTCAGGTGGCGGGGGACTAGGACCATCTACATGCTCCTCTGGTATGGGTGGCTTGGGCTGTGCCTCTGCCTTTGAGCCTTGGCTCCTTTCGATAGGGGCGGGGTCCAGGAGCTTCAGCTCACCAGTAGGTTTGGTTGGCGGAGCAAGTTTGCTGATGGTCGTAGCTTTTTTAGATCCCCGACGGCGCTTGAAAGCAGTACTTCGTGAGACTGCGAGCTCCGTCTTATGTGACATCTTGCCTGTAATGATATTTCCATCCTGTGAAAGAATCATCCACCCGTTAGCAACATGACCAACCCCTGTACGTTGATATACGTGCCTGGCCGAGGGGGATAGCAATTCCAACAATTATTTTGGTACTCACTTTATCTTGAAATTCCCCCTTCTGGTTGCGGTGGATCCCCATCGTTTTCTTCACCTCGTTTTTAACAGCATTCCAATCACTCTTTTCATCGTTCTGGCCTAGATTGTCAACCTTACGCTATTGTCTGTCAATAGAGGTTCTTTGTATATAAACGTCAAGCATGAAAGATTGTTGCTTACTTTGTACTCTTTTGGTGGATTCCAGGCAAGCCTGGCTGGGAACTCATCGTTCTTGAAGAGAGAGATGACAGTGGATTTGGACTCCTACCAGATCACACATTAGTTAAGAGTAATAAGCTTGGAAACCAACACTCACCCTGAGACCTGCCACAACGTCATTGAACCGTTCAGCGAAAGACGGATAGTATCTGTAATGCGGTCCATCAGGGGTATACCATGGAGGTAACAGGTTAATTCCATGCTGGGCTTCGACAACGCAATTCTATTCAGGTGTTAATCTCATCACATGGGGCTCGGGATCTGGTGGTGGCCTACAAGCAATTTCCACAGCATCCAATGCATGGCACCTTCGTTATAATAGTCTTTCGTGAGTTTTTTGTAATACTCGGCTTCCTTCAATTCCAAAATACCCGAGAAATCATACACCGCGTTATGGAGTCGTTCAATCCATTCGTGGCCTTCACCTTCAACATCCAGGTCCGGGATATCTGCGGTGGAAGTGTCGGTTTTGTCGTATTTTGACATCATATACTGGCAAAACGACTCTGCCTTAGCACGATTCTGGAAGACCGGCCGGTAGCAGACGTTTGCCGCGTCTGCGATTCGTTTGGGATGAGGGAAAATGGTGTCTGGAGCAACTGGCAATAGACTTGGGCCTGCCTGATTGCCCCTTCTCTGGACCTGCGTCATTGGTCCAGGGGCGGAAATTTGAGACGCCATATCTTCTCCATTAGCTGGCGGCCGCGGGCCGCCATTTGGCAATACGCGTGGCATCTTTGTCGTGTCAGCTATCGGAACCAATGGTTGGGTGAAAACCTGTGTGCAATATTAGAAATTGCAGAGCATCCTGGCAGGTTTGCAAATCGCAATATTCCCAGACTATTCAGGCATCTTGATAGACAAACGCGTCTATCCTATCTGCACAATCTGTCTTATTTACATATACATGATTCATGATTAGACATCGAAGATGAGAAAGTGAGCTTACCGGGGATATCTGGAGGCAAGTATCCTTTATATCTAGTTTATTCAGTTTGTCGGCTGAGGAGAGACAAAGAGTGCGCACAGAACTCCCAACGGCGTTGTATTACGTTGTCGAAGTGAGCAGTGGCCTATAAATTGTTAGTCTGCAATCTCACCCTGTTGTGCGTTTTGTATACTTAAAGTGCCCAAATAAGGTATTGAGAATTATACCTGTAGACTTCCTTCTTGAGTCATCGATATAGAGTCGAGCCAGAGGAGCAATTGACGCGAGGTCAATATAGGAAACTAGGAAAGGGGGAATTTGAGTCGACTTTTAGGTACTATGATTACTGGCTGAGTTTGTAGTCAACGCTGCACTGAGATGCAAGTCGATCGAAGACAACAACTCGTTTGCCAGCACGACTTCAGACACCGAGAAAGAAGTGTAATCAGGCGCTTATTTAGAAGCTAGATTCGTTCCTAATGGACAAGTCTGGCAAACCGAAAGGCTTCTAGGGAGGGTACAACCGTGTAGTCGTGAAACCGAGTCCAGTAAACGAACCCCTAGATCAAACCATTAGCAACATAACTAGGCAATAGATTTGTTCAACTGAGAGTAAGGATTATGACTGGCTGCTAAGGCAAGATTTTGCCTTATAAGCTGCCTCCCTTTGATCTGGGTTAGCCTATGAAGAATTGCAGAGATCAAGGCATAGATTTATCATGGGAACAAATGATCTTGTGAAGACACTGGCTGAGTGTTATGGTATAAGGAGAAGGGATGAGATCAAGAAGTTTTGGCTGGTATCTCCAGGAAATCGAGGAATGCTGATCGATCAAAACATAAGTTTCGAGAATGATTTTGTGCCGGGGGACAAACTGTAACAACCCCTTGAGATAGATTTTCAAGGGCTGAGGGACCAGAGACAACGGCTTTTAGTGTAGAGCAGACGATTTAAAGAGGATTGTTAGAGAGAAGAGAGCAGTGTTAGGGGAGAGTGCAAGAGTGTGTGGTGTTACAGAGTGTGGAGATGGGATGGTAACTTATGGAATAGGCTTCCCTTCCACACAGCACTTTCTGCCAATGTTCGACGAAAAATAACTAGAAATTCTTTCAAGGAATTGGGGAAATATGAATAAGAGTTGCAGGCCTACCTTCGATTCTAGTAGAATCTTGAGTGATACATGGAACCTAAGACTTTGAAGGTTAAGTTTTGGGCTCGCGAAAGAGTGAATCGTCCGAATGGAGAGATGTCAAGGTTTGAGGGTAAACAGACACCTAGAGAACGCAAGGGATACACCTAATGTAGAGAGGACAGTTGTTATAGAAATGACGGAACTTCATTCCACATGAGGAGTAATATATGACTGAGAGGTAGCCGAGTGGTTGTCTTAGGCATGTGGTTGAGCCGTTGTATATGAGATGGATGGAGAGGAGAAGACTCGTATGGTCTGAACACTTGATTGTGTTGGAAAGGGGAAGTGATGAAGGCTCTGGTGTAAGATGTGCTTGTGAAAACAAAATGGAATGGAGCTTACCTGTTCGGCGTGAAGAGAAGGTATTAGAAGATGTTCATGAAGAAGTGAGGATAGGAGAACAACTTGAAGAAATAGAGGTGTTATGAGAGGGAGATAGGACACACATCCAAAGGGGGAAGATACGAGATTTGTTGTTTCCAGGTTGGAGTCCTTGGGTAGTGATTGTGGTAGGATGGTAGAGGGAGATCAGAAAGCGAGGATGAAGAAGTCCTCAGCAACAGAGGATTAGAATATGGTACGTAGTGACTTACACCAAGCAGTACAACGCGGAGATGGTTGTTCTGGGCGCTTCTGTCGAGGAGGTACATGGACAAGTGGGTGGGAAACGGAGTGGACCCGGGTTGACAACCGAGAGCTCCCAGGAGCAGGTGTACGCGACATGTCCCAGCCCAACTGCTCGAACGATGAAGAAGTACCGGTACTGGGGTGCGGCTACACAGATGGACCGAAAGTCATCTAGCCGCCAGCCTTCATACGGCCGGTGTAGCTGTCACTATTCGGGTCAAGGCAGGGCTTGATTTGATAATCTACCGAGAGGTGATCTCATAGGTTGAGCGATGAGCTTTCGCTCCGCCTCTCCGTTTTGCTGTCCAACCTATCGCTGCATAATTGGCACACTAGGTGCAACTAGAGGTTCGGATACAGTAGCGCCGACTTGTTCCATGAGGCTGCCTCGCTGTTCTAGTCATGTTGAGTATCTACGTTGTATCCAATGTCATAAGATCGTAGTGATAGAGGATAGTAATAGTCGTTCCAAGGGCTGTGTATATCTTATACGTTTCCAATATACTCACCCTTTGACGATTCTCACTCACTGTCATATTAGCTTCCTTGTGTCTGACGGATGATCATCGTATATAGAGTCAGTAATTAATCTACTGGGCAAATGTGAGGGTAGTGATATTGAAGTAAACTCTCTCCTGTTGTGATCAGAGATCACCGTGGGTTGTATCCTAGAAGTCAGTTCAACTCATATTTGTTTTATAGATGGCCCTTGAATTTAATAGTGGTACAAGAAAGCTACCAAAACATCTGAATCAGGGGATGAATTTTGAGTGACTTAGGAATGACTTGGTTGGAACGTGAGCCGGCGATAGCTTCAGTGTATGGAATTCAATGCCCATACAAGGCACTGGTTGAGATTAATTTGCAGAATACTCCTCTCGGAACTGCTGGAAACTATGGTTGCATGGTGTGTATTGTACAAACCACGTTATGCAGTGTTCTCACGTACCAGTTGTTCTCAGAACTTGTGAAATGGCATTGACATGGAAAGGGGTGAAGGTTGGATGGCTCGAACGTGAGAGAAGGAAGGGGAAGGAGAAGGAGAAGAGATGATTTGGTCCAACAGTGTGCTAGCTCGGACGATCATTCGCCGATACGATAACTATGTAAACCTTTACATGCGTATTTGGCTCAAACCTGTGCTTGGGTGTAACTAGAGAAATGGCAAGACATCTAGAGCTGTAGGCCGAACATCGGGGAGCAAGCCTAGGTGCTCTGATGTACCAGCTCACACACAAGCGACTGTTACATTTACATGTGCCTGACTGACCGAATAAACAAATAGCCGAATAAACGAGGTACCTAGGGGAAGACAGTGAGCTGAGGCTCTTGCACTTGTAAAAGGGCACATGCACCGAGGGACTCCGAAGACTCGGTACGTAGAGGATTTTCCCGAGATGGTCAAGTCTTCATCGTTCTAGCGTCATTCGCTTTGTGCGTTAATTGGCCAGCTCACCACATTGTTTGCAATCCCCTCTTGCAGCGTGTAGATATGAGCAGTCTGCCGTGGAGAGGCGCACGTGCCTCACTTCCGTGGTGCACACCGTGTTAATTTCCAACATCTACTACTGCAAGTTGCCAGATCATGCGCCCTTTGTTACTCTTTGTGTAGCTACCTGAGCCTCATCTCCGAGAGAATAACCGGTTTGTGATCGCTATCTCGGTGCCTTATTGCAACTAGGAGAGGACCCAGGGAACTGGCGCCCGCTTGGACAAAACAGCTCTGGAGAATTACAACCGTCTACCTTGATTAGGTAGGTAAGCAGCGTGTATAGCAGTCAGATTCTGTGGTTTCTGAAAACGTCAATTATGAAATTGCTCAATCTGGGGTGCCGCTAACCTTGCCCTGTAGATGTTGAAGCCCATCTATCTAGTTGATACTTGATTAACATTAGTGGCACTTCCATGCCTCTAGGTAAGTATTATTATTCTGTTGGTACTATGTGGGCTGTCCCGAGTGCCAGAACTAAACAACCATATCGTACCAGTAGGTGCTAATAATAGAAGAAGAAAAGGAAAGAAATAAAGAACAACACCATAGCACTATGAGACCTGTCAGGAGCACGTTATAAAGTATACAGTAGGGCCCTCATCCCGGCACAAAGTCTAAAGGGGTCAGGACTTTGAAGGCATTCTGACTCCTTCTGACTTAATACATGCTACCTCCTTATTCCTTTGTCTACGGACCCCTAATAAGGTCTATTGTATGCATGCGTGAAAATTTACAAGGAAAGCTAATACAGAACCTCAGCAACGCATATTTTAGAACATGTTCTCATCCAAGGCAACATCAACCCTTTTGACAGACCAAATCACAAGCCACTCAGGAGAACCGTTACCGTGAAAGTTTCAGTGGGTCGGAAACTACATGACCCAAAAGACCAGGGCGATCACCGATGACAGTATAGTAGTAAAGATTGTCGGTTGACTTGGCACTTCATCTCCCAACTTATAGCTTCCATACGACAGTGAATTAAAATTTCTTATACTCCTAGCAGCCTCTTAGACTCATATAAATGTGTTGAAAACTCAATTTCAACTATAAAGGCCGCCATAGACCTGTTCAGGGGTAATAGGGGTCTAACAAGAATTTGATTACTGTGCAAAGTTTTAAAGGCTGCGAGTAAAATTGAAAGCGCATCGGGTACTCATTGACCTAGTAGTCCCGCTATATATGCCAACACAGGCCATGAATCAAGGTGTCTAGTCGCGTTTTAACTATCTAACAAAAGGGCATGCAGGTCAAGTTATCTTAATATTGCACATATTCTATGAAGCCTATATCCAATACTCATATATACCCACACCTACAATTTGTTCCAGAAGATATTATATCGCAACAGTATACATCTTCTTATAGAGCTCACCAGCACAACCCACATCCCCAGAAGAGTGCTAGGGCCTAGAAGAGATCCAGAAATCCACTGGTGAACACTTAACTATCCAGTGCAGTAAACAAGACATTTACTCCGGTGTTTCGTCCCTGCTTATTTGAACTGCTAGGGTAACCTAAATTGCAACAAAGATTATATGCCCATAGATAAGCTGGAATGCTAAAAGAATCCTCATCGAAATCCATGCCAATTCACCAGCTGGGAGCAAGATAATCACGCTACCAATACATGGCCCCTTGTACTACGCACATACACGGACACGCAACATAGGATAGCTGCAACAAGAACACAGAACAGAGATAACACATACACAATCTTTGTTAGCTCAGATAACTCTATGTGAAAATTGATTTACTTGGGTTGAGAATTATGTTTTATATTTGCACCTAGGAACCCAACTGCATACTTAAACACTCTATTTAGTATTGAACAAGCCATTGGGTATGCTTGCACGCACACTTCAAGGGAAAGTACAGCATATCTCCCAAGGCTGCTTCAACTAGCTTGATCCACCAGAGCTGCCAGGAGACACTGGGAGACTTTTTTCTCATCCCTTTGCTATACAATCCTTCTAGTTCAGCAAGATTGTAACCCCTTAGCTGTAGTATTGAAGATGGAGTTTTGAGTGATTGCTTGGTCTTCTTTCAGCTCTTGGCATCCGACTTGTGTGTGATGGCATGTGTACGGATGTATACCAAGCTATCGCTGATGACGACAACTGCCATATCCCTGAATGTTATTGTAGCAAGTTGCTGGCCAACCACTTTAATGTCTAGTCGTAGTCATAGACGAGAAGCCTCAGCCTTGACATGAGTTTGTGCAACTGCCTTGTTTTAAAGACACCTATGCAAGCTCCAGAGGAGTTGCTTGGGACGGTATAGTTGAGATAAGGAGAAGATAGGACTTTCGTTATTTTCACCAATTCCTCCTACCGCCACGGCCTCGACCAAAGCCGCCACCACCGCCACGTCCCATACCTTGGTCATAGCCGAAGTTTTGGCCTTGGTTGCCGGCACCGCCAGCGCCAAAGTTCTGGTTCTGGCCACCCTGGCCCGCCACACCACCGCCAGCGGAGTTTTGCATCCCCGAAAACATGGCGGTCATGGCTGATGGATCCATTTGGCTGGGGTCCATGCCCGAGGCCATCATCTGCTGCATCATGGCCTGAAACTCGGGAGGCATTCCGTCCATACCAGGCATACCAGACATGGAGCCAGTGGCGCCGGCGCCTCCCATGCCAGGCATACCTCCCATCATCATCATCTGCATCTCTTCCATCATTTTCTTTTGGTTCTGGGCAATGGCGTCCTGGCTATATTCTGCGCGGACATTGTCCTGTTTAGCGGCATACAGGGCCCAGGTGAACTCGTCGAAGCCGTAGTTGAAATAGTCGCTAAGATCAGTGCCGGGCTTCCTCCAAGGCTTATCATTTTCGGGAAGGTCTGATGGAGTCAATATGGTTAGTGTGCTAGCCTAGAAAGATTGCGGTTGTGCGACAGACCTTGATCGATGTTGACCTGAGTGATGGGCTTGCCAACGGGATTGTAGATAGGGACTCCATGGACATCTATGGTGGAGGTGGAGACGGGTGGGAGTTCGGCGCCGGAAGTCCCTGTTGACGACTCGTCCTTTTTGACGGGTGGCTTTGTCGAAGTGTCGGCGGAGGTGGACCGTTGAGGAATATTTCTGATGTCGCTATAGCGCGATTGCCTAGAGTTACGTAGCCATGTAAGCGGCGAGTTCGAGAAGAGAGAAGAGGTGTAGAGAGGGCCTCACGTTGGTGGGGCGGCCTTTGTGCCGTCCTTGCGTTCGGTGATGATATCTATGTCCTGAGATTGTAGGATTAGTTATGGATGCAGATGACAAGGGCGCAAGCATAGCTAGGGGAACACTGATAGGGCATGACATACCGAGTCGGAATCTTCCATCTCAGCGCCTTCATCTTCCTCCTCGCCCTCCTCTAAGTCCCCATCCTGTTGCTGCTGCTGCTTTAGCGGCTCGGTGGATGTGGTAGTACTGGTAACAACGAGGCCGGGAGCTGAAGCGTTGTCGACAGCCTGTGTTGTAGGCTCTTCGGGGGCGTAGAAGTCATCATCGTCGTCTATATCCATGATTGCTGCCAATTGATTGATTTTACAGTGGATGTGGAAGTCGAAGTCGAAGGTGGTAGGTTGTTCTGTTGGATAGCTGAAATGTAGGGCTGGAATGCGATGGACCTGTACCTACCTGGCAGGTACCTGGGCTAGTGTGCATGTACATAGTATAGTGGGTAGCACCCGCGGCGTTTAAGCGCGTCCAAGCTGTTTGCGCGCGGTACCAGCGACTGACCTTTACCTAACAGGGAAGTATATGTACCTACAGTAGGTAGGTAACTGCACCTACTGAGTATGTACATAGTAACTGTAACTGTACCTAAGGGACCTTATGTGTACCTACACTTAGACCTCGCGATAGGACACAGAATCCAGCCAATCAGTTATAGAAATAGCCGCTCTACTTACTACTGTTTATGTTCATACAAACAATATTTCAGCATATCTCTAAGTAAGTACAGGCCTCGGGTACAGAAGAGATGTACTATGTACTGCGTAGTAGGTACTTAGTGCTGTAGGTACCCACCCAGGCACATACTCCACATTTAAACATCTTAGCGCCCCCAGGTTCTGCCCAGGTAGGCAAGGTACATGCCGGGTAGCTACCAAAATCATCTCTGATATTTACTATTGGGATATTGCTGCCAATGTTCTTCGTCGCTCAGAGTCGCTCAAACCATCCCTTCATTTGTTCGTCAGTTTGTTGATTGATCGCCGACCGAACCGAGCCTCTCTCCTTCCCCTCCAGCATTCCATCACTGTCGCACAGCCCATCCGAGCTGTACGTAGCCTTCCTGTGCCCTGCCGATGGCCTTATTTCGGTCAGCAAGTGGTCCCGGAGGTTTGAGCATCAACACGTCCTCTGCCAATATGTTGTAAGTCCACTTGTACGCCTCTGTGCGCCCTCATCTTGTGTGTGTGTGTGTGTGTGTCTGTATCCCTTACTTCCCTCGTGTCTCAATCCCTTCCTTCCCTTCTTTCCGTGTTCCCCCTTCCACCCAGCTGTCTCTATGTCTCTTTTTCTTCCCCCATCTCTCCACTGTTGCATACGTCCATGCCCACGCTGTTCGCCAACGACCATGCCGCTCCAGAGACTGACAAGTGCATTGGATGACGACAGTGGTTCAACCGCCGGCCAGGCGCCCGCTTCTGGAAGTCTGTTCGGATCGACTCAGCAAACCGCGAATAATGCTTCCACTCCTAAGCCCGGTGGGCTATTCGGCACCACTACCACCAATACGCAGCAGCAATCGCAACCGACCACCTCACTCTTCGGTGCTGCCCCAACCAACGCTGCGGCCCAGCCTGCTGCCCAGACTACACCGAGCCTCTTCGGATCAGCTCCCCAGTCCCAGATTCAGACTCAGACACAACCTCAAACCCAGACCACCGGCAGTTTATTTGGAAATGCCAACGCGTCAACTGGTCAGACAACCGCGGGCACAGGGGGAGGTCTAAGTTTATTCGGTGGCGCCTCTAAACCTGCCCAACCTGCCAACAATGCTACGGGGAATAATTTGTTAGGCGCAACCACCCAACAGCGGCCCAGTCTTTTGTGAGTTTGCCAACCCTGACTTCTACAGTGGGCACTCGACATACTAACCCAGTGGCTGCTCATAGTGGTCTTGGCCAGTCGACTCAAAACCCGTCCAATACACTTGGCCAGCCGCAGCAACAACAACAACAACAACAGCAGCAGCAGCAGCAGCAGCAATCTACCGGCGGTTTAGGCGGTGGTCTTGGCTTCGGTTTGACCATGGGCCAACCCAACGCTCAGCCTACCGTCCCTGGTGTGCGCATTGATATCACCAATATCAAGGGTACTACACGATTCAATGATTTGCAAGAAGACATCCAGAAGGTCATTGAGCAGGCCGACAATTTTATCGCAGAGCAAGTGCGAAGGAAAGAGGAAGTCGATTCCTTCATGTCTGGTCACCGCGAGATGCTTGAAACCATCCCTGACGATGTTACCTTCGTCACAAGAAAGTATGATGGCGCTCGAAATGCCTTGGAAGCTGCCGCTCAATCCATTGAGGCCGCCCGTATTCTAGTTAATCAGGATGCCGACAACGCTCGTCTGAGTTTTAGAGCCATAGATAATCTCAAACTCCCACAGCAGTATCATACATCGGGCTTCTGGTCGCCGAGGCAGCAAGCCTCTGGAAATGCGAACGCCGAGACAGACGGCCAGGATCTCGTAGGCTTCTTCTCTAAGGCGGCCGATGAGATGAGTGAGCAGGTGAAAAAGTACGAGGGAAACCTGACCGAGATCGAATCACACATGCATGGAGTCCACGATACTTTGGTTGAGCAACTGCAGCGAATGATGGCGACGAAGAACGGTGGCTCTTCCGGAACGGACGCAAGGATTCAGGAGCTGGTCGCTGTCTTGAGAGATTTTGAGCAGGGAATTCTGAGGGTGGCAGGCGATGTTGGAAGTGCCAGAGAAGGCGTGACCCGACTGCAGCTGGGTGATTTCATGACCAATGACCGCGATACGAATGGTGTATATTAGTCGAGCGAGCATTTCATTGGCGTGCATGGTTCAAGGTCTTTGGAGGCGTATATACCCGGTCTTGGAAAACAACACGAGGGAAGCGGCATGGGGTGACCAACGACATTTGTTAAGCTTTTTTTTTCTCTGTCTTTAACTAGACTTTGTAGAGATCTTAGCGTCCAGTGTAAAAACATCAGTAGGTAGATAAAGGGCACAAAATCTTCTAATGCAACTACAACTCTGGGAATATAGTCTAACCATGTTTCCTTCCTTTCCTGCCATTCTTAGCTTCCCGAAGCTACCTTACCAAAGAAGTACCCGCCACCGCCACCCATTCAGGATCTTGAAGTCCTGCTCGCCCACATCCTCGACGCCGTCCTCGACCTTGGAGACGAGCGTCTTCAACCTCTTCGAGACGGTCCGCGCCACGCGCAGCGAGACCTCGTTCTGAAACACGTACAGCACCGCCAGCACGAAGAAGGCGATGGAGGCGATGGAGGCGAAGCCGGACTTGCCCTCGACGTGGACGGAGTCCAGGATGCGCGCGATGAGGGACTTGCTCTTGCGGAAGGCGTGCTCCGTGTCGTTGGAAGACGACACGTGGTCGTCCGAGGAGGACCGGCGGAAGATTTTGCGTACGGCGGGGATGATGGCGGCGCTTTTTTTTTTGGGAAGATGGTTAATTTATACGTACAAGCATGCATAAATATCGATTTTCTTGTGCTAGTCCCTCCGTCCCTCTCTTAAATGTCCCTCTATATATGATGTAGCGTACGGAAATATTCACAAATGGATTCACGATGTGTTCGTTGAGTTTGGCAGTGTAGGAAAGCAGGTACGAATACAGGGGTTAAACAAAAACCTGAGAAGAGTCGAGTGACATATGTAGTAGTAGCTTCAAGTGAAATCGACCGAAAAAAAAAAGAATATGAATAATGAATAAGTAAGCAGTAGTAAGAAAGACTCACACGATGCCCCCAAGCAACCACTTCCGCCACCGCTCATTCTGCGCCCTCTTCAACACGGCGGTGACCTCGGCGCGCAGAGCGCGGAGATCAGAAGCCGCGAGCCCGCCCTGGGGACGCAATCTTTCGTTACCCCCGCCCGCGACGGCGCCCTGCTTCTGGAGAGCAGCGTATTCGCGCAGCGAGCTCTCGGCAGCTATTTTCATCGATTTTATGCTGGTGCCGACGAAAGGCTCTGTGATGATGGGTTGCTGCTGCTGCTGCTGCTGCGGTTGCGATTGTGGTGCTGGTGGCGGTGATGGTGGTGGTGGTAGCGGGCTGCTTTCTGTGGCGAAAGCGGCCTGGATTGATGGTGTTGGGGCTTGGTACTCCATGATGTGTGTGTATGTAAGTTGGGCTCTGTCCCCAAGCTTATGACGGTGAGAAGAACGACGATGAGATCGTGAACTGGTCTGGCTGATCCAGTGAGATTCCAAAGGAAAATAAATGAAATGAGTCGCTTCTAAACGCTGATGCCGAAAACTAAATATCACTACGTTATTGCACGTGCGCGCTCTAGGTAGGAGGTATGGTAGCCGAGGATCTGGAATGGTGGCTGAGAATGAGGTTGAGATCAGAGTCGAAAACCGAGCACAATAAAGCTAGGCATAATAAAGTCATGAGATGGTTAGCTACCTCTTAGGTTAGCTGCATTAACGTTGCCGCCACCCGACGACGTACTTACAGCTGTACGGCGCTCATGCATGATGGGACCGGGGGAGTTGACTGGGGTTGGCAGGGGTGCCACGCATTGAATGAAGACATGGACGAATCCTTTCTCTTCAGAGCTAGATTGTTCTATTGACATGTTTTGTTTCAATTGGAGGCCTAGTATATCTCCTCGACCTCTGGACGTTGAAGCGTGGGCCACCGCCTCATTCTCAATCCACGTTTCGTGGAAGTTAAGGTCCTATGGGAGATTGTATGGTACCAAGTCTTGAGGGATTAGAAATTGTCCATGATTTTCTTGCTTGCTGAAATTGTCGTGTAAATATGTTGTACCACCAATCTAGGCATTTGCGACAGCTCATGAATAGGGAACGAAATAATAGATGGTAAGAAAGTTGATGGCTTGTAATAGATGACATATACCCTTGCGGAAATTGACAAGAGAAAGCTGAGAAAACAAGAAATCTGCAATAAAAACAGAGGGCTAAGTACTGGAAAATGCATTCAATCATGGAGAAGACTTCTATATGTATTTCAATTTCCTCCCGAGGTTATCTCTTGCTTCTGGCAAGACAGCAACCACTGTCCTCGCTAAATGTAACTACTGAGAACTAATTCCGACAACATCACACGGCCATTGAAGGTATTCAGCCCAATCTGGTCCTAGATGCTCAGCGATGGCACGGACAAGCCGTTTCCCTATGTGACCAACCATCCACAAGTCCTGACACAAGTCTAGAGCAACACCGTAGTAGGCAAGAATAATCATCGCCACGGGACGGCGTAATACGAGGAGATCGACGAGCTTCTCGTGGACGAGAAGTGGCCATGCTAATGTCACTATAGAATGTGTTAGAATAAGTAGCTTATTATTTTCGTTTCAGTAAATGTGTTTTCTTCCTGTGGGAGTAGGAAACCCTGATATATTGAACGCTTCTGCCTTTTGCCAAACACGCGATTGGGGCTTTACGAGGCGCAAGATGACAGAGAGTGCACGACAAAGGTTCTAGTCTTCGGGAAGGGAAGCTTAAGAAAAAGACTCAATGAGATTGTTGTTCACCCACAATAGACATGGTATACGGGCAGTGGCTGACCGATCCTGTGTCCATCCAGTATGCATTGTATCTGCTCGATTGCATGACGATACGCCTCAGCAGCGGACGGCGATATATCCGTAGACTGCGCGACCAATTTTCTCACTCCATCACACTCGGAGCCCAATCCCTTCGTTAGGGCCGAGAGCTGGCACCATTCCACTAGGTCCCGTAACTCAGACTCCCTGAGCCGAGGCCAGTGGTCGCCAATGATAGTCGTTACACCACGATGAAGTCCAAAGTAATGCCCGAAGCGGATGAAGAACGGCTCCGGTGGAAGATGGACCAGAGGTGCGAGATCAGCGAGACCCTGCACGGAGAGCAAGCTAGAGAAGAGAAGGAGAGCGACGCAGATATCCTGATCAGGCTCTGGTGGCGCTGGGTTGAATTTGGTCACGGCCCAGGTTTGCAACGTGGTCGACTGGTCGAGGTAGTAGTGCGACCTCTCGGCGGAAACCTTCGTGCTCAAATGGCGAGCAGAGAAGGCGAGAATACCATGCATTAAGTAAGGAGTTGAGAACGCGCTGGAGAGGACTGTCCTCTTGAGCTGATCGGTGAAGGACGTATCCCTGTCGATGAAGAGGAAAGTGCCTTGTATGAAGTGATTGAAGAGCTCTAGATGGAAAACGTTGACGAGGGGATCATCTAGGGATCGGGCAAGTGAGCCGTGAGACTGTGTTAGCCCCAGCTGTGATGGTGATCCCTGTGTTGCTTCCCCATGCTGTTGTGGCGATGGCACTGAAGGCGTACGATTATTTGATGACGGAACTGGGGCCGAGGATGTTTCTACGGCTTGAGACTGAGCTGTAGATCTATAGGTACACACGCGTTCTGAACTCTGACAATTGATACAACTAGGGCGCTGTTGGTCACACTGCGGAGACGGAAGAATGTCCCTGTTAGTCTGGATGAGTAAACGTACGTAGCCAAAATGTGATCGATATTAGACACCGGATTTCTGTGATAACAGAAATGCCCATCATATATATCTGTGATTGTCTACATAACTGGATATTAAGGAAGTTGGAAACTTGCCCTTATACTACAATTCGCTAAAGTCAGTAATCATTCATTTAGGTAAAACGTAAGCTATGTGCACTCCTGAGACATGCCTGAGGCTCTAACAGGTAAGCATGGCCTTCATGAGCGTCTAGAATAGGAAGAACATGATTCTAGGGATGGCATACTGTCGGCGTCTGCATTCTTCGCACTTAGACCCCTTTTTCGTCTTCCTATGAGATCGCCGTAGCATTGGGAGGGCTGGCCTAGCTAATAGGGCTTTGCTTCCGCCAACAGGACGGAGAAATGATGAAGACGAGAGGTATGATGTCCGCTCATGTCGGGACGGGAAGAGTGAATATCCTCTTAATTCAGCGTCGACAGACTGTCCGGTTGCGTGGGGATAGGATCTATACGGCGTGACATGAGCTCTGTAAGAGCTAGATCTGGAGATACACAAGCATGGTAGGTAATTGATGGCTCAAAGATCGCTAACTCCGTGACACTCGGATTTAAAAGCTACCTGGCGGAGTTATCGTCGTAGAATCCATAAACACACGAAGTCTGATCGTTACAACTTGCTCCCGAAGTTGACGAATCTACCTGAAGTTTAGCAGACAAGAATCCCCAAGAGACGAGGCTCTCCCAACTGCGTATAACTTATCGATCCTCAGGTCGCCCTTCCCGCCATTAACGGCGTCAAGGCAGTGCGTGGCCCACACCACCTGTTCGTTCGAAGCGTCTGTTCTAGCCGCATCGTGATCACAGAACACGAGCTTCTTTGTCATGTTACTGAAAGAGAGGCGAAGGTGGTCAACAGTAGTAAGCTGACGCCGCTGGCGGGGGTAGACGATGCTTACCCGAGCCGCGTGACGCCCGCATTGCAGAACCGGAGATTCCCTTTGCTTCTCGGCGTCGGCCATAGTTGCGATCCTACGTCCGGGAGACGTGTCTATGCATGAAGTGAATCGCGGCGTTAGGTCTGTCATCTTTTACAATTAGAGAAAGCTTGCGATTATTTTGCGTGGAGAACTCGTCATGTGGAACATCCGGTATATCTACGGGCGACCTTGTTCGGCCAGCGAAAGTCGACGCATCCGTATCGCGCGTCAAAGCCGGTAACTCATGGCGGACTTATGCCACAAATTACGGAATTATAGTAGCTTTGCACATCTTAGTAGCTCTTTTCGGCAGGGCTGTGCTACTTGCCACGACCAGATGATTGTCCATAAATAGGAGTGCATGTCCTATTGCTCACGAGAGGTTGTATTGGTAATTTTTGATCAGTAAGCATTGCTATCAAGTAGTTTAGCGTGAGTTCCGTGCCACGAGTGATAATTCCGGCGTGCTCAAGAATGCAGCATGCCCTCGGACTTCCGTCCGCGGTGGACAATACGTGGCTCTCTTCCCTTTGGTTAGTTTCTTTTTCTTGAGACAATCGCCCGTTAGTCTGAAACTCTTCGCTGCGCTTGTCTCGCTCACCAATCGCTTTGGACAAATAATAGCTATCTAATTCTCATCATTTTAAGAAGTTTGAATAATGAGCATTCCTCATAGTTATTTCGTAGCATAGCGAGCGCTTTAGATACGACAATGCGACAATGCGGGTATTTCGGGTGAGCAATTGAAAATTTACCCGGGTCTCTTGGCAATATTATCCCCAGTATTCCGGGCTCCGAGCTGTCTTGGGATGGGCACCTAGCTACAGTGGCGAGTGGGTAAAAATCATGCCATAACCACGAGCTCTCTCGTTTCACTCTAGACACATTACGATATACTAGACAGAGAAAAAAAGCCTCTGTGAGATGTTCGTGATAATAAGGATAGAGATGGATGCAATGGTCTACAGGCAGGATCCGGATGTAAGCAAGGAAGGAAATAATGTCATACGTTCGGCCGAACTTCCGTGTGTCTTCAACATGACCGAGCCTCCCGAAAACGCACCCTGCAAATTACCTACCTACTTACCATCAAGGGAAACCCCTCTATCCCGCATCCTTCCGCACCGTTCCGGCACCCCGAAACTACACTACTGTATTGCTCTAGAACCCAGACTGATCAACATGGGAAGATGAGCTGCGACCACCGACTAGCCTGCCTACCTTATGACACGGAAAGGGAGCGCATACTGTATATGATATATGTTTATATGCCTAATTGCACGTAGGTAGTTTGGGAAAAGAAAGACCCGAGAGAAGAAGAAATAAGGTTAATTGAACATCGCAAGGAAAGGCTTGAAACATAGGTATACCTACGCCATGCCAAGCGACTGTTCCCGACCAAGCTTTTGTCGCCTCCACAGGGCAGGATATCCAGCGGTCGTGGCGGCAAAAGAAGTCAATGTCGCACGTCAGCTTATCGCGCGGCCTCGGAGTGGGCAATTTGCAACAGTCGCAAGGGGGCGGGCTACTGTACTAGCCTAGGAGTACACCGATGTGGGGGGTTTGGTCGGTCGAGCTCAAGGGCTCGGTCAGGTCATGTCAGGTCAGATCACATTGAGTCGCTATTTGAATGTACAGCAGATGATGAGTGGCCTTGATTGAATTTATTGTCGTCGGTGACTTGCACGGAACTGTTCTCGTTTGTTACTATTGACAGCAACGTTGCGTACGTACATGCCGAATCAAATTCGCGCGGGAAGTTACTGTAGTAGGCATTCAGGCGAGTAAGCCGGGACCGTAATTGAGCGCGCATTGTTGTAAACGAGCTGTATGGGGGACGAGATAAACTGGGCATGGTGGATGTCCTCATCCAATGGAGGGCGGTCCCCAGTTCGGTTGCGACAAGCGATATGCCCCGATCATTTATATGCACTGGCGGCGGGCCAACGAGATGACTCGGCTGCAATACCGGATCCCAAGCCCGTGCGATGGTGTGTCAAACTCCGGCCGAGGAAAGGGGAGAAGGGAGAGGGGTAACGGATTGATTCAATAGGAACCGCTAAACAGTGGTGAATATGCTGTTGGTTCCATGGGCTTCGTACCTACTCGATAAGGTAAGTAAATCATGGATGAGGTTGGGGTTAACTTCTCTCGCTTGGAAGATTCATTCTGGTCTGCTTGCGTTCGCACCTCCATGCCTGACTACCTACTGTATGTACTAAGAGATACGGTACTCTACACGTAATTCATTGGGAAAATGGGGAAGTCTGTGACACCCAGCCCAAACGCGATACACTGCTGGTTGCCGTCAGACCTGCAGATCATCTTCGCATCAGGCTGTTCCCAGTGGAGATTTGGACACATGGTTGCCGACCATCAGGCCGTGCCGTGTACTTTCAGCTTGGGAATGTGCTTGGAATTAATCGCACAGGCGAATGATTTAAAATAGGGCCTTTACACTACTGGTGTTATGTGCAGCACACTGCCTACTTAGGGATGCTAGGGAGTATACGATTAATCGTAGTCGGAATATAGCGCGTTGTAACGTCGCTCCACGCATGCCGGTCGTGTCTTGGATCCTGAGCAACGCCGGAAGTTACGGCACTAGTCCAAGCCGTCCGGCCCGGCGCTCTTGAGGTGTCTCACCACACCGTCTGCTCAATTGCCTGTGCAACTGTGTACTTGGAAAGTTCAATCATTGCACAGAATGCAGCTGGCTAGCCATCAGACCTCGATTAAGCGCAGGCATACAGATAGATGAGCAGCGGCAGAGGACTTTTAGCTAGCTATAGGTAGCGAGATGGAGCGTGACTGTGTTTTAGGGGGTGGGGGAGGAGTTTGGTTTCCAGTCTGATTGCCGGCCGGCGGTCATGAATGTAGGACTTGATAAATCTGTGGCAACGTGCTATTGATCGACACGAGATGGTGCATCACCTGCCCTTGAGAATGGTAGAAGCCAGCCGAGCGAACAGGGGACAGAGGAGAGATGGAGAAAGAGAGGGGGGGAGAAAAGCAAGTCACCAACACTGAATTTAGTAGGTACATGGGTTCCCGAGCAGCGCAGCGCACGGCTTGGCGGGAGACCAGTCCCATCTCTTCTAGCCTGATCGTTCGCCCCGGATGGACTCGGGACCACGGCCTTTCCCTCACTCAAGGGTGGGTTAATACAGTCACTTCTGCCATTACTGCTATGGGATTTTGTCTTCCAAATCGGCGTGCAAGTGCATCACGGGGGAATGCTAAGTTGCGAAGGTGATGCGATAATAAGACAAAGCCCGAATTCCCTAGCTCCAAGGCCCTCGCACCGACAGGTTGAAATAGCACAGTATCCGTAACTTAGCCCAGCTGTTGACTACGGTAGTGCAATACATCTTGGTGCACATTCTACTGTCTAGTGCCGATAGAAAAAGGACGAGATCTGAAATGATATACCCGCCTTCTCTACTGCCATTTCATACGAAACTGAACATATCAGGCTGAACGTCGGCTTGTTTGATGAATGCTGCTAATCCTAAGTCGCGGCTGAATACTATGTACAAACCGATCAAGACGTTAATGCCATGTCAAGCATAGCGTCGACAAGGAAGAAATGATCTATTCTGTAGAACTTCCTTTCGGTGGCGACGCTGTTCATGGTTGGTTTGCCCGTAGCACGCCGACGATATGTACTTGGAAAGGATCTGGAAAGTAGGTAGGCATGAGACGTATGAGACTGGGAAATGCCGGACTATTGGTCCCTTTGTCCTCTCGGTCTTCCGCAACGAGACCCAGCTGCCTGCGCCGAACGGCGAATTAGGTCAATAGGCGGGCGGCGGGCTGTACAATCAGCTTGCAGGGCGCATGTGATTTGACGGGGTTAACGAGCAAATCATAGCCCAACACCCAAGCCTTCGGGACTGCGATGCAGACGCAAGGGTGATGGGTGCATTGTCTGACTTCTCATCAGCGCGCCGGTCTTGGCCCAGGTGCGCGCGCGCGCGCTCTGTACACAGGATGACACAATACTTAGATGACTTTTAAAAATAGAATGAGCGAGTTAGAGAACAAAGGGGGCGAGGGGGTCACCTCTTTCAGGCCAACAGCCAGTTGGTGGCACTGACTGACCTACCTAACCTAGCCAAGTCAGTTTCAAGGTGTCAAGATACAGATGTGTACATGTAGATGGACGAAGGTAGGTAGAAGCACTGAATACCAGTACCAAGTTTAGGAGAATCTGGATAGAATAAAAAGCTCGTGGACCCGGTTGCCGAACCAATAAAGCCGAAGCTGGGGTCGATAGCAAACGAATGTAGCCGCTAAGTATAACTATATTCGCCAACGCAATTAGACTACCTAGGTAATAGATATAAAGCCAACCGAAAATAACGGAAATCATGATGGTGCTTGAGCCTTACAACTCCCAGTCTAATAACACCCATTGCCCGGTTGTGATGGCGCCTCCAACCTCGGATGGGCATCTATATACTGTTCACTACCTAGGCCGCCTGGAATGCCTGTGTTCGTGAATATATTGGGCTAACATGTTTATGTTCTCTGAGAGAGCTTATTTCTAGAGGACGGACGGCGTCAGAGTAGAGGAGAAGTGACGGCGGTGTTGCCGATGGACGGCGGGTTTCGAAGTATGCATGTATGTAGGTAGAGATGACGATGATGCTAGGCAGGCAGGTAGGCAGGCAGGCTACGGCGGGCTGTAGCGGATGGTAGCGGGCTGGAACACGAAAACTGCAAGCGCAACGGAGGTACGTACCGCGTTTCCTGCTGGAACCCCCCGACCCCGTACAGAAGCCGTCGCATCGTCCCACTCAACCCATCCAAGCCCCTCCAAACGCCCCACAAAACATCCCCATCATTTAAAAAAGCAACAGCTATCGAACGCCGGAGACCCGTGAGCCCGAGACCTTTGCCCGCCTGCCGCCCACTGACACCTCCTTGCACCTCCCAGCACCTCTAACAGTACACCCGGGTACCTCTCCCTCTACCTACACATGCAAGTAGCCCGAAGTCGCCTGGAGGTAAATGATCTACATGTCGCGCTTTTCTGCCTACCTACCTCAAGTACCTACATACTTACAGTACATACCCGGGGACATCCATCCCATATTCCCACCACCGCCTTCCGTGGCTGTCTATTTAAACACCCAGGTAGGTACCTGCTTCTAAAGGTTCAAGTCAAGTCACCTCCTACCTACATTGCTTTACACTACCTAGCGGTAGCTAGCACGGGCATGCTTAGGTATGATAGAGCTGCTTGTGAGCTATCGTTTAAGCTCATCTTGTCTACTTTCTCTTTCAGCCTACAACTATGATTCTGCCCAAGTATGGTTGTAGGCAGGCAGTTCAAATGGCATGCAGAATAGACGGGCAAACGGCCGGTATTCGTACTACCTACTACCGTATATATACATATATACTCGAGCAAGTATGGTAGGTCAATACCTACGTATGCGTAGTCGGGAGGTACAGGCGGGTAGGTGCTACCTGGGTACAGCACCTAACCTAGAGACACCCAACTGACCTAGGTGACGGGAGTAAGGCGGGTACGCGTGCGGTACATGGGCGGTACTTGCATTACTGGTAGATAATCTACGATCTCTAGGTACCATGCGTAGGTAGCACCACGTTTCCCGTGTCCCGAACGACTGAAAAAAACGCCGCCGGCTCGACTCGACAGGACAGGTAGACTCCAACCAACCTGGAATGAATTTGCTTGCCTGTCTGGCTTGTCTGCCTGCCCGCCCGTGCCTGCCTGGTTCCTTCCTGGCTGTCGGCGTCTAGAGGCACCGATCCTGCCACGCATGGCACGCATGGCACTGAACAGAGCAGCGCCCCTCCCCTCGCCAATTTGCTCCGATCCAAAAATACTCGACCTCCGTAACTCTCAGGTGTCTTGGTGGGCCGTGTGTAATTTTCCCCGGATCCAGCTGGTGCTCCTCGCTCCATGTTCTGTCCATGTGTAGGGAGTACTGGGTAGGTAGGTAGACTTCACCTCTCGGCATATCTCCCGCACGTTCCCAGCAAACCATCCTGTTTTTCTCCTACACTTGCTGTATCGCTGCTGATGACCGATACACCCACCCACCCCCGTGCGTAACGCCCGTCAGTCATCGACTCATCAGATTTGACCCGACTTGATCGCTCTCATCATCGCCTTCTTTCGTCATCTCCATTAACTCACCCGTAGAATACAACCCCATTTATTTCCTCACTACTTGCGTACCCCAACATAATTTGTATTGTAACTCGTTCTTGGTCGGAGACGTTGGTTGGTATTGCGGCAGACAGACACGCCATTCAGTCCGGCGCACAGACAGAGACAAAGTAAAGAAGAGAAACACGCCGGGGGACGGAAAGGCAGAGGAAAAAGGCAGAAGAAGAACAGTAAGGGAGAGAGGGAGACTGATCTCACCACCCACCTGCCTATCTACCTACCTACCTACCTATCTGTTGACCCGTCTTGTCCGCCCACCCGCGCGCATCCGTCCACCAACAACCGGTCCGAGTAGCCAGAATTAGCGAGCGACTTGCTTTCTAGGTAATTACCTACCTATTTATTTCTTCTTCTGCTTCGTCTAGCTATACCATTCGACACGTAAACCTCGCGAGCTTGCTTGCCATGGGCTTGAATGCAAGTGACGTGCCTGCTGTTCTTGCCTCTCTCTCTATTAGCCCGTTCCGCTCTCTTGGCTTTTCCCTCGGCTGCTTGTCGTGCCTGTGTCTCCGGATCGTCTCAGCTCATCATTCTCACCCACCCTTCACCCCCCCTGTTTAGCTCCCGAGCCTTTCTCTCTTCTCCCACTAAGACGACCTATAGCGCCGGAGTCTCGCTGGCCAATCGTCCCCGACTTGTTCGCTCTGGTACCTACTCGCCTACCTGCAAATACACCGCCCAGCTCTATCGCATTGAGGTACAATACGTACAATACGTACGGTACGGCACGGCGGCACGGCACGGTTCATACAGTACAATCAATATTCTACCGCAAAAGCACAAACCACGCCCCATTCGCCATTCAATACAGCACTTGCATCTACTAACCTGCCTACGGTACCTTTCCAGGTAGGTAGGTAGGTATTCTGTGCTGTATCATCCCGTCCGTCATTTGTAGCGCTGTGTAAGTCGTCGCTGTAGGCTCTGGCTACCTGTAGTAGTAGTTGGCATTAGCATAGCATACCTACCTACATTCTCTGTCCAAGGTACCTAGGTAGGTAGCATCGTCCAACCCCCGGCTGACCCCCCTTGTCTCTCCCTGTTGGTTGGGTCGTGTTCTTCTCGAATCACCTCCACTCCCGACCGGGCGCCCTCACTCCTCTCACGAGTGCCCACCCACTTGATCAAATTTAATCCACCGCACCCCCGAGCCAACACCGTCTCCTCCCCCGACTCCTCCGTTCCTTTTTTCCCTTCTCCCTCAACTCTCGTCCTTCTTGTCACCGGACCTCTTCTCGGGTCCTTGTCATCGCCATTCTTCTTCACTCATCTACCTTGTCGCCGCGCTCGCCATGACGTCCGTGATCCGTGGCACGTCACTGCGTGCCGGCGGTGCCTGTGTGCGCTGTCGCAAAGGCAAGACCAAGTGTGTATACGACAATGGCCGCGCACCATGCAAGAACTGCGCGAAGGGCATGCACGACTGCTATCTGCCCTCCGAGAGCAATGCTCATATGCATGGCCAGTCGCCGGCGAGGGCTCCTCGTCCAAGAGAGTCTTTGCAAGGCGACCGCAACGTATCGGCTTCCAATGACCGCCAGCCAGCAACAGCCGCCGTCATACCACGCAACCTACAGGCAAATAATGAGAAGTAAGTCATCGCTCTCTCTCTCTCTCTCTTCTCAGTTTCTACGGTTCCCTGCTATGGCATAGTAATCCGCAGCATGTTTTTACATCTATCCTTCATTTCATCATCATCATCATCATCATCCTCTTCTTGGTTCTTCCCCGTCTCCCCTCTCTTCTGTTGCATATCACCAGCCTCGGTCATCATTGCCGCCGTGGTGTGTGACCAGGCAATCAAATGTATGAGTCTTGTCGGAGGGCAGAAGTCAGCTACTCTAGGCCCGGGCACGCGCCTAGCTCGATGGTTTTGCAGGAGGCCAGTCAGCTAGGTTACGTAGGGCAAGGCGCATTTCTTTCTGTACCCACCGTGTCCGTCTCAGGCCCAGCCCAGAGCGCGCAGCACACGCATCGCGCTCGCCGCCCTTTTTCTCTTACACCCCCTTCCCCCCCTTGCCGTTCGTTTCTCACTCGCCCATACTGTTTTGGGGGCTGATGCCGGCTGCGTCGTCTTGCCTCGGGATCGCCATCCAACTCACCATCGCTCCGGTCGCACCCTTGCATGCCTAATTTATCCCCCCCCTGTCATCCATCAATCACCGTAGTTGCTCTCTGCCCTCTACCCTCGGTCTTCTGCGTGCCATTCATTTGCCCCTACAACAAAGTTGCCGGCGCATTTTATCCACCATGTTGAAGCGCAAGACCCCACGAGTCAATGCCAGTTTACTTCGGTATTGTACCCCCTCGCTAACCATGGCCTTTGTTGCGCCCGTTCGTACAGACTGACTCCGGAACTCATTACGGAATGCGAGAGAGTCATCAACAAGACTCTTCCATCCTGTGTCGCTTTTCATAAGCCTTCTTTCTTGCAAAAGCTCAAGAATGGTACACTTGAGCCTAGTATTGTGAACGGTCTTCTCACATGTGCTGCACGGTACGTACAGTTACCCCTCTTCCTTTTCACGCTTTGTTTCTCGAAATCACCGTCATCCTTACCTCCGGATTCCGTTTGGATGTACCGACCGCCATCCTTCGGGCTACACTCCAATTTCCGGTAGTGGGCCTGTGGCCTATGTCGTGTCACTAGTCCAACTGTGGTACATTTGCCCAGGCTTCATAGCGGCCAACAATTCCCCTCTGCTTACCTATCTCCAATATTGTCATGCGCTTTTAATTGTAGCAGTGGCCAGTCCTGCTAACATTATCGTGTAGAAGCTCCACTGGTTTGATTCGCCGCTTTGGTAACCAGGGCGGTGGTGCGTCGGCAGCCTCCGAGCATTTTGCCGTCAAGACCTTCAATCTGGTTATGCAGAACCTCGATAACCCGAGCTTGGCAGATATTCAGGCTTTATGTCTCCTGACCATCCATGAATGGGGCAACAGAAATGCCGTCCGCGCCTATGTCTATTTGGGCCAAGCTGCTCGTATGACCCAAATGTACCGCATCATAACTGGCCACCAAACCCTCGGCGATCCTGAACAGTTCATTAAAGATGAATCGTTCCGGCGGACACTGTGGCTCATCTATATTCTGGATTGTTTTCTGACAAGCAGTCCCGGCCGCCACCCGGCAGTCTGTCACAACGATGTCAAGGATGTACCCCTTCCGTGCCCCGACATGAGCTACAACTTCGGAACACCTGCCTTTGTCCGCACCCTGGCGGGCAACCCTCCACCTGGTCTTCCTGAGGGTGCGCCTTTGGCGGAGGTGGGTGAATTTGGTCACATCGTCATGGCGACGCAGGCCTGGAGAAATGTGATTGAGATGCTGACCTCAGCTACTGTGGACACCTATTCTGAGGAGCAATGCCTTGCTCTAGAAAATGGTATTGAGGCTGTGCGCAGCTCTCTGCCCATGCATTTCGTCGACAAGCCAGCTCACCTCAACTTGCACATCACCATGGGAAGTGGTTTCACATATGCAATGCTGCACTGCTTGTTGCATTCCGCCACCATCATGGTCCATCGTCGCAGGCTTCTTCACTTCATCCAGACTGAAGGTTTCAAACATGAAACTTGGCGCATGGTTCCTCATGTTCATCTGCAGACGGTAGATCGAGTTTTCGCAGCATCGCACAGCGTTGTGTCGCTACTTCTCGCTCTTGAGACCAACGCTGACAAAGATTCTGTGCCCAACTTTCCACTTGTCATGTTGTTCTCTTGCTTTACTGCCTGTGCGACTGTAGCTTGGTTTAGTCTGAAAGGCTTGACCCCTATTGATGTGAATGAGACGTCCGAAGCCATTGTTGCGGACGGCATGCGGTTCCTACAGGATGGAGCCAACACTTGGACACTCGCTGTCCCATGGTATCGTCATCTTGCAGTTATGGCCAAGGTATTGCGAAATGATGAGAGAAACTCGAACAGAGCTGCCATGGAGCCTGCCCCACCTTCAATCAAAGATGATGCAGCAAGCCAGCCTGATAACAACCACGAAGGTGTAGACTACGAGCGACACTCATCGGCCAATCCTCAGGAGCTTGGTGAGAATGGCACTGAGCCTCCACGTAAGTCCGGATTCACTACTATCAATGGCGGTTCAGCAGGTACGTCGACGCCAGCGACAGCAAGTCCTCCAGCGCAACCCAAGGCAGAGTCTCCAGTGCTGTCATCATCGGATCGCCCGCCAATGAATGTTTCTGTGGATGCGGGGCCAGCTGATATGACAGCTGGTGAACTATGCGCGGCATTTGAGCGGCAGCTTCTTGAACTTGATGACCTCGCTGCTTTCATGGGTGGTGGTGTCTGATAATCAGCCCTGCCCGTTTCTGCCTCTTCCGACAATCAGATCGGGCACATGCATCAACAACTTGATGAGATGTGTTGCACATTGTTGGACGTGTACGTTATGTTGAGTGTGACTTGTGAATGATTTTTGGCCCGGCGTTTTAGGAGTTGTTCTCACACGGAAGTCACTGCTACATGGAGATCCCACATTTGAAGCTGCCTTTGGCTAGCGGAATCTTGACTGTGTGAAGGGTGGAGTTAGGGGTGCTGGTTTGTCGGACGAGGTGTCAGGCTGTCTGGACCGGACTTCATCGTATCTGGACAGGGCTGGTTGGCATTACCATCTACTATCCCGATATCATCCACCTTGTGTGGAAATAATAATCGGCATGGCCTCTCACTATGGATGAGGGGCTTGTTAGTCAAGCTGAAAAGCGAATGATGCTTCTCGAGTTGTTTCTGTAGACACATTCATGGTCTGGTATGGCGGTGCAACGGCTTCCATTTTTTCATATTGCTTTTTTCTATTTTGCGCTGGTCGGTGGGCGGGATACCTTGAAGAACTCCGCGTTACCTGTACTATATGAGGAGGTGGTTCATGTCATCAGCTACACTGTAGGGCTGGTCTTTGCCGGCTATTGAGCAGGAAACCTGCCAAGTAACGCTGGTACCATTGCAACATATACTAAGCTATAATTGAAACACAAAACTTCGTTGACGTGTTCTTGGATCAAGTGCTACACAAGTAACATTTCCCCTGTGCTTTGGGGTATTTTTGTTTCTCTCTTCTTTTTCACTCTGCATTTCCTGACATAAGCTACTGTAGGCATGCATGTATAAAAGAGTGCAGGACCGAATCCACTTGATTCGTTCCTTCTATTGCCTGTCGTTTGGAAGGAGCGCCTCCCATGGTTTCTTATAATAATAAAGTCTCGTGGTCACGTGCCATAGCGCCAATTCAGGAACTTTAGTACGCAGCTGTTGAAATTCATCATTCCACCTCATCAAATCTTCTAAACATCACATACTTTTGCTTGTTGGAGCCATCTGCAGACCTAGAAACCACCCCTCATCGCTTGATTGAAGGAAAATGATCCCTTGCTATCTATACCAAAATGAGCACAACGCACCCGATGCAGGGAATCAAGCAACGGTGCTTGGGAGAGCAAGACGGCTATTCTCTTTCAAGGGATGGTGATAATGTCGCCGTCGATGATAGAAGCGTACTTCACAACAGAGGAGGATCGCGAAGTATGCGACGCGCCCGCTCGGCTAGCAACGAAGATGCCGCTTCTCAAAAGCAATGCAAGCGTCGTCGGCTAGGCCAAAGCGACGAACCGCGCATTCGCAGCGAAAATTATTTTAGAAATTTGTACTCTGCCGAGCCAGACTTCCGCCGTCTCGGCTTAAAATATCCAGAGTTTGGTACCGTGCTCAAAGATGGTGCCCACCTAGATTTCGCAGACCCAGCAGCTGTTGTACAGCTTACCAAGACGCTTCTGAAAGAGGATTTCGGGCTCGAGATCACCCTTCCAGCAGATCGACTGTGCCCACCTGTGCCAAATCGACATAATTACATATTGTGGCTGAAGGATCTGCTTGATAGCACCTCGTCGTCGTATTCTCAGCAGTATGAGCCCGAGCGGCGGGTTACGGGCCTCGACATTGGTACGGGTGCAAGCTTGATATACCCGCTGCTTGGATGCGCCCAGCGCCCAGCTTGGAATTTCATTGGTACAGATATCGATGCGGAATCATTACACAACGCCCGCGAAAATGCACGCATAAACAATCTCGAATCTCGCATTCGTATTATAGATCGTGCGGCCTCAGATACCTTGATTCCTGATTTAAGCACAGAGGCTATCGATTTCGTCATGGTGAACCCACCGTTCTACGCATCAGATACAGAACTGCTCGAGCTCGCCGCAAAGAAATCACGACCTCCACACAGCGCATGCACGGGTGCACCTATTGAGATGGTCTGCGAGGGGGGGGAAGTCAGATTCGCTGAGCGACTGATCGATGAGTCTCTGACGCTCAAGGACAAAGTGCAATGGTATACGGCCATGTTGGGTAAACAGTCTAGTCTGGAGATTCTTATTGATGTACTCAAGAAAAATGGTATCAACAACTTCGCCGTCACAGCCTTCATTCAGGGAAGCAAGACACGGCGTTGGGCACTGGCATGGAGTTTCCTGACTAGACGACCGTCGCCGGCCGTGGCTCGCGGATGTAGCTCCTTTCTCGCTAAAAATATGCTGCCACCGGTTACAACGACAACTATTTACAAGCCACCTTCCCAGGACTATGCTGACCTAGTCTTATCCCTCGAAAGAATTATCTGTGATACTATGAAGTCATTGGGCTTATGCTCGTGGACTTGGGATGAGCAGCGTCTCCGAGGCGTTGGCTTTGCTCATGGCAATGTTTGGAGTCGAGCTTATCGGCGGAGAAGAGCTAGGGAAGGCATAGTTGCGGCTCAGCAGGAGAGTACAGCTTCTCCACTTGATGTGGTAAACTGCGCATTTGGATTCTCCATCTCCATCTCCATTCCAATCGACAATACAGCTGAGCCAGGCAGCAGCAATCCTGCTGTCACCGTGTGCTGGCTACAAGGCGATGATGAAGGCTTGTTTGAGAGCTTTTCAGGCGTGGTTCGAAGGAGTCTCCGAGAAAATACCACACGCTCGGTATGATCGATGGATGAGAGAAATGGCATTATTATCAGATGCTAAACTCATCATTCAGTTCTCGCGCCTCGCTTTAATGACCTGATTCAGCCACCAGACATGGATCCGCACGTCATCCGTCAGCTCCGGATGAAAGCTGGTGCCAAACACGTTACCCTGCCTAAGAGCGACGATGTTGTCGCCTTCCCCAGTTGACGGATACCTAGCCAGGATCTCGATGGCGGGTCGCGGCGTATCAGTTTGCTGCTGCTGCTCTAGCATCTTATCGACTACGGGCGCACGAATGAAGACGGCTGGAAACGGAGTTTGCTTCTCTGTAGAGTCCTCTTGCTTGAGAAAAGGGAGATCGACATCGTGCACAAAACTCTGTAGCTGACGACCAAAATGGTTCCTATGTACCTTTACATCTAGGCCGCCGATGAGTTCCTGCCCGCCCCGTTTCGTCGCGCTAGCTTCTTCACAAAGAAGTATCAGACCAGCACAAGTGCCCCATACCGGCTTCTTAGACACTCTTACTCAAAAGCAATTAGCCTGAAAGAGTTGTTTACGGGAGGGCGATAGTTTGCGAAAACTTACTTGACAAAATCTCTCAGCGGCTCTAACAACCCAGATTGCGCGGCGACTAGTGACAATGTCGTGCTCTCGCCACCAGGCAAAATCAGAGCGTCGCAAGTAGCAAGTTGTTCTGGCGTGCGGACTTCAGTAAGATCAATAGCTGGCTGTCGTGCACCAGCGGACAAATGATCCGCAGCTCGCTTCAGCAAGACAAGGTGCTCTGCGAAGCCCCCTTGGAGGGCTAGGACGCCGATGGTGGCCATCTTGAAGAAGAAGAAGAAGAAGAAGAAGAAGAAGAAGAAGAAGAAGAAGGGGGTAGGTAATATGAGAAATTCAGCAGCTCTTTCGTTTTCAAACTCTATGCTCGTGAGATACGTCGCCCAGTTCGGGATTTGATGTCCATACTAGGGAATTGCTCGCGCTAGGGCGTGGAAGACATGTATTTTTGTTTTATACAAGTATGACGAGTAATACCTCCACCGTGTACGATAAGGACGTGCATACGGTGCCTAAAACGTTGGAGCGAGAACGGATCTTGCAGCGGCTTACCTAACCTCCTCCGTTACTTTTGGTATTGCACGTAAGGACAAGATTAGTACCCTCTAGCACGCTGTAACCTCTCCTCAAGATATCTGAATTGATCTCAATACAACATTGAAGAATCAGCTAGATCTGTTCAGCAACGCACGAGTTAAAAGAGGTACTTTCTCCCGCCCATGTTTGCTACGGACAGATCGGCTCCTCGGCGGCCCCTCACTATCTACAGGCAGGGGGTAATGGCGGAATGAAAGAGAGACAAACGCCGACTTTACGTTCGGCATAGGCCGGAAACTGCCGGTCTAAAGGAGGCTAGATTAGCATGTGCGGAACTAACTGGACCTTAGCATCCGCATCCGCCCGCGCGTCATCGGTCCGCGTTGGTGGCAACGAGCCAGTTATCATTGGGATTGGCACGGCACGGGAGGGAGTACAAAGTCAGCCAGCTGCGCTTGTGTTATTGCGCGTGCATTTTAATATGAGTAACAACCAAGAATATCATAGCTTTGGTAACGGTGATCCCCCCGACGTCGGCGGCGACTGTGTCATGCATCCCGTTTCCGCCCTTCTACGCCTTGTGCCCCTTTGCCTCATCTCAGACTTGTACAGTACGCAACTTTAGGATGCCTCGAGGCCGTCTTCGCCCTCAGCTCCAAGTCAATGACTGAGAACTGAAGTGACTCGGCCCGTTAATCGGCTCCAGCCGGGTTTGTCGTCGGTAATAATGCACCGTCACAGTAGGTACCGTGTGGCACATTAGACTTCTGGGTTAACCTGGAAATCCTGGGGTTGGTGGGAGGGGACGGTATCGGCTTGCTTTAAGGTATACAATTATTTTTCTCCAACCCATTCATTTTTTCTTCTTTGCTTCTGAAGTGATTTCGTTTTAAATTTTTTTGACTCAACAATAGTAGCATTCCATTCAACAACAGAAGCCGAGCGAGGCATAATTGATACCCCCCAACTTTATTTTCAACTCCTTCTTGTCGAAGCGACTTTGCAGGATATACCTCAAACGAGCTCTCCGTCGAAATCAAAGTTCATCTACACAAGCAATCATGACGAACGACGCTGCCGGCGCTAGCGCCACTACTTCATCCACCACTACCAATGCCAACGCCAATGCCACAAGTAGCAACAGCGATGGCACCGCCGGCAAGGCCTCGTTCACAGTCAAGGCGGGTCTGGCGCAGATGCTGAAAGGCGGCGTGATCATGGATGTGACGGACGCCGCGCAGGCACGCATCGCCGAGGACGCGGGCGCCTGCGCTGTCATGGCGCTCGAGAGGGTGCCCGCCGACATCCGCGCCGAGGGCGGCGTCTCGCGCATGTCGGACCCGGCCAAGATCAAAGAGATCCAGGACGCCGTGACCATCCCCGTCATGGCCAAGGCGCGCATCGGCCACTTCGTCGAGTGCCAGATCCTCGAGGCCCTCGGCGTCGACTACATTGACGAGAGCGAGGTGCTGACGCCCGCTGACGACGAGTTCCATGTCGAGAAGTCTGGGTGTGAGTATATGAATGTTGCTGCGACCGCCTACTTCCTTTGTCTTTGCTTTTCGTTTCCCATACAATTAAGGCTACAATCCAGCTGTTACATTCTGTATCATACACAATTGAATCACTATCTACACCCGCAACATTACAGGATTATACTAACTTCGCCCCTTCCCACCAGTCAATATCCCCTTCGTATGCGGGTGCCGCAACCTAGCCGAAGCGCTCCGCCGCATCACTGAAGGCGCCGCCATGATCCGCACGAAAGGCGAAGCCGGCACAGGCGACGTCGTAGAAGCGGTCCGGCACATCCGGACAGTCAAGCGCGAGATCGCCGCGGCGCAGGCAGCGCTGCGCGAAGGCGGAGATCTCGCCCTCCGTCAGCTGGCGCGCGAGTACGGATGCGACGCGACGCTTCTGAAGCAGACGGCTGAGCTAGGCCGTCTGCCAGTCGTCAACTTCGCCGCGGGAGGTGTGGCGACGCCCGCAGACGCCGCGCTGATGATGCAGCTGGGTTGTGACGGCGTCTTCGTGGGCAGTGGGATTTTCAAGTCAGGCGACGCGGCGAAGAGGGCGCGCGCCATCGTCCGCGCCACGACGCACTTCCGGGATGCCAAAGTCGTCGCTGAGTGTAGCGAGGGACTAGGCGAGGCCATGGTGGGTATTAGTGTGCGGACGCTGCCGACGGAGCAGAAGTTGGCTGGGCGAGGCTGGTAAGGGGAAGAGAAAGCGGGATGAAAAAAGAGCAAGCTAAAAAAGGTAAAGTCGAACTGAACAAGATGGGAAATTAAAAAAGAGGTTTGAAGCAGGTGAGATTTTTGGGCCGTTTACATTCAACATTGGGAATTGATGGGCTTTACAGAAGGGGATGAGTTTGGTATCACACACTCACGATGAATGTAGTGTGTGGAATGGAGGTCCTACTGAAGTCATAGTCGCTAGCCACGTTCATATATAACTTCTAGACTAGGGTCGGTAAATGCAAAATACTATAAGACGTCTGGTACCTATTCTGTTCCGACTCCTTCCCGTTGCTTAAACCGGTTGATATATATGAAATACATGTGAAAACTGTGCTTATCCCGATCATCGTCTTCGTTTTATCCATATGATAGATTGGATCGGGATTCGAGTTTCAGTATAATGACACATAACTAATGCTAATGAGCAGCATCCTACATACATACACTTGGAGCCTTTCTTTTCATTCATGTCGCTTGCTATTATGCCACCTTGACAGTATTTCAGAAACGCAACACGAAACCAATCGTTGCACCAACAACACATACCCACGACCCCATTCCCTTCCTCGCACTCCCCCCATCAAGCAGGCAAATTATTCCAAAGCGCATAACTCAGCGTCTCATTCGGCGCAATCCACATCTCCAACACCGGCTTCGCGCGAACAATCAAATCAGCCACCATGCGTCCGAACACGACCTCTCCATACGGGTTCAGATGGGTATAGTCGTCGCCGCTGTAATTGTATTCCCACGAGGCGTCCCGGCCGATGGCGTCGACGTACGCCAGGCTCGCGGCGTTCAGATCGACGACAGTGGAGTTCGTCACGTCCGCGGCGTGCAGGGCTGCTAGTCGTTGCGCGTGCAGTGAGTCCGTGGCGTTGTGGGGTTGGTCGCGAGGGAAGACGCGGCGGGTTAGGGAGGATACGAGGAGCTGGTTTTATGTTTGGGGAATTAGTTCGAGGAGAAGGTGTTGTTGATATATATGATATCATTTGGATACATCCAAGATAGAAAGACGATAAATAAGGGAGAGAGGGATTGGGGATTGTCGCTTTATCTGAACTGTTTCGCAATGGTGGGATCGATGTGATATCTCCATCGTTACACGTACCGGTGAACCGCCTAGTGATTTCACTTCGTTCGCGAAGTCAATCAAGTTCTGCTGGTATAACCTGTTTAGATTAAAGAGTTAGTCAGTTGGCAAGCCAATCTATCAGTGCTGTCGAAGCGGGTCAGAGAGCAGCGGGCTGGAAAAGACATACTCGAAGGAAACACCACTATCGGCTTTCTGATCATTATGTCCAAACTATGAGTTCAACGTATTAGTTACCTACTGATCATTTAAAAAAATCCCCGGAGAAAGCCACAATCTTCCTCCTTATTACTCGCCTCATCTTCTAATCATCTCACTCACACTAATCGTAACATAGGCATCATTCGTCGCCGCATACCTTCTCACATGCTCCGTGAGATTACCCCAGTATCCCCTCGCCTTAAAGGACTCAGTCGTAGCACCGCTCAACCCGAAATTAATCCCCCAAGCGGGCTCGATCAGAGGATTCAGAAGTCCCCTGCCCCAACCTCCCACGACAGCCGTCGTGGAATCGCCAGCGAGGAAGAACGCCGGTGGTTTCGCGCGCGGTAGTTGTAAACTCGCCGCAGCCGGCAGAAAAACGAGGAGCGTACGCAAAGCGGAGATGATAGAAAAGAAACCCATGCTTAGGAGATCGGTTACTGATTCGCGGGATTAGGTAGGTATATACTCTTTACATCGGGTTGCTGATATTAAGGAATGTATGCCGGTGAAGCGAGTGCATGTGGACATCTTGAAAACAATATTATTATACATACATACATATATATACATATAATTCACATTTATACAAGTATACCCCCAACACAATTCACGAATTAAATCACCATCTATCTCTGTCCCAACCGCATCGCAACGTCAATACCCCGAGCTACTCACTCACACGCGACCCGCACCATCTATCTCATTCTCATCATATCCCGTAAGTATAGCGCAGGCTCCGCGGGCCTAAATCGAGCCTTGGCGAATTTGGAGAGGTTGAGGATCTTTTGTTCACTTTCGCAACATCATGGGCCGAGACGCATGCATGTAACCTTCCCCCCGCGCCCCATGAGAAAACGGCCAAGAAATGCGCCCAGATTGTGCGCGGGATAAATATGGATCCAGTAGACGGAGATATCGGTGACGACATGAACAACATTCATGGAGTAGATCTTTACGTCTTTCCAAACTTCGTAGGATTCTACCGACGAAGGTGGCAAGGGAAGGAGAGGTTTCGGATTAGCACACATACCACGGCGTCGCTTCCATCTAAATGCTTTATTTGGCAATAAATAATATTATTCATTATCGATACAGAGACTGCAGATATCCGCGAGAAGAAGCGAATAACTTCTGCCAGGTACGGAATTTACAACCCAAGCCCGGCCCCAGCAACGCCAATCGGTCATCCACTCATAGGCCTTATCATCACATCTCCGCGTGTGGCCGGTGCATTATCGACATTTCTTCTTCCTCCTCAAGTATATACACTCTCAGTCCATGAGTTGACCTGCAGCCCGGTCTCAGCCATATTCGCGTCCTTCAAGTAATCGAGGGGCATCCACACGAGATGGCCCTTGATCTGGTCGAGCTTCTCGCGGATATCCTTCGCCGGGATGAATCTATCGAAGATATGGCCCGGTTTGACGCCCTTTGGGGGCAGATAGAGGTTGTAGTCATCGAACGTTTTCACTACAGAACACGTAACGGCATTAGTTGATAGTAATTTTTCTTCCATAGAGGGCTAGAACAAACGGAGCTTCAAAATCAGTTATTGTTTTATCTGCGTTACTCACCATAGTCATCGGGATCCGCGTGGAACAAATGCCTGAACGTCATAGTGTTCGTCGTGGCGTTTGTAGTCCACTGCTCCCACAACTCGTCGCTCATGGGGTCTTCGACAAATTTGTAGCTCTCGTCCCGATCCCATATATCGTTTGGCGAGTCTTCGCCCGGCGGCTGGGCATTGGGATCATTACTGGCGTCATGGTCCTGTGGCGGTAATAATCCTAGGTGCTCCCGCCAGAGGTAGCGTCGCAAAGTCGCAGCATGCCTGCCGGCTTGGAATGGCTGGCCGTCCATTGTGCTTTGGATCATGTCGGTATCCTCCATGACGATAGAAAGCTCACTGTCGTGGTGGCCCTCCTGGCTGCGGTCGTTCAAGTTGCTTGATCCGCATATCACTGCAGTTCACTGGCGTCAATACTTGTCTTGTCTAAGGGGAATCGGCGCAGAGCTGAAATGCTCTGTATGCTACAGAGGTACACTCGTCTGCCTGGAAGAAACATTCCATCTCCGCGAGCAGGAAACATGATATGGAGCACTCAGGGATGACATACCTATGCGATCGTCCACAATGAGGAGCTTGGCGTGAACGTAGAGTTCCTCCTGTATCCAGTTATGAACCTCTTGTTCCGGATCACCGTCCCACGGCTCATCCGAAAGCTTCCCTGTTCCAGCCATGGCATGGTGCGCCACGCTGAATGTTGATGTTATATCTTCGCCACTTCGCCTCACCTCTTCATATCGTTGTTTTGCTTGTGAGCTGTCCGTCCTCTCTTTCGATTCCCTCATCTCTTCAGCCCTGCTCAATTTTTCGTGGATACCGGAGTCGTGGATGCCGGAGCCCATCATCTCCTCAGCCTGGGCCCGTTGCACCTGCTGATATTTGACACCGGACTTTTCCTCTCGCTCGCGGATGGCAGGATTCTTGTTGAGACGATCGTAGGTTCGCAGATTGAACACAAAGATGTGGTTCGTCGGATCAACGCCTTGTGCGCGGATCTGCTCAAAGATGGAGTGCTCCCCACGACAGAGCGACTTGTACTGATAGTCCATAATAGCGCGTGTTCCGATTGCCGCATCATCACGCAAGTCGCCAGCAAATCCAGGGATCGCAGGAATAATGATAATGACGCGGAATTTACGGCCCTCCTTCCCGGCTCTGACGCACGCTTCCACGATTGCGCTTCCAATCGTATTGTGAACGGGAGATTGTTGATCACCTGTAGCCGTGATGAAGAACTGATTCTCAATATACACGTAATGCTGAGCGTTTCGAATCACCTCTTTGTATGCATTTTGGATGCTGTGGTCTCTGAGGATGCCACTCGACCAGTCAGCGCTAGACCTAACAATTTGCGCATGGACAGTCCCCCGATCGTTGAGATTCTTGGTTTCTAGGGGGGTCACGGGATGGAGGACGTAGTCGCCCACAGGGCTGTGGAGATCGAAAGTCAGTAAGTAAGCCTCGGAATAACGAAGAGCGTCTAATCTCAATCGCGTATGCGAGAAAAGGAGACGAGACTCAGACGGAAACACAGGGAAGATAAGATAATATCGTACAACTTGGGCCTTTGCACTCCGACAAGATCCTCATCTGCTCCTTCACGGCCTCGTAGCTGGAGCCAATCGAACCCTTCTGAACGCTTGTACTTGTCGCGCTTTACGAAGTTCCATCGAAGAACGAAATGTTCGGCAATGTCATAGACGCACGGCCCTATAACACCCATTGACACATCATGCCAGGGCATTCGACCGTACTCGGCTTTGCTGAGCTCATTTTGCTTCCAATCATCGACGTTTTGGAAATCCATGATGCGATTGTTGTTGAAATCTTGGCCAGGCCAGACCTCGTTGGCAACCCCCTCGGGGTGAACATCGGAAAGTATGTGCTGATGGTTGTCCCAACGACCAAAGCACAAGTCCAGGCCACCAATGAAGGCCATTTCATAGTCGATGACGATGAATTTTTCGTGGTGCGCCCAATAGAGCGTCATGTCTGCAGCGTTTTCAAAGACATTATGGTCAGGGTGGCGCATGATCTTGATGTTTCCGTGACCTGGCGAGCCTTCGGGACAAAGATTCTGGAGAGCGTGTTTTGTGTGCTGAGAGTTACAGGTAAGGGCGGCCTCAACCTCGCGATAGACGATGACATAGATCTTGACGCCTGCCTCAGCGCGACGTTTGAGGACAGCGTCTAGACGCCATTCTTGGTTGAAGTGCGGCGGTCTCCTCAAGAATAATTCGGGGGACAGCCACCAGTCGGCGATGTAAATGGTCTCCTTGGCTTTTTCTAGTGCGACAGAGACAGCCTTCAGTGACCGGATTAGTACTGTTTTCTCTTCTTCCTGTTGTACAACTGCAGAAGGGGCGAGAGAAGTTGCACGTACCCAGAAATAATCTCTTCCGTCGACATACCATTTGATTAGGTTGTTGTCGTGCTCAGGGAAGAACGAGTTAAAGCGATGTTCCTCGGCGATCTTGGCACGCTTCGCGTCACAGGCCTTTTCATGTTCCTCATCATGGCGATGCTGGGGATTGAACTGTAGACGAGAGGAAGCAATGCTGTCAGTCAGATGCTCCCGAGACAAGAATTTATTCAGCCCCGCGATGTTTGATCAACTGGCACATACGAGATTCCCGAGTTTCCCAATCTTGTGTCTGTCATGGGCAGTCATTGGTCAGCTATGTTGGTGTGAGAGGTGTTGTGGGTCGATCAACACACTTTTGATGGTGTAGGGCAATTCTGGCATCCTCCAGGTGAGTGTCCTTCAGTTTTTCCTTGAGCCCGTGAAAAGGATTCTTCAGCTTGTCTGAAAAACTCGAGTGACCTCCGTCTGGACCGTCGGATTGGGCCATGGTAAGGACAGATGCCAACCTATGGAGTGCGTGTCTAGAAGGGACCCGAAGAATGACAACAACTACTACTAGCACTACAATAGCTGCTGCGCACCATCAGATAGAAATATTTTTCACAGGTATGCCAAGGTGAAGGTCAATTGAAAAGAGGCTGCCGACGCGGGTCAAGGGATGGATGATGAAGGGACACGGATAGATGATATACACAAGGTCGATATGACGTCAGAGTTGAAGGATTAATTTTGAGCTACCTACGCGACAAACAGCGGCGGCGGTTGTGGCACTTGGAGGTCCTGTCTCCGATGTCTGTGTCCCCTAGCGAGAACTGCTAGACTGGATCCTGATGTAGCGGCTGTTTGCAATTGAAGTCATTCTTGTTTCTCGTGGGATTGCGAGAACATGCGAGGCGAGGAGCCAATCAACATCCTAGACGCCCCGAGATGCGCCTCCTTCTCGGCAGCATCGTGCCGGGCAAGCCCCTCCTCACCTCAGTCTGCCCTCAGTCTGCTCTCAGCCCCTCCATCTGACGCCCTCCCTTACCGCTGTCTCCCTCCTCCTTCCCTCTAGACTAAGCCCTACAAGTAAGCACTCGCCAGCCCAGTCGCGTGATTGTCGAGCGAATCGAGTGGGCGCATGGGCTTGACGAATGTACAATATCCAACGTTCGTGCCAATCGACCACTTGCAGTACATCTGATCGGCAAGATCCGAATGGTGTTCCTCACTGGACGAGCATCATGTCATTCTGGGTCAATCCGCGTAGGTAGCAGCAGACCGGTCATACTTATAGAGAGCAGCTTGTGAGGGAAAGATTTGACATGGTGGCATGTTGAATGTCTTGGCGAGCCATCTGGTGAAGATTGAAAGCACTTCTTCAATACCTTTTCCATGTGTTCACTCTTTCCCCAGGCACATTTGCCAACGGCTTTGATCCTTGGCGGCCGCATCATGCTAGGTAGGCCAGCTGCATACCTACATACATACCAGTAGTAGTAGACACACCGCTCATGCTGTCGACAGGCATGCAACACAATTCATAAGATAGATACTAACTACAATGCTCAAAAGAGGGATATGCTCGAATTATGAAGATTCTCTGACTGTTTGTCGTGATCGAGGCTTGCTCCTTTCGTGGACATCTGACATCTGGCATAATTCCTACCCACTGTGTCGGTTATGCCCTGAAAGACCACAGACACGCCCCAAGCGTCAGTTATATTGGCCGCGTGTTCGTTTGGTTAGATCACAATTCTCGTCAATGCTAGTGTAGAGATTCAAGACGACGGGTGTTGGCTAGTCTTGGGCTACTCCAACGTAGTTCCACGGTCCTTGAGCCGCTAGACGATACTATCGTCAATGAAACATTCATTGACTAACGGATGCTGATTTGAAAAAATACACTTTGTGATTGGAAAACGTAGAGAGTATTGCGTGAATTTCATTGCCATGAATGGAAGAGAGTGGCAAGCACCTACATTTATATCTTTTGGGTGCATATGTGTGATATCTTGGCAGAAGGGTGTTGTTGTCCTGTACAGTACTACTGTATGTAGCATGAAGATGTAACTGTAGATCAGATCACACCTCCGCAGTGGGAGCTAATTTAGGTGTTTATCGCGGCCCTGGGCAGCCTGGGGTACTTCCTAGTGACTTGGATGAGCAGATGCAGACCCCATCACTCCCACCTGCAGTAGCAGTTGGTAGGCACTGTTGGTAGTGTACCTAGGTAGTCTCGGTAGTGACACAGTGGATTGGATAGGTGGTGACGTTAGGGCAAGTGGCCAATCAGTGCTAATCTGTAGGTAGGTACTCGGCAAGTACCTCGCAGCCAGGCATGAGCGGGGTGTTCTGAAGCAAGCAGGGGGCCATGAGGGGTCCCCTCGAGTCCAGAAGCTCCAAAGTAGGTTTGCAACGCAAGCAACGCAGGTCAACAACTCAACTCGACGGATCCATTGACGTTGACTGACCGCCCCTCTGCTTCTACTCGACTTCTACTCTATTTCTACTACTTCCGCTTCTGCTGTCACCTCCTTTCCCCTTTTCCTTTCCTACCGCCTTTCCTACTTCTCCCTAAAATCACTCCAACGCTGTTCATCAAACCTCAAAAACCGAAAACCAAAGAACCTCGTCAACCATGTCTGCTCCCGCTGTGCCCGAGGGAGCTACCCTGCTCTCGACCTTCAAGCGTTCCTTCGTCGACGTCCCCGTCGATGCTGACAACGACAATGCCATCTCCACAACCGAGTTCCTCGATGCTGCCGAGTCCTTGACCACCATGTTCGGTATACAATGCCCTTGGACTACGAGCCAAAGCCTGTCTCTAATACAATGCTCTTAGATGCCCTCGGATCCATTGCCTTCTCGCCCGTCAAGTCCGACATGCTAGGAAATGTCAAGGTGTGTCTTTACCTGCTCCAACAGAGGTGTTCTCAACTCCCTTTGTGTCTCCAGTCTCAGCATCTGACATGTCGAACCCAAATCTAGAAAATCCGTGATCGCCAGCTAGCTGCCCCCGCCGAATCCGAAACTCTCCAGGCTCTCGTAATCAACGAGCTCAAGTCCAAGTCCCACAAGGCTACCGAGGGTCTCGTGTGGTTAGTTAGGTACGATCCACCGCCTGCCCGCCCCGCTGCACTATATCCAAGTTATATAGACCGTCCCCCGAGTAGCATGTTGTAGAAGCTGACTTTCATTCTAAAGAGGTTTGGATTTCACCTGTATTGCACTGAGCAAGAATCTTGCCTCGTCCAGCGAGGAGCTTGCTGAGTCGTTCCGCGGCGCCTATGGTGCTACCCTCAAACCGCACCACGGCCTCCTTGTCAAGCCCGTGTTCTCAGCTGCTATGAGTGCCTGTCCTTACCGGAAGGACTTCTACCCAAAGCTGGGAGCTGACCAGACCGCCGTTACTATCGAGTTGACAACCTACCTAAAGTCACTAGAGAAGATAGTTGCCATTCTCAAGGGATTCCAAGACCGCAAGGAGGCCAAGTGGTAATGATCAAGACGTCTCTTGGGGATAAATACTGTTTCCTAGATCAAGTATTTGCGGAAGAATAGCCTTGGATTGGTTAGAAAAGAATCAAGAGAATTGAAATCAGAGGTCTCTAGAGAAGAAGACTGTTCAAGACGAATTTACACAGCAGCCACAAGAAAAGAAACTTAACAGCAAGCATCAACGTTAACACTGCATTTGAGAAAGCCGTGCAGCTTCCGAGATGTGTGACATGAATCCACAATTATGGATACTTTGCTGTAACGTAACTTCAGCTGATATACAGTGATCTCGTTGTTACAAGTAATATGGCGACTCCGACAAACTAAACCTCTACACTAGGAAGAGAGACGATGCCCTCTGGACAAGAGTGCTGTATGTCAATATATAATCTTATGTCCGGATCAATGCTAGTCTATCTCGTGTCTTGAAATAAACGAACTGGGAATCTTAGAAAGGAAGCCGACGACTAACATGGGTTGATGCATTTTGTGATTACTAACGTCGTCGTCTATTTTTCAAAATAGGCCAAGATATATACAGTATGTATAGGTAGTGTGTAGGCGGTGAACAGCGCTTGATCCCCGAAAAGGAAGCGCGCATCTTCATCAAAGTTCTGACAAAAGAAAGGATGGCAGCAATTCCATTTTCGATATTGTTTCTCGATTCTTGTGTCCGAAACGGGAAAGCAATTGCATGCCGACTACCCCATGCGGATCTGGCCTTTGCATTACAGTCATTTACAGAGCATTAAACGTCTTACTTAAGTAAGCCAGCCCGGCACTTCAGGTTAGACCCGATGGCCCACATGTCGCCACCGCCGGCAAGGTACGGGATGATGCATTCCATCCCAGCCATACAGTAGACTAGCCCACAGCCAAGCTGACAGGCAGGCGAGGTAGGATCTCTGTTCCATTTGTTTGTTTGTTTCTAACCCGTCCACTGCCCGTCTGATTACAGTTAAACAAACCGGGGCAGCTCCCACATCCCGACGGCACTAGTAGGGAGAGCCGTCGACATTACGAACTACCGCCCGCGCTTGGGTCCACGACAGGGGAGTGTGATTGGCTCTGTGGGGGATTCCGGGGTGGATGAAAGCTCGTATTTGGTGATGGCAAGCCCTCAACAATCCCTCCATCGCTTTGTTGTTACCGGCAGAGAGGAATTGATTGCATGTCATCACCGCAATGCTAATGCTCATGGCAGTGTGTTCTCCTATTGTTTCCGCGCGGATGCGCGGATGTAGATCGTCATGCCACCCGTTATGTCATGAGAGACTCACTCGTATTGTGATATCTACCTAGGTAGACGTACCATAGATAGATAGACAGATGTAAATATATAAAGGTCTTCAAACCTCGACTTCATGATAGAAGAATAGTCCACCACCACCCAACAAACTCATTCGCCTTCCCCTCACGTGTCTCCTTCATCACCAACACCAACCTAACTTTTCACAATGGCCAAGTTCACTGCCCTCGTCGCGGCCGGCGCTGCCACCCTCGCCTCTGCCGTTCCCTTGGAGTCTCGCCAAGTCATCCCCAACTACCCTCCCAACGAGATCTCCACTGGCTTCCGTCTCGTCGCCAACGTCACCGACCCAGCGACAGACTTGACTCCCTCGGTCGACGGCTGGGAACTTGCTGGCATTCACGTCGGCGCCGGTCTGAACGCCGCTGTTCTCAACGACGTGGCTGGTACTGGTAGAATCTTCTACCACAACGGTAAGCCGATTTTTTCATAATATTTTGCACCAAAGCAATCTATTATCTATATACTAATGACTTCCCCTAGGCACCGCTGAAGAAGTCCGCTACGGCCGAGGCAGCATCGTGACAGACAGCGGCAGCCCGCCGTTCCCCTCGGGCATCGACGTGCAAAGCGAGACGGAGCACGACGCCACGTACCCCGCCGAGCACGCCGTGGCCATCAACGGCGGCAGCGGCACTATCGGGGTATCTCTCCTGCCGCACCCGGACCCGTACTTCTACGTGACGGCGCTCGCGCCCGGCACGTTTGTGGCGTGCCCGCGGACGGTGCCGTACTACAACGAGGAGTTCATCGTCGTGCGCTTCGCCTACGACAGCTGGGACCCCGAGACCGCGCTCCCCGTGCGCAACATCCCGCAGGGCTGCACGGCCATCACGCTCATCCCCGAGTGCGATACCTTGGCTGCGCTGCCTGCGGGCAGCCTCTCCAGCCACGACGAGGCGAGGAACTCCAAGTGCTACAAGGATGTCTCTGCTATCAACTGGCCTGAGTACGGACCTTAGATGGTTCTGTCAGGGTGGCTGCCAGGGAGTTGGAGGGGAGGAAAAGAAAAAGAAAAGGAATTGTTCGTAGAAGTAGAGAAAAAGGTTGCATTGTTCACCAAACTATAATATTGGTAATCATAATAGCCCATAGTTAGTTCTTGCGACTAAGTGTACTTTACTTCCTGCTTTCAGAAGTATGTGCACAGAATAGCTTTGTTTAATATCAGTCGTCTTGAATCGCGAGCCAAAACTTCCTATGAGTACTTTTGCTGCGAACGTCGGTGGTTGTAACGTCAAGATCACTCCTGCATGTAATTAATCTAAGATGGGTATTAATTCTTGAAACAACCTATGTCCGCCATCATATGTAGACTATGTAGGCTAAGTTATATACAATAGTCTGTTGGTTGTAACCCCGGGATCGTAGCCTTATCGTCCAGGAGAGAGTTGAGAAAACGGTTAGATATGGATGTGAAGATTCCTATAAAACTTATACAGCAGGTCGACAGACAATGTTTCGTCGAAATGAACTGCTCGGTGCGTGTGTGTATATGTGTGTAAGACTGACAAGCAGGGACTATGTCAGCTCTTCTGCACAATAACGTCAGATATGTCACGAGCGCATAAGGAAAAGAAGCCTAAGATCCTGTATAATTGAATAAGTTGCCCTGTCCGGGGTCTAAGAGAGCAACTTACTTAAGATAAGTTTCCTGTACGACGGCACTGTTAGATTATCTAGTCCTGAGTTATTGCAACATGGTTCCAGAACTAGAGCGCGGTTGACGCTAATTACTGAATGTCACGAGTTAATCCACCAACTATTGTCTAACTTAGGTTGAGCCTCCCAGAGCCATAGGAAAATATGGGCAATGATCTTCCATGATCTAGAGACAGCAACTGTTGAAATTTGACCGCCTTGGATGAAAAAAAAAAAAAAAAAAAAACCTGAGGTCACGATTATTCGACTCGCCTCGTCAAGTCGTCAACATCCAATAGATGGAAACAGACTAGAAACCCGTACCTCATAATCCACATAATGGCGATCACGGTGCGGAGATTGACATAGAAACAAGGAGTGGAGGCACCTACATACCAACTTCATTACCAGCACGCGGCCTTGGTGCCTCCGGGGTGCACAGTCCAACGTGGACGAGGGCTTCTATATGGCTTCTTTTTCTTCTTTTTGATGAGTTGTCGGGACTCAGTGGAATATGTTACTGGTATAAAGACACCTGACGCAGCTCAGTTGTTCATGAAGAAAGAGACATACTAGGCGATGATAAGCACGAGGATCATGCTGCTTCGCTAATATTGAACACCATTCTATAATAATACAATCTGCTCTAGCCAGAGCGATCCCAATGGGCAGATATGCAAATCCTCAATACAGCGTTCCTCAGAGCTTTAACTACCTTGGTAGCAGCGCATGGATACGTCGACACCGCCAGCATCGGTGGTTCAGAGTACACTTTCTACCAGCCTTACACGGACCCGTACACTAGCCCTACAGTAAGCGACCAGCTTCATAACAAGTGAAAGAGAGGAAGCCATTAACATAACATCTAGCCCGAGCGCGTCTCAAGAGAGATTCAAGGCAACGGTCCGGTCACGGATGTTACATACGAAGATATCCAATGCGGTGGATATACTGATGGTGGCATCGTGGGATCTTCTCCAGCCACTCTCCATGCAGAGGTAGCAGCTGGATCTACCGTCACCGTACGTTGGACATTGTGGCTAGATAGCCACGTAGGACCCGTGATGTAAGTCGCACGTTTAATTCCTATATTAGATGAGAGAAACTCGACTAACTATATCTCTACGGAACTTATATGGCGAAATGTCCCAACACTAGTTAGTTAATGGCGCTGCACGAGCTCATGAAAAAGGGGTACTGACATAAGCCGAATAGGGTGTGACGAGTATATGCCCGGCACGGACGCCGTGTGGTTCAAGATTGCCGAAGACGTTCGCCAAGGGACGTCTAACAAATGGAGAGCCTCTTATCTCATGGTCTCCGGCAACTCCAGTTACAAATACACTATTCCCTCATGTCTAGCGCCAGGATACTATCTTGTCCGCCACGAGATTATCGCTTTGCACTCAGCATACGAGTATCCAGGGGCTCAATTTTACCCCGGCTGTCACCAGCTGAAGGTGACGGGTTCAGGCACCACGACGCCTTCCTCTAACCTTGTAGCATTCCCCGGCGCGTACAAGGGCTCAGACCCAGGTATTACCTACGACGCTTACCAGACCCAGGAGTACACTATCCCGGGTCCTGCTCTTTTCACCTGCTGAGTGTAAGGGAAACGAGAGTCGATTTTGAAATAGGGGTATTCGGGCAATGTATGTGAGGCATCTCCCAAAGATGTTGCATTTCCATCATAGAAGGCATCGGTGGATATATAACAAGCTCTAGAATCGATGTATATGAGTGTTGACTGCAATCAGCAAGATCAAGAATAGATGTCTCATGTGATCAAGGCGCTATTCCACTAGAAAAGGACCAAGTATTTCCGAGAACCAAATGAAATCGTGGCGACATGGAGAGTTCTAGTGAATTGATAAGTAGAAGTTCAGTAGCAGGCCGTACATCCTTATAGACTGGGTCAAGGGTAGTCAATACGATGTCCAGCTTCAAGGAAGTAAGTGAGTTCTAAATTTAAATATAATATCATTCTCATCATATATCGCTTGTATTGTTCGAGAGATTGTTGAACTTGAGGCATGGATAGATAGAGAATGGAAATATCGAGACATAGTAGAGTTTTATTCATTGGTAATACACACATAGCATATAATCAGTCCCCTTTCACCAGCGCAATTTACACAGCTATGGGATTCCCATCGGGTTCATATTCTGGGATATATGCCGCCTTTCCATCGTCATCAGCCGCCAGTAACTCAGTCCTAAATGGCTCGAGACCCTCGACAGTGTCAATGCGTTCGATACACTCGATTGCTATACGGGCGTTCCAGTCCATATCCATTATTGTGTTCATCGCGCATATCCCCATCATCTCGTACCGGACCTGGTCGACGTTAAGCCAGCCGCACGTCGGCTTGCGAAAGAAATCTTCGGAATATTCGCCTTTAGAACAGTATGTGTCGAGGACCCGCTGCATAAGTTGTCGCACAAGAGCGAACGCCCGGATGCCAGAAGCCCAATGTTCTTCACCGGGAGTGGGTGGTGGTACCCACGGCTCATTCCAATGTTCCCCCCCTTCATTTTGCATCATAAATGCGTCGTCGCCATACCCGAATCCTTGCAATTCTAATATATCCTCGATGCATTTTTTCACGTGGTTCAGCCGAATTTGCGCATCTTCGCCTCGTTGGCCGTCCACGATAGACCACGCATCTATGGTCATGTTGTATGAGATCGAACGATCCCAACCACGATCCAGCCCGTCTCCGTCATTTGACATGTGGAAGATGGCTGTTACAAAGTAGCCCCTTTCAGCCTCAATCGGCCAGAATACGTACTCCGACCTTCGGAAAGTCTCCCAAAACTCCGGCTTCAAATAGTACTCCTGACTAATCCTTTCTGCTAGTTGATGGTGTTCGCAATCGAAAATTTCGTAGTCTCCGCATCTCGCTATTCCTACTAACTTCTTTGCATCCTCCGGTAGGTTGTCGCGCAGATACTCTATGGGTTGCTGGACATTGAGAGCCTCTAGTGGCTGATCTCTGCGCAGCTGCAAGGTATTCAAAGTGTAGATGCTAAGTTCTGCATCTTTTGGATTGGGCACATGCCTTGATCTCTCTAATTGCGTTTTACTTCGTGGCTTCTCTCCGATCAAGCCATTATCGAGTATGGTTGCGCGGCCGAAGATAGGATCCGCTGGTGTACCGGCGTCTGGCTGCCGCGCCCTAAAAGGTCTTCTTCGCGGAGGCATGGTAGTGCTTAATCGTGGTACATCAATAGCAATTGCAGCAACTGGGGCGGTAAGGAGTCGAAGAACTTGCAAGAAATCCCAGCTAGTCTTCTCATTCAGTATTTCACAAGGACAAGCCAATTCCAAGGTGAGACTCACTTGGCATAAACCATCTTTCATACGCCTTTATGCCCTTTGTCCATGGTTAGTACAGAATCGAGAATATGGGATGAGACATAGTCTTTGTTTTCCTCTTTCTCCACGTACCGAAAGCAGCATCTTCGACCCAAGTCTCTTTTCTAACAATGTGAACGTTAGGGAATAAAGTGGTATTTGATATATGTCAATTGCAGATACAGATTTCCCGGTCTGCGTTGTGGTCTCGAAAAAGAAAAACTTTACGTAGGTCATGGGGGCTGTAAGGTTTCTACAAGCACAGGACTATACCTCCTTGGCTTCAATAATGGCGTAAGTTGCGGCATTGAATCTCGGCCAAGCATATACAATAGTAAGATTCGAGAGATCACCGGCCGTTTTTTAGTATAGTGACCTTGTGTAAGAGCCAAGAAGTGAGGACTCAAGAGCCTCACCTTCAACGAATATAAGACTGTCTTTGATTGGTGGACCTCGGCTGAATCGCACGTTGCGTAAAAGAAAGGGGCGTCTTACTAGATGTAGGAGGAATTTGAAAAACAGGATACACAAAGAAATAAAAGGCTGATATTCAATCTAGTACACTTATATACCTGAGTGATTCTATGGGTATTGCTAGTGTGCCTACGTGATAAATCCCCTTATGTGGACAAATGACAAAACTTGCCTTCTCTGACTTTTATTTATTTTAGAATAGCAAGAGATGAGAAGGAAAGAAAAAAAAAAATCCTAGTGTCGCCTAACGAGAGAATCAAAGCCTCAACACGTAACGATGCGGAGAACATACAGACGCTGGAACGCCGTGCAATCGAAAGTTGTAGATAATTATGCTTAGATAGAGCGTGCCGATCCAACCGTTTCCCGCTTTACATTTTTCTTAGAAGAATAGATAGTAGCACAAATGCAGATATTCTCATGTGTTGTCTGATATGTAAGAGGTGGTTGATCGCTTGAGCTCTATCGACCCTGCTTGGAGGAGGGGAGGGGCATTCCAGCCGTCGTATTTGCAAATATCTTATCATACACACCGTGGCATCCAATTCTGTGAATCAAAGGTTCCGAAGGCCTAGATTGGCGGCTATAATTATCGGAGACTCTCTATCCGCCGCGTACGATAGGATTACCCGGGACTGGGAATCCCTGTGGTTTTTGCCGGGGGGGAATACATAGAAGTATGCCAACGATACACGGATAGCGGATAGGAAAGGAGATAAAAAAATCTCGAAGGCCATAGATCGAGTGCTCGCATTTATTATATCCCGTCACGTGCCTACTGCTAAAGTATATGTAGTAGCATCGGAATACTCTAGATAGAGTAACCTCCGGGGGACGGAGTGAGATGCAAGCTCCAATCTCGACGCTACATTCCGATTTACCCACCAGGGACATGTAACCTTCTTCCCAGCAAGATTACAACGTTGTGAATTGGCAATTAGTTATTTATGGTACACAATATTAACTATAGTTATAACGCTATATAACGGTGACGTTAGCTATTAGATACATCTGAAATTGAAGTTACAGTACAGATAGACATGTCTCTCTTGATATTACAAGTACTCATCCTCTTAATGACCTTTAAATTTATTAGTAGTCAAACTCTTCATGAGCATCACTAGGCGGCGATGTACAAATTCACCTGTCTACTTCCAGATTTATCCCTGTTTTCTCAGTTCCTCGTATTACATCACTTGTCGAGATCAGACTTCTTGGAGTGGAACTAGCCAAGACGAGCGAAAGTGTGATACTGCTGTCTCGCTGTAATCACTATCAAGGGCCAATATGAGGTTTACCAACATATCAGTCAAACTTCTTGGTATAGCGATAGCTTGCGTGCTACCAACATGTCAAGCCGCACCAACATGCCCTCTGGAGGGACCAGTATTTCCCAAACCGTTACGCCTCGCGAGTAGCGAGGCAATGAAGGTGGCTATTTCCAACTTGACCGAGACGTTCAAGGGAATTACGGGAGGCGCCCAGAACTATTCTTTCGCTCTTCAAGTCTTCTCGGCACACGATCCGGACCCCGTTTTCTCAGTACTTCATACAGCACCAAAGTTGGCAACGTTGAATACTACGGGTGTTAAGAAGGTTGATGAGGACACTGTTTTCCGCGTGGGAAGCTTGACCAAGATCTACTCGATTTACCTATTTCTTATAAACGCCGGCGATAAAGTATGGAACGAGCCCATTACGAACTACGTCCCTGAGCTACGGGAATTGATAAACGGCTCGGATCCCGTGGTTAATACTGACTGGGAACGAGTAACGATTGGAGGTCTGGCAACACAAATGACAGGTGTTCCTCGAGATTGTAAGCGATGCCCTCAAAGTACAAAGCCTGGGGCGGATCACTGACTATAACTTAGACGCGCTGCTAGGAGAGCTGACACAAACCCCGTCAACACGAGACAATGTGGTTCAATATGGATTTCCCCCACTGAGTGCTCAAGAACAACCTCCTTGTGGAGATTATCCTCTTTGCAGCCGAAAACGTGAGTCGTCTAAACAGCGGACTGAGCTCTACTCACACCTCTCACAGAGTTCTTCACCGGCCTTAGCACATTCTAGTAAGTGAGCTGCAAAGTGATGCACATTCGAGATAACACTTCTCCATCTATCCCCTATCAAAAATAATAACCCTATTTTCCCAGTCCGTCGTTACCCCCGATGACGTCTGCCGCGTATTCCAACGTGGCGTTTCAACTCCTGTAAGTAACATGCGCAGTCCGTATATAATGCGCTGCCACCGAATTAACGAGACACATTCAAGCGGATACGCCTTAGAAACCATTACTGGGAAGACCTACGAGACCCTTCTAGAGGAGACGATTCTCAAGCCCCTGGGTTTGAATAACACATTTCTAAGAGCGCCTGAGCGTTCACGGGGACTCATACCAGGCCACCCTGACGTGACAGGATGGACATTCGACCTTGGTGAGGCCGCAGGGTAAGATGTCTCAATCTCCCCGTTCAAAGAAAAGCTCTCGGAACTCACATCTACTGCAGAGCCGGCAACATCTACACTTCCATAGAGGATTTATCGAAAATCGGACGTGCAATACTCAGCTACGAGCTCCTTGACCCTGTCATCACGAGACGCTGGCTCAAGCCGTTCTCATTCTCTACCGACCCACACGCCTCGGTTGGTGCCCCGGTACGTAATTCTTGGAATCATACTCACCTTACCCTAGCCAGTGTTTGAACAGATGGGCTGATTTGGGCTGTTACAGTGGGGTGCGAGAAGGATCAATGTTGCGGGTCAGCCGTACCGCTGGATCACGGCATTCAACAAAGCCGGGAGAATCAGTGATTATAGCTCTGTCCTAGCAATAAGTATGTATCATGACGCCGTTACTGCTGGTACTGCAAATTACCAGGCCTTACTGCCCTGTTTGCTGACTCTCGACTGTCAACAGTCCCGGATTACGATATCGGCATATCGGTTTTATTAGCGGGAGAGCTGCCGCCAAATGCAAACTTCAACCTGCTAGGTACGGATTGATAATAAAAAGCGAATTCTGAACCAAGTGCATATTCTGACCCCTTTTCACAGACATTATTGGGGAAGTTCTCATCCCAGCAGTTGAGCAAGCAGCCCGGGCCGAGGCGGACGCCGCTTTCAGCGGGCGCTATGCATTCGCCAACACGGGACAGCGCAACTCATCGATGACAATCAAGACAGATGCCGAGCCGGGTCTGAGTGTATCACAATGGATTAGCAACGGAACAGATTTCCTCTGGACGTCTACAGTGCTTCAAAACGGCTACTTGCCCCTGGTGCCGCGCGTGCGGCTGTATCCCACGGGACTCGAAAGCCAGACCGCCAACGGGACGACAAAGGTCGTCTTCAAGGCGGTATTCGAGGATGCGAATCAGCCGTCACAGGCAAAGGCCATGTTCTCGACGGACTGCGCGACGTGGATCAATGTCGCGTCCGTCATCTATGGGTCTGCAGCTATGGACGAGCTGATCTTCGAAGTGGATTCTAAGGGGAAGGCGATTAGCATTACGTCACCGTCTTTGCGGGTGACTCTAGACAAGAAATAGTTTCTCTCCATATTCAATCTCATCTTCGCTTTGGAAATGCTGAATTGGCTAGTATGTTCCTGTGAGCCCCACATTTGCGTCTCCGATATGGGCTGAGTAAGGCGCCGATGGCTCTATGAAATGAAAGACAACGAATCGTTAGTTAAGGAAGCTCATCAGATTCGCCGCCGAGCCGGGAAGGCCATGCGGAGGCAGAGCTGACGGAGTTGACAGTCGCCGAAATCTCGAGACGCTGAGACCGGACATAATCAGCTGTGTTGGGTTAAGCGCCCCCCTAGCAGCTGGTTTACACTGCCTGTCAGCGATGTGATTTGAACATGCGCTAACCTAACACATCCTATCATGTCCGGCCGCAAACTTTCCTGTCATACGGGATCCGGAGTAGAGATCCACTAACCTAATAGTTGGAGCGTGCGACAGCAAGGTATTGTTTCCAATTTTGGTATCATGCCCATTGGAAGGGCGCGGTAACTGAGTACGTAACCTCTAAGTTTAGTTAACAAGGTGAGATGTATTGGTCGATGGTTGACCAGTGGAGAGACGATCTCACTGACAGTTCAGGTCGAATCTATGGGTCTCTCGGACTCGAGAACTTGTCCGGGTTCTCCGTGGGCACATCAGATCAATAGAATATAAAATAAACGATAAAGTACTGGCGCTGGAAACTGGAAAAGTCTTCATTTTCCCTCTAATGTCTATATTTAAAGAATCATACAGCTTTGAGGTTGACCAAATCTTAGCTCGTCTCCTGTATTCTTCAAGAACCAACAAGCTAGTCTCGTGAACATCATCCAACGCACAGTAATTGTAACAACAATGCCTTTTCTATCAACACCCCTGACCCTTGCCGCTACCGGTGGCATCCTCGGGTCTGCCTGGATATCCGGAGGCAACGCATCGCTATCGTTCGCCGCAATCCCAGCCATACTCCAAAGCGGCGCGTCAACAGACGGCCTCGTGCGAGCGTGGTACACGCAATTCTCCCGCTCCCTATATATCCCAGTCATAGGCGTCGTCACAGGGCTCAACTACTTCCACCTAGCCTACCGACACCATGCTCTCGGCCGAGAATGGCGCGGTTTCGCCGCCGCCGGCCTCGCGAACGTGGTGATGGTTCCCTTCACTCTGCTTTTCATCGGGGGGATTAATAACACGCTGATGGCAGCCCGTAAGTGCCCCCTGCCGTCAAATTGTCACATTGCGCTCTTCTCCCTAGTTACCCCTGAACCGACCTAGGAGATATCCTCCTTGCCCGACTCAACAATTTTTGGATCTTGTGTAAGAGTATCCAGCTAACAGATCTTTTTAGTGCCCGGTGCCCAAGGGAGGAAACCGCTGAGTCTTGACGCCGCAAGACATCTCATCGGAAGATGGGGAGAGTTGAACTTCTATCGCGTCTTCATGGGCCTTGCTGGTGCCGGGCTAGGGCTATGGAATCTCCTCCTTAGCGAATAAGCGTACTATCTCACATTGGCAGCGTCCTCGTGAGATTGCTGCCATGATTGGCGTATACATCCAACCCACGCTGGGATTCCCAGGCAGTCCCGGTCATGTCTGCTGTACTGAAAAGTGGACAAATTCTAATAGGGCTACCGTGGGTTATGGGCGGCATGACGGTCGTCTATGATAGGGCCGGGGCTTTTCGCAATCCTTTATACTTCGCTCATATCCGAGGAAGAAAGAGGTATGCGCCAGCTTCTGCGTAGCAAACAGCTGGAAACTCAGCCAGGAATACATTCTCACCATATTATGAGACCTAGATGTCGTGTATCTAATTTGTATATATCTATTCATATGGTATTATTATATCGTGTACTGGAAAGCTGGATATAAACGCGACTATATATATATATATCCACCTCTTCTAAGACGCGGAACCACTTCCCATAGGCTATTGGCATATATGAGCACAGCGATCTACAAATGGGCTCGCCCTTCCATCTTCCTCCTTCTCCTCTCAGCCTTGACGGCCTTCTGGAGCTTGACAGCATCTTCACTGCTCAGTTTCGTATCGATCTTACTCTCGGGCGCAGCAGCCTTCTCGAATAGCTCGGCGCCGAGGGCATCTGTCAGTTTGAGCACGCGGGTACTGACAGTAGCGCCATCACGTCGGTTCTTGCCTTCTCGCCGACTCGATGCGATGCGCTCGATGAAATCCCATAGTTTGCCCGAGGCGAGCAGCGCGCCCGAGTCGGGATCACGCGGCGCCCTCCATTCGGAAGCGAGACATAATCGCGGTGGCGTCTTGGCATCTTTTGACTTGACTGCGTATAAAATGCCTTCTTCTTCAAAGCGCTGGTAGCTGTTCTTGATCGTCTCTTTGTTGACGGCCTCAAAGTAGCTGAGATCTCCTTGGTGATATAACGTCTTACCGAGCTAAGAAAACATAGGCTTGTTAGTATATCAATAAAGTTTAAAACGGGATGAATCTCGGGAACTAACCAGCTGCGCCGTATTTTGGGCTTGGGCGACTTCAATCCATATCTCCTCTTTCTGGTGAATTGGTGGGGTCAGTCCCATAAGCGATGTCGCCGCTAGCCAGCTCGATTCGATGAAAGGCCAGATCAGGAAGCAATAGAAGTCGTAGTTTTCCCGGCCGGCTAATCTCTCCTCATCAGAAAGTCCGATACTGCATATCGCTCCATTTTCATCTCTCTGCAACTTTATCACTCGATCGTTCTCAAGCCCGACCAGAGACTTCTCCAGATTTGCTGCCAGGCCTTCACTAGGGAAAATGAATTCGCCTCGGAAAAGCGATGAGAGAAACAGAACTTGTTCCCGGAGATCTGTGTATGAGATTTCTTGATGCGCCGGTCCACCACCTTGCTTGACCCGCGTGTACATGCTAGCGCTCACCAGAGCTTCCGAGATGAACAGGTGAATCGTCATGTTCCGGTAGAAAGAGAGTTGGAATCGGTCGACCGCATAGAAAGTTGGCTCGGCCAAGCCTTGGACCTCTCCCACAAGATCTTTACCAAGTACTTCTAGGCCACGTTTGACAACATCTTCTAAGGGGGAATTTCCAAAGTGAGCCACACGACCTCCTTTATCGCTGACGCGTGCTATTAACCATTCGATGCGTCGCAGGAGTTCTGCCTTGCCAACGCCACGGCCTCTCAGAGTAAGAAGCACGGTGCCAATAAGGGCAGTCGGCATAACGACTGATACATCGTTGATGTCGGAAAGAACCTTGTATCCCATTGTTCTCAGCAACTTTTGCTTCAGAACGGCATTTTCTGGCGTCTTGAGAGTGTAGTCTTCAGTGCTCGGAGTTCTATTGAGCTTCGTCAACTGCTCATCAATGTATTTACGAAGGCTCCAGGGCTCATGGAAACGAACATCGACTCTTCCCAATTTGAGGGATAGTACTGATGACCCGCCACTGAGGAAATCCGCTAGATTCTCCTTCTTCTTGGGAACACCTAAAAGCTCCGTAACATAGCCTTCAGTTTCGATAACCTTATCATACTGCGTGCTGACCGGACAGACAATAGCATCCTTAACTCGGCCAGACAAGATGCTGTCTAGTACGAAACTCAAAATGCCAAATTTGGGGGGTAATAGTTTTCCGGTGCGGGATCGCCCGCCTTCTATAAAACATTCGAAGTTATAACCGCCTTGGAGCATCGTGTCTATATAAGTTTGTACAAGAGTGGTATACAGGGTATCGTTGCCGAAAGACCTTCGAATCCACATGGCGCCTTGACATGTAAGCACTGATCTGATGTCTTTTATGAGTCACTAGAACACTTACCAGCATGTTGAAGAAAGCTCCCGACCACAGGGAAATTTAGATTATCTCCAGCCACAACAACAGGTAAAGCTAGGCCTAGACGGTAACATATTAACTGCAGGGAAACATAATCGACATGTGAACGGTGAGACGGTAAGAATATAATGCTCTGGCCATTTCTCTCGGCCTCCTCGGCCACTTTTCTTAGTCGTAGGACTTCCTCGCTAGACACATGAATCCCTAGGTCAAAAGTTTAGTAAAAGAATCAGGGCTTGAGACAGGAGGTGCAAGTCACACCACTAACCTTGATGGTAAGCTCGAGTTAGCAATTGCGTGACTAGATAGTAGGCGCCTCTGATGAAAGTCTTGCTCTCAAACTTGCAGATCATGTCGTCGGTCATTTTGTCGGCAACGTCTCGGATGCCGGACTCTATGACAGCCCGTCTATGCGCCCGCTTGACGGCATAGTCCTTGTCCTCCTTTCTCAGCCAGCCTTCATTTTCTTCCACTTCTAGTCGCTTGTCGGCAAGCTGGGATATGCGCGTTTGTAGCAAGGGCGCGGATACGACCGAGGTTCTCATCTGCTCCGAGAAGCCGGAGTAGAAGATGGGCCTGCCGATGAAGCTGTCGTATGCGCGCCAGCCGGTGCCAGACACATAGAGGGAGACCTCACGGAGGAAGCGTAGAGGTTCGGAGCGAAACCGGGCCATATTCTTCATGAGGGCTTCTTCATCATGATCGTCCGGACGGCGGGTCTCGACATAGCTTCTCGGCTGAAGGGTGATTTGATCTCCCAGGATTTGTAGATCGGGCGCCGAGTCGCGCGCCGCGTCGTCTTCTTGGGTCATGATGGCGAGGGAATGAGACGGCGCTCGGCCACCAAGTGCTCAGAAACACAATTTCCTCCAATTTCGAACTATGGCGGCTGTAACATGGCTGGGAGCAATCGATGGAAGTTACCCACGGTCACAAGGAGCTGTGGGATGGTACGAATGTCGTAGAAGTTCGTATGGTAACAGTTGCAGGCTGGGATTTTAGAAAACCCTTCAACCTTTTAGAGTGGCGATGACATAGAAAAGATACGGTGTATCCCGTCTTCAGAGAAGTAACAGTAACCTCGGGAACGTCATTTCAAGACGGCCCAGGAGGGTTGAGCAGTGTTATTTATTACAGAAGAAGCGCTAGCATGTGTCAGTTACTAGGTTCACTAATATCGACCTAGGCAGTACCCATAACCGGTAAGGTTGCAGGTGGTCCAGGTGGTCCCCATGCAGGTTACCCAAATCCTGCTTACCCCACGAAACAGTTAGCGCGAACTCCATTGAACGACTTGTCACGAATTTATTTACAGCCCATCTTTTCATCACGATAATAACTTGCAGTCGCTTCGTCTCACGACATTGCTGGCTAAGCTATTATGCTGCCTTGGCGACCCAAAAATGCCACCTAGAGATGACGACCAGTCCTTGACGCTCGACCTGCTGCGCCGAGCCCACAGCCCAGACAGTGTCAATCGAATCTACTCGGACAAAATCCAACATCGACCTCTCTTCCTAAAGCCGAGCTCGCCTCCGCCTTCAACCGCCCGCGATGCCAGGCGCATAGCTCGCCGTGCAAAGGAGAAGCGTGCCAAAGCGCTGAAACCCAAGCCTCTATCCGCCCGCGAGCGCCGAAGACTCCAGCTCTACACCCTTCCCAAGGAAGGGCGGACATATGCCGTCTTCGCGCCTCTAAACAACCTCTGGGTCGGCTACATCCGCGAAATACTAGGGAGCGAGCTATACAATGCCGGACAAGGTGCTGCCGCCAAGCTGAGCGCAGCCGACTTCCACGGCGCAGAGGTCGAGGTTTCACGGAGCCGGTGCCCCAGCCGTGTCGGCGTCCGTGGCATCGTCGTCAAGGACACGCGTTTCACCTTCGAGGTCATTACTCGACAGAATCAGGTCAAGACCCTGCCGAAAGAAGGAACCATATTCCGTGTCCATGTTCCCGCTCCAGATGCCGCCCCGGACCACAAGCCTTTCTGCTTTGAGATCCATGGCGATCAGTTCCAGCATCGTGCGAGCGATCGCGCAAACAAGAAGTTGAAGCAACACTTCTTAAAGAAACTATGAATGAGAAAAGATTGCTAGATAAGGAAAAACCAAGACGAAAAGCGGGATGCACATCCTGCGCGAGAGCTACCCAAGCTAGTATGCCTTACACTTGATTATATGGGTATGTTCAAACATATATAAACAAGCAAGGGCATACGTTATACTAACAGATGGTAGCGTACATAGTGAATTGTAGAGTGAAGCAAAACAATACGCTTCAACTCCAAGGATGTCTATGCACACTAGTACTACGATTGGCCTTTTATCCTGGCGCTAAATGCTTGGAACTCTCGAGTAGGTAGCTACACACCTCGATTTCATGGCGCGGAGCCGCAGAGCTTCACTTCTGGGAGCAAATTACCTGGCCAGCGCAATCACACTCGCCACGATTATTAAGCATACCGCAGCAGCAAAAAGACTAGGGAGTCTGCCAGGCACGGCGAGAACCAAACGCTGAATTATATTAGTCGTCTTGGAATGCGATACCTGGCTATAGGCTGGCTTGGTCCTCGATTCAAGTGAGAAAGTAATGTCGTGTAGAAACATGCTAGTAGCGCCAAGTAATCGACATGTGAGGAGAGCGTGTAAACCGAACTATAGAAATATAATTCACACAGCAACTACCTAAGCTTCTACAACAGCGAATAACACTTTGCGTCGCGCAATCTATAGCTAATCGAGAAAAGATTGCCAATGTCGTGACGTATGAAAAAAAGTATTAAGGAAATGGTCAGTCACGATATTGAGCAAGTTATAAATGGCACTAAGTCGTAGGAGGTACACATCGCGATTCGCGATTATGATTGATCATAGCAAGACCATCCATCCGTACATTCATACATGTATGCATGGGAATCCCAGCCAGTTGAGTTCCCATCTCATCGTCCATGCTAAAATCCTACACGACGAATATATATATACATGAGAACCCGTCTGCATCCGGATAATAATACAGAATCTCCTGTTTCCGATTCCGTGCCCGAATCCGTGCCGTATCCAAGGGCCTTGCCCACAATGCCCTTTCGTGCTCCAAGAATACCAAACCTATATTACCCGCTTCCCCTTCCCCCCAAAACGCCAGATCCCAGCCCCAGAACGATTCATCAGTTCCTCTCCTCCTATATTCTCCCAGACAGAGGGAGTATTTCATATAGTCAGATAACAAATAATCATGTTGTGTTATATAATATGCGCCGCAATGTGCATGCAGAACCGAGAACTAAACAAACAGTAACATGCCCCTAACGAAAAGCAAAAGACACACATCATCAAGAAAAAGCATCGGATATATACATCTATCCTGAGTATATATGAATCGTGTGGGGAGTTTGAACCAGAACCAGAATATTCCTAAAAAGTAGTAGTAGGTACGAGACGGTGATAACGACAACATTTCAGAGAAGGCCATGCGACTGGTACGAATTCGACCGGCTCGGAGGCTCGTACCAGTTCTGATACGGATGGTTAGGCAGGCTGAAATCGGCGAAGCTGAGCGGGTTGACGCGCATGGGGCGCGAGGCAGACGTTGCGACGACCGGCTGCATCTGCTGCGGGGCTGCCGTGGCAGGGGCCTGGATGACGGGCGCCAGCATCATCTGCTGTTGTGCAGCGGCGGCGGTGCTTGTCGAGGTACCCTGTCCAGCCATCACATGGTGCTTGTTACTCATTGCAGTTCCGGGCGGCACGAGAAGCTGGGCCGTGAGACTAGGTTGACTCATCTTCTCCCAGCCCCAGTTTTTCTTGAGCCCCGTGATGGCGCCAGCGAGCTTCCATCCAGTCTCACGGTCGATGCGTTCGAGGTGTGAGATCACCTCCTGCTGTTCGGCATAGTCGGTTAGGACCTCTGACACGATGACCAGCGAGCGGATCGAGACGGAAGCCACGCCGCGATCTTTATTGTGCGCCACGATACCGCAGACTTGGTGAGCATGGTGTTGCTGGGTTATGCGCGAGTCCTCCGAGTTCTTCGATGCGGATGGATTGACCTGGGCCAAGATGCACAATGCCATGTGGTAGTAGAGTCTGCCGACTACGGCAGCTCTTTTAATAAGCCTGTTAAAGAAGAGAATCAGCCGCCATAACACCCTCAGGTTGAGGTGACAGTACCTACCAGATATTAGGGAACAGCGATTTCGTAGGCCCTACCTGTTGGGCAGGATAGACGTAACCAAAGGGGTGCATAGACCTCGGAACCGCGTTGTCCCATTCTTCGCACATGCCTTTGAGACGATTCCACTCGGCCATACGTGCCTGGACGCGGAGCTGCTCGTCATGCGGGCTCGGCTCCTGGAACTTTGGGATACTGGCACGGAAATTGGCAATCTTAGCGACTATGTAGAATATGCGATGAACCCAGACTTCCTCATTGCCGGTATCCTTATCTGTGCTAAAGTCCATGTTTACACCCCACGTTTCTGGGTCCCATGCTGTCTGCCAGTTAAAGGCGAGGCACGAAAGAAGTTCCATGCCCACATTGAGCCAGAAGCAGGCAGCACCAAGACCGATGCTTTTCGCGTTCCACCCACACTCTCGGATCAATGCCCTTGCCCCAGCTATATGGCTCATCCGCTGGGTCGGTTTTTCACTCATGATCTCGTACACGTTGAGAACCACCGCGGTAGTAGCGCATTCTGCTGTGTTACGCTCCGGGTTTTGAAGGCTCCTTAGAAGTTGCGTCGTCGCAGTGTCGTAGTAGAAGAGCGCTTTTTCATCGCTGAATTGTTGGGTCAGGGTTAGGTGCTTCACACCACAAGCTAGAAGGGCATTAAGAAGCATGGGACACTTGAGTGCGTGATAAGGGATTAGACGCGAAAAGTGTTTCTGGTTGTCAAGACTATCCATCCATAGGCCGACCTCTGAGACGAAAACTTGCATGAAGTGTAATTCTTCAGATGAATTGAGATATTCACGTTCGCCTGATTTGTCAGTGGGTGGCGTCATCATACCATTCTCGAGATCGCCGCCGATATTTGGGTTGCCTGGCCCAACACCCCGTATCGCTGATGGGGGGCCAACATCAGTCACGCCAGCAACAGTTGGCTCCGTAGATATGTCGCTACTCCTATAACGCTGGTGAGCGTGATATCGGGTGTCCATATCCTCGGCCTGCGGATAAGCATCAGACATGAGATTTGCATACCCAGTCCCACTTGACGCAGATACAGAGGGTCCGTACGAAACACCATTATCTTTGCGCGAATGTAATTCGGCATCAAAGTAAAGTTCTGGATGTGTCTGACCGCGCTCGCCGTAGTAAGCACCCTGGGTTTGGCGTGTCAAGATTGAGGCTCGATGTTCTGTCGTTGTTTGCGACTCTGTCGCCGTTGCAGGCTGGGTAGCTTTCTGCAGGGACGTATCGAGATAGACTTCTTGAGGCGGTGTCGCTAGCGGGACATCGAACATTGCATATCTTCCTAGACCGCCCTGATACTCCGAAGCTATTAAACGTGATTCATCTTGAAACTCCACTGGGTTTTTTGTGAGCTATATCAAATCCATAAACGCGGACGAGGCGACGTACCTGTCCATTCATCTGCCTGTGGTATATATGGAGGTTTCTTGCATGTCAGGTCGATGAAGTTGAGTCTAATGCCACGTTTACACTCCCGGTTGCTTTTTCGGCAGTTCCTACAGTCGGGTGTTTCTTCATCGCACTTCAGATGCCGTTCTCTGCAAGTCAGACACCCGGTACGAACTCTCTTGCTCTTGGCCGGCACCGCATCCGAACCAGCCATCTCGGTACCCCTCTCGTTTGCCTTGGACTTTCGAGTGTCCAGCTTGAGTGGTTTCTTCTTCTCCGATGGTGGGGTCTCGAATGGCTCGATTCCCAAGCCGTTGGTGACGGTTCGCGGCGACGAGGGCCTCTCGGCATGCTGATGTGCGAGCAGCGCAGTCGCGCCAAATCTCCTGGCCGCTACGATGGCGTTCAGCGAGGCGGCGTCGGTCACCGCCAGAGCTATTGTAGAGACGCCCCCGAAGAGACGATAGTGTGCAAAACTTGAAATAGAAACACAGACGCACTCAACCACAACCTGGCTCGGCGGCTACAAACTACTCGGATTCATGTATGACAGGGACAATGGGAGGCCTGAGCCGGTAGATGGATATGTTACTGCTGCCACTCTCCTCTTTCCGCTTTCCCGTCAAACAAAGGTGAGTAAGGTGTAGGATTCAAACGTATCCGGTACAATCAAGAACCGAGGGCTATTATTAGGATCCTCGGATTGCGAAAAAAATACACACGGCGCCGTAAGAACAGATCCATCCATGCGGGGAAGAACGATGTGTCTCGTCGGTACCAGCAGAAAAAATCCTTCCGAGCAGTAATAAAGTAGCGCGGGTAAAGATGCAGGCACAGCAACCGGGCTCCGCCGAATGTCTTGAACTTCGAGAGTCTGGCTCAGCACCGACTGGCCGGGACCTGTACTGTGTAGGCGAGGAAAGCAAACCCTCGTAGGAGAATCGCGGACGGCTTGAAACCCACCAGGGATCCGGACTGGACGCCACCTAATTAGTCGGTTCGTAGGTGGTATAGCCAGCCTCTATTTCAATTCCAAGCTGAGACGGAGCGTATGAGAGGTACGTAGATAAGGTGTGTCTGTCGAGTACCATGTACTTGTGCGTCCCGAGTAATAAATGCACACAGGGCTAGCTCTCGGTATATAGGTGGTAGTATAGATGAACAAGGACCTAGACGGGCTGACTTGAAGGAATGTCAGTATGGATGGGGACGAAGAGAAGAGATGCTGCTGCTACCGTTAGGAATCTGAAGATACTGGTAGCTATCTACTGTACTGTTGTTCGAAGCTGTTAGCGTCACAAGAACGGGCGGGTTTCCCGAATTTTGTCCATCAAACCTGCCTCGAGTTACGGGACCGTGAACCCCTACCAACTCCATAAATGGGCAAGGTTCTAGGCTGCGAATCTGTCGAGGCCAGGATCAGATCCCGGGGATAGAACCGGGGACAAGGGATATTGCGCAGTAGTGTAGCAGCGTCGTGTAGGAAGCGGACATGTCAGTAAGAAACGTCACAGGCCAGGCAAGACTTGTGTGTGTGGCGGCCGCCCACTTTGAAGACGCCGCGGGCCTCTCTCCATGTCATCGAATCGCCGCAGGCTTACTTACACTCCAACTTTGGCCGAATCATCGCGAAGGCTCCAAGTAGGAAGATGACTACCGTAGATGTGTTGAAGCAAATGCATAGTCGATCATAAGAGTACCCGGTAGTTGTTAACAATGACGACTTACCTACCGGCAGACTACCGGTATGCCTATAACCACATACCTAGGTAGGTAGATAGAAGGCGTACATCTCAAGATGATGCCGCCATATGCATACTTCGTAGTATGTAGGCGGATGCCAAGATATGTACCTACATTGGCATCATCGTGGGTACATCCACGTGTAGCGTAGATACCTAGGCTAAGTACTTACATACTGTAGCGTAGCATACTACCTACTGTACTTTACTGGTAGCTCCCGCCTAATCCACTATCTACTTAGTTCTTTAGGTACCTACATATACCTAGGCACCTAAGGTATGTAGGGAGTTCCGCCAGATCCCGCCTTACTTCCACTACCTACTTCACGTTTATGCCAACTACCTACCTACATATAACATCGTATATGTATGTATGTAGGTATGTAGGGTAGCAGAGCGGTAGGTACGGCGGGCGAGTTCAGGAACGGCGTGGGATACCTAGTCGGGAGTAGCCTGGCAGGACCGGTCACTGTGGCGTGCACTAGGGGGCCATAGGGGGCCATAAGTAATCCAACAAAAGAATGGCATCAATAAATGATAATCATGATCACACCAGAGATCACACTCTCCCCCCCATGGCTGGCTGTGCGACCCCGGAAGGCCTGCTGGCCAGACTGCTCTTCCTACTGTATAAGTTAATGCGTTCGATGATCGTGGCTCGTATCACAGAGCAGTCGTAGTAGACACGAAACATACCTGACTTCCAAGGTTCCGTACCATTCAGGTGATGTAAGTAGGTAGCTCTGATGCATTTGCGAGTACAGGGTAAGCGGTGTTAGCAGCAGAGATAGATTTTTACTATTCACTAGGTACGCTAGACATCCGTTGATGTTCTATAGTAGACCTGAATGTTTATCTACTGTGCCTAGGTATGAGCACATGTTTTCGGCTTGACTTGCTCTTGATGATTTTCCTGGGGAAGAAGCTTGAGGGTAAAGCCGGGGGCTTCCCTCGGCTAGACACAACATTCCAAGACGTTGTCCTGTCTACGCAGAACACATCAAATAAGTACTCACACGTCTACCTAGTTGATGCCCGGCAGTAGGTACCTAATATGTAAACAGGTACATGTCACCAGAAAATACCCTTAAGGTTGTATTACTCGCGAGAAGCTCAGCCAATGAAGACGTTGATAGGAGCGCTGGGATTTATTAAATCAAGATTTTGGCCGACTGTCATTCGCCTCCAGCTGTATTAATTCCCGCTCAGGATACCGCATCTCCCCTTAAAGGAGCCGTGATCAGCCGCGCCCTGCCCCCACGGATGACAGTAGGCCCGAGCAAATGGTTCGATTATTGCTTTTCTCCAGACTAGTAGACTATCAAGCAGGCGCGTGAGCTTAGCTTGGCGATCTCGGCCGTTCCTCTGGGAGATAGTTCGCATTGGTGACTGAGTTGAGTTGACAACTGTCTGTCTCGCGTTAATAGACGCAATAGATGGGTGTAGAAAATAGGGGAGATTCTCAATACCGCCTTGATGTCCTCGGCCTTGGGCTTTCGTTCAATGAGAGCAGGAAGGGGAAGAAGAAAGGGGACCGAGGGCGGCGTCGTTGCCGGTTAGCACGCAGCCGATGGCTGAGCATTTGTTTCCTGTCCATCCCGGCAGCAGATCAATACTTCGTAGGTGGCAGGCGAGGGCAGGTAACGATGCCTACCTCTACCCACCAACAACCTTGGAACTTTGAGGCTCCTTCCGACGTCACCTTCCGATGCAAATAGCAACCACGAGCGGGAATTTACAATGAGTCGACAGAGCCAAGTCTTGACGTGTACTACCTACTGTATGTAATAAGATGATCCGCCTACTACATACCTAGTGTACCTACAATCACATGTCTGATCTGCCCAAGAAGTTATTAGGCCACCTAGACTTAGCGGCCAAGGGCCTTTAGCTTCCAGCTTGCTAATGTCAGCACCCGATCGCAGGGGTGCAGAGCGGCGGCAGTGGCGGGTATCTAGATTATTATTATGTGCGCTTATCAAGTAAGCACGGGGTAGTAGGTACTGTAGTTACTATGTACATAGATTTCCCTCCCCCCTTCCCTCCGAGATGCTATAAAATATTCCCATCAGCCGTTCCGACAGCGAATAATCGGCGGCACAAAACCCTCTTCCCTTCCCTCTCGCCCTAACTGCCATGCCCCGGTTCCGAACCCGGCCGACTTTGGCCGCATAGGTATCCCAAATGGGATGAACTTGCGAATCAGTTAACGTAACATAACTCACTACCGGTAGGTATGTATCCATCGTACTTGTAAGTATATAAGTGGGTGGGTAGGGGTCTTTTGCCAAGGGCGGTAGGATTCCGGGAACACCAGAGCACCTGGAGTCCCCAGGCAGACTAGACTCTGACCTGAACCAGAAACCTATCTAGGTATGTAGGAGGCTTACCGTAGTATTGGACACTAGTCGACTAGACTTGTGCCTGCTTTTCCGCATCAGTCCGATTGTACATGTAAAAGCTATTATACTTAATAGGTATTATTATTGCCCCGTACTCTACTCATACTAAGTATGTAGGTAGGGCAGAGTAGGGACATGCCAAGAGCGGGGCACGATAATCGGCTTCGAGCCAAGACGCAGTGCAACATGCGCTCCGTGTTTCTCAGGTGAAGCCATTGAAACTTCAGGCAACGAAACGCGCAAATGGGATCGTTTACGAGGTGGTATTTGATATGCAGCAGGACGACTCGCATAGTGGTGTCAGCACAACAGCTTAAGTAGGCGTTGGAGGCATGTAGGATGGCGCCACTGATGCTTCAACCGCCTACCAGACGCCTACCTACCTACCTACGGTACGTGTACCTCACTCAGCACCTTTACTTCTAGAGTAAGTTTTACTACGTACTGACTGTAGTACATACATTATGGAGTGCTTTACCTAACTGTAAGTAGTACAGTGAGATATGGTAGTGCAGCGGAGAGCAAATACCGGTGCAAAGGAACCCTTCCGATTCGTCGATCTGGCATCTTGACCACATGCGGTCAGCCCCATTCCCTGGAAAGCAAGAAACGGCCAAGCAGAGAAGGCCCTCAACCGTGGCAACTTTTGGCGAATGCTCTCCGCAATCGAGAAACACCCGTAAGCAGCCACACATGGTGATAGCTTCATAGTGTTCTGGCGAGCTTAAGCCGACGACTATTGAGTGCTAAAGCCAATCAAGTGTCTACAGACACCATTTCCGACATAGATCAGTCTAAACTACGCAGGAGCGGGCATTGGTCCAGAATGTCCCAGCAGCCAGCAGCACAACCGAAGTCGGTGCTTCGGGGCCATCGCACCCAAGTCCACGCCACTACTTTCGTCAGAAACAACAAGCGTCTTGCGTCTGGTGACGCAGATGGCTTCGTAGTGTTATGGGATCTTACAATTATGAGGCCTCGGGCCGTGTGGCGTGCCCATACGGCGGCTATATTGGGCATTTCTGGATGGGGCGACGATAAGCTCGTAACGTAGGTTTCCCCGCTCGGCAATTCCGCCCACGGTGACGACAAGTCTAGGGGATCAGGAAGAACATTGAAACTCATCATCTTTTTTCTCTAGGGAAGGAAGAGACAATCGTCTGATCGTCTGGAAAATTACTACTGCGGATGAAGAGAATTTGAGCACGGATCTTCCTCTCGATGAGTCTGCGCCCGAACGTCCACAGCCATGGATACTACATATTTTAGAGGTCAATACTATGAATTTCTGTTCTTTTGCACAATGTTCGCCCAAGCCAGGCACCGATCTCGCCGTTTCCGACGAATTGCTACTTGCAGTGCCCAACACACTTGCAACAGAAGCCGTAAGTTCAGTGTACCCCATAGAGAGACAATCACCACGCCTCTTTAACTAACCATAGCTATAGGTCGACATCTTCCATCTGCCAAGCCAGACTCGGCTGAGTACTGTGCATTTGGGGAGTAAAACAGAGAAGAAAGGTATGGTAATGGCTCTCTCTCTTTTCTGGCGCCATGAATTCCTGTTCCTTCTAGCCGGCTATGAGAACGGTCTTGCTGTCGTGGCGCGGCGCAGGCATAAAGGAGCTTGGGACATCCTTTACAAGTATCAGGCACATAGCCAGCCGATCCTGTCACTTGATTGCGACCCCGAGAAGGAATACTTTCTTACTTCGGGGGCTGATGCTATCATTGCAAAACATCCAATTCCACACGCCAATCCCGCCACTCCCCTTGTTCCTGTCTCAGAGAAGGTAGTTACGCCCAGTGACGATAGTAAAGGGGTAGAAGAATCGAAGCAGCAGCTGTCTGGCCTATCGGCAGGTCTTGCAGCCATGTCTACGCCAGACACTGCGTCTCTACCACGTGGCCTTCCGAAAAAGAAGGCAGTAAATATCGAAACTTCACCATTGAAAGTAATTAACACCAAACACTCGGGACAACAAGGTCTGCAGGTCCGCTCAGACGGGCGAATCTTTGCCACGGCGGGCTGGGACTCGAAGGTCCGCGTGTACTCAGCTAAAACTATGACCGAGTTGGCTGTGCTCAAGTGGCACAATGTAGGTTGCTACGCTGCTGCTTTCTCTACACTAGAAGCTAGTAAAAGCGAAAGTGGCTCTGATGATCCCAACGATAACCATACAAAGGCCGAAGTTCAAGAACCGGCCAGATCTTCAGAAGACACGATTGCCGTGGAGAACGAAGAGAGAAGTGTGACTACTGGTATTGGCCTCGGAGAACTCAGTGTCAAGGATAGGAGGATTAAAATGGCGAAAGAAGCACACTGGCTAGCCGCCGGAAGCAAGGACGGCAAAATTAGTCTTTGGGACATTTATTGAGGCTTGTAATTGCTTCTAAAAACAACGAAATGCACCGGCACTAGCCGCTTAATCAGATCTGCGCTCATCAACGCCATTATCTAGAACCCATCTATACCATGGCAACCCTTTCGCCTTGGCTGGCTTGCTTCCGAGGTAGAAATTCCATCTAATATCTAGGTCATGCTATTCGCCGTTCGACGGATTGACTGCGGCATATCGGGGGGATTGGAGTACGGTCTACTCGGTGTCTTTTTTTCATTGAGGGTCTAATTTAACTCGGTGGGAGGCACAACGATTCCATACTTGTCATATGGGAAATTTGTGAGGTCCGGATAGTAATCGGCCCAACCATCGTCATGTTGGCCGAGTTGATGAAGGTCGACCGAGCCTGCCTCCCCCATACGTCCTGCCAGTATATCTTTCTCGCGACCTTCGTACTCTTTTTTCAGCATAGGATGCGGAGCCCACACAACACGCATGCCGGCTCTCCGGCCAGCCTCCACACCTGGTACGCTATCTTCAAAGACTAGGCATTCTTCTGGCTTGATGGGCGTCTCTCCCTCAGGCAGGCTGTCGTTGATAGTCTTGAGAGCTAGGAGGTAGATATCGGGCATTGGTTTTCCGCGACCGCGCTCGATGCGGGGGTCATCACCAAGAACGCGGCGATGAGACTCGAAGACAGAAAACAGCTCGGTCCAGTTCGTTGTCTTCACAGCAAAGTTTGCAGAGTTGCTGCTAGTGGCAAGCGCGATGTGGACTCGGTGGCCCGGCCCTTGAGCATTCGGCTTCTCGAAGCAACGAGTTTGGTCCAGGTTGGCCAGAAGCTCCTCGACACCCGGTAGTGGTTTAGCCTCCGGGAAGTGCTTCAGTTGTAAAGCAGAGTACTGGACCAAGTATTCCGCCTCAGAAATAGGTAGCTTGGCCCACTCGTGAAGAAGAGCGTTGGCATCGGGTCCGGGTCGTCCTTGGAGACGTGCCTTGATTGACCAGGGAAGATTTGGTCGCCCGTACTTCTCGAGTATGATGTTGAGGCACGAAGTGTAGATATCTTCGGTGTCAAGTAGTAGGCCATCCATATCAAAGAGGCATGCCCGCACAGGCGGGAAGCTATAGTAGCCATCACATCAGCTCGGATCGTGCTATTCTCAGCCATCTGATGAAAACGATAGACAACCATAATAACACCAAATCACTTACTCAGCGCGAGGGGCCATCGTCACAGATGAAATTGACGACGCCGAGAAAGGATGTTACAAGTAGCCGTGTTTAGATGACACAACTATCTTGAGATGAGGAGGTACAACTTGGTGCTTGTTTTCGAGTATTCGGGGAGGTGGCTTATAATATTTTTGTGTTCTGTGGGTGTGCTCAGCAACTTTTCCCGCCTTGTATAACTTTCTAGAAAATTTCCATCTAGTGATTTCTCACGATGCCGTCTTATTTGATGGAGGGGCACTTGTCTAAGACAAGCACAAACACCCCGCCGGTGATACAAAACCCCACCTGCCCGTTCAGTATAGGCAAGAGTTAGCGATGACTGGGCCGCGATCGATAAACCGATAAGCCCCAAGCTCCCAGCTGCCCCAGCTTACCGTTAGATGCCTTTAGCGCTGTACCTACCTAATTCTAACTCCAGGTGGGCAGTTAGTTACCTACCTACTGTAAGTACAGTGGTAGGTGCAGTAACGATGTGCAGGCACCTACCCGCAATGGAGCAGCAACTCTTGCTGCCAATATTGTGTCTATCTTTGCTTACCTTTACCTACCCAGCGACGACGACGACAGCAAATTAATTCTGTACCTAAAGTCACTAGTAACACGCAGATGGAACCATCCAACACAGATCCTAGCCGGAGCGAGGCTGTGCCTGACGGAGATGACGAAGACTCGACATTGCCTCCAAGATTCCCTCCAGAGGAAGAAGCGGCATGTACACAGACCAAACCCGCCCTTCGATCGCCTCTCTCGTGCTAACTGCTCCCGCCATTTGCACAGAGCCTCGTCAGTGAATCTAATGAGAAGAAGTCCGAAGCGAATGCTCTCTTCTCATCCGCTAAATACGAAAATGCTATCAATAAATACGAAGAGGCCTCCGCCATTTGCCCTCATTATCTCGACTACGAGCTTGCTGTGTTGAAGTCCAACATTGCCGCCTGCCACCTCAAACTCGAGCAATACAAGGAGGCGATACAAACCGCTACTGACGCCCTAGAGAGCCTAAGTCGCTCTGAGAAAGCCGCGCTTGAAGATGCCAAGAAGTCGGGCGAGGAAGCCCAAGAACATGTCGAAGAGGACGAGCCGGAAGAGGAGATTGTCAGTGCTGGCGCCCAGAAAAGTGCGCCAGCTATTGGAAAGGAAACGGATGCTCAAAAGACGGCTCGCAAGCGACAGGATGATATCCTAAGGATAAGGGCGAAAGCTCTGATGCGCCGCGCTCGGGCGAGGAGCGAGCTTGGGGGCTGGTCCAATCTTTCTGGTGCCGAGGAGGATTATAAAACTCTTTCCACTATGTCGGGATTAAGCAGCGCAGACGAGAAGATCGTCAGAACCCAGCTACGAGCTCTCCCAGCAAGGGTCAAGGCGGCTCAAGAGAAAGAAATGAGCGAGATGTGGGGTAAGCTCAAGGACGTGAGTATTCTTGTTTTCTTCCAAGTTTCTAGCAGTTTATCTAGACGGAGCAACTCTGGTAACTAATCAAATCTGTAGCTCGGTAACGGTATATTGAAACCCTTTGGCCTGAGTACCGATAACTTCCAAATGGTTAAAGACGAGAAAACAGGTGGCTATAGTATGAACTTTAACCAGAATCAAAAGCCCCAATAGCACTAAGTGCAAGGAGACGTCTTCACTTGAAGGAGGTCTGTTTGATATAATCAAACTAATGACGCTACGGGGACGGCCGTAAGCTTGCGGGCAGGCTTGGGATTCCTAAACATTAGACCTAGTTTGAGCAATTCACCCGTACTCCCTTTTGAGCAACGACGGCTACCTCAGATTCTCAGATATGAAGACGCCCATGACCATCGAGAAGAACGGCGCAGAGGCTTCAATAATACTATGCATTACATAACGAGGCTAGTCTATGACCATGTCTCATAGAACTCATATGGACAATCTGTTCTAGTGGAGCGGGCTAAAGCATGGCATGGTGCCCGCAATTCCAGGACATGGCAGCAAAAGGATTATTGGAGAGCGCTGTTTTCGAAAGATAAGGCTTGGAATTCACACGCCAATGCGAACACAGCGGCGGCTATCATTGACCCCCACGGTATCGTACTCTGCAATCGGAAGAGCCCAATCTCAAGACATGCACATGCATTGTCACGCTCGCACCTCGCTCGCCGGTTCACGCAGTCACACCGGTTTCCCCGCTATGTGCTCAGTTTAAATCGATATGATCCGCATGTATCTTAGAGAATCGGCGTGCCTGAGTTTTGATGCCGCCCCTTCCTGATAGATTATACGACCCCAAGTCAATATCTATACTCTTTTGTGGAATCGTAGCTTCACCATGCCAGCCACTATAACAACAGCTTCTGGTGCAACCTGGGAGGAGGTAGCCGCAGATCGGCAGCGGCATCGTGACATCAGTTTAGCATCGTTTAAACCATCCCCCCTTAATCTACCGACAGGCAGCATACCAGTTGATACATCAGCTATCCCCAGATCCGTACTCGCAGCCCAGGATGTAGAAATCACAGAGAAGAACGTAGAGGACTTGGTCCCGATGCTTGCTTCAGGTCAATGGAGCGCAAAAACAGTCGTCCAAGCCTTCATGCGGCGAGCCGCTCTAGCACAGCAGCTCGCGAACTGCGTGACGGAGCTGCTCCCTGAACAGGCCCTTAAGAGAGCAGCCGAGCTAGACGACCATCTTGCTGCCACGGGGAAACCTATTGGTCCACTGCATGGCGTCCCGATCAGTGTCAAGGAGCACATCATGATGAAAGGCCTCGATTCAAACGCCGGTTTCGTCGGCTGGGTGGGCAGGGTCGCCGAGGAGGACGCGCATATCTTGCAGATCCTCTGGGCTGCGGGTGCCGTGTTTTATGTACGGACTACGCAGCCCCAGACGCTTATGCATCTCGAGACGAGCAATAATCTGTACGGGTAAGTTCTAGGAGTTCTTTAGGCTGTCTTTTTTCTTCATCTTTTAACTTTTGCTGTGAAGCGCCGACAGTCTTGCGAGATAACTAGTGTAGATGATAAAGAGTTTACTGCCCAAAGTGTCTATCCCTGCTGACTCTATGCCCTGTTTTCTTCCCGTCCACTTAGTGCCACGGTAAATCCTTACAACACAACCCTCACGGCCGGTGGGTCGTCCGGCGGCGAAGGCGCATTGGTAGGTCTCCGGGGCTCTGTGCTAGGCATCGGAACGGATATAGGCGGATCGATACGGTCCCCGGCCGCTAATAACGGCGTCTTCGGATTCAAACCCACGGCGCTGCGACTCCCTGTGGGCGGATGGGCCCTCACGATGGCGGGTGCCGACCATATTCTTCCGACTATTGGGCCGCTATGCACGAGTCTTGAGGGTGTCTTGCTCTTCGTCCGTACGATTTTGCACGCGAGCCCGTGGCTTAAGGAGCCCAGTCTGATCCCGATTCCGTGGAAGGACGAGGTCAAACCAAGGGCTGGAAATGGGGCCAAGCTGAGGGTCGGAGTCATATGGGATGACGGCGTCGTGAGGCCTCACCCTCCTGTTGCGGCTGCCCTGTCGCAAGTCGTCGAGAAGTTACGGGGTAGCGACGAGATAGAAGTCGTAGACTGGCAGTGCTACAAGCATGATTTGGCGTGGGAGATTATCGTACGTCCTTAGCCCCCATTCGTGTCAGGTTATTGACCGATATTCTTCTTTCTAGAAGCTCGAGGCTTCAGACATCAAGAGTCTATCTAGCTGATATCGTTGTGGTCTAGGCAAAGCTATATTTCTGCGACGGAGGCGCGGAAGAAAAGGCCGCCGTCAACGCTTCCGGGGAACCCTTTCGACCCCTATCAAAATGGATTCTAGAAGAGAATCCACACGTGCGGGAACACACGTGAGTTTCACACACGCCTTTTATATAATTCTCATATATGATGCTGCATTCAGAATTAGCGAACTCACTTGTGACGAAATATATCATAGGATTCCAACTCTCTGGAAAGCACATCAAGAGCGCGATGCCTATAGGGCTTCATACGCCGCCCTCTGGAACGAGCAAGGCGTCGATGTCATTCTGTGTCCAGGTTCGTCTACTACAGTAACATGCGATTCTTCCACATAATTCATGAGAAAGAGTCACCTGCCCAGATATTCTCTACTCCCTCCACCTCCGCAAATCCTCACTTTCCCCCCTCTCTCCAAAGTTCCAGCCCATGAAAACCATTAACTGACCTCAAATTCAAAATAGTCGGCCCAGGCGTCGCGCCTAAACTCGATACCTCTCGATACTGGGGATACACAGCACAGGTAACTAACCACTTCATTCCTATGAAAGGCAGACATTCTTTCCTTCTTCTCATATAGATATAATGTACGTACTAAACAATACACCAACAACAGTGGAATCTCCTCAATTACCCAGCCATCGTATTCCCCACGGGCGCCAAAGTCGGGCGTGATACTCCAGGAGTAAGAGTAGGGGCAGAAGATCTCGGCACGCACGAATACCCGGCCGATTACAAGCCCTTGAGCGAAGCTGATGCGTATAATTATGGCTTGTGGAAGGACAATGGCGTTCAAGGATATGATGGCGCGCCTGTGTCGTTGCAGCTCGTTGGGCGGATGTGAGTTTCTTTTTTTATTTTTATTTTTTGGTTTCATTTCATTGTTTTTGTTTGAACTCGTTTACATATTCCCCCGAATTTATATTGCATTATATAGAGGTTCCCGTGAGCAGATCCTTTGCTAGCAGAAAGCTAATTGTCTCGGTTGTGTCTTAGGTACGAAGATGAGAAATTGCTTCGGGCTCTGGATGTCTTGCTCGACGCGGCTGGGTTGGCGAAGACGTGCTGAGTAAGTGGGCTAGCTAGGTGAAGGGATGCTGGATGTCATTTAGCGATGATGCGGATATTAATATGTTATCACGTCTACTCCGTGGTATTGAATTCGAATATGTCGGAGAGAATACATCTATATATTTGGACAGGATCTTCTCTCCCTGCTCGGGTTCTTATTTACTTGCTTCCATGAATCGTGATACATGAATGATATTTTCAAGGTTATAGCACCAATTATTCGAGCACAAGCCTGGCAATTTGTTCTTCTGAATATCTCAAATGCATCAGTACTGTTGTGTAATGACATATCAACACAACGCTTTGAATACACATCCACACGCCCTTACAATCACTCGCTCTCCCTTCTCGCGTAGCACCATTCACCGTCTCACTTCTTCGAGAAAAAAGACATAATATTCCCCTGGCCCCCTTTCCCAGCAGCGCCGCCCTTCTTCGACTTTGTCGTCGTAGACGGTTCCGCCTTGACGCTCTTCTGCTCTTGTGGCTTGGCCTTAGGGGGTGGCGGTGGCGCTTCGTCTTCGGAGAAGGACTCCCAGCCCGCCTCCTGCATGGTGACGAGATACCCCTTCTCGTCCAAGATCTGCTTCTTGCGCATGACGCGGCGCCGTCCCCGCCGGCGGCCACCAGTCGTGCTCGAGACTACTTCGGCCGGTTCCTGTTCTTCTGTCTTTGTCTCAGTTTCTGGTTCAGGTGGTGGTGGTTCTTCGTCCATCGGGTCCTCCTTTTCGGCTTCGGCTTCGGCTTCTTCTTCTTCTTCTTCGTCGCTTTCTTCCATCATGCGCTGGAGTTCGGCCTGGCGGTCTTTACGCGCCTGTCGAGCACTGCTGCTTTCTTTGTTGTCTTCGCTCTTGACGCCTGACATGGGCTCTGCGTCATCTTCTCCATCGTCTGACAGGGCCCCTGTAGCTTGGTTGTCCTCAGCAGCAACTTTTGGTGGTGCTGGTTTCTTAGGTTTGGCGGCTGCTTTAGCAAACATCTGCCCGATACCCGAAGATCCTTGACGTTTCAAGGAGGCCGCGGGCGTGGGCTTCTTTGCGGTAGTAGACGCAGTAGCAGATTTAGCAACTTCCTTGGGCTCTTCCTTTGCAGCTGCAGCTGGCGTGGGCTTTGCTTCCTGCTTGACAGGCGCTTTTTGTTCGACTTCAGGCTTGGGCTTGCTTGCTGCCGGGATTGGCTTGCCTTGGCGCTTCCTCTTACGCACGTTCTTGTTGGCTATGGTGCCATACACCTTGCTAGGATTGGGGATACCATCCGCTATAGAAGTTTCTTGGACTTGTCGCGTCACATCGGTAAGGAGTTGTAGGTCCTTTAGTGGATGTGGCGCTAGGCTATAGATGTGAAGAGAAGTAACCTCAGTGTACTGTGACAATGTCTCTACATAATCAATCAGTCTTCACCTGTATTGCTGCTAAGTCTGTTGAGAAGGTGCCCGAACCCACCTTGAAGCTGTTCCTGTCTCACCAAGGAGAGGGTGAAGGTGGGTACTAGATCAGAATACGGTGCGTCCGCGGCTTCAGACGCCTGAGAGTCGGTCATCTCGACATCTTCGTCTTGGGATACCGGGCGACTCTTGGTGCCATAGATTATATAAGTCGCATGCAACGAGTCAGGTCGTTTATCGTTCTGCCGCTTGTGGAAGTCATATAGCATTCTGCCATTTATCAGCGTCCAGTTCCATCTATACGACCATGTCCATTATATGAGAAGCATACTCTTTTGCCGCATTCACATGAACCTTTAGAGCCCGGCTTAGCAACCGATATGTGACCTAGAAAAAGAGGTTAGCATTGATTGAATATTATGGCAAGAGTTGGGTAATTGAAGGTTCGACGTACGACCTGATCCTCGGTCAGAATCTTCTGAGCCAGATACTGTTTGTAGTCCTCCATTTTCGAAGACGCAACCACTTGAACACCTGTTCACCAGGTAGAAAGAAAGTAGAGCGAAAATGGCTCAGACAATGGGAAATAGAGAGTAAGAGGTTCGTTCCCAAGCTCAACGGCAGATGAGAAACATGGATCAAATCCGTGAGGTCAGTGAGCGCGTTACAGGGATTATACAGCATTGCAGGGGGCCAGACAGGGGGGGTGCAAGAGACGCGTTAAGTGGTGGGGGCTATGCGTGAAGCCAGAAAGTACCGTCTCTGCAAATTTGTATGAGAAAGTAACATTGACTTACATGCTGTACTTACTTTGTGCCTGGCAACCGCGTTCTAGATCTAAAAGACGTGCCTGTCTTAATTGCACTGGAGCTGTAGAGCGCCACCACAACCTGGGAACGTCTGCCTTGCTGTGGATGATTCCATTCGAGACATTCGTAACTGACGCCTGTTTGTGTAATCGGTGTACTTGGTTGATCTCGGCTTGATACATACGAATTTACAAAAGCGAAAAGAGTGTCGGCGTGTCTTGATGCTGAAGGCGATAGACAGCAGCGTACCAGAGCTGATCGGGAGAACAATGCGCCTCCGTCCTCCTCACATCTAGAAAGACCCTTCACGAGCTCTCCTCAACCAAAGACCATATACACTACACAACGCCCACAATGAATACCGACGACTTCAACAGCGTCGCCGACTCGACAGATTGGCTATCGACACCACTCTCAGGTCTCTCCGCCGTTGAGGCCGCCCTCCGCTGCCAGGTCTGCAAGGATTTCTATAAAACACCCATGCTCACATCATGCAACCACACCTTCTGCTCCCTGTGCATCCGTCGTGCCCTCTCTACCGCAGGGAAATGTCCGTTATGCCGCGCCTCCGAGCAGGAGATGAAGCTGCGAAGTAATTGGTCCATGGAGGAAGTCGTCGCCGCCTTCACACAGACTCGGTCTGCCGTTCTCGACTTTGCGACGAGACCGCCGCCGAGAGAAGACATGTCGAAGCGAAAGGCAGACGACATGGTGGCTATAGAAGATGGAGGAGAAGAAGAAGACATGACACCGAGCAGCCAACGCTCGAGCAAGAGGCTGCGTTCCTCGGCGCGTCTCAGCAAGACTCGCAGCATGGCCGCCACCGCCGAGATAGCGCGCCAGGAATCCCATATCCCAGATCCCGAGCCCGAGCAACCCGAGCCCGAGCCTGATGACGGCCTCGTCGCCTGTCCGATCTGCTGGAGGCGCATGAAAGCAATCCTAGTAGACAAACACATCGACACGACATGTCCAGGCGAGCCACAACCACAACCAGCCCCGACTCCTCCAACACGGCGCATTCCAGCTAAACCAACGAGTATAACCGGGGCCTTCGCATCCACCTCATTATCCACCAAGCCACCTCCCGAGCGCATCCCGGCGCTGAACTACTCCATGCTCAGAGACACACAGCTGCGCAAGGAACTTGCAGATCTAGGCCTCTCGACGAGCGGGAACAGAGGCATGCTAGAGCGGCGCCACCGCGAATGGGTCATGATCTGGAACGCAAACTGCGACAGTCAGCGGCCGCGGCGACGCGCAGATTTACTCCACGACCTCGACGTCTGGGAGCGCACGCTGGGCTCGCGAGCGCCGACGACGTCCCGGTCCGCAGCCATGGGTGCACAGATCCGGGACAAGGATTTCGACAGCGCGGCCTGGGCCGCGAATAACGGAGACTCCTTCCGGGATTTAATAGCCAATGCGCGGCGCACGCGGGCACAGGCCCAGAGTAAATCCAAACCGGACGAGGTGAACAGGAAAGAAAATAATCCGATCAATAGGACATCAGCTCCAGATGAATCTAGCACGACAGTAGTAAAGACGATAGAAGAGCCGGATGCACCGCCGATAAGGCTAGATACAGCCGAGAAGCCGGTCCTTGAAATCGTAGACGATCCGCCGACCATGAGGCGCTTAGAAGGAGGGGAGATGGCAAGCGGATCAGCGGCATCTATATAAGAGACTTCATTTTTTCATCTGATGATAAATATTACAAACTTAATACTTACGTAGGTAAAACACCCTACAATCATCTCACGTGAAATTTCGGTGGTATAGAAGAGGAATATACTCGTGTGTATGTATATTTGTATGTATGCATGTATGTATACACGCACACGGGGATATTATTTCATTCAGATTAAGTAGATTCGTCGTACGAGCAGAAAAGTCTGTACAATCATCCGATATGATATGATCGATTATCTACTCTGCCGGAACCATCTCCTTCTCCTTCTCTTGTTCTCTGGACGACTCATTGCGGGTATTATCTAAATGCATCCCGCCCAGCGCATCCGCCGCCGCCGTAGCCGGAGACACCGGCCTGCCGTCCGCGACGGGAGTCGGACCGAGTTTCTCGAGCTCGGCCAGTCGTCGTCTCGTCTCGTCCGCCTCCTTCTCCCGTTCTTTCTCGCGCTCCTCCTCGAGCATGCTCTCAAGCTCGTTGTCGACTTCGCTTTCATCAATCACCACGCCGGCGCCGGCGCCGACTTCGGCAATCACATTGCCCACCTCGTCGACCTCACCCATCTGCTCCCGCAAGTCATCCAAGACGGCGTCGACTCTGTCTGCGCCGCCGACCTGTGCGTTGAGGCTGCGGAGCGCGCCGGTGCTGGACTGCATGACCCGGACGAGCTGGACGTTGTCGGCTGCCTGTTGGATCTTGGCGGCCACGTCTTCGAGCTGGTTCAGCGTCGCATAGCGTGTTTTCAGGTTGTTCTCTGCTAGTTTTTTCGATTTGAGCGTCGCGAGCGCCGAGACGCGGTCCTTTCTACGAACCGCGTCCATCGCGGCCTGGCTTTGCTCTTCGACACGCCGACTTAACGCCTTGGTCTGGTGCGTCAGTTCCTCTATGAGCTCCTTCAGAGACGCGATGGCGGAGTCCTCATCTGATATGGACGCCGTCTCGCCACGCTCTCGAATCTTAATCGTGTTGCCGTCCGTCGCGAGCACTTCTTTATCTCTCGAGAGAAACTTGATGAGCACGTCGAAGTCGTTGTCCGATAGCCTCTGCCCGTTTAACAAGTTCGCCTCGAATGTCCGCCGGAAATGCTTCCGCGAGAAGATCCGCTCGAACGGCGCTATCCGGTCCGCCGTTGCGTCCGAGAATGCTTTCGCGATGACTTCGAGATTCTGAAGAACGACCACCACCTGCCCTTTGGGCATACTGTCGCTCGGTCCACCTGTCAAGCCGATCTGCCGTAAGGCCCACCCCGCCACAGCGAAGGGTATCTGTCCCCATGATTTATGGTATATGCTCTGCGTCGCCTTCATGAACTGCGGTAGTGGAAGCATTTCTTGGCTCGCAAGAGCCTCCTGTAGGACCGTGCCCAACGCCAGCGGACGGCCGAACTGCGGGCTCTCAAGGGCGCGGAGCAGGGCATCGCCGAGTTCGAGGGTTAGGTGGTTTCGGGCGGGTGATTTCGACGGCGTGTGGCCGGCCAACGCAGCGTTGGACAAGCCGCGTTTCCAGGCGGATACGTTTGCTTGGAAGCCATCGGGGTTCAGGGTTCGTTGGGGCCGGAAATCGGAGTAGAGGGCGGGAAGACGAGCTCTGTTGCCAATAAGGGATGAGTATGTGAAACATTGCGCGAACGATAGAATAACGCCTCTCATTTACCATAGAAGCTAAGATAGCTGTCATACTTACTTTCGGAAATTAGGGTCATTGTGTAATAGGTAATCAAGCAGTTCACTCATAGTGAATGATGGACTGGCAGGCTCTTCTTTTCTATGTTTGTTTATTCCGTCTGGATGAAGATGCTGTGTGTATATGTAGGCCGAAGCAAAGCAGTGTATGTCGAGGACCAAGGCAGAGAGATTCAGGCTTCCGCTTTATAAATGCTGCCTAAGAAATGGCATGTTCTGAGCAGTATCCAAGAGTTTCCCGCAGCATCGGGAAATCGCCAGTTGTGGTGAGAGATGGGATGAAAGAGGTCGAAGTTTAGGTACGGTTCTGTTGTTTATCAGAGGCAACAAGTCAAGTACCTACTTAGGGACGGGCTTATCGGGTCTTATCCATGCGACGTCACTTAGGCCACCCAGTCGTGGGGTAGACATCGACTTAGGTAACATAGGTATCTACCTACAGATCTTCATAAACTTAATGCAGGCATTATAGTAGATTTCCAGCATATATGTTTGATATCCATTCGAATCGAATTCTTGACACGCAGGAGCATCGCTACTTAACCTAACTTAACTCAGGTAAATCACCATCTCGCAAAAGTATTTAGTCCTATGTAGGTAGTTACATCTATCCCTTACATTTTATTTCTCTCTCATAGGGAAGACTATACCTTTTCATATCACCATATACCATCAATAAGCTCTATTCATCGCGTAGAGAACATGAAATATCCGAACCTAAACCACACTCTAATCATAGAAAATGCCCCAATACCTGATAGTAAATACTTAAGCAGACGTAGCGCACTGCATTACTTGAGATTATATTCACATACTTCCACACATACTTAACCTACCTCTCTGTACCAATCAAATATCATTGATCCCTCTCATAATCCAGGTGCAGCGATCGTATTACTCCAAGTCTTCACAACCTTACAGATGAACAGCTGAAAGACGCACGGACCACACCAACCCATGTAAGACAAGACAATCCCGCACACAAACAAGTCCAGTTTATTTCCCAAATTCGCAAAGGCCACCGCCCTTTCTCCTCAACTCCAGGCCTCTCCGCTCCCAGCATTTCTATCGAACTACCCATATTGAGGACAAACCATTGCGAAAAGATGCAATGATTCTAATATTCGCAGTCACTTTGAGCGCACGAACACCAAGTGAGGATTATAAATATTCAATACGACTACTAAACTAGAACAAGCAGGATCTAGTCGAAATCTTATCTACTTAGGCCAACAACAAGACTTCTAATCCGCACCTATGTATGGACCGCAGTAAACAGAACAAAAAAAGAGGGAGCCCCCTAGCCCCCAAAAACCCTTTCCATGCGCCGAGCCGTCCTCACTCCGTTCCATCCCGTTCTTCTGGAACAGAGTTAGGCTGAACACCACCTATCGAAGCCCCCGAGGTTCAAGATAGGATGCAATAAACGATGATAAAAATTCACGGTCGACGACGTACATAGTCGTCGTCAAAAGACGCCGTGAGAGGGGATTCCGATCAGAACGTCTTCAAAGACACGACCAAATCCTAATGCGTGAAAGAAAACTAGCCAGAGCGCAGAGTTGTCAAGAGGCAATAACCAAGTAGCCCACCCAGTCAACTGCGCCGGAAGAAAACAAAGCGCTTCGCTAAAGAACCAGCTGACCCCATCCCGATCGCTAACCAAATAGAGAGATATACAATTGAACCCATGAGTAAGATGCATGCTGTGAAGTCAGAATGACGAGGCGATCGTGCCGTTCCGATTTGAGAACCACCGATTCGATCGACCGCTTACACAAGTTCGAAACCTTCATCTTCGACAAGCTCGGGCTCTGGTAATGGAGACGCCGTCCTGCCCCGGTGCAGGTCCTTGAGAGCCTTTCGGCCCTTGACCGCGTTTCCGTTATAGTCCAGAATCTCGTACTCTTTCTCCACAAACTTCTCCGTCGCCTTCGTGTTTGTCTTGACGAACACATCGAGTGACAGTGGCTGTCCCGGGCTCTCCGTCTTGTCGAAGCTATACAGGAAGTTGTCGGACACGCTCTGTCGTCGCAGGGCTGAAGAGGAGGATGGGAGTAACTCGTGTAGTGACCGAGACAAGTTGGAAGGGTCTTGCAGTTCGACTAGGATGTTTGACTTGGCGCGCGTGTGACTGGCGGGATAGCCATCGTACCAGCCGCCTACGTTTGGCTTGTTCATGTTTGCTGAGCGGAAGTGCTTTCGGCTGCGATCTGGTCAGTATTCGATCTAGGGGAATATCCGATGTTGAGAAGAGGTGATCACTCACGTTCCTAACTGCTTGGGTCGAACCTTTTGCTGTTGGCTCTCGCTCCCTGTTAATTCATCGCTCATCCCCACCATCCGAACGCCAGGCGAAGCGCGTGTTCCTAGCTCCCACTTGTGGTTGTGGTCCTTGACTCGCTTCGAATCGTGGGCGATGCTTCGCAGATCTCGGGTCTGTTCAAAAGCCATGGTGGGATAGGGAGAATGAATAAAAGGTTTCGGAGGTAGTCGCAGTGTAGAACAAGTACGACTGCGGACGGCAGCAGGATGTTCGGTACTACAGAGTTCACTGCTCAAGTTCTGGATGAAGCAGGTGGCTGATGGAAAGCCTTGAGAGGGGAAACGAGGATATTATGTTCGCGGTGTGTGTTCCAAATGATACACGGGTCAACGGGAAGTTGACTGTAGGTTTTTGAGAGAGAAGAGGAGGATTTCCAAGTAGGATGGAAGGAAGAGAAAGCGATGAGAGGCAACAGAAACTGGGTGGGAATCACGCGGTAAGTGGACGATGACGATTAGGCAAGGCGCGATTTGGCAAGTCTTGTGCTTGTTTGGGCGGTTGCTGTCTGCGAGGCCGGGGAAGCGGCTTTGTTCTCTGCAATTGTTGGAGTGAACAAGGCACGGACTAAGGAAGGGAGCTACGTCCAGGCTCTATACAGTCGGTACAGTCGGTACTATGGAAAGACAATCTCGGAATCAGGCGGCGCACGTATACAATGTCAAGTGACGGAAGCACAGTGTCTGTCCGCTTTGATTGAGGGAAGGATAAGAGAAGGACAAGGCGATGAGGGTGGCTTTGTTCGAGACACTGATGTCAGACAGGCGCTTAGGTGGGTGTTTGGATAGATGGAGTCAGGTCAATGAGGCAAACGGAGCAAAGAGCAAGTGTGAGTGGTAGAGGGGTAGGAGGTAGGAGGTATGTATTTATTCACGATGATGATCAGGGTCAGGGTCAGGGTTAGGATCAGGGAAGGTGACAGAACAGTCAGTCAGTCAGTTAGTCACTCACTCACTTAAGTAAGTAAGTAAGTAAGTAAGTAAGAGGTAAGTAAGTAGAGGGCGGCAAATGACAAAGGGGGTTCGGCGGTCGTGGACAGTCTCTGGACAGTCAGTCGTAGGCTGTAGACGTGGGCCGTAGACGTGGGTTGGAGGCTGTATCGCGCAAATGGCCAAGGCCGTGTGACTCAGATAAGACCTTGACGCAGGAGCCAACAGGCGTCGACGGTCGAGACGAAATGACGACGGATTAGGAAATCCTGCTGCGATAAGCCGTTCGGGTCCCTCCTTGATTAGGCCGGCTAGTACCTATCATATATGTACCTAGGTACCTACCTACCTTTCACTTAGTACCTACCTGGTAGCCGTCCAGGTGCCCTTTCTGGGCGCTGTCTAGGTGTCTACCCCCCCCTGTAGTACCTGTAGTACGGAGTATAGGACTCTAGCGTGGCGCTTGTAGGTACCACAATCCAAACAACCCAAGGCCTTAAGGGTAGACAGAAGAAGAGGACGATGATGGTGATTTCTTCATGGAATGCATATTACTAGCATATCCTAGGGAAGGATACACAATCATCTCACTTGAAATATGCTGTACAACCAACTTCTTCACAGTCTTGGATGTTCCAGGATACAGTACATAATAAGTACACTCGTTAATGCTACTCACAGGCATAAGCCAGCCCAGCCAGAACATCTCCAGGCACTCTCGGACATTACTTATGACTCGATGAATGCGCTGGTATGTTCTGCATGGTATCTTACTATGCACTTTAGCAGCATCTGCCACTACTTACTGGCCACTGAGTAGTGGTTGGTAGACTAGATTGGTCGGTAAGTAAATATCATCCTCGATGTTTCAATAGGTAAAGGTGTCACAACTTAATTAAGTAAGTATTAGTAGAGACATGTGTAATGTCCCGGGTTGTTTTCGATACCTACCTCCCAGGTACCTCCGTACATCCGATAAGAATAGCTTGCTCGCACTCCTACAACCCACTCTAGGTAATCTAGATACCTCCAGAGGTGTCTATCTACAGATAAGTCTATGATACCTATCTCCATGCTAGGTAGGGTTACTGTAACTACTACGGTACCTACATAGGTAGGTAGGTAGATCAGGATGGGGTAGGGTGGGCTCGTGGACTACCTATCCGGCTTATCTATCCGAGGTGAATACCTACTTACCCAGCAGTCGTGGGTGTGTTCAAGATACATATGTAGGTACTGGCAGCCGTCACCAGTAAGAATCCCAAGAACGACCACGCCGTTACCACGGCTGGGGGAAGATAAATGATGATGGTGATGATGATACGATGACCTACCCTCCGGCTGGCCATGTGACGGGTTACGGCCAGCTGCTGACACAGCCCGGCTCAAGTTGACTGAAGCGGCGAAGGGTCCAATGAGCAGCTGCTGGATCGAGGGATGGATGTGAGTGGGCTCGCTGATTGGGGGGCAACTGATGACTTCCTTCTGAATCACGCTTGGCTCTCGTTCTGCGTTGTAGAGCGATTACCGAATACGCATATTACCTACATGTTTCTAACATTCGATCTTGTCACTTGCTAACCTAGGTCAGTATTACTTCGCTGACTCTTCCCGGCGTGGAGGAAGCCGGGCTAGGGAACGAATGAGGCAGCCAAGGTCTCCCTCCTGCTCTCTCTCTCTCTCCGTGTAGGTAGTCAAATGTCTAAGTTCTCCCTTTAGGTATTCTTACCTCCTCCAAATAGATTGATAGATATATAGATAGCACTGTATTCATCTGTCTGGGGTAGTAAGTTAGTCGACAAGAGACTATGTCCCTATTCTTAGCTTCAATGGCGCTGGGTGCTGGGTGCTGCGTACTGCCTTGGAATCGTGCAGCTACGATGCTAGCTTGCTCTCGCTCGATCTCAATGGGGTAAAACTTCAGGAGATTAGCATCATGGTATCTACTTATCTACATATCTATAGTAGTTGCCGATCTCACGATAGAGAGGATAGAGAGGTAGGCAAGGTAAGGAGAACGAAGACTGTTACCACAACAAAAACAGGGCGTCAGCCCCACGCCAAATACCCCGCGAAAGAGACAACAACAATCGCATTCGCCAATGAAGAGCATGCCGAGCTCGTTTCGAGCTATTCATGCTGTATGCAACCACGCCCGCGCTTTTCTCCTACCTTAGTCCGAACTATCCGACATGCAACGGAACTGCAGCCTGAGAGACCCGTCGTACCGGCGTAGTAGGTAGATGGAGAACAGATACCTACTGTAAGGATGGTGGTATATGATTCCTCGGCCAACGGCATTGGATACTGTATAGGATATGTTTCTTCCTTCCAGGTCATGGGATGAGTTGAGTTGCTATAATAGGTAATCCTCTTGGGGCAAAGATACTCTTTCGTCGGTGATTTCTGTCTCTGTTCGTCTGTTTCGCTCCGGACACAGAACGAGGATACCATAGTCATCCATCCGCCAATAGGGAACATCGACATGGTACACATTCAACATGCAACTTATCTATAGTATATTATATGTGTTAGGTATGTGCATGTATACACATTATGTATCTCGGCATACCTATCTATCTATGCGCCTAGATGGACGCGCAACAAGTGGGCGAGCCAACAAGGTCTCTCATACCAACAACACGATGAGCTAAGCTATAGTTGAATCCCTACATACTTCCTTATATTCAGGTATCATCTATAAACATAGCATCATTTATCGCCATCAAGTCAGCGAAGAAATACATCCGACAGTAACTACTATATATATTACGTACCTAGGTAGGTAGAATACGCAGTTTAGAGGCGCGGCGCGGCATGAACCCCCATGCATCATCACGTCATGTCACGTTCCCAGGATCTGGCCGAGACAGGGCTGAGACCGTCCGCGTGTCTTTCCAACCTGGAATGAATGCCATGATCACCACCCAGGATTCCAGACACACACGTGCGGCGGATTCGGCTTTCCGGACTAGGGTTCATCTAAGTAAGTAAGACTAGCCGTTGACGAATCGTGCTATTATTGTACGTAATGTATATCGCCAAGTATGCAATCACTCACTTACAGTAGCAGGTCGTTAAGCGCACTGGAGTGTGAATTGTCCTGTTCGATACAGATGGGTAGGCTTCCGACTCAGGACAACCCCGAACCAGACTTTGAGAGCCAACGCAATTACTGTAGCTATATTGGTTGCAAATATAACATAACAAACGCTACGTCATTGAAGTACACACACAATGCACATGCATGCTTACCTTCGACGCCGAGAGCGCCCAATACCATCATCACTCTCAAGATTTCTGTACCTAGTTGTCGACTTGCTTACCTACATGTATGCATATCTCATCGATTCATCCCACCGATGTTCTAGAAACGTCACCTGGCTGTCGAATTCTTCGCTTATAGCTGACGTCATTTCTCTCTTTCATTGCTACATATTCGCTTAGTTATACCACATGTACAATGCCTATATGGATGTATCTGCACGTAAGTAGGGGATACGTAGGAGGGTCTAGGTTAGAGGCCATTTGATTTCTAGCTGGTATTATGACCAAATAAGCCCTAGGACACTGCGTAGCTCTGTAACTGAGATAAATGTTGTCGTTGGACTAAACCTTAGACAGCCTTTAAACTTAAAGATAAATAAACACGGAATATACACATTTATATGCCCTCAAATGACCATATAATTGCTGATCAAATATCGATTAAGCATTGCGAGTTTCCAGCGTCAACCCAGGTCAACGTTGGAACAGACACAAGCAACAGTCAAGCTGGTGGCAAGCATGTAGAACACCGTAGCTGCTCTCACAGATATGACAGAACCATTTACACCGGGTAACAATCTTTCAAGAACTGTTCCAACATGTTAAGATTAATGAAGACACTACTCACGCCTATTCGACCACCCTACAACAGACGTGGCAGCTACTACATGGTTTCTTATAAAGATAACGCTCCCACTTCTGCAATGCTCATCGACAAGATCCACGGACCGCTGCACAACTCAGAAATACCCAGCATGGAAGCAACCCCGCGAAGACTTACCAAAAATAGTGCCATTGGAAAAGCCTCTAGACCAGCCGGACTTATAGGGGCCATTATAGTGATATATACTATCGTTTCTACTGTTTCTGTTCGTGTGAAACTCAAATCGCTTTTTAAGTGTTCCTGGAGGGGTTTGACTAAACATCATCCTTCGAAGACTAACTAAATATATATACAGACAACAAGCAGTAACTTAATCAGCAATCTACCTAAGCAGCAACTTATAAAGTGATTTAACCACTACCACTACGGAGTAAGTACCCAGCGAAAAGCGAAACCCCTCAACCCATGCCAAACACCACCGTAGCTATAAAACAACGACAATAGTGAGCGTCTAAGACTTCCAAGTGAGGTTTCTCCGTCGTCTAGAATAATCATCATACCAACCCCCTTTCTGACAGAAAATACTAGCATCTTCCAAGCTTCACGAGGAATAACTCCTCACATCCAACTACATAGATAGATAGTTCAACGAATTCCACACACACACACACATATTAAACCGTAGCGTAGCAAACTTAAACAGCCTTATACCGCACAAAACCCAAACTCACATGCTCACATACTCACAACACTACCTCACTACAGCACTCCAATAGCCTAGTTTAAACCACAATATTACAAGAAAAAGACAAACAGCCACCATCAATTATAAAGCTCGCTCATCCAACAGACATCAAAATCCAATGCAAATATGTACGTACGTATGTATGTATGTATGCATAAATAATGATATTAAGACATTACTCACTTACTTACTTACATCTCATCCCATCCCGTTCCGTCCAGTCCAAGCCATTCAGCATCTATTCATTCACGATGAGATACGTAGATAAGACAGGTACTAGCCAAAGTCATCTTTCGCGTCCCCTGGATCTCGATCTCGATCGCGTTGTCGCGGTCCCTGGGTATCATCATCCTCTTCACTTTCACTTTCACTTTCATCGTCTTCATCCCCATCTTCTCCCTCTTCACTTTCATCCTCTTCCTCCTCCTCTTCTTCTTCCTCCTCATCATCGTCTTCACTACTACTCTCCTCTTTCCCCTCACTAATACCCGCCCTAGGCTGTAAAGGCGCGCTCTCGAGAACCGCCGCGCCCGCGCCGGCCGGGAAACCAAGGGAACTCGCGCGGCGCCTCCGCATCCCGCCCAACGCCTCGCTCTCCTCATCGACAACCTCGCTTTCGTCGCCCGTCGTTTCCTCATCCTCTTGATCAGCAGTGTTCATCTTCTCGTTCAATTGCTGCCCAATACCAATCATAAACGCGCTCGCATTCTGGAATTTATCAATGCCGTGATCAACAGGCAGATCCGAGTACGTTTTCCTCGCCCTGTTCAAGCACTGTTGCGACTGGATGTATTTCGATTGCGCAAGCCACGTATCCGCCCCGAGGACGTTCCACAGGGCCGACTTCCGCCGTCTGCTCCCCCATCCGTGCGAACCGAGGCCGTCTTTGGAAGCGTAGCATACTGCCAGGCGTTCCTTGATGAGGGCGTCGCCGACGGGGCCGAGCACCTTGCTTTGGAGCAGACGCATGCCCCATCTGACAGCGTCATCGACGCTCGAGCCTCCCCGTAGCCTAAGAAGTTCCAGCCCAAGGGCAAGACAGCGTAGTGCGCCGTAGGGCGCGCTGCACCGGGTGAGATACGAGTAACAAGCTGCCTCGAACATCGCATCGATGGTCTCTGCTCGCGTCTTAGACGAGAGGTTTTGCGGCATGATGAGGAGGCTGAGGGCAGCTATTTCATTAGTAGCGGCGTGATAATGCCATGCTTTATCGTTGTTGAAGTCACTCCGGAGGATATCATATGTAGAGTAGGCCAGCTTCCAGTCGCGCAGCATGAATGCGTAATCAGCTAGTTTCCGCATGATGGCCTCGGGTGTGTCTGATCGATAGAAACCGAGGGAGTCATAGTTACTCCCGGAACTCGAACCAGTGCCCCCCGACCGCGAATTGGTGCCAAACCCCCAGCGGCGGGTTAGGCCTACGAATTTTCCGGCTAACCCTCTCCGTCTCGAGGCAACTTGATCATTCCACACCGAAACATGGCGCTCCATCGTAGGTATGATTGATTGCGTCACCATCTCACGGATAAAGGTGCGTATGGCCGTTGCATCAGACTCGAATATGTATTTTGTCCGATCCTCGTAACTGTCGTCGTCTTCACTTGCCCTGATTTCAGCCAGCTCTTCTGTTGCTGACATCCACTCGCACCTGGGTAGTGGTATGCTATCATCGTCGTCAGCTAAGCTCCGGGTGCCTCTTATCCGAAGCAGATGACAGTGAAGACCGAGGTTCCGCTTCATCTGCTCAAATAGCTGAATCGATCTTGTGATGTCGTCTCTCTCTTCATCATGGACGAGGACGTAGTATCTTAGAAATTCTCCATCTACCCAGTTCGGCAACCGTTTGTCACCTGTGCTCGATTCCGTATATAGACGTCTCAATGTGCTGATGGGGTCCTGGTTTCGCGAACTTATCGCTGTGACACAGGCAACCGGGTGCGCAAAGGCCTCATGGGGTGTTAACGGCAAGCCAGAGAGTAGCCTGCGGAGATATAGGGCGTAGTATGGGGAGGGTGCGTCCAAGTCAGCCCCATGGCTCGTAGGACTGTAGGGCGCCCCAAAGGTAGAACCTTCTGCATAACTGAGGTGCCTATCTACCACGGCCTCAACCTCTGCGATATTTGGCCCAGCCTTCGAGAAATGTGTAGGCTCATTTGGCTTCTCCGATACCCCGTTGACTCTCGAAGTCTGAACATTCTTGAGACCTGTGGTGGCTGGCTCGGGATGGACAATTCCCTCACCAAAACGAGTGAAATGTAATGAATAATCTTCGTATGCTCGACTCGAACCATTGCTATCGCGTATGATGACCTTGCCCTGAATGCGCTCGCCGAATGGTCGGAGCAGCTCCCACAGTCCATGATCAAACCCCTTTTCTTTAAGGAGAACATCTGTATCTTCGGAAGCGTAAATAGCGATATGCGGCACAAAAGCCCGAAGGATGATGTTCAGGGGGTCACCGGGGACATCGCCAACGCCTGCAGCCAAAGCTAGACCGTTATTCGGGCTCGCACCAAACACAGAGCTACTCGTGGTCCGCGTCGAGAGGGGCCTACCGCTAGGCGACTGTGAGCGAGAACCGGGAGGCGAGAAGGTGGAGGCGTAGAGGGAGGCGGCAGATGGATGGGATCGTCGGTAAGGCAGAGTGACCTCGGACTGGGAGAGCGGAAAGGTGTCGCCCAACGATTGCCTGGTCCTCGTCTTGGAGTCCTTCAAGGCGGAGGCCGCGATCGGGGGCGTGGAGACACGTTCGGTCGGCGCATCATGGTCGAAGGACTGCATGAGCGTTGTCTGTCGGCAAAGACGAGGCCGGTGTTGCCGTTACTGTCTTCTGCTTCCCACGAAAAGAGGCACTGCTGGCGTTGCGCATCGGGGGTCATCGACAATGGTTCTTGTGCACCGCGGAAGAGCCGGTCCGGTCTGGACGAAGTAAGATGAAGTGCGGGATGCGCGATAGCTCGCTAACAGGTTGGTAAGGAGGTGGTATCAGTACAGCAGGATCCTACCACGTAATGTAGCATTAGATGTATTTGGGTAGGGAATGGCAGTGGCAGCAGACGAATATCCAAGGCCGTCAAATGGACAATTCCACTTATCGTCAAGGCTACCTAATGTTGGGCAAGTCTGGTATCGATAACTCAAATTAGGTCATGAATTGCATGGTCATAGGGAGGTAGCTGTAGGACCTTCCAGTGGCACCTACCATACTAACTACCCAAAAGTCCAGTACTATAAGTTGGTAGTACAACCTTGAAACGACTTTCGTTCAGGTAATTCGTTTTCCCACGTTTGAAACACAGAATCAACGTTCATTTAAAAGTCTATTGCTTAAGTATTAAGTCGATAAATTAGTCGAGTGTTCAAGATCGTCCAATCGTTCATCAGACATTTATTGAACACTAGTCTTGTCATTTTGGCAACATGCTACTTACTACATCTACATTTTCCCAGGTTATGAATCTCTTCTTCAGTTGTTGAACTCGACAGGATAGAAGAGGACAAGACAAGAGATGCAGGCAGAAATCTCAACGGTGAATAATACCAATCATTGCCGTCGTCATAAAAACAAATGTATATACTTGCTGTAGGCACTAAATACCTATAGATAGGTACATATATAACCACACCTATCCAATGTTAAACTCGCTAGCCACATTCATTACCTCTCTCATCTTCATCCTCATCCTTACAGCAGCAGCATCATCCACAGCCGGTATATCGTCATGATCAACCTTACTCGTCTTACCACTGTCCGCGCCCTTCTGCTCTGCGCCTTTGCCTTGTCCAGCCTTGAACGTCCTCCTCGACGGCCCCCCTCCGATCCCCCCAGGTGCCTCCCTTAGACCATAACTTTTCGCCGTGTGGCCCAGGTGAAGCTGCGTGATGTCGAAGTATTTTCGCTCATCGCGTACGTGCGTAGCATAGGCTCGGATATGAGATCGGAATGCCTGGCGAGCAGAATCCAGTAATTTGCTACTACTACCTTCCTTCTCTGTGGCGAGAAGACGCTGCTCGATGTGAAGTTGCAAAGCTTCGGCGCGGGAATTGGGCGTTTGCTTCTCCGAAACAAGACTCGGAGCGTCTGTGTCTTTATCGGGTTTGGGTAGGGTGATGGGTGTGAAGAAGCCCTTTTGGAGCGTAGACTCGTAGGACTGCGGTGCAACCGACGATGCCGTTGAGTTTAGAAGATCGATATATCCCTCCTCGCAGCCAGGTTGGACGAAGAGAACTGCTTTTCCGGGTCGTCCTGCACGAGCTGTTCGTCCGATACGGTGCGTGTGATCGTCGACACTGAACGCTGCATCATACTCAACTACAAGGTCAACAGCGGGGACATCGAGACCACGCGATGCAATGTCCGTGGTGATGAGAACGCAAGGATCATTCGATGTGCGGAAATGATTGAGAGTGGCCGTACGAACCGGTTGCGCTAGTGATCCGTGTAGCTTTAGTAACGCAACGGTCGGGTTCGCTGGTGACGTGACATAGGCGGCATCAGCAACAGTGGTGTCTATTAACAACGCTTCTGACGCTGATCGAGTATTTGGGTTGCGAAAAAGGTCAAAATGAAAATCAACTGAGTCAGCACAAGATATGAAAATGATAGCCTTCATAACAGATCCCCTGCGAGCAAAAGACGACTTCAAGAGCGCGAGCAACGTGACTAGCCGCAATTTTGCCGGAACGATGAGGTAACTTTGTTTGAGTTGTGAGGGCGCAGCGAATACAGCCTCATTAATCTCAGCTACAGAGTCCCCATCGTTTTCCGTTGCGGTCCCGGTGATGTGAGCGGCTTCTTGCAGACTGATTTCTCCTAACTTCTGAACGTTCCTTTTCATAGTTGCGGAGCAAAGAACGGTGACTCGTCGCTGTGGCAACTTGTCGAACTTCACACCATCTTTGTTGGAATTCTTCAATTCCTCTTTGCGTATCTTGCTGACAATACTTTTCAGCTCGTCTTCGAAACCCATTTCCATCAGCCTGTCACCTTCATCCAACACGAGCCATCTGACAGTGCCAACATCGAGCACTTTGGTGTTGTCTAGATGGTCAGCCAGTCGGCCGGGGGTTGCAACTAGAATATTGACACCTTTCCGTAACCGGGCTTTCTCTGACTTCTTGCTTTCGCCTCCAATCACCGTGGTACTAACGATCCATGGCGCACAACGGAGCACTTTTTCAAGCACCGTCGCAATCTGTTTACAGAGCTCTCGTGTGGGGGCGAGGATAATCGCAAACAAGCCGGAGTCACGGTGGATTTGAACTCCAGTGTTCGACCCATCCTCATTCTGGCTCATGGCCATTATTCTCTCAACAATGGGCAGAAGATACGCTAGCGTTTTACCGGAACCTGTTTGAGCCTGAAGAAAGGCGTCACTATCCTCCTTCACGAGTAACGGTATAGTATTTTTTTGTATAGATGTAGGTGCCTTCATCTCGAGCTTAGCAGAGAGGTGCTGGGCAATGCGCCGTGATAACCCTAAAGCATGGAAATTCTCTGCCTCATCGGATAGAGGTGCATTGGAGGGTTTCGCCGGCTCCGCATCTTCAGTCGGTTCTTCAAAAACGGTTTTGGGGGTCGGGTTAGATGTAAACAATCTCGAGGTTATCCCACCGGGCTTGCTATGATTGTTATTGCTGCCATGGCTGGAATTCCTTGGTCCGGTATTGATGCTGCCTGGAGGGAGCTTGCCAGTCATATAAGACAAAGACCGCGAGGAGACATCAGGTCGCTCGTGAGAATCCCCTTGTATCCGTTGTCTCTTCACCGGTCTCCCATTTTCAATATCGTCGGGGAGCGAGGGGTTGCGATCTCGCCGGCTTGTAGACAGTGGGGTGGCATTGGTACCCGTCGACTGACCTTCCCCAGTCCTTTTCGCGCTTCGTTGTGCGCTGACTCGATCCCTCCAGCGACCGCCAGTATACTTCACTTGGCGTTTTAGCGGTTGGTCGCCAACATCAAAGTTTAGAAGTAGGCCGCTGTTAGACATTACGGCGGTTATTTGGCATGCAAATGGTTTGGAGGGGGAAGTTTGGTGATAGGCGGCAGAATTCTTGCTACTCCCAAGTGAACTTTTTGGCGGTCAGCAGGAAATATCTCCGATAAGCATAAAACAGCAACACCAACTCGGATAAATGCATATACCCCCAAAGGCAAACGTCCTGATCTTAAAGCGATATGAATTAGCCAAAAGTGCTCTCCCTCCTACCTATATTGTCAAAAGATGGTAAAACCACTCAGTAAATACCGGAGATACGTCAAGAGCAGACTTTTAATAGAAGAGAGAGCCAGGCATCTCTCGCTACTTGAGAGGCCAAAGACAAAAACACACAATTGTCCCGGAGACAACATCTTGGCTTCATAGCACATATATATTAAGACGCAATTTCAGCACATGTCAAGAATCAGTGCATTAATGGTACAGTTGAATCGCTTGCATCATATTCAGATACAGTGTCTATGCTTAAATTCTATAAAGCAACAAAGCCACCATAATTATAATGTATAGGGCAAATATTTTGCTTTCCACAGCCGAGATAGGGAAGACCTGTCCATCCCACCGCCCATTGGCAATAACAAGACCACCATTCCCACCGTGCCCCCAACTCGCTTCGAAAATGCAAATAGAAGTGCCCGTCTTTTGGTATATGCAGAGTGGAGATTGATCTAATGAACCAGCGCCGCCGGCTGATGCTTTCCTCGCTGATGCCCAGTTGTAAAAACCACCCATCCGTTTTTTTATTCGAAAAAGGGTTCGCTGACCATCCGATAAACGCCGGCCTTGCTTCTAAGGAACGACCTCGTCCATAACAAGGGTACCCAACCAAGAAATATGATAAGCGGCCCTCCGCTCCGATCGAACCCCAAGCACCGATCCCAGGAAAATGTTTCTCTCAACGCACGGGGTATCGCATTGGAAGCAAGGACAAAGGAAACAGGAAATAAATTGAACAAAACCGGTGAAAACGACAGAATACTAGGAGCTTATGCAGCTGCGACAGGCACTTCATGGTTGCCTCCGCCGAGGAGCTCGAGGATTTTGCTGACAACTGCATTGGGATAACCCCTAGACAGCATCTCGACAACGATGGCTTGAGCTTGGTCTCGCTCCTCCACGGCAAGATATGCACGTGTCATAGCTTCGTAAGTGCTAGGTTCGCGCTTTTCGAAGCTGACGCTATTGTAGATTGATGCTGCCTTGTTGATGTTCTTCTCGCTTGCCCATCCGTGAATAAGAGTATTGGCGATGTAAGGAGTGAGCTCGACACGGCGCTGTTTCATCTGAGAGAGAACAGGCTCAGTATCGGCAACGCAATGGTTGGCAACCATTGCCTCAAATAAGGCCTGGAAAAGGCAAGCGTTGGCGGGAATGCTAGGATCGCTCATCACTGAGTTGAAGATTCTTCTTGCGCCCTCCATATCATGAAGCACGCAACCCCGGGCATGAATAAGCGAGGCATAGTGAACTGGTTCCGGACGCTGGCCAGATGAGCGGATCATATCAAGGATAGCTTCAGCTGCAGTCATGTTAACAGGCTCAAGAGTGGCATGAGTGTCTACCAGCAGTTTGAAGGTATGGGCCGTTGGAGCGATGCCCTTCGATTTCATACGCTCGTAGTAAGCAAGGACCTTGGACTTGTCGCGCTTCGTGGTGAGGAAAAACTGCATCATACTGTTGTATGGAGCGGGTCTCGCCTTGTAGTTGGGCATAGCCTCCATTTCGTCGAATAGTTCTTCGGCAAATTTCTCGTCACTGACACGGCAAAGTGCATTGACGATGGTTCCGTAGGTTACACTTGTGGGCTTGATACCCAGAGCGCGCATCTCAGCGAAATAAAACAGACAATCGTCAATTCGGCGAGCCTTGCCTAACTTTCCAATAAGCGCATTGTATAGGAATGAAGACGGCTCAACACCCTCCGCCTTAGCTCGTAGAAAGATCTTGACGGCTTCCGAAGCCTCATCAAACGTTTTGGTCGACTCCTTCAGAGTGGTGATGTAAAGTCCGAAGGTATTGGCTGAGGGAGCTGCACCCATGTTCAAGAGTTCCATGTGGTACTGCTCAGCCAGGCCTCGATCACCGAGAGTGAGGCAGGCACCTACCATGGCATCCAGGATCGACGACCAGCCGTACCTGACGACAGGATACTGAGGAAGCAAAGGGACATCTGATCGCGCCATGGAAAGAATATCATTGCATAGATCCATCTTTCCCTCGCGGGCAGCAGCTGAGATGAGCTTGGAATAAGTGATGTACCTTGGATGGCGACCTGCGCGTCGCATGTTGCGGAACCGGCCTAGAGCATCTTGGAGTCGGGGACCCTTGCGGCCATGTGCACCCTCCAACTCATCGGAGATGATCGATGATCCTTTGAAGTCCGTAGTGTGGGCATAGGGGTCATAGTTGTCTTCGAAGCTAGGAGAGATGCTGCCAGAAGGGTGCGGCGATGCAACAAAGCTGGGTTGCGGCTCGACGAAACCAGCTACAGGAACAAGACGGGGATCAGCAATTCCACGAGTCAACATGTAACTCGAAATGAAATCAACGCCCTCCTCAACTTCTTCGGCGAGCTGTGCTTTCATGCTGCTGTCCGCATCCGCGTTGCGAATTCGGTGGAACATCAACTCAGACGCTGCTAAACCTTCTGCGACCTGGCCTGACCCAATCATGGCCACTGCGTACATGGCTGTTGGCTCAATGAATGTAGCATTGACTTCAAATCCAGGGTTACTGAGTATTTGCCAGTATGCAGACGCGCCCATTATATCTCCCCCACGCACGCACAGAGCAAGTAGAGCCATGGCTGGAACTACTATCTGTGGGTAAGTTGTAGGAATTTTGGAGAAGGCTGCAACAGCGGTCTGTCGATCGCCAGCATCAGCCGCGGCGGTTACGATATCGGCCATGGCTTCAAAACGCGTTGTGTCTTCGATACTCTTAGCCCATTGCAAGGCCTCTGGATAAGTAGCACGCGATATTAAACCCTTGACGAATCCTCCACTGACGAGGGCGTCGTAAATCTCATGAAGACGAACACCATAGCCCTCAGCCAATTTCTCATAGAATTTCATTGCACCTTCAAGCCTGCCGTTGATAACGTAGGCATGAATAACAGCGGCATACACTTCGGCATCAAGCCGATCATTGAGAGTATACTTGCCGCTGTCATGGGCCACAGCAAGCTCCTTGTACTCGTTATAGCATTCTACCGCGCTAGCCAAGTCGCCTGTATTCGCAAATGCAGAAATCATTGCCGGGAACGTTGCAGCAAATGGAACTGTGCCAGTCATCTCCATGTGTTCGAACAGATGGAGCATTTCTCCAACACGGCCATCCTGTGCACACGCAGAAATGAGTTGATGGTAGGTTTCGGACGAATAGTTTGCGCAGTGTGTTGTCACTGACGAATCGAACAGTTTGAGGGCCAGGTCGAGACGGTCATCTTCAGATAGAATGGCGTGTTCCAGCTCATTCGAGGCAAACATGAATTTGCCAGGCTCATCCATACCACCAAATCGGACCCGCTTCTCGTCAAGCGACTTCTTGAGGTTATTGACCTCAAGGCATCTGGCAGCTAGCAGGCCTACCAAAATATTGTAGGTGTCGGCATTAGGTGCAACATTTCGTCGCAGCATATCAGCATAAACATCGAGTGCCTTGGAGAGGACTTCGTGCTTCTCGACTGGAATCTGAATCGCAGCCACCAACAAAGCGTTGTAAGCAGCCGCGATAGGCTTAATGTTAGCGACAAGCATAGCCTCGAAAACGGCTGGAATCTCCGCAAATCTCCCATCTTCGCTGAGCTTATTAAGGTGGTCGGCATAGCTCTGCGATTGAGGATCGACCGGCGGCGTGGCACTACGTGCGATACTTCCTGGTGTCGATGCTCTCTCGACTGATGGTGTCAAAGCTCGAGACTGGACAAGACTTGCGACATCGGGTGATGCTGCTCTCAAGGAATTAGTGGTGCTTTCCTCGAGCGCCTCGCGCAGCTCGCGAACTTCGATTTCCTTCTCGATGGCGGCATCTATGTGGGCCAGAACCTCCTCCACGTCTACTGGCACCGGTACATCTTGAGAGCTCTGGCCCAGGTGGGCACTCTCGACTATACCACTGCCAGCAGTTCGTAAGCCGGGCTCGGAGCCCTCGAGTATCGATTCCGCATCCGGCTTCCACTCGATGGGTTTCGGGAATTGGAACTGAGTCCACTCGCGTTCGACCTCGCCAGCATCCTGTGTCTTCTTTAAGGCCTCGAAATAGGCGTCAAGGTTTCCCTCGCCGCCAAGTCGCTCGGGGCGACGCTCGGTATGAGCATTCGAATTGGCGGTATGGAAAGCATTCTGTAGCTGAAGACTGGAAAGGCGTCCAACCCGCTGACTAGCACGTCGAGCAAAGGAAGGACGATTCTGAGTGTTTAGAACATGAGGGTGGGTGGCAGCTACGACAGATTGTGCGTAGCCGTGGGTAAGAGATTTCGCAAATCCTTGGCGGATAAAATTCGTGTAGAGGGAGGAGTAGATGGTGGGCATTTAGAGAATACCAGGAGGGGAGGGGGACTAGATGACCAGGCGCAATACCAGTTAGCACAGATGCACGTGTTGCGCAAAGGACGAATATATATATGCGTGTTAATTGTCAATCTGGTAGTTGTTCTAGCGCACGCATCGATGAGCTGTGACACTCATTTGAACAGATCGCACGTTGCACCAACAATAGAACGAATTGGTGGGCTGCAGTGGTCTCTCGTGAGAGGCGACTCGGACTCGATGACGACAAGACGAACTTTGCACTTACATGGAGGAAAGGTAAAGGAGGTCGGTGCAGGTTCATTTGACAGCAGTGTAGCCGTCAAACAAACGCGCGATGGTAAACGATGGTGACAGCTATCAGGCTGGATTTAGATAGAATGAGGGAATCAGAGGAAAAGAAAATTTCGAGGCCGGAGAGGCGGGAATCATCGAGAGTAATATTCATCGGTCAAGTGAGTGTGGGTTTCTGCTTCGCAGGCCCGTCACCTTGTACACACCAAGTATCTTTTTTATTTTTTTTATTTTTTTAAAGCAGACAGGCCCTAGAATTTTTCGTTACTGGCTGCTATGGCATCCCCCACCGCTAAGGCAAGCCGCCACCACCATGCAATTTAGGTACCTACAGCATCTCTACAGCCGTCCAGATAGATCACCACCTACCTACAGTTCCACGCTGACTTCCACGAACTTCCAAGCCTATCAGTGGAGCAAACAAACTTGAAGCGATTGAGGCTACCCAACCTCGCCAATCAAGTAGGTATCTGATTAGTTGGTTAGTCCCAGCCGCTAGAGAGTTATTCGGGCAAATGTACGCCTACCTAGGCACTTTGTAGATAGCTACTGGCAGCCTCTACCTAATGTAGCTGGGCTACCTGTAAATGGGTGGTAGTTGCAAACCGCTTGTACATGATAGGTACCATATAGCTGTTTTCCAGAACTTACAGTAGAATGGGGAACTCGGGTATGTAATGGACATTCCCCAATCCTTGTCGTCTCCAAGGTATGTAAGCAAAAGGCGAGGATTCATGGATTCTGATTGGCATTCTCTCGGTATTATGGACCGTACTACTGTCGATGAGGCTTGGCCTCAAAGTAGGTAGGTAATCGTAGGTAGTGCATGTGGGTTGCGCCTTTGCGCTTTTGCACATTGCCGTAACACAGATGTGTGACTCAGGCAACAAAAACCCTCACCACCACCACCACCACCACCATCATCATAAATTGCCGATCGTGCTCTGCAGCCGACTGTTCTTGGGAGCCCTTAAATTAGTACCTAGTACTGCATGCCTGAGAATCTGACCTGCATGTTTGCGCGACAACGACAAACCAGTTTTCCCTCCAATAATGACAATGCGAGTGCGAAGTGCCATGACTGATACATGTACCTAGTGTAAGTAAGCAATGAATAAAAGGAATCGCCCGCGTCGTCATTCCCAATGCGTAACATGAAATCGCAACCTCGATCAAGCGTGGACCCTCAATTTTGACCTCTTTTTTTCCTGGGGCAAAGCACACGTGTGAGGAGGTTAGCTTAATGCAGGTAGGTAGGCAGGTGATTGTAGTAAACCCTACCTCACCGTCTATTGCCAGGCTCGCCAGGTAGCTTGCGGTGTAGGACAAGTAACAAACGAGCGCTGGTTTCAAACGGATCCTTCTTCTTTTTCTTCTTCTCAAGTTACAGGTCTTTCCTGTTACCTACAACCTTGCATGCTTCACTTGCATGTATTATTACTGGGTAGTTTTGATCATGTTGCAATTACTGTAGGAGGTTAAGGAGTTGTGTCATCATCAAGACTATCGCGATCCCTCCAGGTAACAAGATCTCCATTTCCTCAGGGCTGTAGCCTTTTGTCGGCCGAGAGCAGATATCTACTCCAACATCTCTCCCAAAGACGGGCCCGTCAAGAGCCCGCTCGCCCGGCATGTTCGGAAAGGGAAACAGTGTGCTGTCTGAAGTGGTGGTAGTGCGCACTAATTAGGTCAGCTTGTTACCGCGCTTGTTGGAGATGGAGTGAGATGCTCGAGAACAAACCGGAAGGCAACAAGCGCACGCGTCAAGAAGAATTGTGGAAAAGGCGAGCTACGACGCTAGAGTACGATTCGCCCGGTGAGGGCCTCGTGTCAGTCGGTCCAATCAGGACTCCTTCGAATACCCGTCCATGGGTGAAGCCGGAAGCCAGACCCCAGTCCAATCCCAGTCCAATGTGTCGGGATGGAAAACCCTTGCTGTCTCCATGCCTTTGGCCTTGGGGGCCGTCTTTTTTTGACATGCGCCAGCTGATGCCTAGAATGCATTACTGTGACTACATAGTACACCAAACTACCTGTCCATCTACATGTACAACATATCTACATGTGTAGGTAGTTCTATCAGAAAAATTCAGGCAGCTCACGAATACGCTACCCTTCGATCCATATCATCATGTAGAGTACTGCATATCAAATAAATGCCTAGGTGCTCGACTATTTCCCGGATGCTGTGTACAGAATGATTACATGATGATATCATAAATCACGTACAACGAAAGCCATCCAAGGAAATCCCGAAGTTCAATTAACCATCAGATATGTCACCAAAGAAAGTCATGTCTTAGCAAAGTAGGTATCCATAGCCAAGTGATAGTAGCATTTACAACGTTCATGCGCCATATCGATCTTTATTGTACAAATTGGACGTGGAGGAGCAAATACATGTATATCGTAGGTAATATGTATGCTATTTTCGTTGTAAATGCTGCTTACCTTTGCACCATCGCCTTGAACCAAGACGGTTAGCTTACTAGTCCCACGTTTCGTGAAATTATGCCAATTTCGTGGGTTTTGTGAAACTGAAAGGGGATTCCCAGCGACAACAGGGTGTCGATAACCCCTCCAAGCATCGTACCTACTCTAAGTAGAAGCGAAGAAGAGGCAAGGGTCCTCCAGACTGACTAACTAACCCCTCCCCTCTCCATCAATTGCCAAGCACACTGAATACTTACTGTACTTACAGTAGGCTTCGCAGTTAACACTTGACACATATATAGAACACGTGAAGAACCAAGAGTTCATCGATGATGCAGAGCCATCTTCAATACAAGTACACTAAAATAGACCAATTCGCGGTCCGGTTTCCTGATGATCTGTACGAATCCAAAAGATGAGCTGCGTGCACTGCTTAATAATTATCTCCTAGTTGATCGGCATAGACAGATCTACACTACAGGCTCACGCGACAACGACCATTTTTTCTCGAAGCGAGCCGAACCAGGAACAAACCGAATACCTAATTCATGCGGGGCGCTACTTTTTTTGGAGAGAAAAAAAAATCGGGGGGTGTCTAGCAATCTGGAGTAGGTACCTAGGTAACCAGGACGGATGGCATTCACCGAGCCCGAGACCTTTTTTCTCCGTGCGCTTTCGGACCTACGGGAGGTTACCTCTAGCTTTCACAAGAAAGAAGTCGACCACGTCACGAAAAGCTGGAAATTTGTCTTGTGAAATAGAAGAAAAACCCCGGCCGCCGAGCAGAACACCGAAGCTCGGACTCGCATATAAGTAAGTAGCTCTATTGATGTCATGGAGCGCAGATAGACAGACTATGCATATATGATATCACTTTGTACATACATGTAAGGCAATAGGCTGGTGCTGAATCGTAATTATACCCCTTAGTTTTGGCCCCCGGCAGGTAAAGCTGAAAGAAGCCCACCAGAGAGAGACCCAATCTTAGTGGAAGAACACTCCGGCCAGGCATCGATTTCGTCTCAAGTTTCTGCACGACCCCAATGGCACGCTCCAGAAAGGGGCGAGAACATCGTTGAAACTACCTTTCACTAGTCAGTCAGTTGAGTCCCTATGCATACGTAAGGCGATGGCTTCCTACATGATGCAGTGATGTACCAACAGTAGGTACTTACTTGCTCTCTAAGCGCAAAGGTCCGGTCCTCCAATTAGTGCTGTCGCAATTTTTATCTCCGTAGCGCAATACAATGCCGTACATGGAGATATCGTGAGATCTATCCGATAAGCCTTGGCCAGATTCCCATCTATTGCGCTATGTCCTCAGATTAACTAATCTCTTAGCATTTTTGCCACTGGCGTCATGTTATTGACTCTGTTTCGCCGCTCACCACGCAGCCACCATTTTCATGAGGTAGTTGCTTTCACATACATAGGTACATGTATGCAGTCGCCCGAAATGAGTACGAAATAACTCATTTGTTGTTGACGGTTCATATGTTATTGGACCGGTCTTACCATCTCATACTAGGTATAGGACGGTAGCTCTCATTACACTCATCTAAAAGCAGAAAGATGGGTATTAACTCATATGCTACGGAAAAGAACAAGAAAGAAAGAGATAGATTCACAGAATACAGAAAAAACGAGTCAAGTTAGAAATCCGCGATTCCGTTCCTAAAACTCCTACATCAAGTCGTAGCTGTTGTCGTGGTCGCCAAGCGCATGCCGCCGCTAGTCTGCGTTCCAGCTCATCGAGACAATTTACCTCTCTCACTAGATATACACAGCATTGAAGGTAAAATACCAATATATTTATGAATTCCATCGTACATCGTAGGAAGGCAGAACACCTGTAGTAAAATATACTGAAGTCGAGGGGAACTTTCCCCGTATATAAGTAGGTGATCAATTAACACAATAGAGAGAAAAGGTAGCTTTTACTCAAGGGGAAAGATGGTTGATACAAACCGACTTCAGTTTAAAACATACCACTGAATTCAATACCGCTACCAATAAGGGGAAAAAAAAAGAACTATCTAAGGCAAAATCTCTACTCTTCAAACGCTCTTCTTACTCCCGTATTTCCCAACTCGCTATCAAAAGCATATTTCCCAACGACAACCCCTGCACCGAATCCCCCTACAAGTACCGTCACTTGGGAGGACCGTCAGCGCCTTGTTTTATATCTTCGAATTGCATTAGTATCCTAGCATACCATCTAGACTTCTAAACGGGAAGAAAAGCACACACGAATTATATCTTTCTCAATTCTTTTAAGTCTGTCGGCCATGCTCTCCGGCTCGGCAAGGTTATGGGCACTATGGAAGTACTAGTTCTGGGGATCCAGGCTTGTGCGCGTGGACGCGGGCGTGCACGCAAGGATGTTGGGAAGCGTCGATGGAATATGCGAGCAGATATACTCGAAGACCCAACCTCCTTTGCAAGGCGCGTTGTGATCGGGTAGGACCGCGAGCATGACTCTTGCTCCCGGCGATCCGAGACAGGCTGCGAGGTACGCGTGCTTATACAACCCGGGCTTCACCCATATATGTATCAGCTCAAGTCACTAGGGAAGCTAGAAGGCTTGAGAAATCGCAGTGCTGTACTTACGTATAATTTCTCCCACGTAGTCGCCTTCTTGATGCTGGGGTCGGAATAATTGAACGTGTGGAACCTAACTCCGTGTCCCAGTGGTGGGTCACCTGCGATGGCTTCTCGCTCGATGAGAGCCTCGCAACGGAAGTTTTCCTCGGCCCAGGAATTGATATTATTCTTTAAGAGACCGAACTGGTCATCGTACTGTGGCGCCAGAAGTTAGTATTTGGATTTTATGACCGGGCGGTCTTTGTTTCTCTCAGACTTAGATGAGAAAGGGAAAGACGAGGTGTCGTTGTTCACTCACTTTGACATATGAACCCCCGTGGGACGTTGCACATCTGCAGAGGCATGTGCGTGAAAGGTCACCTTTGGACGGCGTTGTCCTTCGCTCCAGATCATCGCAAAAGTTCTGATACTCTCCACACAAATCTACCGTAAGCCCCAGTTCATATGTGGCGTTTAGGTACGGTTTGGCAAGATCATCATATATAGCCCTCAGCTCTTTCAATTCACTCGTGGCTTCCACTATCTTGTTCTGTGCGGATTGCAGTACGAATTCTAGTTTCTCCTTTCGCCGCAAGGCTTCGAGGAAGGACGTCCCGGCCTTGTCGGTATGGAATTTCAATTCTAGGAACTTGGTATACTTCTGGGGATCGCTCTTGTCGGTTCCGAATACTAAAGAAGGATCAAGGGCAATTGAATCAGGATCACCGTTCTTCGGGAGATGTTGCCGTTTGGAGCCATTCTTACGGGTGTTACTCATCCCCTCGCCACAATTGTCATCGCCCTTGATCTCCTCGATCTTGCGATCCATGCAACCCGCGTCGTTGTCGCCGTCGGAAGAGTCCATTTCTTTAACTTTGAAGAGTCAGTGATTGATTCTGTTTCCATAGCTTGTTGTCAACTCAGGATCGGTGGCCAGACCTCCTTCAGGAACTAAGTCATTCATAAAGTGTTCATAGTCATCGCCATTATCTACGGCTTCCAGTGTTATAAGAGCTCGATGAATGGCGTCTACTTTCGGGTCACGTTTCTGGGAATTGGATTCCGCGGAGCCCATCTCTGCGCTCGTCTATCGGTTATGGGGACGGTGACAAATAAGCTTGATATATAAATATCTAAGAGATGGACTGGCTTGGTTATGTGAAAGAAGTAGGTAAATCTGGGTACTGGAATAGAGATGGCTTGGCTCGACGTGGTTTGATGTTCATATTTCTCATGGTAAAGTCTCTGCTGGGTGCCGGGCTCCCGCTATATCCAGAGTCCACAGATTCGGGGAGGAAGGAAGGAAGGAAGGAAGGGGTGTACTCGACACACTTTTACCAATATGGTATCTTCTTTCACGTTCCTGCAGTTTTAAGGAAGGTGTTCAGGGATTCTTGATGGTGATAGCGCAAGCAGCATGCGAGGGTATTGCTTGCAGGACCATACAGCTCCTTCATTATGTCAAACTATTGTAGGCGACAATATTGTCTTTCTCTAACTCATTATTGAAATACCATATCCACGGAAAATATCTCTCGAATCTGGGTATCATCTATCTCAATGACGAATGCCCAGATGTCTTATGCTGTCAATTTTGAGCATGAGATGTTGCTTATTATCCATACATACGTCGAGAACCATACAGCCCTTGGAAAGATCGGTAATTCTAAGTATCAATTCGCTATACGTGTTCTTAATCATCATGCTCAGTGCTATATCGCTTATATGCCTTAACTTTCTTGTAACGCCCGTATCATGAACCATACCATTTGATGCCACCGGCCTCTTAACTCCTTCATCAGCCGTAGTCGTAAAATCTCTTCTCTTATTTTAGGGAGACAGGACCTAGCTCTCAGGTCTTTGACCTCGACTTCTCTGCTCCCATCTTGCCAAAAATCTGTGGCGTATCTCTTCCTTGCAGCTGCGAGCCACAGCACTTGCCCATTCATCCCACTACGTCATGTTCTCCGCTGTCCAGACATTGGCGGCCGTTCCTTACCCATCGTTAAGCAGCAGTTGAGATCCATACGCGCTGGCAACCGCCATCAGGATAATCTCTGCGGCTGAAAAGGAGCGGACTGCTTGTTCCATGTCTCATCGCAGACCCTCCTCATGAGCCGTCGGGGTGCATTCCGACCCGTGTAAAGCTCAAATTGTTCCATAGCCATCTCGCCCACGACCTCTAGGCCATCGATGATTATCCACGAGGTATTTCCGTCCTCGCGAATTTTTCGCATCTGGACGACCAAAGGCGTAATGAGAGGCTCGTAGGCTAACTGTAGTCCTGTTAACTCACTACTCCTCAAGGTTGGGATTTAGCCAAAAAGAAACTTACCTCTATAACCACGCCACCGGTGGGACTTCGCAGCCACTGAAGTGGCATTCTGAAGTCTACAGAAGGTTTGTCGTCAATGCCGTACGATGGGATACATGATAGGATGATGGTGGGTTGCTGATATTTTTCTGGCCAAGGGTCTTTCGCAGACTCAATGACGTGGCAGATTTGCGTTTCATCTCCACGTCGACAGGTGAGTTTGTGCTCCTTCGCATAGGCGTTGAAGTGTGCTGCGACTGCCTCTGCTTTGGCTACGGTACGGTTAAATATGAATATTTTGCGGCACCCCAGCTTGATAAGGGCGTAGATGGCGGCACGGGCCATACCTCCAGCGCCGATTATCAGTCCAGTAGTCCGCGACGGCTGCACCGAGTTTCGTGGACTGATAGCTCGGCGCAGACAGGTGGCTATAGAGCTCCAGTCGGTATTGTCGCCGTAGAACTTATCTGTTGGGCCGGCTTGATTTCGTGCGTTTGCGTGGTCGATGATGGACGATGTTTTGCCGCGCAGAGGCAGCAGCGTGTTCACTGCACCAATGGCAGTTGCATGAAAGCTTACATGATGAATATGATCCATGATTACTACTTTGAAGGGTGCAGTGAGTGAGGCACCTCCGAAGTTTGGGTCCCGGCGGAATCGATCCAATTCCTCTATAGTTGTACATTGTCTTGCCTCATAGGTGTGCGGCAACATGTAATGTTCACAGGCGGCTCTGAACATGGATGGCGAGGCAGAATAATGTACGTTAGCGCCGACAACATAGAAGTTAAGCGGTTGTAACCATCCTCTCTGGAAGAACAGCCGGATAGTGCCACGGGCCGTAGTAACGCCAACCATCTGCTCTCGGCTCGATGGCTCTAAAAGCTCGTGACCAGTTGGATTTAAACATAGGTTCTGAAATGGAGCTACCTGCCCAAAAACAGAAAAGTCGTACGCAATGAGAAGCGGTCTGGGCTCTGGTAGAGACGCGATTCTATCCACAAGCTTGTTACGCGATTCGTCTTGTCTGTCCCCAGCGCAGAATCTCGCGATCCGAACGATATGGCAACCCAGCTTTTGGGCATGCAAATAGCGTTCGTAGTAGACGTCATCCTCCCATTGTGGAGCGCCGAAGCCTTTGATAACATAGTTGCCAATGATCTTAGTCCGACCGCGCATGGAGAAAACCTTTTGGACAAGATCATGGCTCCTCTCGAGATCGAGACTTAAGTAGTCGACACCGAGACGCAAGCCATGCATCATTAACGTATAGTCCGAGGCATCTCTCTCCTCTAGCGGCCGCCGACGTTCTTCTCGCGGATTCTCTTCCACATGGTATATTATCGGAACGTCAAGTTTACGTCTGATGAGGGAGACCTGCGTAGCTATAAAATCCAACATGTTATCCGGCCATGTGTCAATGATGAGTTCTACCGCTTCAGCAGGAGCCTCTATCCGGGCCAGGTCCATTTCTAAGTTGACTAGGGTCGAAAGACGTAAATTTAAAGCGAACGTGTATAGACGATGCTCGGGAGGAATCGCTTTGACCGAAAAGGGGTTTTGCATCCAAGATCGTGTGAGAGCCTGACCAAAGATGTGGTCGATGAAGTTGATGAATTCTCGTTTGGCGTGAATTAACCTGGCAGAATGGACAGACGCTGAACGTAATAACGATTCGCCATCATTTTGAACGTCGGGGCTTGTATCCAGGAGGTTGAAGTATTCAAGATTGCAGAAGTCTCGGTGCTTCTGATCCGACACTAACAGACGTTCGGCGTCAGTGACGGGGAGTTGGAGGAGCTTGTATAAGTCCTCCTTGTCCCGGTGAACATATATTACTGGATGTGTCTCGGCAAAGTCTGAGAGCACCGCCCGCGTTTCTTGGGTCAAAAGAGCCGTACTGCACTCGATGACACAATGGACACGGCTGGAATCCAGCGTCCGCGCCAGCGCCACGGCTGTCTGGCGATTGAATGTGTCGTGGCCATGTTTCTGAAGGAAGGTTGCTCTGTTGCAGCCAGTCGAATTTTCAAACCAGTAGTCTTCGGTAAGGAGCCTGCGACCTAGATACTTGGCGGCGATGAAGCCCAAGGTCCTCTTTCCAGCACCACGGCACCCAACAAGGACGATGGTGGCATCGGGCGAAAATAGCCTGAGATTGGTCTTGGCCGAGTTATTCAAGGACTCGGCTTCGTCTATGCCATATTGTAGATTTTTCATGGCGGCTTGCGTGTGTTGGCCAGACGGTGTGCAACAGCGCCGTTCCAAGCTGGAGAAGCTACTTGAGACGTACGTTTTGATGGGACAGGCGATGGGGCGGGGTGAATTTATACACACACGTAAGGGATGAACTTATACCTATCCTATCGCTGTCGACCCAAATCAGACCACAGCCTTGGTGGTTATAAATAATGTGACCGGAACTACGCCGTCACTTTGCAATAGCGTGTCGGGCGAGTTGGTCATGGTCTGGTCATGGTCTTCACTGGCAGCAAGAAGGGAATAAATGGCACAAGGCGGGCGGATCCGTATCGTCAAACAACAACATACAGGACATCAAAGCTGGACTGGCTAGTTGATGTTCCAGCCGGCAGTCCTGACGGGAGCATGAGGTGGATCGAGCGATGCGGCAAGCTCATCGGCAGGCCGGGTAGAAAGATTCACCCGCGGCGGTTCCTTGGGCCGTCTGATAGGTAGTATTTAGTGAGCTTAGGTAGGTAATCACTGTATACGCCCTGAAGCAGGTACCTACCTACAGGTATCTAAATAAGCCTAACCTTAAGTACCATACACTTACTATAGGTAGTTGCAGCGGGGACCTGATGGATTGCCCATCTCAGTAAAAAAGAAGAAAGAAGCCAAAAAAATAATATTAAGAAAATCGTTATAAAAAGAGATAAAATGCATCAATAATAAATGCCCTAGCCATCACGCATTTGCTAACCTGAGCTAATGTGGCTCTCTAAAATATTCTATATCATTATAATACCTAGTAATGGTGCTCAGCCACATGGGGAGAATCCCTGATATACCTAACCTAGGTATGTCAAGATCCATATATGGCCTCGGGAACGCATACATGCATTTGAGCCACACTAGAAGCTCCATCCAAGCTTTTTGCCTACCTACGGAGCTATTATTTACCTACCTACTGTATGTAGGTATATTGCGCCGACTTTGAAGATTCATTTGCGCGGCACGCCCATTCAGACTTTGCATCATGTTCACCTGGATGTACACCCGGATGTACACCCGATATCGTGCTTGAGGCAATCAGCGACTGTTCCGGCACCTGCCTTGCCTTGTCCATGCGACTTCTTTGATCGCGCCGAGCATATCCGCTCCACCTGGTTCAATTTGCTTCTCACCAACCATTGCCAAGCGTTGATTTATAACCGTATATCTCCATCGCCTATGACTGGTCATTTTTCTCATTGATGAGGTCTTCCAATCCACGCCCTTGCCTTTGTATCCACTCATAAGACACGGCAACCTACCTTATCTACGCCGTCATTCTTACAATCTTAGATCTCCAGCAAATCCCCCTATATTTCCCCTGCTCAACGATACCCGTCATTCCGCCGGCGGCAGCGTGGGTCACCGGCACCTCACACTGCCGCGGAGGCTATGAGTGATGGTGAGAGCGATGATGGTAGGCGGGCGGCCAAGAAGCGCAAGGCGAGCCGTGCCTGTGACCGCTGCAATTCTCAGCACCAGCCTTGCGACAACGCCACCCCCAAGTGTAGCGTGTGCGTCCGTGCTGGCACCGAGTGCACCTACAACAGGCCCGTTCGCAAGAGGGGGCCGCGTAGTGGCTACACCGGCCAGAATGGAGAGCGTCTATGGGCCATAGTGCTTCAGGCCCGTCCCGACATAGAGGACATCGTGTTGCAGGCACTTCGCCGTGGGACCTACGGCGATACGGGCATTCCCAACCTGGAATATTATCGCAACAACTACAACCAAACAGAGCTGGTGAATAAATTTAATGAGAGTCGTATTGCCCGATTCTTGCAGCATGGCGAATCGGCCGACCTGGATCTTCCGCCCTTAGATCAGGAAATACCCCTGGCATCGCACTCTGAGCCCCCTCGCAGCGAAGCAAGCTGCAGGCAAAACAATGGTGCTACGAGACTATCAGGGCATGTCCCGGTTCAACCTAGTCAGCGCAGTCGAGCTATGTCTGTTAGCTCAGGAACGAATTCGACCACAGTCAACCCCCATGGTGCCCCCCAAAATCCTGGTGACATATATCTTCAGAGCGAAGACATCCGGAGACGTGCTTTTGACCCGCCACCCGAACGCCAACGCTCTTATGGTGACACTAGCTATCAAGGGTCGCCGGCCCTTCAGAACACACATTTCGGATGGAATGGTTCGACGAACAATTACAGAGCTCATGCATCCAATGTAGAAACACCCGCTAATGCGTCGGATTTCGGTTCCCTATCAGGCGCTCCACATACCTCATTCCAAGGCGAGGATGGTTACGACACGAAGCGGGAACTCTCTGATCCTGGGGCAACCTACCATTCTCGATGGCAAGTATAGACTTTTTAGCGACATGGAGATGAGAACTAACCTACGAACAGGCTTGATTCAATACCTAAGGATACCTTGCTCAATCTTGGATTTGCTCCCGGCGAAGGAATGGAAGAAGACTTCTTCGAGCTTTGTGCTAATCCAGATCCAATCGATTCGACACCCACAAACTACACGGCTGACCAGAATGAAGACGAAGAAGCAATCTGGCGCCGTTTAGTTATGAGAGGGAGATTCGTGTGAGCGTTTACAGTGCGAACTGCCCATTCCTGAGAACTGCAACACGTAAAGCAATAGTGAAACGTATCTCCTCTCGCTCGCTCAGAATAAGACAGAGGTATTTCTTCACTTCATATTATCATGACGTTCTTTGCTGACTCTCAATATTAGCTTACCTAATCTATGACAAAGTTACCTGGAGAAGACCCTGGATGTATGTGGAAAGGGGAGAATAGGCTCTATTGTGGTGAGCCTACGACCTCAACTGTATCCAATGGCCTCATGTAATTATAGCCTGACTAGCTATATCTACATATCGCTACTTGTGCGATGATGGGTTGATGTAGGGAACACCTAACCATACCGGGACTTGGGACAAGATGACACCGAAGCTGTCTATTTATTCAACAAAGTGTTTTGCAGAGGAAAAAAACATCTGTAAGTAGACAGTTGAAACGACGCAATGCCGTCGCATCATAGACTCTTTCAACTTGTTGGCCGATATGGTCATTTGATACTTAAATAATCTAGATACCCTTTCTCGCGGTTTCAGCGGTGATGGTACCTGTATCGGTATCTTGTACAGGACATGTGATTACAAATCACTCATGTATACCCTCTGCTAGGGAGGAATCTGCTCACCCATAATCACTATTCATGTTCAATACGGTCAAACCCCCCAAAAATGAAATATTACCCAAAACATACCCCGAATACTGCGCCCGCCGATCCACACCTATCAAGTGTATCTAACCTAAATGCAACTCGAACGTGGAGGGATGAGTAATCATCATGTGTTCAGGCGGTATTGGTCACCGATGGCCTATACGGCTGAGCTACCGACTAATATGGCTTGCCAGAGATACCAAAATCATTCCAAAAACGAGCTCGGAACTTCGGGACCTTATACAGACGTCAGCTAAATCTACATCTTTGCTCACTTGAATCCTACTTACCCCAGACATGCATGGCCCCAGGACCAGCCTGGGAGCGCTGCGTCGGTTCATCGGCAGTTAACAGATCTCCGTCAACGTAATGCTCGAAGATAAAACCGCTGGGATCGAACCTATTATATTTGTCCCGTCGAAGATCAGTCAACGGGCTCATAACATTATCTCTCCAAAAACATCCCCTTCGTTGCCACCAATGTCTTACGCTTATGGCAGCATGATGAAAACAAATCACATCGCAAATCAGAAAAGAAGAATAGTACTAGACTCGACTTAAACTCACCAGTAATCGAAGATCTGACTCCCAAGCACATGACGCCCGACACCCCAGCAATTCTTATGGCCCTTCTCGCGCAACCACTCGTGCCCAAGGACCTGTACATCGAAATCGTGCGTCTCGAACGACGAGTGGTGGACCTTGGACGACGTGGCCGCGACCAAGAAGAACGAGTGGTGGTCCACGGCTTCCTTGCCTCTGTCTAGACGGTAGAAGGCGAGGATATTGGTGTTTTTCTCGTCGTGGACGAACTATTCCCAGGTCTCGTCAGCTCCAGGGGTTCTCTGCAAGTCTCTTGAGACGAACATGAAAAGGGGGGAAGATGCGATGCCTCTTACGTCACTGGCGAGAAAATTGAACCGCGAGCGGTAGAACTCGTCCGCCTTCGCGAGATTCGTGGTGCGTATGCCACAGTGGCCTAATTTGTGCACTGGTGCCGGCCCCTTCGTGAATCTCTGGAACTCTCCCGGCGGCCGGGTTTTCTCCATCGGCTACATCGGATCCAAAAAACAACAATTAGTAAAAGAAGCGGTAATAGAGAACAGGAAGACACGGATTTAGCTTATGTGGACTCACGTAATTGAGGCGTATGCGAGGCAGGCTGATATCCAACATATCCACACTCTTGCTCCCGTGGACAAGATGCATAGGCCATCCGTCGACAGGGTCGTACAGAGTCACGCCTTTCCCACCGCCGGGCGCATCGTCCAACTCGTAGACCTCGGAAACCCTCGGCAGCGTGGCCGCGGCGAGATGCAGATCCCCCTCGGACTCGACGACGAACCCGGCGCCCCCGAAGCCAGCTGTGTCGGCCTTGACGGCGCAGAGGACCCAGGGCTCTTTGCCGTAGCCGCGGAAGTAGATCTTGTCGTCCTCGCCGACGTCGTTGGTCACGCGCTTCTCCTCGGTGAAGCCGAAGTCGACGAGGAATTCCCTGGCTTTTTCGAGGTCCGGGTATTTGTAGTACACGTGTGCTATGCGCACGAGCTTGATCTTCTGCGGTGGGACTGCCATGTTGGGTTTTATATATCTTACGCTACTGGGTCGAATTCACAGCTTTAGATTTGAAAGTCCGGATGAAGATGCCGGGTCGTCAGGAAGCTGTTTCGCTATTATACGAAGAGAGCAGGACACCTCGAACTGGCTGGCCTTGAGGTATCAATGGACTATAGATATACGAGCACAGATATAACCTACCTATGTATGATATAGGTATCCCGTATAATGGCTCTCAGTCGAGTTCTTACGAAACTATATTCAAGCCAGCTGATTAAACACGGAGCCGGACGTGGCGGAGTCCGGAGCCATACTTGACTTACATTCTACGCCAGTACGAAAGCATTATGCAAACTGGCGTTGAGTAAATTGCTTTTTCTTATTAAGTCACAGTGATATATTGCCACTTCAATCTTTGGATTCTTGAAAGTTCCTGTTCTGCGTTCCTGACATATCTTGTGCTGTTTTACTCATTGGAGACACACCGGAGAAGCAACAAGAGCTGTCCTCCCACCTAACCATATTCGCCTGCACCATTGCAGAACAGTATGTGATTGCTTGCTACGTCCTTAAATTGGCCAATTGATGATACCTACCTACGACATGCTTAACAATCCCTGGTTCTGATGGCAGGTACGGTGGGAGTGGCTATATTACCCCTCACAGTGGATTCCTTCAGTGACTAGAACTTCAACTCTACAACATCAATACAATCCCTTGGCAATCAATTCACTTATCAGTTCGAGATAGCCACCCTGAAGTTGAACTTGCGTGGGGGAACGGGCTCCAGACGAGCCTTGGTTCCTTAGCTCATTCGGCACGCACTATGTAAATGCTACACACTAAGCTAAATAGCGTAATAAACTGGCCTACTAGCAAACCAGCCTATGTCAGCCCCTCCGTCATCAAGACAGCGCGAACAAAGAAGATATATCCTCATCGCGTGAACAAATACTGCTTCATATCCCAGGGCTCCGACCCTAAGCATGTATATATCATAACAAACCATCAACACATTCGTTTCCGTACTCACTCACTCACTCACTTCATCTCCATCCCCCCCTTCACAGAACAAAAACTTTTACCCCTCCTCACCACCATGCCCCGCAAACTCTCCAAGCAATCAACGAGCACATCGCTCTCCTCGCTCTCAACAATCTCCTCCCTGCCCACCATCCTAACCGACGGCCGCCCGCTCCCGCGCGCCATAATCTTCGACCTCGACTACACGTTGTGGCCCTTCTGGGTAGACACCCACGTGTGCGCGCCGCTGCGCCCCAACGCAACCCACACGTCCTGCACCGACAAAGTAGGCGAGACCTTCTCCTTCTACCGGGACATCGTCTCAGTGCTCCCGGGCCTCTCTCTCGCCGGGGTCAAGCTCGGGGTGGCATCCCGCACGCACGCGCCGGACCTAGGCCGGGAAATGCTCCGGCTCTTGCACGTGGGCCCCGCAAGCACCGTCCTCAGCAGCGAGGACATCGCGGCGCTCTCCTCGCGGACGACGACAGGCGGCAATAGCGGAGGTGCGGGAAAAGGGTGGGAGAAGACGAGGAAGGCGATCGAGTACTTCGACGCCGGGCTGGAGATCTACCCGAGCTCCAAGATCAAGCACTTCGAGGCCCTGCACAAGCGCACGGGCATACCGTACGCGGAGATGCTGTTCTTCGACGACGAGAGCCGGAACCGCGACACCGAGACCCTGGGCGTCACCATGTGGCTTGTCCGCGACGGCGTCACGTGGGCCGAGGTCGAGAGCGGCGTGCGCGAGTGGAGGCGGCGGAGGGGCGTGGAATGAATGAATGAAGCGCAGCATTGACGATGAAATAGGTTGTCGAATCGCCATCCTGGCTAATGGATGTTCGTATGGATAAGGCGAGAAGTGAAGATATGTTTACAAAGCTTGGCGTTAACGGTTTGTTGGGACGTGCGTAGATTGTTTCCTGGAGAGAGACTGTCTAAACGCACGGAAAGCTTCGCATTTTAGAACGATAGATGATAGACAGACGTGCAGGCGTGCGGACGAACGACATCGTATGTTTTTGTTCCGGTTGGGGGGCGTCCGGCGTTGAGGGTTTATATATAAATGAATATGCATCATTGTAGCTACATAGAAATCTACATCTTCTAAAAAATAATGCATCACTAAGCATCTACCAGTAACTAGTTAACTATATATATATGTGTGTGTGTCTCCCCCATCGTCTATACGTCGTTAATGACTGATAAACTAAGCTAGGATAGTCTACCCAAGATGACCAAGGAGTCTGTCATCGAAATCGTTATAATATGCGAAATCGATGATGCCTATTTCTATGCATGATAGCATCATCGTCGTTACGAATGAAGAGTTAAAATTTAATGCGCTTTTGTCTCAGGAAGGGCGTCGGCCACGGAGGCGATCTTCTCGGAAAGCTGCTCCGTCGAATCCTTGGCGTCGGTGATGACTAGACCTGCCACAGCATCGGCGGTAGACTCGGCGGTGGTCGCCTCGGGGTCGTCTGCCCTTGGTAGAGGGGCCTTGGGCGCAGTCTCTGTCGAGGCCTCTTCGCTGACCTCCTCTTTCTCATTATTCGTCGTTGAGGTCTCAGTGGCAGAATCGGACTTAGGCAGGAACGCCTTGGGGATGGTACACACCACCTCCCTCCTTTCCTTACCGCCCTTACTACCCACTGCGAGACACTCCAGCCGTGTGCCATCTGCGCTGGGGCGCCAATAGCAGGGTCCAGGCGGGAAGTTGGTAAACCCGTTCTCCCACGTCACTATCCGCTTGATCTCGTCGTCGTAGGCGGGTTCGTCGAAGAAGCTCCACTCGAGCTTGCCGCCGTAGACCTTGGGGATGTCCTCGAGGTCCATGAAGGTCGTCAGGACGGGGAGCACGTCGTGGTCGCTGAGGATGAAGATCTTGGATACGGTGACGGGGTCGAACCATCGCTTGATCCAGCCCCATACGGTCGAGAAGAAGTAAGGAGCGCCGATGATGAAGATTCCTACGGACGATGCGCGTTAGCATGCTTAATCCATTTATCCCCCTTTCCTGACGAAAGGTTTTTTTTGGGGGGGGGGAGAGAAAGCTCACGGTCTAGAGTCTCGGGATAGTGCGCGGTAGCTAGCTGACTGGCGGCCTGCATGTGGGCTTTGAGGTTCCAGAACATGCGCAAACTGACGTGCGAGATGTCGACGATATTGGTGCTGAGAGTGATCGGGGTCTCTGGATTTTGGCGGTCGACGCATTCGGACGACAACGGCTGGGCGAATCTGGTCAGGTTCTCGTACAGCGCGAACAGGCGCAGCAGCTTGGCCGGTGTCTTCCCATCTGTCTTGGCCTTGCTGTATGTGGTTTCAGTCGACTTCTCGTAGTCGGCGACGGCTTTGGAGTCTAAATGTCGGATCTGGAAGACATAGATGGGTATCCCTCTGTTCAACGAGACAACAACTTGTTAGTACTTGATGGCGCGATGGGAATTGGCCGGCGCGATAAAGTGAACACGTACCGCTTGTCTCTGTGTCCAGTGAAGCGCGGGTACTGCATGGGAAGGCATCGTAAGCTACCGATCTACGCTGAAGGTTGGACTCGAGAGGGGTGTGGTGTACCAGTTTCCTCGAAGCCTCGTACGAGTCAATATCGATAGTTTCATAGAGCGTATCGATCTCGTTTGCGTTCCGGAACTTCTCTGTATCTGCAAACTGCACGTATGCGTCCTGTGGCACCCATTTTCGAGCGCGTAGATACCGCCTAGTTTGCGTGCGCGCGCGATGGGTCAGCAAGAACGGTTCGCAGGACGATTGGTCTGACAAGGGTGCAAATAGTCACGACGCACAGTAATGTGGGATCATCGTGCGACGATGGAGGACCGGGCTTATAGAGGCCCTTCTCTTGTAGAAGGGCTTTGAAGTCTGCCAATGCCTGAGTCTCGTGTTCGGTGAGGTGGCCGAGATGTCCCGTCGGGTAGCCGACATCGACGGCGCCAGACGAAGGCACTCGGCGGAGGTCGCTCATGATGGATGGCCAAGGGAAAGAGGCAACAATAGGGAGACAATTCAATTATTATAACAACAATGAAAAATAAAGCATATGGCGTTTAGTGGACGGTAGTTAACTAGCTACGACTACAGTCAATCAATCTATTGATGCCACTATTATTTTGTCAAGATACCTAGCTAACCTAGGAAGATAGCTAACCGCCGATAGTGATGGATGATAGTGATGGATACCGCCGACTCAAGCACGCCTTCGTACCTTACTCAGATAGGATATAGTGACTGCGCCGCTCGCTACTACATTGTACATTCTTTGTTAGGCAGCTTTAGCGACCCTTGGCTCGCTCTGGTCTGGTCCTCTCAGCCTTCTCAGATGCCGATATTGATTTATTGGTGTAAGTAAGGCAGAGTAGGGCCATGGTTAATATGTGAGTGATTATAAATGCTGTATATCATGAATTATTCCCCTATACATAAGTATACTATGTATTGGCCAATCATAGAATCGTCGCATGAGTTGTACCCGATCAACCCCCCGCTGTGTTACGCACTTCTGCTATACAAGTCATCACATATACCTGATCTGACCTTTATCTCGTCAAGACATTGGTAAAACGTGGATGGTTCGTTGTCATCGTCGACGAATCAAGATTAGCAAAAGAGTGTTGAATTACACACAGTAGATACCTTCGTATGTAGTGCATTCTAGTCAGGGTTTCTGTGCCTTATGTAGGAGCATGCGTATGCGTGCTGCACTCGACGGGCCGCTTACAGGGAGGGCAAGATGAACAACTTGGAATATACACACTGTTTACAGTACATATCTGTGACAACCTGGAGGTCTGTGACGCGGCGGCACGGGTAATGACATCCGCGAGAAACTCTGTCTTTAAATATCCTCGGAAGGTTTATTGCAGTCACTCATGATCCAGTTCATTTCGTCGTGTAAGGCGGTGCCGCTCGGTGGGGATGTCGACCCCAAGTTGGCGCACGTACAGCACATGTGAATGCACCCGTATCTGCTAATTCCCAGTTCGCCAATCTGCGGAATGGTGCCCGCCCGTGTCAGGTGGCCCAGACCAGACGGCTCTTGGTTGGGCTTCACACGAACGTCGGGATTCTTTTGTAACAGAATTCGGGGTCTAGCAAACCAGCACGCCACGGCTTGCCTAATCCAGTAGACCCCCGCCTCATCCCCAACCCTACTTTGTAATCCCCAGATTTTCTCCGCAGCTAAGAACTTAGGGGGGCCGTTAGGGGGAACAGAAGATCGACCGAAGCGAACAAGGTCTACAGAATACAAGCGTCAGCTGTCAATAAGATACTTGCCGAGATTTGCCATTTCTCACTCTCAAAAGAGGATGATGTTGGATAAGTAATATATTTGCGTGGTCCGCCTCGCCCGTGATTGACATGCTGACACGTACACGCCGACTATCGGCCTTGGTCTGCCTCCTGCATGCGCCACTGGGCGTCAATAGAATCAATGACAGTGAGAGATTGTGTCGCATATTGAAACGATAGAACGGTGAGACAGTAGCTGAACACAATGTTCCAGCCATATTGTATGACAGCATGTGGGGTTTCTCTGACTCCTCTCTTCAGCAAGCCATGTAGAATATCTATAAACATTAGATCCTTCGGTCTGCATGTCTTAATCTTTCACCCCAGCCGGCTTTCTCAGAAAGACATACACTTATAATAATAATTCCGTCATACAAACACACACAATGGCAGCGGCCGTGGTAGATCAAGGACCCTCGAGTGAACGAGCGGTGCCTGGATCAGTTAACATAGCCATTGCTCCATGGCCAACAACAGGGAGCCTGAAGGAGGAGACGATCGATGCTAATGCGATATCATCCAAGATAATTGATTCTCTCAACCAGTCGCTACAGAAGCAGGACTACAAGGCCATTGCAGATTTATTCGTCCCTGATGGGTACTGGCGAGATCATCTCGGCCTGACGTGGGATCTGCGGACCGCCAAAGGCAGAGAGAAGATCGTGAAGTTGCTCCAGGAGGGCCACCACCTGACCAACGTCGAGATAGATCCTTCGACATCCAACAAGGGCCCGCAGGTAGCAGACTTCAGGTACGACGGCGCCGTTCGCGGTATCCAATTCATCACAACTGTCAACACACAATTTGGCTCTGGTCAGGGTGTTGTGCGACTCGTGCCAGAAGGCAAGGGATGGAAGATCTGGCACTTCTTCACGTCGATGAATAAGCTCAAAGATTATGAGGAAGCTGTAGGACCTAATCGTGCCCGTGGAGTACAACATGGTGCACAAACTGGCAGAAAGAATGTGAGTTCTTCTAATTTCTCTAGTTCTTAGATTCTAAAGGTAGAGCGTATACGTTATTCATTTTCCATGATTAGCGATGATAGCATGTTGACCTTACCTATCACAGTGGCTAGAGCGGAGACGGGAGGAGTCCAATTTCGAAAACTCAGAACCAGATGTACTGATCATTGGTAAGATGTGCCTTCAATTTGATCAGCGGCCATTATTCTAACACAACATAGGCGCTGGTCAAGCTGGATTATCAGTTCACGCTCGGTTAAGAATGCTGAATGTGCCGGCACTCACCATCGACCGAACCGACGATATTGGCGATGCCTGGCGGAATCGGTATCATCAGCTTGTGCTACATGATCCGATTTGGTATGACCATAGTGAGTAATCCATCATCCAGTATTCCGAGGCCAAATCTCCAGCGCCACTATATACAGGATTCGATTGATCCTTAAACCTCTGTGTTGATTACAATCATTGAATACTAAATGATTTATCTAAGTGCCGTACATCAAATTCCCCGATTTTTGGCCCGTATTTACGCCCAAGGATAAGATGGCGGACTTTCTGAAAGCATACGCTCACATGCTGGAGTTAAATGTGTGGACTAAGACTGAGCTAGAATCTAGTTCCTGGGATGACAGCAAGAAACAATGGACAGTGGTTCTAAAGCGGACCAAGAGCGATGGTAGCACAGAGACGCGGACACTCCACCCGAAACATATCATTCAAACAACGGGCCACTCAGGCAAGAAGAACTACCCCGAATTCAAAGGTATGGAGAACTTCAAGGGAGACATCCTCTGCCACTCTTCCGAGTTCCACGGGGCGAAGCAAGGCACGAGTGGTCGGAAGGCGGTCGTCATCGGGTCTTGCAACTCAGCTCTCGACATCGCGCAAGATTACTACGAGAACGGCTACGACGTTACCATCATACAGCGCTCTTCAACGTGTGTCATGAGTGTCCCAGCTGTCCTAAACCTTCTCCTGGGACCCCTCTACTACGAAGGTGGCCCACCAGCCGAACACGCTGATCTGCTTTCTTGGGCCGTGCCTATGGAGATTTTCAAGGCCATTCACGTCGATATAAACACTTTACAAGAAGAGATGGATAGAGAGGTCCTTGATGGTCTGAACAAGGCTGGATTCAAGACGGACCGGGGGCCGATGAATGCTGGCCTTTGGTACAAGTACCTACAGCGCGGCGGTGGGTACTATATCGACGTCGGGACGTCCCAGCTCATTATAGACGGGAAGATCAAGGTCAAGCATGGACACGGCGTTGACGAGATTTTGCCGAACGGCTTGCGGCTTGACGATGGCACGGAGCTCGAGGCTGATGAGATCATCTGCGCTACTGGATATCAGAACATGAGGACCGTGACAGAGGCTATCTTCGGTGCAGATGTGGGAAGCAAAGTTGATAATGTCTGGGGGTTCAACGAAGAGGGGGAGACGAGGATTATGTGGCGTCAGAGTGGTGTCCCGGGACTTTGGCTTCACGGTGGTAATCTGGCCATGTGTCGATATTTTTCGAGGGTCGTGGCTCTTCAGGTTAAGGCCCAACTTGAGGGTTTGTCCTCTTGATTGTACCTACCGCATAGCCAGGTTCTATAATATTTATTGATTTTATTCACCATTTGAGGCACGACCAAGTGCTGTGGTTCATGAGTAAATATGTTGCTCATTATGACGATCGAGCACAATTACATAACGTTCTAACTTACATTAGAATGCCCATTCTAATTACTGTAAATCCAACATTGAAGCCTTGGACGCACTCGCTCACATACCACGGATGGAAATGTGCCGGTATTCACATTCTCGTGGTAGTCAAAACGGTACTTGTTGGCTATTAATATTTCATTGTGGAGATCATCTACAACTCGAGGTTTGATACATATTGATTCACTTAGACGAAAGAATGGTCCGATGTGAAAATATGAAATCCGAAACTGTGTTCATGCCCCATTCCCACAAACCTAATAAATTCCACATAACCAGCAGAAACCGAACAAGCTCGATCTTTTGATACCAAGTAATTACTCGAGTCTGTAGCCTAAGACCTGTAACCTTCGCCAATACTGTAACCTTCACAAGATGTGCCTCTCATCTGCTTCCTCTAGTGTGGGACAAAGCAGGCAGTCTCACAAAGGAGGGCCATATTAACTTCCTACGAAAGTTACACAGCATCGTGGACCGTGAGAGTCCAAGATGAAAAGTTTCCGCCCGTCCTGAATATTACGTACCGGCCAACCTTGACCTGGCAAATGAGGCACACCAGCGGACCTGGTGCCACACTGAGTCACCTCGATACTTTGGCGGTAAGAAACTAGACACCTGATTCCTTTACATTATTAAATTTACCTAACGTCGTGTGGAAGTTACAAGACCAAGGAAGAGAACTCTATCCGAAAGTTGGTTCACAGAAGCCGGATATATAAACGTCTACACCATCTCCCTTTCCTCTTACCCCTTCTTCTTCTTTTCCACCGACCCAAATACGATTTCACTGCACCACGCAACAAGCAAAAGCTATACCCCCTTTATTCCAAAATCCACCAACCCATCACTCAAAATGAAGTACGCACTTCCTCTCCTGGCGCTTGTCGCCGCCGTCTACGCCGCCCCTCAAAACCTCAACGAGACGGGTAAGCCAGAGGAGCCCGCCCCTGAGATCTACCCGGTCCCCTGGCCGCACCCAGAGATTCCCGAGGGCGGCAGCATCGGCATTCCTACCATCCCCGCCGAGCCAACCCACCAAGAGCCGGTCCCCGCCTGCACCGCTGAGCCTCACCACGGTGGTGAGCAGCCCAGCAAGGGCGAGCCTCATCAAGGCGGGCCTCATTACGATGAACCGCACCCGGCTCAGCCCCATCATGGCCCGGGCTTCTTCCCGCCTCACCAAGTCGCCGGCAACGACGCGACTGGCGCACGTCATTCGCTCGCGGCTCTCGCTATCGGTATCGCCGCCGCCGTTGGATTCTCTCTATAGAATGGCGCTATCGCGTAACGGCGAAATGGCGTCATCAAAGTTCTCCTTAGGGACGCAATATTGTTGTGATGCGAGATGTTAGAAGGATTTATGACATTGGAGGCGTGTTGTTAAGAGACGCCTTGTCGTGTGCTCTGGATAATATCTTGTATTTCGCCAAGTTAATGGGATGAGACGACTGCTACTTGTGTCGTTGGAGCAAAGACAATTTAATACTATAATCCCTTTTAATATTAATGATAACAATTTTTTTCTTCCCTCAGAGATGCAGATTCAGACAAGACCGTGGCATTATTCGTGACATCGCGGAATCTACTTTCTGTCGTGGCTTATCCTTGGACAAAAGGTTCATAAAGTGCCGCCTATACTTGATTATAGAAGCAACCTTATATGTTAGGCGCCGATAAGCAGGTCTTAAAAGCCTTGTTCTAGTGTTAGCGTACCGTGAATCTTGATTATATGAAGAGCGAAAGCATGCATAAGTAGGATGAAAACCATGACTCACAAACACCTTGTTACTCAACCTTTTCCCTGTTGTAGTAGATGTACCTCCTATCAGCGTGCCACCTCACATCCCGATACCACAATAATCATGCCTAACCTCCCAAAGCTACCCTGTGTGACTGAGAGTTCAAGATGTCTACTGGTCGCTTACACATATTGGATTACTATTATTGATGCCTGTCTAGACCTCAACAGTTGGGTACAGTTGCAGAAATCGGTTCATATTGGAATATTGCGTAGTATACCCCAGAGCTGGCGTGACCTTGTGTTGCATCTCAAAGTAGGCTGGCGAGTATAATAGAAAGGTTTCAGTACCGGTATCTTAGTTGGATAGCCAAGCTTTGTAAGGTTTCATCGGCAGAGCAAAGTCTGGAGGCGCCTGGGTTATGTGAACTTTTTCGGGGCCCCGCAAAAGAAACTATAGAGAGCGCCAGCACCCTGGTTCGAAAGAACTCAGAACGTGGAGAAAAAAAGGGGGGGTTACATGGCGTGGCTCACGTCACCCAACGCTTGCCTTACGACTATCAATAATAAGCTATTATGATATACCTTTTCTCCAATCATAAAATGGCATTTCTCTAGGCATCCTGTGATTGTACGTCGAGCTGGAAGAGCACACCTATCAATTCGTGCCACGGCCAAATAGAATACCTAGTGCAGCCTGTCACGCGTGAGCTGCATCTGGAAGCCACCTACGACTTGCAATGAATAGAAGAGGTTTCGAATGCAGAAGGTAGTAGATCCAAGCTGACAATCACGAGGGAAATGAACGGCATTTGCGAATGTTGGAAAACCCCGTGTATTGTTAGGGAGACAGACGAGATTCATCCAAAACGGCTGCACGGTTAGGGTACATCATTCTAGGGATGAGAAAACTTTTCTGCATTTCTATAGAGAAGTCGGCTGCGAAGGGATAAGGCACTAATAGCATCATCACCAAACTCGTACGCCACGCACAACATTGTTCAAACCCTGAGCGTTTTGATAGGGCGTCTTAGAAATACCGAGAAGAAGACTCTTGCTTACAATGCATGAGAACATACATCATCACGAGGCCCAGAAGCTTCCGAAGAGGGTGTGCAAGCCCCATAACCTGATCCAAAATGCAACGGTATTCAGGCGTCGTCTTCGACGCATGGCTGTCACAGCCGTATGTGAGACCCTTGACTCCCTTGCGTATATAAACGCGTCTAGGCTGGTGCTGTGCGTACTGACGAGTATCCAGGGATCTGGGTTTGTCAGCGCCTTCAATACAGCCTCTCTTCATCTATATTAGCGAGTTGGATCTATTAGAGATGATGTCGTTCTGGATTCTCATCACCCTGGCTGCGTGCCTGGCAACATCATGGCCGTTATCTTTTGCCCAGCGTCAGAGTAGTAACTGTTCTGTCGACTACTTCACTAGCATCGCGCCTGCAGGAATTCATGTCGAGCGCGTGCAATATGTCTCGGCCGGTTTCTTCGTCGAGACCGGAAATATCGCCTATCCGACTTTTCCTACCGGTTTGCCGGAGCTCTGTGCCGTGATCATAAACAACGTCACCGCGAACTACCGCTTCGGGATGTTTCTACCAGACGAGTGGAACTCGCGATTTCTCACTATCGGCTCGTACTCATTTTTCGGCGGGATCAATTGGCTGGAGATGGGTGTCGGCGTCAAGTATGGAGGCGTGGTCCTGGCTACCGACACCGGTCATAGCTCGGGAGCAGGAGACATCACATGGGCTAATACCACCCTGAAGCAAGTGAACTGGGCATATCAGGCACTTCAAGGGTCGATATATCTCGGGAAGGCACTCACTGAAGCATATTATGGCCAAGACATCGCGTACTCTTATTTCACTGGATGTTCCACTGGAGGGAGACAGGGCCTCAAACAGATTCAGCTCGATCCCCATGTCTTCGACGGGGCACTGATCGGAGCTCCGGCATGGGACACAAAGCATCTGATGCCCTGGTTGTCCAAGTTAGCGACGTGGAACCTACCAGAAAGCGCGCCATATAGCTTGAACGACGCCGGCCTGTTCTCACGTCTTCAGGACGAGGTACTGAAGCAATGTGATCCCCTCGACGGCGTCAAAGACAACATAATCAGCTCGCCATCTGCCTGTAGACAGAAGTTCGACATCACAAAAGTCCGATGTGACGTTTCGAGCAACAAGACATCCTGCTGGTCCAAGGCGCAGACTGAGACGGCAGCGAAGATATACGCGGACTACGTCACGAGCGACGGACAGCTCGTCTACAAGGGATCCGAGTACGGCTCCGAGCTAGAATGGGGGACGTTCTTACTCCCCGCAATAGCGGACGACAACTCCCAGAATGTGAGGCGGAACTTCGACGGACAGTACGAACGGTACTTCATGAATTACGGGTCACGCTGGCAGACGACGTCGTACAACGACTCAGTCGTGAAGGACGCCGAGGCCCGCGACGAGAAGATAGTGCAAGCCACCGCGGACCAATTTGACCTCGGCGCTTTCAGGAAGAAGGGCAAGATCATCATGTACGGCGGGCTCGCCGACAACGTCGTGCCAGTGCAGCACACGACGTACTACTACAACCGCACCGTCGAGGCGATGGGGGACGTCGGGGACTTCTTCCGGTACTTCCAGATCCCCGGGATGCGCCACTGCTGGGGCACGCCGGACAACGTGAAAGCGCCGTGGATGATAGGGAGCACAGGCCAGTCGGTGCAGAGGCCGCCGTACGCGTCGGCGTGGTCCGTACCGCTCGGGTTCAACGACTCGCGGCACGACGCGCTCCTGGCGCTCATAGACTGGGTGGAAAAGGGGCGGGAGGTGTCCCAGATCATCGCGTCCGAGTTCAACTTCACGGATTCTACGAGGCAAAACATTGCATTGTACAGACAGCGGCCGCTATGTGTTTATCCGAAGACGGCGCAATGGAACGGTAAAGGGAACCAGAATGATGCGGCGAGTTGGCGTTGTCAATGATGCAGGTTTTTTTTTATTAAACTTGTTTGAGCACCAGAATATAAGGTTCTATATCAACCCTGTTTTTTATACCATCTACATGCATGTGATGAACGCGTTAAGCTTGGAACTTGAACGCATGGTCTCACTTAAAAGGGGCGAAGTAGAGACAAATAAAATAGAATCCGAGAGATCTCAACAGGAATCGAACCGGATGTTATGCGCCTTGCCTTAGGTATCATAGTTCCTAAGCTACAACGCGCCCTGCTTTCGCATTGACGGGTATTTCTTTGCGGTCGCGTGCCAGCACCGTTACGCCTCGGACGAAACTTCTAAGCCTTACCTAGCAAGGTTGCCTTCTTCCCTGGGCGTCCCCGGGGAAGTGGCCTCCTTGCTGGTAGGGCCCGAAGTTCTAGCTGGGACCGTTTCTGAACTCAGGGGGGCGCGAGTGGTCATCGAGGGCGCAACGCTCTACCACTCGGCCATGAGTACTTGATACGGGGACGTACATCTATTTAGATTCATGAGGACCAGAGCAGGCACAGACTGAAAGGTAGTACTTACGTAAGAGTAGAGGTATTGTACTGTCTAGGACGTAATCTTTTGGCTACCATCTAGAGAGACATGCTGTGAAATCACCCTCTTTCTATATCTCCTTCTATTACCTCTAACACATGATGTGAACCGATATACGTCTTGATTGGCCCAAATGTATTATAAACGACCGCCTTCTCTCGGCTTCCCTTTGTTCTCATCGCCTCCGCCTTTCGGTTTCCACCGAATGATGCCGTCCTGGTACATCGTAGCAACGTGGACGCCCCGCGGACTCCAAATCTTGCTGTGAATGATGCCCCTTCCGGCCTGCACGCGCGGGAAACACGCCTCCTGCACCCACCACTCTTGCCCTTCGTCGTATTTCATGACCGCATCTTCGGCGTTGACGTGTACGACGAAGGAATAGCTGAGGCTCGCGACGCTCGCGATCTCGACCTCGTTCCCAAGCTCGGCGATGTGGTTTCCGATCATGAGCAGTCCGTTGCGGTCGCATACGTAGGCGTGCGCGCAGATATGTGCGTCCGGCCCGTCGATCGCGCACGCCCCGTCTTTATCCGGGCTATCGTTAACGGTAGCGGGGAGAGGCGCTAGGAGTCGATGCAGCATGATCTCGCGACGCTCGTGGAGCGGCCGGCTGGTGTTATATGCGTGCATGTCGACCTTGCGCATTTCAAACCCGGGGAATGTGCCCACGGCATGTCGGGCGCCAGGAATTTTGGCCAGGATATAGTCGATGTCCGCGATGGGCACCGGGTCCCACTCCATTGGCCGTCTGGAAGTCAAAATCTCGCTGAATCGAGCTTGGGGTGATGGCTCCTGTGCTTCAACGCGAGATGTGGTGCTTGGCCGGAAAGAGATCATAGCACTGAAGCAAACTGGACCCAGTGGGAGGTCCGCGTCTGCTTTAGGGTAGTGGTCGCCGTCTGTATGTGTGCTCGGTGAAATGGGTTGACGCACAGTTACCTGGAGATTGGGGAACGAGGCGTTAGAAGCCAGATTAGACACCTCGTAGATAAATGGGCGATCACTGCGCCCAGCTTCAGAGAAGAAACCATGTATCGTCTACCACGTTGTCAGCTTAAGCCCTTTCACCAGCAAATACAGCATACCCTGCGGCACTAATAGATATCTGGGGGAGAAATGACATACATGAATTCCAAGCTTCTTGTCCTGACCACCGTTATTCGCTGTTATTCGTGCAGCTCTGAGCGATAGCGAAGCAGCGAGGCCAGCTTGGCTGTAAACGTGGCCGCCGTACGTATTCGGTGCCGCTGTATAAGTGCCGCCCAGCTCCAACACGAGCGGGACAAAATCAAGCCCGGGCGTCCACGCGCTACGTCGGCTCATATATCGCTTTATGACATCCCCATTGCTCGTGGCCTTGTCTGGAAGCGATATGAGACCCAGGGCTTCCTGGTATGCAAGACGGCTATGCCCTCTCTTAACCTCCTCGGCAGACGGAGGTGTCATCTCGGCCGCGATCCTAGGCATAGCATTCGGGTTGTAGGATGATTGACTCAACAAACGGCTTTCTCTCTTACACGTATCGAATGTATGTGTATTGCATTCCAGGCAGATGAGATCACGTCCTACCGTGTCATACCACCTTTGAATCCATCCCAGCTGAACTGAAGTACCTTGATCCACTCGGAAATTAGAGCCGACAGTAGCATGCGGATATGAGCATGGCACGGCGCGGGGCGAGAATCTGGGGTTTTAGTGACGGGTCTAATCCTCATCTGTGCTGTGCCTCGGCTCAGAGTCCTCTACGCCAAGCTTTATCGTGTTCAAGTGGCTGCGCTTACGAAGAGGCAGAGTAGTCTTACAGTATTCTGGCTTCGTACCTACAAATGCACCGCAGGTATCAATCGCTTCTAAGTCGGCGGCCGTTGCGAGATTATTCCTTTCAGGAACGATTATTGAGTGTCGGGCTGAAATCAGTTTATTTATTAGAAGCCTCTATGGTGTCATGTATCGATGAGCAAGAGGTTGCTTGCCCTACTCTATGATCCGGCTACCCTCTCATCGACTTCCGTTTTCTTCTTTTCTGCCTCTTCTATCGATCTTTGTATCCGTTCCTTCCTCCACCTCGGCCCATGCTTCTGGATAATAAACAGAGACGGAGTCTGGATCGTGAACAGGAGGGCAAGTATCGTAAATGCCCAACCTCTGCCGATACCTCTAATGATGTATTCTATTGAAGCCGTCGAAGCGGCGCCTAAAATGCAGCGGCACAGATTGTTCGCAGCAGTAGCTGTCGCTGGAGCCGTGGGGTAAAGGTCGATGACGAGAAGGTTCATAATCTGGAACGGCCACGTAACGCAAATGCCAATGAAGAATGACAAGACCAAGGGCACCGCGACGCTAGTTTGACGCTCGAGAGCCCATCCGTAACCCGTGGTTGCTCCCGCTCCTATGAGAAGAAGTGGAAGAATTAACTGTATGCGTGCCTTCTCCACGGGGAAATCAGCCACTATGATGAATAAATAGAGTTAGTACACGCGACGATCTGATGCGAAAAGTTGAAATATTGGGATGTAGAGCCAAGAGGGGTTCATTAGCCCCGAACCTCACTCTGCGTCTAGTTTTTTGATAAAAAAAAACACTAATACTAGAGATATGTAGGTGCTTACGATCAACTCCTCGTTTACGATCCATGTTTACACCCATCTTTCGGGCAATTCTTCGAAAATTCCAGTCGGCAACGAAGCCACCTCCAATGGAAGCGATAGTCGTCGAACCGCCGATTGGAAGATACAGCAGACCGAGTGTTAATTCATCATAGCCGTAAATCTCCCCAAACTGGGAAGCCAGGGTAGCGGTCACTGTTGAGAAACAGGTAAACAAAGCCGCGTTGAAGATGAGGATCATGATCATACTGTCAAAACCAGGAGTTAGCAATTTGTTTTTGAGTTAGTCAGAGTTCGTGTGTGAGTGAGCGGATATAGCGCAGTTAATGTATCCATCTACTACTTGTGAGAGCAGACGGCATGGAAACGCTTTATATGTCAGGGGAGTCATACTCCTTGTGGCGCAACACTTTCAAGGTGTTGAGAGGATTGGGTATCGGTATTCTTTGCCTTGCACGTGTTGAAGTCTGATCGACGGGCTGCTTTCGGAAGCGTAGGTAATCAATAAGGCTCATATTCCACCCCCGTGGCGGAATTGATCCATTACCAACGACTTTCCGTGCCGTTTCTGGCACCGCTAAAATGTACTACAATACGCAGAGTTAGTTACTGCTGGACAGAATCTGCTAGACAGAATCCCATCTATGAACATTAGCATTGGAGATAACTCACCGGGATCAGCCAAACAACTGTCAATATGATTAAGAACCAGAATATCCAAGGCCATCCAAGATATGCGTTTATAAGTCCGCCCTAGGAAATATCAGTGATCTTCGTTCCTTTATCCTAGGCAGCTGCTCTCTAATGCGACGAAAGCTGGTTAACGTACTACAGCCATGTTAGTGGTAATCCTCAACTACAAGTCGTATTAAGATACGACATACCAATTACGGGGCCTATAGCTGGTCCGATAGTTATCCCGGAGCCGACAATTCCCATCCATTTGCCTCTTTCTGAACTTGGCGCGATGTCCGCTACCACCGCATAGACTAAGGCGATGGTTCCACTGCTTCCACCACTCTGTATCATACGTAAGACCAGCAAAGCAGCGTAACTCCTCTGTAAGGCCAAGCCGATATTGGCGCCAAGATAGATGGTGAAAGCGATGACTATCAACGCTCGAGGTTAGTGATCGCCACATCAACAGTACCCTCAGAGAGCTCCCGAATATTCAAAAGTATTCAAGACATGAGTATGATTCAAAGAAGTGCCCATCATCGTGTATTCGCTAAGACACGAGCACTTGAATCAAAAGATTGACTTACTGAATGCCGGCCTCCTACCCGCAATATCCCCAAAATCACCGAAAATGGTCGGAGCCAGAGCTTGAAAGATCATGTATGTCGTTAACGTCAAATTGATCCGATCCACGCCAACCCCGAGGTCAGTAGCCAAAGTCGGAATCGCAGGGAAATAAATGTTGCCGGTTATGGGCGATATAAAAGCCGATATGCTGTTCATACCAACAATCCACCACTTCATCCTGTGTGAGAAGACGGTGTAAGGAGGCCCGCTTGAGACACGTGAGAGGGTATTCTCAAGGTCTCGATCTTGGTCTTGCTTTTCATCTTGACTGTGGCTGCTGGTTTCTATCCCCTCTTGGATGTCGAGATCGGAATCATTGACATCGTCCTCATGATCGCGTGGCTCAGCGGCTGCTCTTGTTGAAGCCATGGCTATGACTATCACCAAACATGCGACAAGAGCAATATGTAGACCGATCGCATATTACAACCTAAACGTCATGAATACAGAATATAGAATTCATCAAAAAATTGAATGAGAGCAGAAAACCCATTGTTCGATTCAATGGCAATGTTTGAAGACGTTATCGGAGTACGATCTCGGTCTTTCGGCCTTATTGACATTCAAGATTGAGCGGGTCGCTTGACCCGCTCCGTCATCAAGCTGGCGTTATTCCCGGGTCATGCCAGCAGAATTCATCTACACCTTACCGGTCTCGGGAGCCCCATATGCTGCACACCTACTTGATCTAGGAAGTAGGAAGTAGCGGTCTATTTAGCCAGGCCATAGAGGTTAACGTGACAGCCCGGCAGTTTGGTATTGCTGTAATATCAGCAGAGTATGTCGTAGTCCTCAACTCTGTCTGCTAGTGTGAGCTGGCCCTCAGGGTGCTTTTCTCTGCTATAACATTTTCTTGAGCACTGGCTAGGGTTTGGGTTTATGACTGTGACGTTTTGAAGATGGGCAAATCTTCCGTGATCGAGAAGTCATGATGGCGATCTTCGTGTCATGCATGGCCATGACGCGCATGTGACTGGCTGAATAAAGGTTAGCTTAATCTCTCAATGGCGCCTTAATATCAGCGGCAATGGAAACGAGAGTGGTTGACAATATCAAAGTTGAGCTACATGGACATGAGAGATTATAAATGAAGCAATTGTCCTGGAGCTGAGACATCCATCGGGGTTTTGGCGAGCTCACAGGTAATCAGGGAGGCATCTAGTGAAGTTATGTATCTATGCAGGTGGGCATATTCATTCCACTAGCCACAGTCAGGTAGCCACAAGAAGGAGCCGTTGTACCTAGGTAGACGTGAGGCACTAGCCACAAATGGGCGACATGATGAGACAGAGTGGCATGAAGTCACGCCAAGAGTTTCTGTCTTCAATGTGTACAGATCCAGCCAGGATTGAATCATAGCAACCATGGTTCTAAAGACTAGTCCAGTTATGACGATTTCATGAAGACTAGGAATCAAACTGTACAGATACTACTCGGGTGTCTCTGAGCTGATCCAGCGACTACAGCATGACAGACATTACCCCGGAATTCAATGGCTTCTTAAAGCAACATGGAGCGTCTTCTACAAGAGCCAATTTCACCGTCGACAATCTCGAAGACTTCCTCAAGGAAGCTTATAGAATCGTTAGTGTCTAGAGCCTACGCTGAACTGCGACTTTTTGTTCGAGGTTATTGACTCGGGCCGAGCAATTCAGAACTCCCACATTGCTTCGCTCCATGCCGACCTCAGGAATATTCGACAATCCTACCTCTCGACGGCCCAGCCGCGAAGGACACTTATCCTGTCTACACACCATGATCGATCTTCACGGCCCTTGTCTGACCGAGAGCGAGAGGAGATCGATGCAAATGCGAAGAAAATGTTACGAGAGCTCCATGCGAGCATACGGAGGTTGGCCGATGTAGAACAAGCCCGAGCAGATATCGAAAGCAAACTCATCCAAAAGAAATTCAATCGTGGACTGGGCGCATTGGGAGCTTGGGCTTCGGGAGGTGTATCCACCGGCAAGTCACCCGAGCAGACGACAGCAGAAGACCGCGCCAGAACAATAAGCATACACCGTGACAGCGTGCTATGGCTTCTGCGACATCATTTACAGGAGTGCGTCAAGACGCAGCAAGACATGATGGAGATCCGACTGATGCGCGAGATGGAGAAGAGTCGGAGTGTGCTGGCTAAAGCGCGTGGCCAGGACGTCGCCTCCTTACACAGCGCGAAAAGTCTCGTAGAATCATCAAACGGCTCTGCGGACTGGAGGAAAGGAAGCATCCAGTCAGCAAGCCCGGAAGAGGGACAGGATTACAATTCTACAGCGGATTTGTCGCCGGAACAGCTCCAAATGTTCGAGAGGGATAATCAAGATATGCTCAAGCACTACGAAAGCCAGTTAGATCAGGTCAGGTAAGTTTACACAGTATCGCGTCGGTGCCGTAGTATCTAACCCGAATTGTGTGATACAGAACGGCAGAGAAATCATTGGTAGAAATCTCCGAGCTCCAAACCCAGCTCATCGACACGCTCACGACACAATCAGCTGGGATCGAACAGCTTGTAGCCGACTCAGATACAACGGCAGGCAATGTGCAAGGAGGCAACAGGCAGCTTACCAAGGCAACGCAAAAGGCGAGCCCAGCCAAGTACACGTTTTTCGCGACGTGCGGCCTTTGTGCATTCTTGATAGTATGGGATTTGATAATATAACGAATAGCCCAGCGTATCTTTCATCGCGTGACAAGCTAGAGATAGAGCTAGGGATGCTGTGCTCGGTGTCGATGTCCGATGGTGGGCCATCTGCCTAGGGAATTCTCGGATGTCAACGAAGTATTGTGCAGTGTTGCATCATATTCATCTGTAATCACATGCTCTCCAACGGCTATCGTTAGGATCTACACACGGATGAATCGGGTGGGAGTCAATTTGGGGAAGTGCCTAGTAAAGTCAAAATGATAAAAATCATGGCAATCTAGCAGGTGATGGCTGGTTAGGCAGGTGAGCCTCGGCTCCAGAATGAAGTCAGCATTTGAAGAGCCGAGAAAGAATGGGCTCTTGGGAAAAGCCGGCCCGGCTGTCAGTGTTTAATAGGATGAGCGCAGCAACATTGCGAAGCAGACTTCATTCTCTCTCACGCATTCTCACGATTTCAATTACCATTACCCTGCCTGGAATGATCGGCATCCTTTTCCGCAGACAAATCTGTACAAATCTGTATCACCATCGAGGAAATCCCATGTCATACCTATCGTCTAACCCCATACTTACTTAATAGTACTGTGCAAGGAATCCGGGGGACTGCCTATTTGTTACTAGTAATTTTTCGCATGAGCACAAGCTCCCACTCCCTGCGGCGGCCAACACCGAAGCTTCTCCGTGTCTACATAGTACTCTATTTAGAGGACTATTACACATAGAAAGGTATGTAGACAGACATACGGCTATGTCAGAGTTGTTGCTGTCGATGATCCTAGGGTTCAAGGCAGACTGATATGATACTTGTAGAAAGCCTTATTTCGGATACAGGTTCCTCGTTATCTTTGAGGCTTTCAGTCTTCTCGCTGTTTAAAGCAAAAGCAGCATCTCTTAAATTCACCCCACCAGCACACCCGCCATCACACTATTCCCCCACCTAGCACTGGACTCGCCAGACTCCTACCAAGCTTGCCCAGAGGTCTGCCCAGAGCTATTGCCCAGCACTGCGAGCCTAGCGAGCCCCAGTACTGGAGGGAGTGCTGTAGTGTGCTGTAGGTAGTGTACCACAGTGCAGTGGTTGTTGCGTCACTCGTGCAGGCAGGTAGGTAACCCTGGCCTCCGTGACACGGTGCAACGGTGAAACGAAGCCGGTCCACCGGAGTGCAATTCGCGCCGTCGACACGTCCTGCACCAGCCTGGAGCTGCTCACAGCCTGCGACAGGGCTCGCAGGCCTATCGTATCGCGTGTCATCGTAATCCGCTGACAGTTACGGTCATCAGGCCACCCCACACCATTCCATCCGACCGGTGGAACGAGCTATCTGCGACGACTGGAGCACGACTGGAGCAACGACTGGAGTGAGCCTTACGAATAGCGCACTCTGCTTGCCAGGTAGAGGCTTGTACGAAAGTAGGCTGTAGGTACGTACAATTATACAGAGTACTATTAGTACTGTTACGAATACCCAAGCAAGTATACCCTGTGTACACCGGTCGAGCTTGGCCGAGCCCCCCCGGTGTCGATTGCGGTAGCTCGCAGCAAAGTGCCGCGAGACGGGAGCAACAAACAGGTACAGAGGAATCACCATTGCCTCTCTTGTGCCACCTCACCAGGTACGGGACAGGTACCTGTTTGCCTGTAGACGCCCACGTAGGAGGAAGTATTGGAAGTAATCTCGCAAACCGGGGACCGACCGACTGACTGACTGACACTGGCCTGAGACCTGGGCAAACTCGACTCACCTCTCTCTCTCTCTCTTATACTTAGTCCCCGCCCCCGCGATATCGCCCGAGCTATCTACTTCCTCTCTTTCATCATGCCCCTCCACCACCCGTCATCTTCACAACACAGTCAATCCGTCGCCAGAGTCCAGTCCTTAGTCAACCAGATGTCGCCCTCAGCCACCGTCTTCTCAGCCGAGGTTGTACCTCAGGCGCCTGAGGACCCTATGTTTGGTCTGATGGCAGCTTTCAAGGCTGATGACTACCCTGAAAAAGTGAATGTCGTATGTCAAGTCTCATACGTCACGCCGTGTTCGCGCTTCCGCCGGCACAGCATGTGAATCATTGAATAACTGACTGATTGACTTCCCAGAGCGCCGGCACCTACCGTGATAACGACTCAAAGCCCTGGATATTACCAGTTGTCGCAAAGGTACCACTTTGATCTATCCTGCAACTCACAGCCGTCTCTTGCACCACATTCCAGCTCCCCAACACTGCGTTTCTCAAAGTTGAGTAATTGTACACCGCTCGGAGAACTCAATTCGGCATCTGTCCAATGGGTTTGCTCCTGGTGCCTGCTTATCCCGCGAATCAAGCCCCTGCATGAGACACCTCGCTTACTCTTTTTGTTTAACCACAGGCAGATGAAATCATTCATGCCGACCCCAATTATGACCACGAATATGGACCAATCGCTGGTACTCCCTCATTCAGAAACAAGGCCGCTGAGCTGATCCTAAGCTCCGATTCACCCGCCATCAAGGAGAAGCGTGTCACCTCCATACAAACCATCTCCGGCACCGGCGCCGTTCATACTGGTGCCCTGTTCCTTGCCAAATTCTTCCCCGGTAACAAGAAGGTCTATGTGTCGAGTCCGACATGGGTCAATCACCACCAGATCTTCACTAATGTCGGTCTTCCTGTCGCCGAATATCCCTACTGGTCCGAGAAGACAAAAGCCTTAGATTTCGATGGCATGAAGGCCGCCATCTCCGAAGCCCCAGAACGATCTATCATCCTCCTACATGCTTGCGCCCACAACCCCACAGGCGTCGACCCTACCCTAGACCAGTGGAAGGAGCTTGCAACTATTATCAAACAAAGGAATCACCTTACATTTTTCGATAGCGCATACCAGGGGTTTGCGTCTGGTGACTTGGCGAAGGATGGCGCCGCTGTCCGCTACTTTGTCGAGCAAGGCATCGAGCTTGTAATAGCCCAGAGTTTCGCCAAGAACTTCGGCCTCTATGGTGAACGAGCTGGCTGTTTCCACTTTGTCACGTCTCCGGCCCCCGATGCGTCTGAGACGGCAAAGCGCGTCGCTTCCCAGCTAGAAATTCTGCAACGTTCAGAAATCTCAAATCCTCCCCTGTACGGCGCCCGAATTGTCAATACAGTACTCAATGACCCGAAGCTCTTCGCCGAGTGGGAAGAAAACCTCAAAACCATGTCTGGCCGAATCATCGAGATGCGGAAGGTGCTACGTGCAAAGCTTGAGGAGCTGGGTACTCCCGGCACTTGGAATCATATCACGGACCAGATCGGCATGTTCTCCTTCACTGGTCTCAACCAAAAGCAGTCCTTAACGATGAAGGAGAAGTATCACGTTTACATGACCAAGAATGGCCGTGTCAGCATGGCCGGCCTGAACACGAATAACGTTGATTATTTCGCAAAAGCAATCGACAAGGTTGTCCGGGAGGTGCAATAGGCATAGGTTAGCTGGCTTAGGTAAGCACATGATAGCAATGGCGACTCTGCATTCTGGGTATGGCAGTCCCACCTAGCGCCGGTGGGCAGGCCTAGACTACTTTGGCGCATGGGCAACCAAAAAATATAGATGCTGTAATGATGTCAGGTTAGAAATTGACGATATGCGAGACACATGAGATATAGGTAGCTCACTCTCGGCTCACTACCCATTTACTTGTCCCACGACATTCCCACTTAGCGCTGTGATGATACATGATGACATCGTGTACAACAAGCAAGCTAATATATCTTTACAACTGGTCGTACAGCGAATATGGAAGTTCAATGCCCGAGTGCTTGGTGGGGTAACGCAGCTCGAGCGACTGGTAATGCCACTGGTGAGGCGATCTGATAAAACTTGAGACTCCATACCACTACCACGACAAGGAAAATAATTACCAAAATAACCCCTTTAAAGCTATTAGACATAGTTAACGTTGAAGTTTTCATATACTGGCTTTTAGATAGCTTTCAAGCGGTTGTTTTAATAGTTATTTCAATAGTCGTAATTGTGATAGTAGTGGTACCAAGTCTCGAAGTTTTTATCAGACCGCCTCAACCACCTAATTAGACACCGCTGCTTAAAAGCTTAGATCCATCCCCCATTTCTACATTGTACCTACCATTTCTCACCTGGAGAAAATACAACGTATATCGTTCACGGAAGATTACATCACAGACACGGGCAACATTAGGTGAGATATGGGTGTGATGTGTTGAAGAAGTATCTGACTGAGAGAGAGAAGCGATCCATGCTTCTTGAACATTTTTGCCCGCTCCAATAAGATATAAAACGTGCGTGTCCTCTGCTAAGTACTTGACAGTCATTTCTCTTTCTCGCTATGAAAACCTATACCTTTTTTTTTCTTTTCATTTTGATTTGAACTTTTACAACGGCGGCGCATTAGGATCCATCATGCACTGGTCGACGCGCATAAGCTGCTTCCCCGTGGCCTTGGCGATCTTGATGAACTGGGGCAGGTAGCTCACGGTGCTCTCGTACAGGTAGTGCATGACGGTGATGCTGCCCCCGGCGGCGACGTCGCGCTTGAAGGCGTCGAGCTGCTTCTCCGGGGTGTTGGTCTCGGCCCAGAGCCAGTCCTCGACGTCGACGCTCCACTGCACGATGTACGGGTCCGACACGAGCGTCGCGTACCGCTGCCGCATGCGCGCGCCCTCGGTGCCGAAGGGCGGCCGGAAGTACCGCGTGCTGATCCCCGAGGACGTCCCGAAGACCTGCTGCACCGCCTTCAGGTCGTTCGTGTACTCCCAGTCGATGGAGGCCTCGTCCGCGAGGCCCTCCAGGCCGGGGTGCGTGTAGCTGTGGAGCGCGATCTGGTGGCCCTTGCGCTGCATCTCGCGGTACACGGCGCTCAGGTTCGTCGAGGGGTCGAGCAGCGGCGCGCCGACCGTGAAGAAGGTCGCCTTGAACCCGGCGTCGTCGATGATCTTCATGACCCGCTGCGCGTACGCCGGGTCGCCGTCGTCGATGGCGAAGGCGAAGGAGTTGGGCCGCTTGCAGGCGAACACGAAGGTGCCCGAGGGCAGCTTCACGGGGACCTTGAAGCTCGAGGGCACGGAGCTGACGACCTCGATCTTGGAGATGACGGTCGCCGTGGACGAGTAGAACCCCTTGAGCGCGAACCCGATGACCTTGCTCCGGTCCACATTGAAGTGGTTGATGGGGATGTAGATGTCGCTCGAGGTGGCGTAGCGCGCGGCCTCGAGCGAGTCCCATGTCTCCGGGTACGGCATCGCGTCGTTGTTGCACGCGCTGTTGTGCTGCTGCATCGCCACCGTGAACTTGTTGCTGCCGCTGTAGGCGATGTGCAGGTACGACTTGTCGAAGCCGCGCATGTCGCGGCACGTGTCGGAGATCTGCGTCACCCAGCCTAGGTCCGCGTCGTTGGTCTGCAGCGTCATCTTATTACGACTGTACGTCACCGTGAGGCCCTCGTCCTCGGACCCGTGCCAGTTGCCCAGGGCATTCGTCTCCTTGCTCGCGAAGTTGTCGATGACGAAGGCCGTCGCCGTCGACGTCGGCGCTGACACGGTGCCCGTCGGCTCCGTCGGCTGTTGGATGGCCGGCGCCACGTACTCAGCCGGCGTGTTCCCGCAGTACATAGCCATGGGCCCCAACGTCACTTCCTTGTTCAAGCCGGAGAGGATGATCATGGTGAACTTGGACAAGTCGAGGCCGCTGAACTTGCTGAACGGGATCGTGTATAGCTGCTCCTTGCCGTTGAACGTCCAGCCCAGGTTCTTGGAGCTCACCAGGACGTCCGTGGTCGAGTCGCCGTTGCACGAGCTGCTCGACTTGCTCGACGACAGCTGCACGTCGAACGTCGTGCCGCTCGCCGCGTTGATCCGCACCGAGATGCCGCCGTAGCTCCGCGCGTCGAAGCACCCGAACTGCGAGTAGAAGTACGAGTTCTTGTTCGTGGGCGTCAGCGTCACCTTGTTGCTGGCCACCACCACCGACTTCATCGTGCCGTCGTCGCTCGTCGGCTTCAGCATCGCGTTGTAGTACAGGAACGTCAGCCGCGACTGCGACGCCCAGTCGTCGATCAGCGCCGTCGAGCAGGCCGCGTCACCTGCGGCTCGGGCTTGGTTTTGCGTCTCAGCTATGTCCGCTGCAGCTCGGAGCGCAAGGGCTTGCTTCTCCTCGTTGCGCTTGTCCGCCTGCCACGGGAAATCATCGTCATCGTCGTCATTGTCACAATGCAGTTGGAAATTCTGCAGCTTCCATTCGTTGTCGTCGCCTGTCAGGCCGGCGGAAAAGCCGTACCACACGAAGCCCACGACTCCTTGGAGGCTTGCACCCGTCCAGTTTCTGAGCGGGATGGTGACGTTCTGCATAGAGCCGGTCAGGCCGTTGACAGTGTAGTAGTAGCTCTGGTAGGCGGTGTTGGCGCGGCAGTTCCTCTTGGTCTGCAGCTCGAGTGACACTGAGGCCGCCGCGGGCCCCTTGATGGTGAAGGAGACGCTGTCGTAACCCTTGTCGTCGGTGTTTAGGCAGTCCCATTGCTCGTATATGTACGAGACATCCTGGTGGCTGGGTGTGAACGTTAATACACCGCCGCTTATGCTGGTCGCGTTCATGGTAGCATCATCTGCGTTCATTTAGCTCCGTTCGGCGTAGCTAGCCTCCAGCTCCTGCTTAGAAAGGACTTCTTACCGCTTGTTGCTCCTCGTAATGCATTCGTCCCATTCGTCCATGTCTTGAAGTCGTCGATCATGAGATCTTTCTGGCAGTCACCCCTGGGGATCTGTCGCTTCCGCGAAACAGAGGTGGATGACGCGCCATGGGCGAGCAGCGCCACGGTGACACCGCTGAAGATGGATAGCAGCAGCATCGTCTTTGTTATTGGTGAAGTTGGCTGCAATGCCGCGAGGGACAGACAGACAGACAGAGGGTTCAGAGCCACGGAACTGTCGATCGTTTGAAAGTCAGGAGAGCTCGTATTATAAGACGCCGGCGAGCGTCGCCCAGCTCCTCCAAGCCTCGAGGCGTCGATCGACAGGGCCAGACCCGCCTCACGGTCATAATCTGAGGTTACATGGCAGGATCAAAGGCTAGCGGAGTATCTAGATGTTGAGCTGCCGACGGTTTCTTTCCCTTCTCGGTATTGCACAGGATTCTCCACACACATCTTACGATCTTCTCGAAGAACAGATCACGGGCAGATTTTCTACGAGGACCGTTTGATTCCGGGAAAGGACGGTAGGCACGGGTGGCTTTGTCTCTCCAATGCTGTATCACACAAATTTCCCCGGCTTTTTTGGGCTTTGCAGAGAGGCTTTCTGTCGGCTACCTACATGCTTGCGCGTCCACATCCACAATCACGCCCAATTACATATTTAACCAGCAGCCCAGTTATGCTGTGCATACTTACCACGAGTCTGTTTGTAGTACAAATGCGGCTTTGGCGTTTTTGGCGTCTGGCACAGATGCGACGACCGATGTTTCTCCTTCACGGTCTAATTCTCTTACTTGCGCTCAGCTCAACTACCAGCCTACATTAACACGAGAAACTATTACGCTTGGCAATGCCGTCCACATTTCGCGCCCAGCGTGTTCGAGCCGCACATTCTTGGCGTACCTGCAACCGAAAGACTCAATGAATGTGCGGCCATGTCGGAGAGAAATAGCGTGGCATTCGAGGGGTAGCAGCCGACCACCCACCTCCACTGGATCTCTATATCAGATGGTGCGATATCATGCACAGTACGGACGTGACCATATGTGCATCTCTCACATCGAACGGTGAAAAGCTTCCCACTCAAGCAGCGTAAGTCTAGACGGAAGATTCTGTGTGCCGAGAAGAAATAGTAAAGGGGAGAAATCAAAAGGTCTGGAATCAAACGTCCGCCTAATATAAATATATATGCCAGCCCGGCTAGGTAGAATGCATAGGCGAGCGGCAGTGATGGTCTCCTCAGAGCGAAAGAATTGGCAATGATCGTCGTCTGAAGCGGCGTGGGCTGGGTTTTTGGTTTCCTTCGTCTTCGGAGACCGTTGCAGAAAAAAAAGGCGAATGTGAACGTTGCTTCGCTTAGGCCCATCCAGCTTGCATGAAATATTGGATCTCGCCGCCTGCCCTAGTCCTTCTTTTTTCTCACTTGCTTTTAATTTAACCATGCATGCATGATTCAGCCGTCTTGGCGGAGAGCGACTACCGTAGCTGCGATGAGTGGAAAAGATCTGGAAACGTCGGCTCTCTCTTCCCACCCTCTCTCTCCTCGCCCTTCTGCGCGCCATTGGGCTGCCGTACCAGTTTATATTACGTTTGGGAATACTTTCTATTTGCGGCGTAGATTGTATGTAATGTTGCGTTGTTGTAGTAGGATTTGTAGCTAGTTGTCGTTTTTGCCTATCTCCAACTCGTTGCGAATAGGTAGCGTAAAGTATGGTGAACACGGGTTATTCCGGCAGATCTAACTGGTGGATCCTCTGGAATCGCCGCACTACCCATATACCTTGATACGAACACGCACAGGTATCTGGAGAATATGTGGTGTTGTATTTGTCGCTATTGGGCGAGAACAGCAGAATATTGGCAAAGTGGTGAGTTGTTTCTCCTTGCATATAATATTATTGCCTAATCCGCTGTCCCCTTTCCAGTCCAGACCTGAACAGTTGCTACCGAAAACAGCAATGGAGTTCATTCTCAACCAATCAGCCGTCTGTGAAGTTACTGGGTTGTGCATGTGCATGTAAGTAGGCGACAGTAGTTCAAGACTCGATGCTGCTGGTCCAACCGCCTCCAAAACGAGTCCAGGTTGCGAGAGGATATTCTGCATACTACGTGTGATTTCTTTCCCAGCACCTTGCTCCATTACATAAGTGCTACTCTCCCTTCTCTCAGATGACCAAGCAGGCCTGGCACCCGCGCGCTCCGGGTAACTACCGACAGTCAAAACTGGGGACGACCGGCGTTGAATAGATGGAGTCATGTCCACTCAAGCTAAGCCGGTAAATCGGATGAATCGCTTGGCTCCGGCAGCAATCACCGTGTCCCGTCGGTGATCATTGCCGTAACGACATATGATCAATTTGGTGTATTTAGCAGGCAATTGGAGGTCACTTTTTATCGTTCTTTATTCTTCCTTTAACATTTCTATTGGGCTCATTCTTCCTGGAATGCAACGTCCCATAGACGGGCTAGGATGGCATCTTATTATGTAAAATAGATTACTGGCATACCTTTCAGACTGACAAGAAAGACGCTGGTTACCGTCACCAAGCTTCGACTTCATCAACACTACTATGGCTTCCGCTTCTACTACATAACCCTTAGCACCATTACAATATCCATTAATGTGTTCTCATTTTGTCTTAAAAAGTTGATTGATTTCAAGGAACAGCTCTCCTCGTTCGTAACGATATTCGCATGGCCTTGAAGCATGAGAAAGATTTAGCAATGCGTGCTCATTGGGCATGGCTAATAGGCATCAGATCTCTATCCTTTCCCCAATGCATAGGGACCTCTATTTAATTTGCTAGAAATTCTAAGATATCAGATCGAAAGCTGCCAGGATAAAGGCCAAGATGGTTATAACTAGTCGTGATAATGCCCTAAAGAGGTAGAAAGAAATCAAACAATTAAGCAGCCTGAAAAACATTCTTTGGCAAAGCTCGCAAGCTAGTAAATTGGTAGGGGTATGTGCCCCTGGAGTGAGGCTAGATCTCAAGTAGGTCTCATCTAATTAGTAGACAGGTCATAGGTCGAGCTAAGGGCTGATTATTATTGATCACTGGGCCATCATACGTGCTTGGGGATCTCAGCCTTTTATACAATTACCTAACACTTAAGCTGGCTCTGCCCCAGTACCACTTAATCCCTTAACACAGCCATCTCAACTATGAGATAAAGCTGCGATCAAGTATTGAAAAACTGTGTGCATATCTGCAAACACTTGTGTAGTAGCGCTGTATTTCTCCTTTATCCAAATAAGGGGCATATGAACGATAATTGCATTAATATCGCAATAAAGGCGTAGCAGCGACGCCGAAGGATGTAAATAATTTTCGGTATTCACTTAAGTGGGATCTGAAGGGCGGCCTTGCAGTTCCTCTAGAAGGAGTCTAAAAGCCCTCACTCCTAATAATCTATAGTTCGCCCAACAATGAGAGTTTTGTAGTATACCTCGTACCTTTTTCATGACGTAAGAACTGCAACTATGATAACACTGTATCGCAATTATTGTTGCACAAGGGTTTCGAAGCCTTCGTGGATAGGCTAGGGCTATATCTAAAGAATATCTTTGCCTGTAACCCTAGTACCATGATAGATGTTGAGTATCTTATTGAGTGGTCTGTAATACTGAGGTATGGGCCCATAACCATCACAATGGTTGTTACAAACTCATTGAATGTTGGTTTGCTGGGAGTTAGATAATTGCCATGCGTCAGTAGGCACTTCCTAGACAGATACCATATCAATCTAGCACCTGCACTGATCCGCCCCCCAATGGAAAACATGCTAACACCATGCAAACATATGTGCAAAGCAATAATTTGCTATGTGGATGGAGTATATTGAAATAAGAATACTAATAAGTCTAGGGTCCTGAGACTAACTGGTGGTCACCATGTGTGTCACGGCTTTTGTGTAATTCTAGTAACCACACAGTTGACCACTAAGTATTGCCTGTAACCGTAAGGGATAAAGATTTCAAAGAAACTCATCAGGTCTTGCGTGTAAACGTGACTCCCAATGTCGTAGACATAGATAAGAAGGAGAGTCACGGGGGATAAATTGGCGTCATATGCTGTTTCTCGTCCCACGGGAATACGTACCACTAACCTTGGGTTGGTAATACGAAAGGGATAGGCTTCTTGAATTTGGCCCCTGAGTAAAGCCACCTGCTATGCTGTCATCTTCAATAAATCCCCCAAGCTTCCTGGCGTTACATACTGGATAATCCGGGTTAACAATTGACCCAAGACTACTGAAGGACAACCAACTTTATTGACATATCTAAAAACGAGGAATCCCGCCGAAAATGCCCATTATAGCAATAACATCTCAATCATCCAGAGCCTACACAGACGAGTACTTCTGGGTCCTAGCAAGAGTCAGGACAAGCTCCCCAGGCCAGTATGATGAGGTCCGGATTGGGCTATGCTTCATAAATGGGTATCCAGTTCCTGGCGCAGAGAAATCATATCCATTTGACGAAAATCTTACCGGAGGCTACCAAGAGATCCAGTCTTATTCCTACTGGTTCTCAGACCGCCGCGTTGGCGAACAGTTATCATTTGTAGTCTCGACATACAAGAATGGCACGAAGATTGACGAAGAGAGGTGTCCGGGTGTTATCACTATAGTGCCGAAGCGCTGGCAATAGTATCATCATCGCCGTTGAAAGGGGGCCGTCATTCTCATATAGACAGGTGTGAATCTTGGGTATCTGGGTGAGTATATACTCTTACCTGAGTCATGCTGTTAGTTCTACATTAATCAAGTGTAAAGGTTCTCAACTACCTTGCATCCCAGAAGCACAAGACATGCCATTCTGCTAGTTTCGGTACGGTGTTGGCTTGCGAGCTTTGTTCTTGTGCAAGACATAGTTTGGTGAATTGGCTGTGGTATCGACCCGTGGCGTAAGTTTGACGTCTTGGTGGTTCCACAAGTTACCTCAGTCTTGTTTGTTCCATCTGTTTCGATGGGTTAGAAATGATCTATTCGTTATTTGACCTCGTATTATTAGAGCACAGCACAAGTTATCTTTAATCGGTCCTCGAAGTTATTATACGGATATTTCAGTCTACTGCTATCGGGGGGAATAATTCGCCCTTCATAGTCTTTAAGCGCATCCCTACTAATCAATACAATTCAGTTCACTTAGTATTCCTGATGCGCATGTCCTGCATAAAGTCTACGTAATGAGATATGTAGACAGTGTTCAATGTCAGATTATAAACGCTTGGAGCTCCGTGTTTCAGTGCACCCTTAATAACATTGAACACAATCAACTAACTAATGAGTTAATTAATTTCATAACATACACTTCAGCTATGCTGTACTTTATTTATCGGTCACGATATAACCGGTTTTAGCTAGCTAATTCGCAGCTAAAGATAAGGTTCGTAAACAGTCACCGCGTAATCGTTTACGTGGACAAAACTTTAACAATTAAAACATGTAGATGTTTAAGAAAAGACTTGGACGTAACTACCTAGAGCTACGTACTATAGTAAGCTTTTTTTTTTGGCCTAAAAATTAAAGCGTTAAGGTATAATCATGCGACCGGACGGTCCTCCCACATAACACCTTATATTTCATGGTATGGGCATTCTGGTTGTAGTGAAATTGTAGGGGAGAAGAGTGGTCTAGCGCTCTAGCACTGGGGTATCTCATATGTATACGGTGTAGGTGGTGACTGCCTACATTATTAGCAACTTTCAAATGACCTCATCATCTATTTAAATACGCGGAAAAGTCACTGAGTCTGACAATCAATATGATTTATTTACTGACCTCCCCAAACCTGTCGAGATTCTGGATGAAATTCCCTATGGCGCTTCATATGTTCATCATCCATCGACTTTACAGCACTTTTACGTCAACAAAAGACAGCGGTGAGATTACACGTTACGATCAAAGTTCTTGCTGTGTAATTGTTGTCGCAGCTCCTCACATCCATGATGATTAGATGGAGCATAATTTCTTACATTGTTGGCTTATTCGTTGGGATTATTATGGGGTTTTGCCTCACAGTTACCTCCATCAATGTTCACCCTTCGTTCTTCTACCCAGCGCTAGTCCTTAGTAGCAGTAATTCCACTCTGTACTACAGCCTGTCCTCTACAGGCAGATCCTTCAACCTTAGCAACCACAGAATTCTGAGATGTATCTGTGTAAGTGTGGGATCTGGGAGTCCGACCCAGCGACATTCTCAGGCGCGATCCTCACAAACATTGATCTAGATGTATTTCTGATGATTAATGAAATCGAGTGGTTCACTATTCCCTTTTATGGTTACACTCTCAACTACCAGCCGTTTCGTTAGAGGGGAGCCACCAAGCAATCAATGAAAGGTAGCCTACCGCTCGGCAGTACCTATTACCAGCTTCAAATCACCGAGACAGCAATAATTGATACATCACAATCAAAGTCCTTGCTGTATGAGATTGCAGTTGCGCACATTTATAATGAAAAGGGGTATTGAACATAAACTGTACCACCATAGGATTGGCGTCGGGTTGCAATGAGCTTTTGGGTATATCGTTTTCTTTACTATTCATATTTCCTAGAGGCGTAGATCAAACTACGATGTAAGCGGGTAACTTTGACGATAGAAGACTCGCCATGTCACGTCTTTCCGGGCTGCTATACTACACAATTCACCCATTGTCATGATCTCAAGTATGGGGATGTAAATAACTCTTGCTGCTGCGCAAGCCCTCCATGCTATCTTCCTTGCTGCTGATGCTATATACATAGTAGCTTCTTTGCCTGTATTCTGTGATAGTCAGACGACAGTTTCGATGTATTAGAAAAAGTTCAGTCCGTGTGCCGTCCAGAAAAGTTAGGCATCAAGTGTAGAATCCACAAAGTCCTCACGCTCTCATCCGTGATGTCATTTAATTTGTTATTATCCTTATAAAATTAAGAAGAATACAAGTGCATCATTGATCACTTAACCTATAATGGGGCTCCCTAACTGTCACCAATCATTTGATGTCTACATATTTCATTCCTGCTCGAAGTTGCCAGAGAATGGTAACTTTCGGGGCTGGAGTCATTATCCTAAATGAAAAGGCGCATTGATGCGCCCAAGGGAAAGTCTACTAAATCATATGGCAGGTGGCAGAGTATTTGCAGTGCATTAGAATGACATGCTGGACAGGCGCAACCGGAAGTATGTGCAATGATTTCGGCGGCATAAATATACATATACTTCGCAGTCGTTACTACTCGAGGCAACTTAGCGATGGTGCCAGACTGTCAATTGAGCACCTTCGAGATAGCCTAAAGGTATTAAACGTGGGAACTGCCTAATTATTGAACGGAAAATTCAAACGTAGCAGGTACGTTGTGTTGATATGTTTAGGTTCTTAGATGGACATAAATTATACCATTCCCCAGATTCTGATCCTCTCCCTTTCTTCTCCCTCTTCTTCTTTTCTTCATAATCAGTCAATATGATTTTGCAAATTATTTTCAACTGCTCTGATCTGCTACCTGTTCCACGGAAAATCCCAACTAGGAGAGACCATGTCTTCATATTATAGTATATCTACATATTAATTCTCTTAACTAACTATATACATTCAATACTTTTAGAAATTTTTATTCTTTATTTTTTTCACTTCCAACGTCGAGCACCACGTCAAAAGACTTGCAGGTTTTGACCTTGAAAGAATAATCCGCGAAAGCTAAAATCGCAACATAGAAGCAAATCAGCAGGGAGCCATTTACATTCTCTCCAGTCCCGTTCCACCGTTAACTACGCCCTCCCCGGGGAACGATTCGTTCCATAACGAGGATGATGATATACCATCCAAAGATCCAATATATCGCAAATCACATTTACCGGTTGTTACTGATCCCGAAAGGTAGCGTTCTAGCCCCCCCTTCCAATCTTCTACCTTATCACAAAAAATAAGCGTTAAAACGATAAGTTATTAGTACCTCTCTTCTTTCTCCTCCATCGTTTCATAAAATGACGAAGTAAGCTGTTTCCAGATTTTGGGGTCTATTACCAATTATCCTGCAAATCCTCGACCTAAAGAGGTCATCTCTTTTTAGTCTCTCTTTACCATCTTCATTGCTCTACTTCTTTACGCCCTTAACGTCTATGTGGTTTAATAGTAACGCATAATTACCAGTCAAATCAACAACGAACCGCCCTCCCTCAGGGGGAATGCGACAGGTGGAAGCCACACTACTGGCCATCAGGGCTGCCTAGGGCCCAGGGCCTAGCCGGACAGATTGAGCTTAAAGTCTCTTGTATGGCTCCCACCTCTGGGTTCCAGATCATACTCCCCCGGTCCCGTAAAAAACCCGCCCGCTCATGAGACATCTCAACACCCAGTCATCAATAGTCGTGAGAAACTTGCCCCGGAAGTGCGTCTCTGCTTCCGATGTGGAAAGCGAGGCCGTTACAAACCAACATGCCCCACCATAGATGAAGATGCCTTGGTGTGATGGGAACAGCAATGGCTGAGGGTCCTCTTAAATCGAAACATACAACCCACGGAGGGACGGACATCGTGTCGTCCTCGTCGGTCCAGGGATTAGCCGGGCACATCACTGCGTGGATCGACGTGGTAGGAGAGAGAGATTATTCTTGGTCTTGTGGAGAGGAGGTGGGCTTGGGGGAAGGAATTCAAACAGTGATGGCATCTCAGAGGGTTGCAGCCATTTCATGTGCTCACGGGTTAGTCAGCAAGGGAGCTTAACAGTTCGGGATTTTGGGATTGTCTTGTACACTAGCAAGACTCATGTCGATGGCTTCACATTTCCAGGGTAGGTGGTCTTTAGTCCATGCTTTTTAACGAATACATTGCGTTCCTTTCTCTGTGATCAATGAATTCCCAATTATTGAAGCTATTTCCGAATGCCTATTGAAGTGTGAACTCTATCTTCTTAGATGTGGATGCCTTAGATTGACGTTTACTCTCATCTACTATATATGGAGAGAGGAGAAGGAGATTAGGCTGGCATAGACAGAATCGAGTCCTTCGTGCAATGACAAACATTGATACTTGAACTAACCAACAATGTGATAAGAATTGTGATGTGTGTATTGTAACATCCACCATCGGTGAGGCTGATGTGAGCTTCAAGAGCCTTGGCCTGCTTGATAGTATACTTGGACCTATGGCTACCTGAGGTAGGAGACCCCGAGAGACCACGGAAACTACTGAAACTAAGATGCCGGTATTAATAGCCATCGGCAGGAGGATGATATTACCTGGCGCTTAGCGAAACAACAGGATTGAATGCAACTAACAACAGCTCTACCGGTGTAGTACCTCTTATTTTCTATCAATGCTTGCTATATATCAAGTAGACCATGATTATATGTTAGTTATGACTTGATCATGACTTTATTGCATAGTTCTTTAGTGGTTACATAGTGACTAGACCTATGGTATAACAATCAGTCCATGTATGTTGGATCTGATCAATCCATGGATAATGGGATTCATATAATCTAAGTTTTTGTTTGCCCTTTGGTTTCATTTGCATTTTTTCACAACTTGGTCCTTATAAGTGAAGTATCTAAGTGTCTGGCCTGGAGGCCCGGGGGTTGATAGGGGACATTATTAGATGCATAAACTCCTCCCTGAATCCACCTATGTTGTTGAAAACAAATATATGCACTTAAGGCGATATCTTATCGGTCCCTATCAGATACAACAATTCCCAAAGCTTCAACTACATCATTGCTTGCAACTTCTGAATGTTGACCTTATTAACATGAATCCCCGTGGATTTCCAAGCATATGTTCTGTATAGAGGGCGTCTGGACGTACCCGCCTTCCCACATCCCCATATTTTCCATTCCTCCTCTTGCCCACGCCTGTGTCAAATCCTAATACATCGCAACCAACAAGCTACCACTTACAACCCAAATCACAATGCCCTCAGACCTCTCAAACTATCTCGCAACACACTACCTAACAGCCGACCCCAAGCCCTCAAAAAAGCGCAAGCGCAAGCAAAAAGACACCGAAGGCCTAATTATCGCCGATGATGACGAAACAGGGTGGTCGTCGCGCTCGCGCAACCGCGACGGCGCAGACGACGAAGACGACGACATGGCCCTGCAGGCCGCCGTAGCAGGGACAAGCGCCGAGTTTCGCAAAGCGAAGAAATCAGGATGGAAAGTCCTCGGAGGCAGCAGCAGCACCAACCCCCAGACAACATCCACATCCACATCCACACCCCAAGACACAGATGACGCAACGCGCCAAGCGGACGCGATCCTCGCCTCGGCGGCCGCAGAAAGCGCCTTAGCCGGCGCTGACGCCGATGAAGAGAACGCACCAGTAATGATGTCCGACGGGACCTATGCCGGTCTCCAAACAGGCGCATCAGTGTCCGCCCAACTCTCCGCTCGCCGGGCCGCGGAGCGCGCCGAATACGAGCGCAGCGCGGGCGGGACAGGCGGCGGCAAAGAAGCGGAAACCATCTACCGCGACGCCACGGGCCGCCGCGTAGACGTGAGCATGAAGCGCGCGGAGCTGCGGCGCGAAGCAGAAGAAGCCGCGCGCAAGCGCGAGGAGGCCGAACTTGCGCTCCGCGGCGACGTGCAGCGGGAGGAAGCCATGCGGCGGCGCTCGGCGCTCGAGGACGCGAAGGTAATGAGCGTGGCGCGGCACGCAGACGACGTCGAGATGAACGCGGAGATGAAGGCGCAGGTGCGCTGGGGCGATACCATGGCCGCGTTCGTGAAGCCCAAGGACGCCACCACTAGTGGCGTAGGGACGAAAGGAGGGGGGAGGAGTGTGAAAGGACGGCCCGTGTACAAGGGCGCGTGGGCGCCGAATCGCTATCAGATCCCGCCGGGGCATCGATGGGACGGCGTGGATCGGGGTAATGGGTTCGAGGGGGAGCGGTTCAAGGCCATTAATCGGCGCGAGAGGAATAAGGACTTAGATTACTCGTGGCAGATGGACGAGTAGAGCTTCTTATTTCTTATTTCTACATTTGTGCGGCATACAGAGAGGCGTTGTTGGCATGATTTACGCGAGACAGACAGATATTATTATACCCACTTGTTTTTTTATTTCCATTCACGAATAATTCTAGTGGTCATATATAAAAGCTATGTCGAGTGCCGTCGTGATGCTGGCTTGCAACCATGTCATGTGTATTATGTATAATCTATAGAATGCTATGGAAGTCGGCACTAATGTTTTATAGTCTCTTTCTGTGGACGAGTCCAAGCGGGTTAGCAGCATCACAATATGTAAACAAGGGGTAGAACTCATGTTCAGAAATGGACTGTCATCAGGGGGGAAAGTATTATTATAACAACAAGCAATTGCGACGGCCACAGTGAACAAACAATGCATCGTGGTCCAGTATGGGGTTTGAATCAGCGGCGGACTAGGCGTCCATTGCATCACTCGGCCCTGGAGAGGTGTAAAGGTCCCCCCAAAGACTATGGGTCTATTGATCTCAGCTGTTCAACCTACAAAGCAGGGACCATAAACAAGATTTTATCAGAGTATCTGGGAGTTCGTTTAGGCCTTGCGACGTAGCAACTTCTCGGTCGAGTTGAATACAGTGTTCTCTTTAACCAGCTGCAGCCACTCCTTCCGACTTAGGTGACCTTCTTTATCGACGCGGCCTTCAAACTTCTTAAGAAGCGCGCCAATCGTGATGCCTCCAGGGAGAGGCGGCAAATGTTGTAGAATATCCTGGGCTGTAATAGGTTTCAAGGCCTCCTGGGCCGCATTGGGATTGGGAGAAGCTGCCCGAGGTCTCGAAGGTACGGGACTGCCAGCCCGGGACCCTGTGGGTGTACCCTTAGCACCAGTGCCCAGATGTGGGCGCCGCTTAACCTTGCCTCCAGCACCGTCTGACATCTCAGCTTCGCCGTCGCTGGTAGATCCGGCACCCCGAGCGGATTGTCCGCCAGGTAGGGGCGTGGCACTACGGCTGCCAGTAACCGAGTTAGTGGGCCCAATCTTCTTCTTTTTCTTATTCCGAGTGGACTCAGTGCCGCTCGACTCTGAGCCGAGGGGGGAGCCTGGCCGTTTCAAAGATTTGCCCTTCTTCGCAGCATCAGCTGCACTTTTCTTGCCCTGAGGCGTTCCTGGTCCCTTAGAGCCAGTGCCATTCTTATCTTTATCTGCCTTGTTATCCTCATCCTCATTTTCGGAATCGGAGCCGGACTCGCTCTATTCATCTTTGGATTAGCAACAAGCGAGAACGAGCACGGTGGGATACACCTTACAGATGATGACGCAAACGGGTCTCGGCCAGATGAGTCGCTGTCATACTGGAACTGCTTATCACGTTTCCGTAAAGCTTTCTTAAGGTCTTTGCCAAACAGCTTTCTCACTTCCTCTTCTTTCTGAATTTCAGCTTCCTCTTTCTCAACCTTTTTCTCGTCTGCGTCGCCGAACAAATTAGCGCCAAGCTGCTCACGTCGGACCCTGTCCTTGGAATCTTTGGTATCCTCGTCTCGGTCAGGTTCAAAGCCAGCAGTTTCATCATCATCTTGGAATTCATCCCCAGACATATCAATATCATCGTGCTCCATCTTTTCGCCTCGCGATGCCTGTTGGAATGTGGAGCTTTCCTGCTTGACTGCTGTCGGCCCATACATGATTCTCCGGGATTCTTCCCGGGCATTGACGGCTTTGTTTCTATCAGAGTCTCTTATCGCCCAACGTGTAGGTGCTGCCTTTTTGCCCATGAGCTTCTCAGCCTCCTCAATTGATAGGTGCTGGAAGGCGCCTCGTTTTGGAGTAAACTTATACCATTTTTCTAATGGCAACATTCGGTAACCACCGGTTTCTGGGTAGGGAACCAGAGCAACCATACGCTCAGATAGAGCTGCTTCATATTGTCCGGCCCAGATTTGTTTTGCATCTGCATCCTCTAAGTGCCACGGCAAAGCTTCTTCATATCGAATCTCTGCCTCTTTCTTCTGTTTCTCTGTGCGTGGCTGATAATGAACCTGGGTCCCGGTCTTCTTCTCATCCTTGTTCTTTTGCTGCTGACGCTTGCGTTCGGCATCTTTAAGAACAGGCGCCTTTTGCGCGTCATCCAACGCGCGCTGTGCATCACGTTGCGCCTTGATCTGAGCCTGCCGCTCGGCCTCTTCAGTATTAGCCGGAGGTTGCTCGACAGGTTCTTCCTCCTTCTCCTTCTGGCCCGGGGGGGGCTGCCTTGGGTCGCGACGTTGCAGAGTTACGGGGCGAGGGAAGTGTTCTTGATCGCTGGGGTCTATCCTAGCCTGCTTATTTCCTCGTATCTGGGGAGCGAATCGCATGACGTGGAAACGAAGGCCCTCTTTCAATGCTTTCTTGGTGACGAAAAGAGGGACTTCTTGGGCCCCCGGGGGCAAGGGAGTGGACCAGCCGCCATTTTGAGCTCGCAGATGATCGAAACGCGGAGGGGCCTTGTCAGGCTGGAGCGAATTCTTGGAGTTTCCGGTAGGCTTAGAAGTGCCCACGTTTTTAGGCGGTAAGCCAGTAGTAGAAGGAGGCGCCCGACCTGAGAACGGAGGAAGGCCGGCCTTGGGAGGAGGCGGTCGAGCGGTCGGCTTTTTCCGTGGTACCATGGGATTGGCGGTATTGCGCGGGCGGCGCAAGGCGGGCGCACCAGTAGGAGGCGTAGGCCGCTGGCCATTTGGGCCACCGGATGGAGATGCACTCATTTTGGTAGAAAGACTGGCGACGATATCTCTAACAAGCGCGTTGCGTGTTGACCGGACAGGGCAACTTCGTCACCGGTTCGAGAGGGTCCTATAAAGCGCGGACGAGCATCGGGAAAGGCACCTATACTCTACAGATGAAGCGGCAATGCGAGTCAGAAGGATCGGGTTCGTTGTTGGGGTGCAGGGTCGTCGTTGCGGCGTGCTTGCTGCTCGAATCTGACGAAGATTGGTCGATGAAGAACACGACAGGCTGGACCAAGGCTTAAAGGATGCAGGATAAGTCGCTATGAGCGGATCTATGTCGCGGGAATTTGCGCAAACGAGCAGGGTTTGCGTATGTGCAGGAGACTTCAAAGTACAGAGGGAGAAGAACAAGAAGAAGTGGGCGAATGGCGGGATCAGAGAGTTGAATGAAGAAAACGAGTGAATGAAAGTAGTAGGTATGTTCTTGGGGAGAGGCAGAGACTTGAGACTTAGGCAGCCTACCCCAGCCAGAGCCAGGGAGCCAGGGCGGACAGTTGAATGCAGCGAGGTACCTGATACTTTGGCGAGGGCGATGTGGTGACAAAGACAAAAAAGAAAAGAGATCACTATACTTCGTAAGTACATAGCGCTGTAGCTCCCACCCGTGGACAGCAGTAGCAGTGACTGTAGCAGTGACTAGTGACTGTAGGTACTGACCCAAGCGCTGCAAGGAGTCATCAGAGGCCCCATGTCCAGTGGAGATCTGACAACGTCATTGGCGTTCATGTGGATACGGACAGTACAGTACAGTACAGGTACATCCGTAGTAGCTCCAAGCAATCTTGAGCCTCAAAGACTGGAGGCAGTCGAACAAAGACACAAACAAACAATACTTAGCATACGTGCACGTAAGAGTATACAACAAGGTAATATCTAAATAGATGCCGAATGCATTAGTATGTAGGAGAGAATATCATAGTTATAATATATAGCATCGCTGTATGCTAGACTGTAGGTACTTACCTACCGTATCTATGTAGAAACCTATCAGAGGTATGTAGGTAGGCTTCAGAGAGAGGCACTTTGTAGAAGGTACCTACATAATAAGTAAGTACAACATCGTAGGAGTAACCCAAAATATCGTCTCTATCTCTCTGGTTTCATCTCCACACGCAGGCAAGAACTTCGCATTTCTTGCATCTTTTGTTCAGTTGTTATGATTACTCCCTCCAGCCAATCAGGATCCTCAATTACTTTTGCGTCATCCTCGAAGCTATCCGGCCACTGCCTGTTTGCCAGGACAGTACCAGGACTTTCGTTGGAGCCTGGTCTGCCGTTGTGCTGCCGCCCACGATACAAGCCAGCCAGGCTCATCATACCTACCTAGGCAATTGGATGTGACAGGCGAGAAGGTGTGCGGCTAAATAGTTACATTTCCTAGGAAGCGAGGAATGCAATATGTGCTACTTCGGAAACTGATATCAGTGTCCGGATCTTTGCCAAGACATCCTGGATCCAGTCAACTAACGAACGCTGCTCACTCACCACTCACCACTTGTTATTCACATTTCACTTCACTTGTAATTCATAATGTTCCCAGAGGGCTAGACTCCAGAAGATTTAGTAGGTATACACTTAAGCTGTCACCCCCCATCATGGGGATATGGGAATTGCTCTTAATCTGTCACTCACCCATGTAGGCGTCGTTCATCACGTAAACATGCAGAACAATCAGGTCGGTACCGGACCTCTTGAGGACCGCCTCCGCAACCTCATCCTCGCCGGTTCCGACTCCAAGCCTGCCCCGCTTCCGGCTTCCTCGAGCAAGGCCACTTTTACGGGTACCCATGCTCTGCCTTCCGAACACTCAGACCAGCCCAAAGACGAAGTCGTCGGCGATGGCCACGGACACTCGCGTCCGCCGCCAAGAGGTGGCAGGAAGCGTCTCAACCAGGCCCAGCGCCGTCAGATGAATGCCGAGCTGACAATTCCCATTGATACCCGACCACCTTTCCATGCTTCTTCGAGGCCTTCCCACTATGCACAACAACAGACTGCCTCTCCCTCCCGTAATACAACAGCATATCCAGCCAATTTTCGAGGCCAGTCTTCATTGTCCGATGCCAGCCAGTTCAATCGACAATCACGGTACGGTCACCCGCAATTTCCTACGTCGTCTGCTCACCAGCCCGATTGGAGGCGGCAGCAACATGATGGCTTGCCTAGAGGTGTGAATATCATGACCGAACCCCCATTTACATCTCAAAGCGGTCGCAATCCAATTCACAGTCAGCCTGCCTCGTACAACCCGGGAAGTTCTCGGCTGCCAGTTTTTAGTCCTGATCAGCTTGCAAGCCAATCTCTATATCTCGACCAGCTCTCTTTACGCATTATAGAGGGTGCTGAGATTGGACCGGACGAAATCTCCGAGAAGGAAAACTTTCGACTATATGTGGAATCCATCTGTCGACATGTGATTACTTGCCACGAGCACGAGGTCAACCTTGCCCATGAGTTCCAGCCAAGATCTGTAGAGTTGAAGTGCTTCGGGAGTCTGGCTTCGGGTTTTGCCACAAAAGCTGCTGACATGGACCTTGGCCTTGTGTCTCCTACGTCACGGCTGTCGCCCGGCTCACCCGAATCGCCCATACCTCGTCTCATTGAAGGCGCCCTCCTTGCTGCTGGTTTTGGCGCTCGGCTGCTCACTAAGACACGCGTTCCAATTATCAAACTTTGCGAAAAGCCTAGCATAGCTCTTCGACGGGGTTTACTGGACGCAAGGAAGAAATGGGAGGAGGGTGCTGATCAGGAGGAGAGGGAGCTAGATGATGACGACCCTGAAGATACGGACCTTCTCCAAGATACCAATCTCCCCTTTGATTCTAACCTAACCCAACCTTACGCAGAAGAATCAACATCAAAGACTTCATCGGATCAAACACCTCTCTCGCTGCACGAAGAGGGGGTTATGCTCAAACAATCCTTGAACCAGACACTGACTAGCTATTATGGTAAGGCCAAACGACTCTTACGCCGTTTGAATAGCCGTGACATCTCTCAGTCCAATTGCCATGATTTCACCGAAGCCGATTTCGTCCTTCTTGACAAGGTGGCTAGCGCCTTCGTTAAAGGGCTGCATGACGCAGAATTGAGAAGCCGGATATTAGCATATCCTTCATTTAATGTTGGTGACACTGGACTGACAAATTATCGTTCGCTCTTCGGTGTCAATGTCATGATTGAGTGTGAACAACTCATTCTTTCATGGGAAGCGAAGCAACTTACCTCAGCTAGCCCTCGCTCGGATCAAGCATGCGAAAGCATAATTCAGCAATGGAGAGCTTTACATCATATTAAGAATTTCGGTAACAACCCTGTATGGTTCAATAAAGAACTACAGCTATTTGCGGAAACTATTCGCCAGAATCCTTCCATACAAATGATGCAGCTCCACCAAGACCAGCACGAGTCCCCGATGCAATATCAGGCGCGAACAAACAAAATTGCTATCGCACTACCACAAATTTTACTTCCTAGTATGATTAGCCAGACGATCCAGCGCTATGTCGACGGAATTAGAGATGAGGAGATCAGAAATGAGGTTCGCAACTTCTTGATATCAACTAAAACGGAAAATCTTAGGACAGTCGCTAGAAGGCACAAGGCACTCCATCTCGCCGCCGACTATGAAAGGGCAATTGAGAAAGGGCTCTATACACTTGATGATATCCCGACCCTCCAAAGCTATATAACCATTCTCCGTCGCCAACCTGTACCCTCAATGAAGCAACCTCGTGAGCTTGAGTGTCTAATCCCACTCACAGAGAGTGAAAAGTCTATACTTTACAAGATCAGGGAGTTAGCGGATCCAGCGACACTCGGCCCCAACAAACCTAGAGACAAATACAATGACAGCTTAGAGTTCCCTAAAAGCGGTGTCGGCGTCCAGTGCGATATCAACTTCTCGGCTCATCTAGCTCTCCAAAACACCTTGCTTCTGCGATGCTATTCCTGTACCGATCGTCGCGTCAGGCCTCTGGTGCTTTTCGTCAAGCACTGGGCCAAAGCACGAGGAATTAACACACCGTATCGCGGAACCCTAAGCAGCTACGGCTACGTGTTAATGGTTCTGCATTATCTTGTCAATGTCGTCGAGCCCTTCGTCTGTCCCAACCTGCAAGAACTCGCCCCTCCCGACCCCCCAAATCTCCCACCGCACGCTCTCGAAGGCATATCGACGTGCCAAGGTCGCAACATCCGCTTCTGGAGGGACGAGCGAGCAATTCAAAGTCTGGCACAGCAAGGACAGTTGAATCAGAACCACGACTCTCTCGGCACTCTGCTACAAGGGTTCTTCGAGTACTATGCCCAAGGAAACACAATGTCCACAACTAACAAGAAGGGGTTCAACTGGGGTAGAGATGTAATAAGCCTTCGCACACACGGTGGTTTGTTGACGAAGGTAGAGAAATCATGGACTGGGGCCAAGACCGTCGTTCAACCACAAACTGGTGCGTCGCCTACGCATCCTGAGCTCGGCAATCAATCCCCGTCGTTACATCAGCCGATATCCCCTGATAAAGGAGCAATGACTACCGAACAACTCCAGCAAACGCCCAAGCCAAAAAAGGTCAAAGAAGTCCGACACCGCTTCCTATTCGCTATCGAAGACCCCTTCGAACTCGACCATAATGTCGCGCGCACCGTGACGCATAATGGTATTGTGTCTATCCGCGACGAGTTCCGACGCGCGTGGAGGATTATCAAGACTGCTGGGAATGGAAAGGTGAACGAGGATTTGTTGGAAGATGTCAAGGTGCAGAAAGCCGATCTCGAGAAGAAGCAGTTTATGGCGCTGTTGGACGAGATTCATGGGGATGAGGTGTTTGAATTGTAATGGGGTTCATTAAGCAAGAGGGTTCAGTGATGTAATGGGGAGTAAAGGGGCTATGGGTGGGTCAGGGGATCTAGTAATGAATCGATGAGTGAATGTGGTTCGGCGATGACTGGGGCGTTGTCTTGGTGCTGTAGTCTGTCTGTCTGTTTGCCTAGGTAAGTTAGGAGATAGGTATGATATCCCTACGGTAATAGCTGTATGTAGCTTTGTTCCCGTGCATCGGATACTTACCCAGCGAAAAGGAGAAAAGGGGAAATAAAAAATAGTGCAAGGGAGAGAAACACGAGGAATTCTCGGCAAGACTTTTCTTCCTAGTTTCCTTGCAGCGACGAGACCATGTAATTAATATACATAACCTAAAGCCTTTCTGAGATAATCATTCATACAGACCACTCGGGGCCCTGCGTGGAGATGTATGTATGCATCAGTTTCTTAATATGGCCTCGAACTATTCTTGTTTCCTAACACCACGCCCATTCCTACATGCTCTCATCCACTGCAGTATTCGAAACCGCGAGTGCTGTCCGAGAGAAGCAGCAAAATGCGTCTTTCTATCTATTTAAGCAATACAGTAAGTGCTCAGTGGTATTAAGTGGAGATAACGCCCGCCGTCTTGCTCATAGCTCAATAGTAGATCGAGTCGGCCTGTCGCTTTGCTAGCCCTTGCGTAACTACATGCGTTGCATTGCGGTAGAGTGAAATGAGCTCGGGCCAGTGGTACTTGTTTCGCTTCTTGGGCAAACAGTTAATTAATTACGGTAGGCACGATACTCTTTCGCCTAAACCGGGTGATCAGGGATGTCATTGCTGCTAGATTGGGAATCCTTCAGCGAAGATCGTTGTGAGATGCGTTTGGTTCTTTATTTTCTGAGGACATTGTCGTGCTGGTAATCCAGCGTACTATCCATCTTACTTTGGGAGGGACCGTGGTTAACTGGTTTTGTAGACTATGCGGCCGCGGAGTACCATGAGGCTGCCTTTGTTGGTCTATAGCTAAGCGCCTTCAAGTGAGAATCTTCATATATGGGTACGAATAGGTTCTAGCTTCGCGCGTGGTAGGCAGATAGTTATCTACCAGTCTTGATTGCTGTATACTGGTCTTGTACCTGTTTAAGGACGCCGCAGGCCTTATGAATTTAGGGTATCATGAGTGTATTAAAGTTGTCACAAATGTATAGCTCTCCTCATCAATCTTGGCTTGTATTGCTCAAAACAGCAAACGGGTTGACAGATACGGGTCGTTTCGGATCTCTCTCGCTTCTCAAAAGCCCGGTTCCATTCTTCCGTTTCTCCCGCCTCTTCGCGCCATTCGTTTCCGTTGACTTCTCTTCTACCTGGATTGGCGGAATACCAAGTATGTCCGTGATGATGGCGAGAATATCGACTTTCTTAGCAGTAGCCAGCAAATGCGGCATGCTTTCCAGTGTTGGCCAATCTGCGATTGCAGGGAGCGCATCGAGGTGCTCGCATAATTCTCGCACTTGAGGAGGCAGGTCCTGAGCGAGCGATACAGCAACGTCTAAAATTTGGTTTGTTATTCTCAAGGAGTAGAGTGAAGCTTCTACTTGGGCTGTGAAGTGTATCATATCCCACGAATGCCAGCGCTCGTCATCAGATGGGAGCTCCGCTTTGTGGATCAGTGAAGCGGATAGTGGCGACCGCTCTTCAGAGGTCGACCACATCACATCTTGATAGATGGCGAACGCAAGCCACCGCATGTCTGCACTTGGAATACGATTAGCAAGTTGCTTCAGAGTATGCACTAGCGAAGAACACTGCTCATAGGCTTCCTCGAGCCCTAATACATCGACTTGTCTACCTATCGATGTATTAGATGCCATAAGTGTCCGATATTCAATGACAACGGGCGATTTGTGAACGGCAAACGTTTGCATGATACTATATGCAACTTGACGAACGGCTGTACTGTTGGTCCAAGCGCTAATTCTAGAGCGGTCCTAAATTGCAATAGTAGGTCAGTTACTATCTTCCGTGTCACAAATTGGGCAGAGAACCTTGTTCTTGCAATACTGGAGAGAATTTCAACAAAGCATAGAAAGAAGGGGGGTGTCTAACTTCAATCAAGATAGGTAGAAACATGGCTAGAGTCTCTGGGCCACGTGAGTGCTGAGCACTGTTTACATCTGGTACTATACCGTCACCAGTGAATAGTACTATAGTGAAGTTAGTTAGGATCATTTCGAATAAAAGGAGGGTGACCAATGCAGTATCTAGGTACTTACAGGTTTGTATTACGATCTCAGATATCCTCGGATCAAGCGTTGAGATCATGCTCTGCATACGATGGTCCATTGGCAGGTACTCCTTCATGGAATATTCTTCAAGGAAAGTCTGATATTCCGATGTATGCAAAATATCCTCATAATTTCTATTTCTTATTCGTTCTAGTGCCTCATTGAAGCTACTGCGAGACCTCGCTATTTCGTAGGCAACTCGAGGTAGACCGCCAAGATTATTCAAAGCGAGAGCATCGTTGATAGATTCCAATGAAAACTTGGAAGCTAGCAATCCTTGCGGTTCAGCTGAGCGATCAGTTACGGCGATATCGGCAAAGAAGCTCACACTGCCATCGTGACCAAGATCAGTGATGAGCAAATCTGAATCGCTTGTCAAGAGTACCCCGCCGTGGCGTCGAATATCCTCGGCGCAGAACATGTCGGCCTCGCCCGAGACAACTTCGACCAGCGGACCCCAGGTGCGGCAGCCCTTGAGGATTTCAACGACAGCCGGTACGAGAAAGGGAGGCCTAGGGAGCCAGCGAAGGTTGGAGGAGGCGCCAACAGTCTGGGTGAGGATAATCCCGCTCTTGATAGTTTCGAAAGCATCTTCAGGTAGAACGCATGAGCCATCGGGGTGGGAAGCTAACAGGCCCTTCATTAGCTGGGACTGTTCCAACAGCCGTTGCTGCCTGACCTGCCACTTGCCTGGGGGCAAGTAGCCATCAAAGATTATCTTTCGGCTACACCATTCAATTAGCAAGAGTCTTCAGAGTATTGCAGAGTAGTAGTGATCTGGTGGATCTGATAGCTCTTACACAGCGACATTGTGCTGCCGTAGCTCGTCGAGCCATCCCGTGACCATGCGGCCAAGGGTCGCATATGAAGGCTGACAGATGAAGCCATTGGTTGGGGGTCTCTGGCGCATGCATCCGTCATATATTTGGTGGACCAGGGCAGGTCCATCAATAACGACCGTGTCTCCGTTTAGCGAGCTGAATTTGCCATATCGACGGACAGCAACACCGAGTCCCCGGATGCCCATGGCGTTGCGCTAATTGGGGGTTTGGTGAATTGATCGAATTCAAGGATAGAGCACCATCCTTGGATCTTTGTACAACTGGCCTTAACAGAGGGAAGGGGAAAGGTTCACTCATTTGGTGGTGCTCACATTGGTATGATAGATTTCGATTTGCCTGGCGATGTGAGGTGCTCGTCTAGGAAAGGAGCATGAGGCTGTATTCGATATGGGTACAGACCTAGATAGGAACCTACAAACTACATATAAAGGTAGCAGATAACCTCAGGGTCTAATTGGGTGCCCCTTCTTCAAGGCCCTCTGCCTACATGGTAGATCTTGGAATAGGATTATTCGACATCTACCAGTTGTCGGCGTCTCTGTCTCTCGCGTGTGCATGCAGCTGCAGTAGCAGTAGAGACTCGATAGTGGGATGTGACCCCCAACAAGTAAGTACCTAGGTAGGTAGGTACCTAACTTGAAGTACCTAAGTACCTACCTACCTACCTAACCCACCATGTCTTAGTCCAGCAGCTCCGTCCCTCGCTCGACCTCGCTCGGCTGGTCCATAAATTTCTTCCTTTCCACTCTCTTTTCTCTATTCTTCATTTCCAGCCAACCACTGGAATCCCCATCCCAAGATGCGAGGCACGCTGGTATTCTCGGGCACGTCGTGTCCCGCTCTGACGGGCAAGATATGCGAGAACCTGGGAATGACGCCGGCTTCCGCTGACCTGTCTCAATTCTCCAATGTGCGTTGCTGATCTATGCTGCTCTATTTGGTTTTTTTTTTGTGGTTGACAAGCATCGCACCCCTCCTGTCCCGTTTCCGTTTCTGCTTTGCTATCTTCACCTTCTTCTTCCCAACAACGCGATGCCACACAATGGCTGACATCGTGCTAAGGGCGAAACCAGTGTTCGCATCCTGACCAGCGTCCGCGACAAGGATGTCTTCATCATCCAATCCGGCAGTCCTACCATCAATGACACCATCATGGAGCTACTCATCATGATCTCGGCATGCAAGGGAGGCTCTGCCAACAAGATTACTGGTAGGCTTCTTCCGTGGCTGATCCAGCTTCTGTCTCTCACTACCACATCACGACTGACCTGACCCTTGATCTCCCTCACCTTAGCCGTCCTACCGTATTTCCCTTATAGTAGGCAATCCAAGAAAAAATCCCACCGCGGCGCCATCACCGCCCGTATGCTCGCGAACCTTCTCCACGTCGCCGGCGTTAAGCATGTCGTGACTGTCGATCTCCACGCTTCACAGATGCAGGGCTTCTTTAAGTGTCCCGTCGACAATCTCCATGCCGAGCCTCTGATTGCCCGCTGGGTGCGACTCAACGTCCCGAACTGGAAAGAGGCAGTCGTTGTGTCCAAGAACCCTGGTGGAACTAAGAGAGTTACTTCACTTGCCGATGCCCTGAAGCTCAATTTTGGTCTGGTCACCACTGACCGCAAACGCGCGACTAACATGACCGCGAGTATGATCATGAGACAACTCGATGGCTGGGACCAAGGCACGACATATGTTAATGGCGTTCGTCGGACCCCTACCAATAACTCTGATGAGCGTGACTCGGATGGCTACGTTAATAACTCGGTAACCTCGTCTCGTATCGTGACAGATTCCCAAGGCTCTCCCAGGCGAGTTGCTGGTCCACCGTTGCGCATTAACAGTGCATCGCGATCTCCATACACCCGTGCCTTTCATGGATCTTCTCAAGCTTCGCAGGCTTCCCCTATTGAGGAATTGCGCGACGAAGAGGAGGAAGAGGATGCACAGGAGTATAACGACGAACGTGCCCAAGAGGTCACGCACGGCCGACTTGTCCAAGGTCATGTAGTCCCTGATGACTTCGTCTCCCCAGCCCAGTCAGATGGCGATGGCAGTCAATCCGGCCAAGCTGCCGACGAAGACCCCATGACTATGTCTCGTGCATCATCCTTCTTTGCAGCCGAGCCGCATGCGCTTGGCGGATCGGGCGATGCTGGAGACTCATCCGATGAAGAAGAAGAGAAACTTCAAGATCCTAAAGTCGAGCATATGATCACGCTGGTCGGCAACGTTAAGAACCGCGCCGTCCTGATCGTAGATGACATGATCGACAAAGCTGGATCCTGGATCGCCGCAGCCGAGACTGTTGTCAAGCGCGGCGGGGCCAAGAAGGTCTACTGCATGGCTACTCATGGTGTATTTGGAGCCGATTGTTTGGAGCAGCTCCAAGCCTGTGACTGCATTCACCAGATTATTGTCACTAACAGCTTCCCCATCCCTGATAATCGAGCTAAGAACGCGAGTAAGTTGGTGATCCTAGATCTTTCGTATCTCCTATCCGAAGCGATTCGGCGCAATCATTATGGCGAGTCCATCTCGCCTTTATTCCAACATATGTTGGATTGAAGCAGATGACGCGAGTATTTCACTTAGACAAGAGTGATAAACAAAAACATCGGTGCTGTTTTGACGCGGCTTCTGTTGTTGTACATTATGAGATATGAGAGCAAGGGCTTCTTTTTTTTTTCCCCTCTCGGTTTATTAACTAGCATGGCGTTTCGGACGTGGTATGGCGAAAAGAGGCTTCACAGCCAGCTTCAGCATCATATTTTTCAGCGGAAAAGGGCGGTTTAGAGGCATTACAGGACAGGACAGGACTGGACAGAAATGAGCCATTCAGATACCAATTTGTCGAGACGTCCCCAGGTATGTTATTTGTTACCGGCTTTTACTGTGTGCCTATGCCACACATTTCGTTCAACTGTGACTTGGTGAATGCACCCTTCATTTGTGATTTATATGTACTTTTCCCCTGTTTACATACCCAACGGTGCTATCTTCGGATAGCCAGGGCTGAAGATCCCTCTAGGATCAGTCCTGAACGGAACGTTGGCAGAGAAGACATTGTTCCTTTGGGACTTGCCACGATTATAGAAGGCCAGATATCCAGATCTTACACTTTGTTGTAACGATCAATATCCTCACGGATAAATGGGTGTTTGGCAAGAGAAATTTTCGGACATGACGTTCAAGTAGTTATATGTAGATCCACATAGAAAGAATGAATCATTGAAATGCTAGAATCTGCAGTATACATAAATATAACTTGTTTTATGCTTTCTGAGACTTCTCATAGTGTACATAGATGTTGACATTCGCTACAATAGTTTCGAGTGAGCAAAGATGATGACGCTACCATGCTAAAACCTGGAGATGGCAGGTAGATTGTTTGAGACAGCTTTTTCCAATGTTTTCAATATACAACCAGCCTGTAGTATAAATAATTGAATCAACGGTTGAATAGGGCATCTGTAAACAAGTGATTAACTATTGATCAACCACTGAATAAATAGTTAAACTATCATTCAGTAACTATGTATATTTAAATTCAGTTGAACCATTGGGAGAGAGAGTATCGCTTAGGCAATAGTCAGAAAGTTACCGACCGACCGCGTTCTCATTATTTCATCCCATATAAGAATAACTATCACATATTTACATGAAAAGCGTAAAAAGGGCTAAAAAAACCCCTAATGCATGCCGAATGTTCATTTCGGATATTTGAAAAAAGACAACGCCCTCCTAAACGCCTGGCTCCGATGAAGAAGTATAGATAATAAGCCTGAAGTGGTATATTTAGTATGTATATGTAATTGTGACCAAAAACAAACCCATTTCATCTCGCTTTATGCATGCATGCCGTTCGTATATAAATCGATTTTATTCATGTATGAAAAAGGGGGGTGTATGTGGGAAAGAGAAGAGGGGGGAGAGCCTTTTCCTTGAGTTTAAGGCACGTATATACGGCTGAAGCTGATAACTTCTCGTCGGCAACACACGCATTTGTCGAAGTTGTTCATAGCGAGAGACACGCGGCACTCGTCGCAGAGGCTCAGACATCGGCAGGGCCAGAGGATGATGGTGCGAGAGGACGTGTGGCAGACGACGCAGATAGGGCCGGACTCGGACTCGTCGCTGGGGTGAGAAGAGCTGATGTCGTCTTCTTGCATTTCTGCCCGCCGCGAGAGGATGAGCTGCTCTAATATTTCCGCTTCCTCTTCATCTGTCATACGGCCAGGGTTCAGACTGCTAGAGAGGAGGAGTCGCCCTCTCTGGTTCTGCTGCATACGAGCAAATTGTGACCGTGTAACAATTCGATCGCTGCTTAAGTGGGCGGCTAGAGCGTGCGCTTCGTGTTTCTCCTCGGGACTTCGTGGGTGGAGTAGTCGCGCGAGGTCAGGTATACCGATTACGGGATCGGAGGGTGTCGTTTCGCGTGAGAAGTTGATACTTCTTTGCGTAGGCGTTCTCTGTCCCTCGGCCTCCTCATCATCCTCCCATTGATCATCTGTATCCTCTTGGTCCCCGTCAAAGGCGGTGATAACGCTAGTAGCATCCCAGTCATCTCCGCTATCATCGGGATTCCAGTCCCCACTGCTATCTACCGCGCCCCATAGCTCTCCATGCTTCCATGAATCGTACAGCCTCGAATCAAGTTCTTCCTCAGGCAGATTGATGGTTTCCGGTGACCTGCGCAGGCGTCTCCGTACTTCTGCCTCTACATCCATCGTCTCATCGTTAAAGAGTAGACTATTCCTGTTATTTCGCCCAATTCTAGACCGCGGTTTGTTTGGGTTGCTGGGTTTCTTTTCGTCTTTGGTCCGTGTAGACCAACGAGAAAGGTAGAGTAGGAAGTTCGGTTGTTGTATGCCGAGTCGTGCAAGTACTTTTAGTGTAATGAAAGCACACCACCTCAATACAAGGCGATTGATGCTCATTATGAACTCTAAAGCGAGCAGCCACCGCGAGCTTCGTTCGGTTGCTCCAACACCGTCCCTAGGGCGCCGATCCGCAGCACGAGATTTGGGTAGACTTTGGGCTGCTCGCTCTCTAGCATACCCACTGGATGCCCCAGCTTGTCCATCTTTGATTGGAACCAGCCCTATGGTGCCAGCAGAATCGTAGGATGAATCCCCTGCTCCTTCTGGCATTGCCCAATTCATGCGGAGAGATTCAAGCTCCCTATAGCGATCTTCCTCAAGCCATGTCCTCGGCTTAAGATTGACGCCCCTATCCTCGTTCAAATACACTGCTTCACTTGCCATGGTGATGACGCCAAAACCCGTACGTAGCAGAGCTGTGTAGAAGTCCATGGCTCGCGAGATGCGTATGTCGGCGAGCGAAACGTTAGCTTGCATGTTTTCGTGTGCACGGCGAATGCGCTCCCGGAAAGTAAGCCGGTGAGGGGTCGGCTCGGGAGGCTCCATGGCAGCTAGAAGTAACGCAAAAGCATAGATAGCAAAGCATATCAGAATCCCGACAAAGATCATAACGTGAGGCACGAAACCGATGATGCAGACAGTAGGGAATCGGAAGAGGCCCATGTGAGATAGGTCATCGAACGAGAAATCCAAGGCCTCGATGACCAGGCTTCCCATGAAACACATTGCCCAGAACCCTGTGCTAAATAGTCGATACTTATGTTGAAGGCCAAATACACCTAAGATATGACTCGTGATATGGCTCATGGAAGAGATGAAGGCAATGAGCAGTACCTCCGGCGGGGTGTTGACTCTTTTCATTATCATAGACCTCGAGATAGCGATATTAGCCCCAGAGGCTTGTTGAAAGGTGGCATTTGATGTACTTCCACTCGAAAAAAGACCCCAGCCAAGTTGATTGCTAATAGCAGCATCCGCCTCCGCAAAGGCCAGTGAATGTTCAAAGAGCGTCATGCCCGTCTCGACAGCTACGGGGCGGCCCTGCACGGCACACGATACAGTCTCTATGAAGTGACTGAGGCATAGAGTTTGGAATAAGGGCCATAGCTGCGAAAGGGAGCCGCGAAGCTCGTGAGAGAAGTCCTGGTCACTCGGGGGTATCATACTAATGGCACGACAACTGTCGTAATCACTGGAGCCGAACAACAGCGTTGAACTAAGCGCATGTAGGTATCTACTAGGCTCGGCAAACATTAACTCGGATGTCTTTGTAGAGCTACCCCAACGCATGTCGGCGAAGTCGGGAGAGGTCTGGCACTGAATCGCCTGTAGTAGTCGTCGAGACTGGTAGGCGAAGAGAAGAATTGGCGCGAAGCGAAGCGCCAGGCGGAGGGGCCACGTTAGGCGGAGCCGTCTTCGGGATGCGGCGAATATGTGAGTACGATTCAAGATGATAGCCATGGCAATGCAGCATAGCGCCCACTTGCTCGTAGCGTAACTGAACACGCTCCCCAGGCCCTTGGCGCTGCCCTCCATAGTGAATCGAGAGACTAGGGCGGCGGGATCTTGGTCGTCTTCCAAGACATTGGCCGTGTTGGCGACGGCTTCTGATATATCGGCGGCCATCTCGGTAGCGGTGGTGGTAACGAAATAATGGGAACCGGTGGGATCGGGAACAACGCGCTGGCCGAAGCTGTCGATGGCTTCAGGGAAGGAGATGATGGAACCAATTCGTGTGAGCATCCTAGGTCCGGCGAGGATGAGGTCTTCGAAGGATGGAGCGTAGCGCGTCCATGTGAAAGTGAAGTTAGTCCAAGTGCTCGCGTTGGTGAATGTGACAGTCGAGGTTGGTACAATGGCTGCACCGGGCGATGCCATTCTCTGGGGAGAGTGGTCTCGGCTCTGGTTCACCTTCTTCCGTCTGGGTTCGCAGGGTCGGCGGCGGTGGTGGCACGAGGCAGATGATGGACCAGGGGACTCGGTGTCGGACCGGCGCAGCGGTGGAAATGACGGAGGGGATGGCGGAGGGAAGGGACGTAGGCAGCAGACTAGGCACGATCTCGGATTGGATGGTAGCGCATGGCCATTATTGGTTTTTATGGTTATTTTATGGTTATTAGGTGTCCAAGACTTGATCACAACCGAGCCTAATCATCCCGAAGGATTGAAGTCATGTTATTCACAACAAGTCGGGCAGCCTGGAAGGCGCTCTGACGCCGAACGAACGACCTAAGATACGGATACGGTAGGGTAGGCCAGCAGGAATGCCATGGTTGCCCCAGTATTTTACTGTGGTACGTGGAGAGGTGAGAACAGAATAGGTACCTGTACCTAGTGGTTGCTAGCGCCCGCTGTGCATTGCATTGCTGAGCCTGAACCTAGTAGTAACCTTATATATACCTACATGTACATATGTACCTACGGAAGGACATGTGAATTATAAAACTCATTACCTTAGATATGCATGACACCTTCCATGTGCCAGCACCGATATATTGATAAGAAAAGCTTCGAGGAATTCCTTAGCTAACTTTGTTCAAATATCCTGCCGAGGACGGCTGTTAGGAGCGCATACCTACCATGCATGCAGTCCAATGTCTTGGCGCGGTGGCTGAAGATCTTGGCATGAGCCTTAACCATTGCTGTCAACTGGGCGACTTCTTCACCTCCTTCGAGATCTTCAATGTTCAGGCAACACAATATACCTCACATATCCTATCCAGAATAGTAGGTAGTTATATGTTAGTTAGGCCATGATTATATATTAGATTTAACCTGATTATCACCTTATTACTGCCCAATTATTCTGTGATTATCTAATGATCGGACCTCGATGATAACATTAGAACTACCACTCCTGCTGAATCCTTGTTTTCTATATCGGGCCAGCATGGAAGACCTTGGAATAGATGTAAAAGGAGGTGTAATAGAACTAACTGGTCCATTTCGGTATGAGATATAGTCATGTTAGACTTGCCCATCCTTATCCCGGGCAGGCCAAACAATCTTGTTCTGCGATATAAGTTACCCCCGGTTCACACGCCATGGTCACTTACATACATAATTAGATCATTACTACAAATATATACCGAAGCATACATGTAATTAATATTATGGGATATGTCCCGGAAGTTGAAGGTATCTAGCGGAGGCCAACGCTATACGTCCAAATATCATATAGTATACGCAAGTAAGCGCTTGGAGGGCGATACTGCAATATGTGTAGATGTAGATGGAGGGCTATCGGGAGTCCCTGAGGTAAGTGGTAGACCTGCCGAGTATCTACAGGGAAAAATGAGAATGCATCAGAGGCAGTCACTACCTCACTGCCGAGTATCTGCGCCTGCCTCCCATACAAGTAGAGAAGTACCTTGTACTAATATTAACAAACACAAAGATCTGATTTTTCCCCCTCACACTCTCGCAAACACTAGGTGCAGGTATCTACCTGCATACCTACCTAAGTACCTACATATGTAGGTAGTAATCATCTCTCCTCAATCTCTCTTCAGTTCTCTCATCCTTTCCAGTAAGCCCTTCCGCAATCTGGAAATCATCTTGCCCACTCACGCACTTGCCCTACTCATATTCAAAGCATCCAACTGTTCGATTTACGGGCCTGCCTCGTTGTCTTGCCTTCTTGGAGTCTAGCCCTCTAGCCTCGAGATCACCACCTACCCGCAGAGAAAGGCAATCCGGGAAGTCACAGTAGTAAGTCCAAGGCAAATACTCCCACTTCACCCTGCGACAACCCTCCTTTCGTTTCCCAAATGCTTACAATCCTGCTCAGCCTTTATTCCTGCCAGAACACATTGCTCAGGCACCTACTCACTCGGGGCGTTTGAGCATCTAGCCAGTGGCTCTCGACAATGGAGCACGACAACAAGAGCCCAGATGATGGAGCAAGCCTACCTGCTGTCGTTGATGATGCTCCCCAGCCTCCTACTCCTGGCCTGTGTGCCAGTAACAAGCGTGCCTTTGAATTAGCATTCCCTCAACCTTCACTTTACCCAGATTGCAAGCGTACCTGTTCTCAATCCTGCCCCTCCACACCTTCACAACATAAGAACTTCAATCATGTTCAGAATGGAGATGATGTTTCTGCCGATGTCGATGACTCCCCTACTATTCCTAGCGAGTCTTTTGAGATGGAACTGGCTAGACACCAACTGCTGCTTGACCCTGCTCTCGTCAATCAGACTCTTGTTACTAATGTTGGCGGCGATGCCGTTGCTATCAATCATTCTTGTCAGGTGGATCCCTCCGAAGCCGAGATATCTCTCGACCGAAGTCACATTCAAGAGACCTCGGCCGCCGAAAGCAACACAGTTGAGTCCAACGAGGCGCTTGCTACAAGGAAAGAGACGCTTTCTTCACTCAACGAGTCGCGTGCGTTAGTTAGTAAAGCATTTGCTTCATGCAATAAAGAGCGACCCTTAGGCGCCGCTGAGTCTCCCCTCGAGCGCTCGCGCAATGAAATTCGAAAATGCCTTGAGGATATCAAGCAGAACACCCCCAGCGGCGTGATTGATCAAGATACTACCACCATCCTAGTCAACGAGATTGTGGAGATCATGAATTTAGCCTTGCCCGAGGAGGCCAATAAAATCAGATCCAGTTTCTTCTCATCTGAGAGTGAGCCCATACATCCAGTGAAGATCGAAACTGAACAAATACCCTCTCAACATACTAATCTGTCTCCTTCTGGAATGCTGTCTCTTCACGACTATATTGGCGACTCCACTTCACCTTTGTCCCCTTCAATCTTTAGTCCTAGAATTGAATTCGCTGCCCCTTGTACTGCTAGCAGCGTCAAACACGACGTATCGACCCAAACCGAGCCAATGGCAATCGTCACTAGCATAACTGGCACTGGGAGTCATACATCCCATCAACTTGGTCTTGGTGACACAGAGCTCTGGCAAAGGGAGTTGGAATCAATCCGCCGACTTAAGCCTCTCGCTAACGGAGCTTATACGAAGGTTAATGTGCCTCTGCGAGAGACAGTCAAGACATATACATCGTCTGGCGTTAAGAATAAGCATAATAGCAACGTTAGGCTGAAGTCTCTTCGTAGGCGTTCTCAATGCCCGAGTGCTGAGACAAATCTGAATATTAAACCCGAAAATTGCGACGTCGTCTATCTTTCTGATACAGATGAGGAAAATAGAGAATTGCGCACGAACAATTCTTGCCGTGTTGGTGGAGGTGACCCTGGGGATGACTGGTTGTATGGTCCCATCAGTGACGAAGAAGAGAGACCGATTCGTGGCCAGCACTCTCTGTACAAAGGTCCTTCTGATGGCAAAAGTGGTGCTATTATGGAATTTTCTGATGACGGAGAGAGCGATATTCAGGAAAGTATTGACAAAAAGGCAGCCATATCCTCCAACAGGCCCATGGTATCCACGGGGCGTTACGACGGCAATGATTCTATTGACGAATACGACAACAATGCCTATTATGCGAACACCCACAATGGCCAAAACACTCTGAACCACAATGATGCGATCATAGTGAATGGGCGAGAGGATTCGGGTCTCAAATATAAACCCGCCGTAGCTCCCAATAGAATAAGCTACATTCAGCGAGGCCGTTCGCGTTCTCCAGTATACCAACGTCGCAGGTCTCGTACAGACCGACATTACTCTCCGAGATACTCGAGTGAAAAATACGCAGTGCAGGTTCGTTGCCATAATGCAGAGCGCCATTATGCTTCGCCCAACACTTGGAGACAACGTTATATCAGAGATGAGCCAGAACATCTCACCTTCTATGGCTATACTACCACCAAAAAGCCTAGTCGTGAAGTTGAGCGTGCATTACGATACCAAGATCGCTTGAACGACGTCGGGGAGATCCCTGGGCCGCAATCTGGCCTACGCTTCAAGTTAGACAATTACATCCGCGATATTCGCTCAGATGCTGTAGGCCTAGAACAGAAGATCAAGAGCGTGATCCAAGAAACCTTCTACGCTTATGAGAGCATTGATGAGGAACAAGCACTGCAAAGATCCTGGGCTGACCAGCCGATGAATATATACAAAGGGTTTCCACTGGTCGAAGATGTCGGATTTGTTAGTGTCCGCAATCACACCAGTCCGGACGGAGATTGTTATTGGCGTGCTCTTGCATACATTTTGCATGGAAAGCCTACTCGCTGGGATATTATCAAAGCCGATCATCTAGCGTATATCCAGCATGTACTCAGTGACAAAACTCATCCACGGCATCAATTGTATGCGCAATTGAACGCACAGTTCTTTGAGACTCATGGTGGACTAGTGAGTAGTAATGGTTGTGCTGCAATAACAGCTGCATTTAAGGCTAATGTCTGGCAATTGCTGCACCTACCGCAATCTTGGACGCCCGGCGTGATGCAACAGATCACAGCAGACCTATACAACATCTATCTAGTCACATTCACTTATGACCAATTGAAGAACATGTGTTCCGAGGTCAGTATCCGCGGTGTCTACAATAGCCGCCATGTGTTCATGCTATACACAAATAATAACCACTTCCAACCACTGACGGTCAACGAGTACCTGAGCTAGGAATTCCGGTATCCGCGCGTAACAGTGGAGGCAACAGCGCGCTTTTCGAACGCGCCAAAGGCAGCTTCTAAGAAGTGTGCCACCGAGCATCCCTGGAGGAACGACTGGACTAAGGAGGTTCTCCCCCCTGTGCCTAGAAATCATGGATGCGACTTGTTCCAGCTGAGTAAGCTTATGGATGTCCCTAGGACCCAGAAGTTATGATCTCGAGCTTCTATTACTGGCGTGTATCTCAGCCTAGGTCTGTCAATGACCTGGGAGTCACCTCGACATTACGGAGATTAGAAATGAGAAGCGAGAAGTACACTTTTGTCTTCGGCAATTTACGCCACACCCGAAACTCACCTTGTGAAGTCAGTGACAGAAGTCGGAGTTCGACATTTGGTATACACTTGCAATTCAGGCGAATGATGACAACGATTTTGCGATACATTGATGAGATTTCTTCTACTTTGCCTACTTGCAACACATTACCCCAGAAAAAAAAAAGTCGCCATTGCCGGTTTGACCGGAATATTTTTGTGTGCCGAAATTGGCTCACACAGAAGAGGAGACCTCAGGGTGAGGTCGTTGCAGGTTGGTGATCTTGCGCATGACATGAGGATGGATAGTAATCTTCTGAAAGAGAATGAAACGGCTACTAGGTTCACTTACCGAGCACCAAAAATTAGCAGATTTCGTGGTCGTTAAGGTACTTAGTCTATAGTGTGATTCCAATCTCAAAAGCTCTGATTAAACTGAAAACAGTGCCTGTAGATGCTTGAGTCGGCAGCAACGTGATGATAACTTCGTGATATATTGCTCTCTTCCGACCATATTATCACTCCCGATGGCCTATGGCGACATCTCTTTTTTATCCTATTTGTTAATAAAGTCTCAGTTTTAGCTTGTTCCAGCTGATTTTAGCAACTACTACCACCTGGCTTCATATCGATACATGGTTATAAAGGTGAGCAAAGTATCTCACACATTAGCATATCACACACAGCCCTCCCTCTAGTACTCTGCTTACGCCGACATGTCAATAAGAGACGCCTTGTGGAAATAGGATTTTGTCCTAGTTTTGGCCTATTGAAAGTTTGGTTCCCTTGAGATTTCCATTCTTGGTATCTGACCTATGGGCTCGCGTTATATACAAATATCCAGCTTGGCGTGTTTGGCTGATATTTTATCTTGGCTAATTGATGTCATCTACATTTCCCACTTCGAGGAAAAGAGTTGTGGCTTAGGATGAGACTGGGCACTAAAGCCAATGGGCTTATATAATTCTTAATCCTTTCAAATGATGTCTGCTCGCGTGGTTTCGAGCTAACCAACTGCATTCTCGTTGTTGCTTTCACGACAGACACTTCCTCCTTAAAACCATCATTAGGTTTGAAGTTGTAGCTCTTGCTGAGCTGCTGTCCTGTAGGTGGATTATGCCCTTCCGAAGCTCGATGGAGGCATCCTCAACATGAATATTACCTTAGCACGCGCTAGGCAGGTATCGTATCGAAGCACTTGATGTCAATGGTATCGCCATCGGCACTCGTGTCCTCCTCGCGTAGTTCTGAATGGGCTTTCATATACTTTAACCTATTGGGTCGCACAACATATAACTTGCTAGGCTGTACCCGCTCTGGTTCCGATATGTTTCAAATAATCGTTTGTCGAAGTTGGTGAGATCATGATACCTCTTGCTCGGGGTGAATACTCTGTTTCAAAGCCGTGACAATAACGTGGTTCGCATTACGACATGCAACCAAGGACCTCTCGACCAGGTTATTGTACAGCATGACATCAGCGCCCGGCAACTGGCCTTTGAACCAGATATTCGTGACCTCGTCTCGCGCAGGTAGGTACGCGATGCAACAAGCCGCGTAGATCTTGTGGTAATCGGCAACAGCGGGGTCGAGAACAACAGAGGGCGGGCTGCTTGCGTCCTTGGCGACCAGCGCCGCGACGCCTCCGGCCACGGTATCAACGCAGTCAATCCCCGCGTCAGCGATCGCCGCCGAGGCCACGGTGATGCACCCGCTCAGCACATTCATCGTGTCCCAGCCCTCTCCGTGCTGGTTCTCGGGCGCATTGCGGTCTTGATCGCCCTCTATTATCGTGACGATGATATCGACGCCGCTCTTGGGCCAGCGGTCTGCGATGATGGCGCCCCGCAGCGCCGTTTCCAGGTGTACGCCGAGATCTCGCTCGCTCGCATCCCGCAGATAGCCGCGGCGCTGTTTCGTCGCAAATGGTGCGTATTTGACGTGTGTCGTCAAGATGATATGGGGAGAGAAAGGCGCGGATCGTGGGAGAGCCCGTGGGCCGTGGACGGTGCAGGTTAACTTGAGGCTTGTGTTGCTAGGGCCCGTCGCATTGGGGTTCTCTAATTCCAGGTAGGCGGACCCAGAGGCAGACGGTGTGACGCCTGTTTTCAAGACTACACAGTCGAGTTTAGCGGACGAATGGACGAAGACATTCCCAGCGCCTGTTCGCAGGTTGGTTGGTACGTACATATCTTGCGAATGGCATTTTCAGGTTTCTCGGTGCGACTCCGCGATGGGGCGGGACTGTCGTAGATGGGCGGCAGAGTAGTTCCCACTGGGCCGTTGACCCTTCTCCGGTCAGTCATAATGACCCTCTGTGACAACTCGGCTCGAGGTATGTTGATGGGGATAGACTGCGCAAAAGACCGTAAAGCTGCACCCAAGCTACCCCGGCCAGATACAGAAATCGGAGCCCACCCAGCTCGCTCAGTCAAGGTCTTATCGATTGCCCCGCCAGCGGATGCTTAATCTACTGGAGGCTCCACTAAAGAAAGGCCAGCCATTCTCTTAAATTTAACTACAGAATTTTGCAGCTTCATCTCCTGCTTCTTCCATTCTCCCAGCTCTTCCGCTTCAACCTGACATCAGGCACCCTGCGAGCGCCCATCTCAAGATCAACAGCGAAGAATGTGATTGGAAACGCGAGATTCTTGTCATGATGATACAGCTGCGACATTATCCCAGCTGTCCGATGCAGCATATGGTAAGAGGTAAGTCAAAACACGCCATCAGCCTTCGGCCCAACACCTTTCGCCCTCAACCCTCCTCTTCGCTATTGATGAAGTTTTTTCCACAGTTCTAGCGATCTCCTGAGCTTACTGAACTAAACATGCACTACCATCTGAAGCACCATTCTACCGCTGCCTTCTAGAAGCTAGTCTTTGGGTCGAAAGCTAACATCAAGGCAAATAATAGTATTTTAGCAAGTAGATCATCCATCTCAGTTCGATCATTTCTATGCTTGATTAGAAGGTCAGTTGCATTCCCATTCTACTTGATCCTTTTTTGTTTTTGTTATCCAATGATGAGACTTCAATCATTCAGTTCTGCTTCTGAACATAAATGAAGATACCCATATACCAAAAACTTACTCTGATCCAACAACGCCTTCTCATATATCTTTATGCACCCCTTGAGTTGGGACTGTTTCATTGACTGTTGCTCAGGTTTAGTAGATTACACATCCTCTATGGACACGGCGAATCATACGAATCTACAATTATATAACTGTAAGTTGACTGTTTTCACTTCTCTACATAGACCTCACCTGTCATGATGAAAACTGTTTATCCATTCAACTATCTCACAATGTGTCGAGCCACCCTCCCGCACCGGAGTTGGCCCTTTCGGGCTGATGATGATTGGTTGTGGAGTTACTTCTGCTCCTCTAGTCTTGTACCAGAGTTGTTGAGTGTGTCATGCTGGCTTCCGATGTTCTCCATCTTCATGCTTCGTCTTGAGGTGTGGAGTGGAGAGCCGACACATGTGAATGAGTAAACTGGTTTGCTGAACCGAAAAACATTATCTCATGTTCCACATCGAGACAGTATGTGACCTCGCTGACTCGTCATTCTATCAGATTTCTTTGCTCCCCTCTAGCATTTTTCGGAAGCTTAGCGTTGCGGTAATAGAGGTAATAGAGGTAGGTGAACTGTAAATGATGCCATGACCGTAGCATAAATAATAGTAATAATGCACTCTAGTATTCACTATTCTCTCATATGGTTGCCCGTTGTATTTGGTATCTATGAAGCGATTGAATAGGCATCTAATTACGCTCTTATGTTCTCCTGTGCATGACTCCCGCACCAGCCTGGTGGTTAGGAAAGATCAATGTATCGGCAACTACAACGTTTTCTCTCCTTCCAGCAACGAAGACGACAACCTCGGCAATATCGTCAGGAGTAAGAGGGTCAACACCGCTGAAGCACCATTAGCATCAAATGACCCATCCATCCTACGAGAGCTCGAACAGGAAAACTTACGCATATACGGCATCAGCCTTGGCCTTATCTCCATAGAACCGAACAACGGAGAACTCCTACGTCGATATTAGCAATGTGCACTTTCCCCCAAGTCCAAACAAAAATTTTTAAAAAAAAAAAAAAAAAAAACAATCACACTCACCGTCTCGACCTGGCCGGGATCAATCTCCAACACGCGTATCCGCGTCGCGACGAGCTCCTTGCGTAGGGAGTCAGTGAAGCTGCGGACAGCGGCTTTCGTAGCGCAGTAGATGCTGCCGCCGGCGTAGGGCTCGCGGCCGGCGATGCTGCCGATGTTAATGATGTCGCCGGCGCCGCCGTCCGGACGGCGCAGGAAGATGGGGAGGACGGCCTGCGTCATGTTGATCAGGCCCGTCACGTTGGTGCTGAACATGGTGTCCACGTCGGCCTCGGCGATCTCGGGGGCTTTGGCGACGCCCTTGACGAGACCGCTGTTGCAGTGTTAGCTAGGTATTGTCGCTCACTGGGGTGTTATTATCTCCGAGGTTGTACGCAAGGCTCCGTTCGCAATTCGTGAGAGTGTAATTGGGGATAAGTCACGGGGAAATCAAATCAAGTAAGCAGACGTACGCATTGTTCACAAGGACATCGATCTCCTTGAATTCCTCCGGCAGCTTACCCACGAAGCCACGCACTTCGTCAGGCTTGCTCACGTCAAGCTGCACGGGGAGCACCTTGACGCCATCGCCGACCTCGGCCTGGATGTCCGCGGCGATCTGCTTCAGCGAGTCGATGCGGCGCGCCGTGAGCACGAGCTTGAGACCGCCTGCCGGGGCCGCCGTCCGCGCGAACTCGAAGGCCGTGCTGCGTCCGATGCCGGACGATGCACCCGTGATCACCACCGTTTTGCCGGCAAGGCGCTTGGCTACCGCCGAGGCCATTGTGCGCGAGGCGAATCTTGGCGTGAAGAGATTCCTGTATAGAGGTGAACTGGGTCCGGGGCGGAAGCGGCTCTGGAGAAGCGTGCGGAGCGTGGAGATGGCTGTTGTGCGATGGAGGGGCATAGATCAAAGTTTCCCGTGAGACGAAAAGAAAAAGGAAGGGAAGGAAAGGTTGAATTACAAAGACTGAATCCAGTCAAGTTGCTTCCTATCTGTTTGATTGATTGCTTTACTTGCCCTCTTATTAGTCAATTCCAATATAGTGGGCAAGGCCTGGTGAAGATTCCTAGCTATCTAAGGTAAGTAGGCACGATGTCGCCATATCGCGCGCGCGCGGAGCTCCCTTCGTCGACCCCGCCATTGCGATGGATGGATGGCCTTTTCCGAAATGGCCCCGCCGAAATTCAATTCAGCGCCGAATTGCCCGGCTACTTGGGTAGGATTAGTAAATGCCTGTTTCCCGTTGCTAGAAGTTGTCTTTAAGGCAAATACATGATACAAAATGTGCAACGGTATTTAGTTCGGCCAGATCTATCTACCGCCTATGACTCTGGTATCATAGTGAGGAAATTCTATGTAGGTACACTCTGACGTTTTGTCTCCTACCTATCTACGTATTCCTTTGGGTCCCAGGCAGCAAAACGAGTTCCCATGAAGGCTGTTGAGACAGTGAATGACTGATTCTTTTTCTCTGGCTCTGCGAAGAGGAGGACAGAAGAAGTCTTTAGGGATCTGATATGGATATTGTCATCTCATATTAGAAGACTAAAGAAGGACATACTCAGAATGGAAACGTTAATCAAATATAAATTACATTATCCATTGCTTTTGGTACAGCCTCGAACTACAATTAGTCCCACGCAGGCTCAGGTAGTGTAGTGGTTAGCACGCAGGATTTTGATTCAAACCTTTGTTTCGCCAAAATTCCTGAATCCCCGGTTCGAACCCGGGCCAGAGCTTTTTGCAAGCTTTTTACTCTTCGTTATTGTTCGTCATGCTGTTAGTTCTTGTCTGGTGGCCTAGTACGTGTCTCAGCTGCGCCACTGGAAGATAGGCACCTCGCTAGAAGGGTGGGTATCAAGAGGCCAAGTGTGCGGTGTGGCATCCTCATTTTCGAGATCACAATCGGCTAGCCTAGGTACTTACTGCCTTCAGACATTATTCCACGCCGTCACAGTTACGGTAGACTACTTGACCGGCTCTGCGTCTCATAAGGACAGCAGAGCTGCTCGATGACGTAAGTGTACCGGACGCTAGCGTATCTTCTGATGAGATGCTCCCAAGTCGAAGATATGGCTTCATCGCATATTTAGGAGTCGTGTTTTATATTCAGACGATTACTTTCTGTTCTGGTATCTTTCTCCGTGTATTGTACATCTGATTCCCTGCATCACCCATAAAATAATTCCCTGTCTCGCTGGCTAAATCTTGTATACATGTGGCTGTGTCGGGGTACAGCAGTCTCTAAATTAGGGATAATCTGAACAAGGCAATAAAGCAAAAAAAAAAAAAAAAGACTAACTAGCTGAAATCGAATTCTTGAACATGTCTGGCCATAGAAAGCGGATAATTGCAATGCGCGGCTATAAATGAATGTGTGCTTCAGTCGACCACTCTCGTCGCTGAACGATCGATCTTTCATAGAATCACACAATTCGCCGTAGACGTCGTGTACATGTCTCGCACAACACGCGTTCTATATCTCTCTAAATGTCGTCTGTTCTAATTGAACAACAATTCTCGTCAACATAGTAGTCATCTCTTAGTCTTCACAGCGCGCCGAGCCACCTCTTCATGGCAGCAATCGCAATGCCGTACTCAAACGCGACGCTTTCCTTCGGCGCCAAAGGCATAGGCTTGTCCCAAGCATGCTTCTCGCCTTCGAGAACCCGGACAGTGATGTCTTTGCCGCGCTTCTCCAGTCTCTCTGCGAACAACTTGCCCTCGGCAAGGAGCATGTCGTATTCGCAGAGACACAGATGAATAGGTGGTAGTTGCTCTAGAAGCTCGTCGGGCATTAATCCAGGTGATAGCCGCGGGTCGGTTCGTTCGCGTCGTGGAATGGGAGGATGCAAGTACGACGCATCGATCAGATCCGTTAACCCGCTCGGTAGTGTCTTGTCTGGATGTTCGCAAGCACTCCGTTTCTGGGGCCGATCGATGGTCCAGTCGAGCAAGGGATAAAACAAGACGAGGCCGGCAATCTTCGGTCGGGGCCCTGGGATATCGTACTTCCACCTCGCCGGGTCCGTCAAGCAGAGCCAGCTGCTCATGGCGAGCGTCCCACCGGCAGAGAAGCCAGATAGCGTGATGCGGTTGGTGTCGATATTGTATCGATCAGCCAGTCGGTATATTTGCAGGATAGCGTCGGTGCAGTCTTCCACGGAAGTCGGGAATGGGTAGCCCGGCGCAAGCCGATAGTTGACCGAGAAGACCACAGCGCCCAAGCTGCTCACGAGGAGATTGGCCCATCGCGAATCATCGGTTCCCTGGCCGAGGATGAAACCGCCGCCATGAAAGTTAATTATAGCAGGTCTTTTCTCGTCATCGGGTGACTGTGAGTTGTCCGGCGGAAGCCATACGTCGGTGCTGATCTTCTGCTCGCCTTTCCATTCGCTCAGTGTAGAATCTAACCATATTGTTTCTGTAGGGGATATCGTGGGTAAGCCTGAGCGGTTACCAATGTGAAATCCGAGGCTAGCAAGCAACCGGAGGGTATAGGCGTGGGCCCCTAGAAGCCAACGGGGGCTTTTGTCTGCAGGGTTCACATAGTCTTCTTCCACGGACGGCGGCCCAATATCGTGTATAGATGCGACTTCAGTGGCATCGACATTCGCAGTGTCCTTATTATCTGTAGACATTTCTGCCGTATTATTTTTGCCTCTAATATTCCACAGTTGCCAAGCGATTCTTTAGAGATTTTGTATGAACCCAATCTCGAAAAGCTACCATAGTAGGGCGATATCGACCATAAATGATATGTGGGGGCCTGTGACGTCGTATGTCGCATTTGGAGGCCCGTACCAGACCCGTACCTCTCGCAGGAACTAATGAGATCCTTGGAATATAGAATAAGAAACAGCCTCGGAGCCGCCAGCTGACACTTTTGCCACCTCGACTCAGCTGGCTAGCCATCTCTTAGACCATAATGTATAGCGACAGGGTTTGTATCAGGTTTGTAGGCGGTTCAATATCTGGATTATTTTGTTCGAATGATTTTGCTGGTAACGATATTACCCACCTAGGTGCTTAACCTACTTAGGTAATTAGATACCTACCTACTTAGGTAGTGCGTTTGTGCCTGCTAAGTGTACCTACCTATGCAAGTAAGGAGACAAAGGAACTAATGACATTCATCAAGTATTAGCATTCTTTGGTGTCATGATAGAATCAATATAAAGGCAATAAATGTTTCTCAGTGAGCTGATCACACTTCGGGATAATTTTAGTCAAATGATTAGCATTATATATCTATGCCTAACACTGTGAAGGTTTCGACTACATGCCCGCCCATTCCAGACAAAAAGTACGGACGGGTGGCGCCACAGGGCCACCTTTCAATTGAGGCTGATGATCTACTTGATCTCGCGAATCATTATGACCAGTATCAGTCTCCTTGACCTCTGGGTCCTCAACGACAGCCCCGCCAATGAGATACCCTTTCTTAACCGAAGTCCCAAGTCGTCCGCCTCCTACCAAATCCATCATCGTGATCTCCTCGTCCCATCCGAAATGCACCCCGGCGAAGTGACTGTGGAAACGCAGAGGGTCGCCAGGGTATACGTTGTAGTCGCAACCAAAGCGAAGGCCAGGCATCATATAGTATCCTTTATCGTGCAAGTGCGCAAACAGGGGATAGGATGCGGGGACATCTACGGCAGCCGACGAGTCTAGTCCTGGACGCTGTGAGGGAGGTAAAAGAAAGCTGCTGGTAGTAGGCGTGAGGAAATAGCCCTCAACTTCAACAGGCACCTTGTCAGTTGGTTTAGATATTGTAGGTGTCGAGTCAAAGAGACTGTTGCTCTCATCTGCTTCGATAGGACCATTGATATCATCATTGCTGGGCATGTCTTTTGCCTGCTCTAGATCCGTCTTGCTCTTCTTCTTTTTCTTGGACTTCCCTTGTTGGTTGGGCTTATTCCGATTCTGACTCTCGATTACGGCCATCTGCATCTGCTTACCCTGGGTCTTGAGTGACTGAACATAAGCCCGTCGCGACGGCTCATCTAAAGCCGCCAGTCGGGTTAGGTGGAATGTTGCATCATCAATGACGCAAGCTATCTTCTTTTCGACCAGAACTTGAGCTTCTTCAGGCATGAGTTCTAGTGGGAGTCCCATGAATAGATTCTGTTGAGGGTTCTGGGGGATGGTGCCTACAAAGACGGAGCATATATTGTAGTTTCTGCGTATATACATCACGTCTTCAATGTCGAACAGCAAGTATCTTCCGGCAACCTTCGATATCCTTACCAAAGGACGCTCATTAGATGAGAGTGAAGCCATTGTCATGCTGGCAGTTCCTCCTGTCTGGAAATAAATTAGCTGACCGGCTCTCGTAATCTTTGCGACAGTGCTGTAGAATACAAGGACGAATAATCATGCAACCAGATATAGATGTTATCAACAGAATGTATAGTTCAGTGGATTGACAGATATTGATTTGAGTATAATCATATAAGAAACAGCAAAAATAAAAATCTTTTGTGGTGACTCACCTGTTTGTGTGGTTTGGATGTCGGAGGAAAGGTTGTTTACAGTTTGAGTTTGGAGAAAAAAGTTTTGGGGTGCAGGTGGTGGGGCAACGGAACGGATATGGTATGCAATATTGGGGGTATCGAATTTATTGCGCTATCGCGTATAGATTCCCGTCATAATTAAATTGGCCGATTGACTTCGTCTTAGAAATCCATAGCAGGCTTTCCGGAATCCCCTGGCTTGGGCTCGTTATCTTCACCGTCGGCCGGAGGAAGGTAAAATGGCTTAATTATCAGCCCCTTTGACCGACTAAGGCTGAAAGATTGGTCATCTAATGATGAGTGTGGCCCACCTCCTTTCTCATGAAAAACTGGCAAACTGTGGACTTTGACCAGACCTTGAACTTTCTCGTCATCTTTGCTCCCATTTTTCGAAGATGGTGGAGGTTTATGGATAGTAGTAGATTGTAGTGGTATGAATTCGAGTACACCATCACACAACAATTCCATCCATCGCGAAAGCCCTGTTGTCCGAGGATAAAGGGAGAGGGGCAATGTCAAAAGCATAGTTATATTTTTCGAGTATTGCCTTAGCAGGGCTCTCAGAGCGTGCAAGAACTGAAGGACTTCCTGGGGAAGGGAAGATGAAATCGAATACATGGTCGGGGATAGGAGGTTCGGGATTATCACACGATGAACTGATGTCGGTGGAGAGTTCGCTAGTTTCAACGACAAGTCTCTGATGAAGAGTTTGAGTGGTGAAGTCTGCTGGGCCCTGGGATTTGATATAATCATGGATTGGTAAAAACTGATCTGACCCTTGACGTCACTTGAGGATAACCTTTTGGTAAGGTCGAATGAATGGCAGAAGGGTGCGGTATCACCAGCATTAGAGGCATTCTGAGCTCGTTGCGCTTCTCTATCTTGGATAGATGTCAATTATTCATGAGATCATCTATAGGAAGTTATCTCGTAACATACCTCTTGCGGCTCCTGCAGAGCCTAGACTCTCATATCTCCAAGCGATTTTCATCTTCTCCGCTGAGGATGCTTCTGGCTTACTAGAAGAACTGGACTCGGTTGAGACTCCAGGCAGATCTGCTTGCCATCCTTCGTGTAAACCAAGTACATGAATTTGATGCCCCTGCACCAAGCCTTCAGCTGCATAATACCGAAGAAGCATGCCGGCGAAATCCGTGGTCCCATGTTCCCCAATAAGAAGCGAAGTTCCAAGAGGTATACCTGAGTGGCCTGCTAAGAGATTGTCTAAGGACGCTGTTCCAGACGAAGTCGTCGGTCTGCCATCAAGAGGCGATGGTCGAACACCAGGGATGGGTGCTGTATCAGTTTTCACATGTGCGGCTTGAGCTGAGCTAGAGCTACTGATCACAGAATTCCGTTTCCTGAACGACATAGTCCCTATATGATCTCACACAAGAACATTAAGAATAAGTCGACAGAAATTCAGACAAATCTAGTAAAAAGGGGAGAAGGGGGAATAAATACTTTAATGTTTCTTAAAGAGAGAATGTGAATGTTGAACTTATCATACAGTGAACAGTTCAGGTAGCGGGTAGCGTAGAGAGCAGCAGCCCACCAAACCCCGCCATACTGCACTTTATTGCAGCGATCGTCTTAGCGGGGCAGAGCTTCAAGTGCCCCAGTAAATTTTTAAACAGAACCTCACCGCTTTCAGATGCGCCGTCCATTCCTCACTCAAGAAAGAAACATCCAAGGCTTCGATTACCCTACACATTGTTTCTCGGCATTCCTATACCACGTGCGACTTCGTTGACTTATTTGAAGCCGGCTTTTGTTTGCTCCGATATCTTAAGGCTTAATACCACGTCGATTTCCAGCCAATCTATTCCAGGACTTTACGATAGTTAAGGAGCTGAACAGACGTCAAAGAGCTTCTACGCGCGAAAATGGCGACGGGAGACGCGCAATTGTTCGAGGACACGTTCACCGTGACGGACTTTGACCAGTCCAAGTACGATCGCGTGGGACGTCTGACGGCGAACTCGACCGACAACCAGACCCAGATGACGCTCGACGTCAACATCGAGCTGTTCCCTGTTCTCATCGGCGAGAACCTGCAGGTCGTTCTCGCGACAACACTCGCACTCGACGGCAACCGCGAAAACGAGGAGAGAGGATGGCGCGACGTGCGCGGCGAATCCACGCTCGCCGATATGTACGACTACGTATGCCATGGCAAGATTTACAGATTCGAAGATGGTGTTGAGGGTCAGACTCTGTACGTCATATTATCAAAACTGTTCTATCGCTTTTTTTTTTTTCGAACCGTGTCATCTCCGAGAAAGACAAACAATTATATCAAAATCCCTTGACTAGAAGCCGTGAACTGACGAGATTGAAATAGTCGCGCATACATATCTTTCGGCGGTCTACTGATGATGCTCGAGGGGCCTTACGCGAAATTAACGCCGCTACGCGTTGACAACACCTACCTTCTCGTCAAGAAATGATAATATTACCACCACATGCAATTCGTTACGGGATGCGACAGTCAGTCAGTCTACTGGGGAGGAACGAGAGAGCTGACATCTGCAATATGGGAGAGCCTCGAAGATGGCAGTGCCTGAGGAGGAGGTGAAATGTGCAATTGCTGCGTCTGTCTATATGCAGGCCAATCTATGACCGACTCGAAAATCTTCTGTCTTTGAATCTAGGCATCCACCACACTGTTCATATCACCCATAAATGTACATATCTACGCAACCACAAGCCTGCCAGCTTCCCAGAACATGAGAGAAACATGACGACCCAAGCTAGGAGGCTAGCGTGGCAGCAGCGTCGGCGAGGGCCGCGGCAGGTGTCTCCAGAGACGCCGCGTAAGCTTGATGGGGTCCCGGGAAAGGCAGTTTTCTGTGCAGACGCTGAAGAATCTCGGCGTAGTCGGGCTCGTTCGCGGTCGTGATGATGCCGTGGCGGATGAAGAAATCGACGACGATGAGGGCGCAGTTGGGCTTGAAGTTCCCCTTGGCGAGCTCCCCGCGCATCTCGTCGACCGTCCATAGATAGAACTCGGCCACCTCGCCGTCCTTTGGCGTCGGTCGCTCGTCTGCCGGCAATTCAATGTCGTAAACCCATTGCGTCTCGGGATAGATCTGCCCGGCCTCGCCGCCCGCCCTCTCGTCTGTGATGTAGATGTAGGTGGCCATGCCAGTGAACTTTGCCCGCTCGCGCATCACCTTTTCTGATAGCGATGCTTCCTCGTCTGCCTCCCGCATCATGCACTCAAAGGGGTCCTCGTCCGTCATCAGTCCTCCTGCCACCGTGTTGTCCAGCATTCCTGGATATGTAGATTTGTTCGGCGCCCGTCGCGGCACCCATATGCGCATCCCGTAAGGCGCAGTCTCATCGCGGACATACCCCGTCATATGGACGCCGTATCGCATGACGCCCAGCATGCCTGTTCCACTGCGCTCAGCGCTATACACTACCTCGGTGTCGCTGCCGTACACAGGCCAGCGCTCGTCACGCCAGCCGCGCAGGATGTCGAACACCTCGTTCTCCCGCCAGTACCGCATCACGGCGTCAATGATAGCGGTGCGGTCAGATTCCGTGGGCTGCTCGAAGGCGCGAACTGTCTGGTTCTGCTCATTCACCACGACGGGACCACGGATCGATTCTGGAACTGCGACGAGCCGATTCACCGTCGAGGCTAGCATGTATCCAAGTACGGGCCCGTTGTCGTCTTTCCAGACTAGTTTGTAGATTGTTTGGGCGAGGGCATTGTATGCCTCTGGTTCTTGCTCTTCATAGGGGAAGCTGGCGTGAAATTTTAGTTTATGTTGACTTTCCTCAAATGTAAAGAAGTGAATGTAAACTCACGCATCACCCTCCTTTACTATGTCAAGAAAGCTCATATTTTTCTCCATGGTGCCTAGTTGTAGTTCTCCAGAGGAGGTTCTTCTATCTTGTTGTCTGAAGCGGCGTAAGGTCTGGTGAATCCCGGGTGTTACGGCTGAAGCGGTAGTATATTGCGATTTGGAGAGTTTATACCTCGTCCTTTCGAATAAGAATGTAGGGGTGACTATGTTGGAGTTTAAAGTTTGGGGTGAGCTCGGCTGGTCTCTGTTATACCATCCACTAATCCAACGAGACGGTCCGGATGGAAGTGGAGAGATTTCCCAATGCGAGACACGGTAATTGAAAGCTAGAAACTCCAGGACGTTCCCTCTGACATTTCAGATATCGACCAAGTCTCTTAGGTAATCTTGAGTTCATCTGTGAGACTGCGTGTTTCGCGAAGTTTTGCCCATAACAGCATCAAGTACACCGTCTTGGAACTGTTTGATTCCTTTGTTTACAGATTTATATACGCATAACTTTCTAGGCAACTAAAACTCCGGTCGTCTTCGGAGTTTGGAAATAATCCATTGCTACGTATTCACCCATGCTACTCCAATTTGCATGAGGACTGGGTATGGAACCTTTTAATTCACTTTGATGGTACTATGAGTAGAGTTGCCTGGTGTAATCTGCGGGGCACCGATTTTCCATCCCACTTTCATCGCAATAGCGTACAGGATGGAGTCCAGGTATTTTTACCCGTTGCCCCTCCAAGGGCCCAGGTGACGTCGAAGCTTCTCGACTTGCAAACTAACCTAGGAATGGGGATAAAGCTGCCTAGGTTAGTATTTTCCAGGTCCATGCGACATCGTTGGGGTGGTCATCGCTTTCAGCTGTGGTGAGATGACACGGGATCAACCATGTACGGCATCGACCTTCTTAATTGGATACATCTGCTTGTTCGCTGATACAAATACCATGCTTCTGTATCACTTTTCAGGTTTTGTTTAACTGGATTGGAGTGCGCGGTCAATGGTTGTTTGTCTTGTATGCCAGATAGCAAAAGGTCCAAACCTAAGACAAGAAAAAAGCATTTCGTATAAGTTCCAGTTACATACCTACCTTCGAAACCCAGCAAACAACACACACGAAAGCGCCAACATCGGTTACAAAGTGAGCTTCTAGAAACCAAACATGGCCAACCAACAGCCTCTTTTCGGCCTGCTCCCCGCCGGCCAGCCCTTAATAACAGCGCCCTCCCAACAACCAAACCAGACCTCCTTCCTGTACCTGATCCCTTCCACAACGCCCTCGAACCCGAAGCCGTTCGCGCATCTCGCCGTGTTTCTCCTGCCAGGTATATCGCTCCCCGAGAACACCGCGGCAGCAATCTACATAGCGCAGAACCCATCCGCTTTCGTGCCGAGCTTCGCCGGGTCCGTGGCCGCGAACTTCAAGTTCCTGGGCGGCGTGGGGCCGGGGAAGGAGAGCGCGGTATTCAAGGTCGGGACGAACGCGGGCGCCGAGGGAGGCGTGGTCATAGGCATCGACATCGAGGACGCCGGCAGCGTCGCGGAACGGATACAGCAGCTCCAGCAGCAGTCGCAATCGCAGTCAACGGCATTAGTCCTGGCGAGTGGTAGTAGCGAGACACCCTCTACCCAGGTCCTCGCGCAACGCATTATCCAAAACGCGTTTAATTTCCTCTCCGGGTTCAGCGGGCAGGTCGGACAATCTGGTATTGAGGTCGTCCCGCTCAAGGCATTCCAGGATTGGTGGCGCAAGTTCGAGACGAAGATCAGGAATGATCCTAGTTTTCTCGAGAGGCCGCAGGACTGATTGGTTGATTAATCAACCATTTTCATCTAATTCATCACGCCCAATCTAATCTAATCTGATCATTCCCTGCGCTGTCGTCTGAACAATCAGTTCTACTCATCCATCCATCCATCCATACACATCCACACGGATACAATACCCGACTACCGCGATTGTTCAAATCATGCCTATACCATCAGTATAAGGTCAATCACAAGCAGCTGCTTCTCCCAGAGTGGGTATACTAAACCGAGCTACCAACGATGTAGCAGAACACATGCAACACGGACCAAGAGAAAGAGAGCGAAAGGCACATCTCATTCAATCGAGCTATATAAATCTCACATGTCCCATCCAGTCTCGAGAAAATACCAGCATGTCCTCCAATGATAAACACCTATTTCAATGCTCTCCACTGATCTGAAAGAGAAGAACCGAATCGTGAGCATATGTACACAGGAACATCTACAGTACTTTGTATTTTTACCATCGATTAATCCATCAAACCCCCACGAGTTCTTCCAGGGACTCTTTGGAGAAACAAATAGTTCTATATATTTTCTTAGCCAAAAGAAAGCTCCGAGTTCAATTTGTTACACTTGGATAAAGTCATAATCTTGATAATTTCTTCATATGTTGAAAACAAAGTATTACAGAAGTATCTACGTTGGACACGATTCTGGAGCGTCAGAAGGCGCTTTAGTTCGCGCATGTATTAGTTTACGCACGCGTGTATCACATAGGTATAATGCAAAAATCTCTCAAATCTTGCATGTAGTCATATTATGTATGGATAAAAACCGACGCCAATCCAGAATTGAGCAATGATTCAATTGTCCTCCTACACCAAAATCAAACGGCTCCTATAGGTACCACTTTTAATCGCACACCCAAACTCCAATTCGATTGATGACACTTATCATGCCGTGAAAATAATAATAAAACTCCCCATCAAGCCAAAACCACCAACCGCTCATGTATAGTGTGTGTGCCCAAGAATTAATAGTAAAAATAGAAACCGACAGCGCTTAGTCGGCAAAAATAGATACAGAGAAAGAATCATCTCGTCAACCTCAACTTAGGTTTCCGAAAGCGGGCTTAGTTGCGGACTTTTCAACCGCGTAGGGCTCCCCGTTCGGCTTCTCCTGCCAGCGTTCAACATGTGCGGCACCAACCTCTCCCGGCTTTCCGTTCTAACAACGAGACCACTCCTATCGATTGGGTTGCTAGGCATAGGCATGGCCTTCTTCAGATCATCGAAGGACTCGACATTCAGTTTGGGAGTAGCAAGGCCCGAGGTGCGACCAAATCGAGTCCCTGCACTGCTTTCGGAGTGGTCGTCATCGGAAAAGGCATCTCCCAGCTCGAATTGGTCCAAGTCGCCTTCCTCCATTACCCTCTCGTAGTGGTGACTTCTTTGGCCGAAGAGCTTGCTTCTCAAGGCTGACAGCCCACCTCCTCCTTTCCGGGGACTTCCTGGTCGACGGGGTCGGCGGAGTACATGGTTGATTCGAGTGTATAGTCGCATACGGCGATCTCTTTTCCTGAAGATGAACGCAGTGACAACGAGAATTATAATGAAGATCAAGAAGCCTGAGGCCGATCTAGATTTGGCATGATCGATCAAGTCCTCAGCAGTGTCGGACCAGCCGTCGTCATGGTCAACCACCGAACTCTTGTTATAACTCGAGCCAGCATGTTGAAAGTCTACTGGGATATCTTTCGTGTTGCTCCCAAACCCAACCGGCAGAAGATCGTCCTCTTGAGGCGGGATCTGGCCTGCTGCATAAAGGACCATCTTTCCCAGCGTCCAGCTAATTTCCATGTCGTCAATCTCGTCAGCAGCCTGGAAAGCGTTCAAAAAGCCCTTCTCTTTCGCAGCTTCGCCAATTGTTTTACTGATGTTGATACCTGGAGTAGGTGTGTCATCTAGACCGATCCTCGGCACACCAATACCCTCATGAAGGACGTTAATTAGCCATGAAGCCTTGAAACAAGCCTCCTGTGCCTCCTTAAACGGATCGGTTTTTCTCGCCTCTATGCTCGACTCGATTTTCTGCCATGGCTGGCTGCAGAACTCCATAACCTTCTTTTGATATGTATTAAAATCGTATGCCTGGTCGTCCTCTTTGGTCGCAAAGACACCATGAGTCGTATGCCAGTATTCAGAAACACCCACAAAGTGATTGACATCGAAATCGATCGGCGGTACGTGCTGGCCATTGAACAGACATGGTTCATCCTTACAAGGCATGTCCTTTCCAAGTAAAGGCTTTGTCGTCCGTATACACTCGTCGAATTCGCCGGTCCCAACTAATTGTAATTGCTTCGACGTTCCTTCCACGATATCACCTGTCTCGGTAGTGCGTAAACCTTTGGGTAGACAAGGGTCGGGGACTTCGTGCTCGCCATCAATGAGAATGCTATCAACCAATTGCTCCACGTATCGCGATCGGGCCTGGTTTACACCAAATCCCAGCCATGTGGAGGAAAAGACCTTATACTCGTGGGAAGAACCGTCCATCGTGCGCAGCCGTACCAGTTTGAGATCATTCCCATGTTCTTCCGCAACGGTAGTATTTGGTGCGAATGCAATCTGTGCCGAGGCGCCACCCATGTCGAGAAAACCGTACGTATGATGACCCTTGCCATGAGAATGTCCTTCTGCGTCGTCGAACCCTCCTAGTAAGTAATTGGCAGCTATCCATCCATACAATCCCTCCGTCTCGCCAGGAATGACCTGGATGTGAGCATTGCAGTCAGGGAGAGAGAACGAACTCTCTTGGCGGAAATACGTGCATATCTCGGACAATAGAGTGCGTTGTTGGTCTTTCGGGAGAAGCCGCACGCCAGCTGTGGCCATTAGGTATATGGGGGTATCAGCATGTCTATCGTCGGGTATTTTCTTCTTGGCTTTCTTGATCAGTGTCTCGAGGTGCTCGGGGCCAACATCCTCTGGGTGGTCGCCCCAGGTCGAGACACCAGGCCGAATTTTCTTGGTATAGTAATTTTCCAGGCTAGGGAGGTGATTCAGGTCTTCGATGGATGCATGTTTTATTATTTTCGAGGCGTCTTGCCATCGGTAGATATGGAGACGGGTCCCCGAAGACCCAGCATCCAAAATAACTCCATAACGCCCTAATCGTCGAGAATTCATTCAGTCAGCGACGTGTCCACAGGGTCGCACACCGTAATTGACACTCACACTTCTTCCCCATTGCGAGTCGATGTGATTGTACGAGCTGAGTAGGTTGTGTAGCCGAGTCGAGAGTGCGGGATAGTCGAGCCTACGATAATGATGGGACGTTCTCAAGGGTTATTGTAAGCGGGCGATCAAGCGGGCGACATTCGTCAATCGAATTCTCAGCCAAAGGTTGTAGGCTGGAGCAAGCGCAAGGTGGCGGCAATTGGATGCGATGGAGTGAATACCTAGGATTACGCGTCGGGGGTCAAAAGCTATACATTAATGGTAAAGGGGTATTTTGCGACAGTGAGAAGCGAAGATTTGATAGGTAGCGAGCGAATATTGTCGACAAACAGTGACAGAGATGGCGTAAGTCAGGTTCGCATAGGTACACGTAATGAATTCGTAGTTCCAGGCTGGATCCTGTGGGAATGAGAAACGAGAGACGAGGTGAGATGTGATGCGATGGTGCACCCCCCTCGGTCGACCAAGACAAGACAACCTGACAAGACGAGACGAGACTAAAACTGCTGACTGACTACCTAGGACAAACAGGGCTGTGTCCAGTCGTTGATGGGCAGAAGCACGCAAGCCAGGGCAGAAGAAGAAGACCAGGGCAGACCAGGGGAGGCTTTTGGGAACGGGCCGGGGGCAGACATCCAGGCTTGGTCAGACTTGGTGGTGGCTAAACTTCTTTTTTTGGACGGTCTTATCTACAAAATTCGCCCACTAAGTACTTAGTACAGTGCAGTGCCTCCACTAGACCTACCTCTAACTCTGCTCTAACCTACCTATTAGATTAGTACCTAACTCGCTACCTAACTTAATAGGGGTTGGTCAATCAACCCACTCCTTCTACGCAGTACTGGTACCTCAGCATGTGAAGATGCCCGTATTCTACCGTATTTATGTACTACATAGTATGTACAACACTTCCTTGCTTATGACTGAAATGTGGTGATTTACTCTACAGTAAATTTTGAGTCGATTGTACTATCATCTACCATCAAGACATATCTTAGTAGGTATCGAGCTTTGTTATATCTAGCACTTACCTGAGACGCTCTGGTAATAGGTATTCATTTTCTACTGTAGATTTATCTTAGCATCGCACTGTATTTTAGAGACAAGTGGCGCCATCTGATCCACTCCTGCGTCATTTCGGACCTGAGATAAAGACAATGATTGATTGGCCTTGGCACAACCAAAGGATTTCGAGTCGACACAATCCACCGACTTTGAGCATGGCAGTTTGGGCGCGATAACAAAAGCTTGGTTGGTTACTAGCTGATAGCTAACTGCCAGCTTGAAGCACTCTCGACTATTATAGCCGCCGTTTTGGGCGATCTCGAGGCAATACCGGTATGGTGAGATGTGGATACCTAGTTGATGGCAAGTGAGACGCGCGGTCTTCAACCTACAAATGTCACACTACCGCTTGCACATGGCATCGGTTCAAGTATGGCTGGTTTCAAGTTGTCTCGGTCACTCGTTGCTAATCTGACCGTGCTACCTAAGTACAGCACTGTCTCTCTATCTTCTGAGCAATCTCTAAGTATCTACCTATTTACCATAGGTAGGTAGGTAGTGTATGTAGTTCTGTCTGGATATCCAGACTGTAGACAAGTTGGGATATGAGCACAGAATTTCCCCTCCTCCATTCCTCGTATCTGGGCTTGATGACGCTACCTACTGTACTATGTACGGGCCGAATCACGAGCACGGCGATATGGAGTGCTACATTCATCCATGTAAACACCTCTGTCGAGCAACATCACTACGTAATACCATCATGCAGCAGATCCTTGTACGCACATCCACACCAACAGCCGTTTCCGGAGCACCGCCCGTTCGAATCCGCCAAGCTCTACTAGGTATCTGCTCGCAGATGTTACACCACCTTCGATAGCTGCAGTCTGACTGTAGAATAGATAACATAGATGATGATACGTGATAGTAGATTGCTGTGACGACGATCTTGCCCAACTTCGTTTCCTTTGCAGTAAAGAAGCTCGTGTATCTGTTTCATGCTAATGAAGTGACCGGTTCTACCTTCCGAACAATAAATACTATCATGTATCATCTACCAGTTATGTGTGGTTATCTTTAATAGGATGAATACTGGTGGTCTCTCTGATGCCGCCATAGATACCCAAAAAATGAAGAGCCGGAAAGAGATAGGGCTGACTACATTCCGGCCATTCTCCTACGATAGCTTCATACACGGGTTCGTCAAGTATGAGATTGAACGTGTTACAAATTACATACTTGGGTACTTACTTGACTCACTTGCACTACTCGTGCTACATCCCATGCCAAATGACAATGGATCAAAGTAAACAACTAGATTTGCATGAAGACTCGAGCTGGCCAGAGTTAGTTAGTTACATGTATACTTACTATATGTATATAGTTAACGTTATTACGAAGAAAATAAAAACACTCTACCTTTTTATGGTGGCACGACAGATAGCTCTTGACAGAGATAGACAAGATGGGATTATACTCTCGCATGCCGCTCTAAGATAGTGCACTAGCGAAGAGTAACTCATGCTCGGGTTCATCAAACGAGAGTTTCCATCGATACCGATTAGCAATCAGTCTCCTTTCAGCAATCTCCGCCTCGGCGAACAGGCCGATATCATCAAGCAGATCAACAACGTCGTAGCTGCCGTCCTCTTTCATCGCCCTGTCGCACTTTGTCAGAACATCGATGAATTGACTAACCGATGCATTGAGCGCGAACCTGAAAACGCCCACACATATCTTGGCCCAAGTGGTGATCCACTCGGCATCAACAGATCCTTCTCCAAACCGAAATTCTATCGTGCGCCGTGACGGGATGCTATCAGACCAGTAACAATCGTGGCCCATAATGTGTACCCCGGGTCGTTCTTCTGATGATAGAAGCCTGCTTATCTGACAGGTGGCCGGCTGGGAGTAAACGCGGCCCACGCTCTCAAAAACACTCGGAGCAGGGCCGCGTTCGAGAAGATTATTTACCATGGACATGGGGATACGAGACCCTGTTCGGATGGTCATATCTTGCATTTTTAGATGATCCTCTTTACTTAACTTAGGCATTCGCAGACGCGGGATGTTGCGTTGTCTAGCTGGCTCTAGCGGGGGCTGTAGTGAACTTACCTGTGCCGTCGAGACATGGGGATTTACCTCGTTGGAGACATCTGGGAGAAGGTTTACGCTTCTGCTGGACTTACCTCGCGTGGTAAACGGTTCGAAATGGCCGCTTTCCCTCGTTGCCAAGAAAGCTTCGACAAAGGAAGGATCCTTATGCTGCTCCCTTGCCGACAACGGTTCCTCACCGTGGCGCCGGTCTCTCCCTGTGTAGGACGAACATAGCAAATTTCCTTCCATATACTCTCCATGACCATAAGCAACTTCATGACCCTTTAGCTCCATAGCTCCTGCTCTTCTAGGATATCCTATGGCCGCATAGTCCTGCAGGGGTAGGCAATAATAGTTTCCTCTTCGAATAGGGTCGTGGAGGCTGTATAGAAGAGGTTCGGTGGCGTACACTAGACTAGCAAGTCGACGCATCTGTTCAAGGGATAATAATTCCGATACTGCCCCAACGTGAACGTGTAACCCGCACTTAATATTGACCGAGCATCTGAATCTACTCGTTATTGCTGAGATACCGATGCTGACTGCTTCGAAACTGTTCGGAGACGAGAACTGGACGGGGGTCTTTACCTCTAGACCAACAAGCATGTAGGGACTATTCCCTACCTGACCAACTGATGCGTCAACGTCAACGTCCCATTGACTGTAATCTTGTAAGATGTTACGTGTGGATTCGTCACCGACAGTTGTCACCGACGAGCGAGGGGGTAAAAACTCATCTAATACCTCTTTAACTCGGTCGTTAACATACCTGTGTCGATCTGTGAGGTTTTTGTTGGGGATTCTCAAGACTGGCGGAAGATCTTTGACCCCCTCGTCAGGATCGGCAGCCCCCTGGAAAAGAGTGGCTATAAGGAACTCGATCTCGACACCGAAAGTTGGACGCCCTGGACTAGGCAACGTATTTGTAGACATTTCGAGGGATATGTGACAGGGAGGTAAATACGTCCTTTTCGTTTTCTTGAGATAGCTGGTGATGGAGTATTCCGTATGACGCTCGTGATACAAAATGCTAGTCTCAATTGTGCTTACTTTTATGCTCTTGACGAAGTGGTATCGTCTTAAGTGCTTTGTCAACCTTCCGCAACGTTGACATTGTTCGGCAAAGGCTCAAGGAGGGACCTATTCATGTCAAGCAAGTACCAAACTCTAGGTCAGCATACTTCATTTAGCACAGGTACTGTAACAATGCCTTTGATTCATAGAACACAGAGAAAGAAGCCACCTTTTTGTTAGACAGTTTTGAGTAAGGCTGAATTGTTAGAAAAAATCAAAGGGTTCGATTCCCACCATAAAAGTAAGCTTTGCCAGCTCTACAGGCTCAGCAAATTGGAGTGGCACCAAAACAAAACCCAACTATCTAAAAAATGCATTTTTCCAACGCTAACAACAACGAGAGCGCTCCCCGCCGCTCAGGCTCAGGCTCAGCAAGGAGTCCTGCCACTCGCGGTCTCTTCATACCAGCATATCGAGAACCCGAGCATTACGCACTACGGCAACGGCCAAGTAATCCTCCCCTAACACTTCCCAGCATCAGACAACGGTCGACTGGAGCCCCGCAAGTAATTGTACGCTTTTACCACTGTGAGAACTTCAATTTCGGCAACGCAACCCTCACCTCGCCTGATGTACGCTCCCTCCTGAGCGAGGCAGTGGCTTTCCTAGGTGAGTGTCAGATTATGGATACGCCTGAGACCTCGCTCCCTCCTCGGCTGAACCCGGCGTACCGAGGCCTTACTCTTCAGGGCTCTCACGGGGGATATCACCTCCATTACCCTGATCATGCTGGGGCTCGACCCTATCATGGGGATGTTGCTGAGGATTGGAATCGTGTTATGAGTGATCACGCGCGAGATTTTCCTACTACTGCTTTACTTGTTGGTGTTGGCCTTGGACAGCCGGGTCGCAAATGTTGCTTAAGACAGTAGGATCTTTCATCGTATGCCGAGTATCGTAGATGTTCGTAGTTATGATGCAGATGATGAATTTAATGTAGAAAAATAATGATAAGGCAATGGCCTATATTCTAACTGTATTTCATTCCTCCTGCCCAAGGATCACGAGGCCCAAGTTGCTCGTCCCCTTTTCAGTTCTATCAAAGCAGCTAGTTACCTATGCAATTGGCTATGTAGGCAGGTCTTACTGGATGAAGGTAGGTAGGTAGGTACTTATTGGGCGCCTTCTTGTTTCCATGTTATTCATCTTATTGTGTTTTGGCAGTTGCAGTGGGATGACATTGCCCTGGCTGGGGTGTGACTTCCTCGTCATCTGGTAGACTTACACGCACAAGGCAAGTGCCGGCAAGTACTTACCTACCTACATAGTGTACCTACATACCTATGCACTTGCTTCCGAACATGGCCCCTAGGATGAGAAGATAGTTTTCCACTATTTACCCTTTCCTCTCTCAGTTCATCTTCCTCTCCATTCTCACCCCAAAGCTGTCTACCTCCTCTAATTTGATTTGAGGCGGCCCTTACGATTCTCTCCATGCTAGAGGTGATCCCACGGTCTTTGGTGATCCCTCTCGCCTGAAATGCGTTCTTTGTCCGAGATATACCGCGCTGTCCGTGGATCCCTACCTTCGAGGTGATCTCACATTATGGCAATCCACGTGTTCCCGAGGCGATCCCTTTTAAGGTGATCCAACTGCTCTTGGTGATCGATCCCAACTCACAGGTGATCTTCCCACTGCCACTCGATGAGCTAAAGCGGTCCCTCTTTCACCGAGGTGATCACAACCTTTGGTAAGTCGGCCTCATTACTTATGAATGCTTAATACATGCTGATCTGTGCAAGGCTCCTGCACCTTCGACCTCGCATTCAATGACATCGCCAACGATACTTTATCTGGTAATCACTAAGCATGCCATGCGCCAAAGCACTATCCTTAGGTGATCCCGCAACTTTGGGCGATTGTCCTACCAGTGACATAACTCAGAAATCATGGGGCGATCAGTCTGCATCCCCATTCTTGGGTGATCATCTAGTTAACACGACAATTCGCCTCTTATTGGTATCTCAGCCTGCGCCGCTCAGTCTATCTCATCAGAGCGATACTATTCCAAGGTGTGTACTCTGATTGAGTCAAGCTGCTGATGATCTCGTAAGTATCTCTATTCGGACTTGATTCGGTACTATTGAATCTCTGCTCACAGTCACTATAGTTTCGCAACGAAACACAAGCGGGCGTTCCTGCGTCCAGCGATGCTTCGGTAAGTCTTTATACTTCATCGCTCCATTCTTTATTGTTTCTAATGCGAGTGTACTCAGTTTCGAAGAGCCTTCGATTGACCTTCCCCTCGTCTTCGATTCGAAGAGACTTAGTTGATCTGCCTGCACGAGTTACGGCCACCTGTCTCGAACTGATGATGATGGGATGCGTAAATCTGCACGATGTCGTTAGTTGTCAATGCACAGCATCCCTGACGTGAACTGTTACGCGCTGAAGCAATTGAGATGGCGGCATTAGTCTTTAGAGCACATAGTTTTGTGTATAGGGACCCGTATAGAGGGACCTGTATGCCTGAGGGACCTAAGTATATAAAGGGACCTAAGCTAAAACTTCGTCGCGCTCCCATTGGTGATTCCAGATACATGATACGGAGATGTAAACAGTAATTAGAACTTTAACCTATGAAGACGCTATGATCTTAACAGCTACACAGCGATGCTCCATTGTCTATGTTGAATCATTGTCTTAAGACTCTGGAGTAGGGTGTACTTGGAAGAGGCCGGCTCAGGTGTAAAGCCGCGTGAGTTTAAATGCTCGAACATGAGCCAGCTTGACAATACGCAGGAAAGTAGATGCTAGTCAAAGGAATTCTCATAGATATCATGTCTCAATCTAATGTTACCACGTGTGTGGACAAAGGATAAACGAGACGAGACACGCTGAAAACGATCAGGGGTACATGGATTTCCAACAACAAAGCAATTTATGCTATCAATAGCTAGAATAAGTGTAGGTCGACTCACCAATGGGATTTGTACTTCATGAATTTAGTAGGTGAATAATCTAGGAATGTTGGCAAATGGTATGATTGAATGGAAGACATAGTGATTCTCGAACCACCAATGCCACAACGAGCAACAAGATAGCGAACATGGAAATCGATGGGGCGTCGAAGGTGTCGGGACAGGCAATCAAAGGTGCCGAGTACATTAAAGATTTCTTCGGGACAAGACCTGACAGGGAATTTATATTTGAGCGCATTATATCCCAAGGATCGGTCTGTAACTATCTATTACTCTCATTATTGACTCTTTTTCCAGCCCAGCCTTTCCTTATATTTGAGATGACGTAGCTGATAGTTATAATCGCAGTGGGGGTTTACTGTCCAGATGATGATGAAATCGAACGAAACGCCCGAGACCATTTCCCCAAGCCCTTTAAGCCAAGCGCTTGGGCTTCAGCCGCTCACCCTTCAACCACCTGCTCCTCCACGACCATTCAGTTCTATGAGTCGAGGTGGACCGTCCTTCGGGTCTCAATTCCAGATACCCCGTGGATCCCAACATACAACTAGGTTCGTCATGAAACGTTCGTTGACCGAGGCAGGGGAGAGCAACATAACGAAAGAGATTGATCTACTAAATGTACGTAGAGTTTACGCTTGTCGGCTACTTGCGTTGTTATCTTGAGTGAACTAACTCCGGACGCAGCGGCTCCGTGGATCTATGCACATCGCACAGCCTTCTCACGTAATTGATAACCCTAGATGGAATAGTATCTTGCCATTTCTGAACGGGCCGACGCTGGTTATGGATTGGATCGAGAATGGTCTTTTATGGACTTTCTACGAGCGACGGGCCCAAGTAGACGAGCCTCTGCCCAATAGGCTGCTTTGGGCTTTATTCCTTTGCTGTAAGTATATCGGCAAAGAATGGGGATATCATCAAGTTAACCAGAGGGGTTAAGTATGTAGAATGGTCGTCGCATTGACTTGGCCGCCGAGAGATCTCGGGTTAGAGATACACGGCGGCCTCAGTATAGAGGGTATACCACCGCGTAATCTGAGAGGCGAGCGACCGCCGAAAGCACGTTTGCTCCATGGAGATTTTCATGGTCAGAATAGTAGGTCACCCAAGAAGAATCTTCTTGAAATAGAATACTGATGCTGACTGGTATTTCATCCGCATAGTCATGATTGATCAACTGGAACCGTATGAACACAATAGTGTCCCGGTACTCAAGCTGATAGATTTTGGCTTATCCAGAGACTTACCTGCAAGACCGAAGTGAGTTCTCCCTCAATACTGTTATTTCAATTCAACTGCCACTAAATACTTAACAGCGAGCCGAAAGATATTGTCATGAAGACTAATATCCGTGCGATCGGCGAAGTGATGCTTGGGTTAATCAGGGGCAACGTGAAAGGGGGCCCAGGAATGATGGAAATCACATACAAGGGTGAAACGAAAAGAATCAACTCTTTCGCAACTGATCTGGACCGATTAAGCAACAAATACCGTGCACCAGCAATCATGGTAGCTAAACACCAAGATAGGATAGCCAACCTAGACCCGGATATCAGGAGTTTAGTTGCCTCATGCGTTGCTGTCGGATTGGATGACAGACCGGATATAGAGGATCTACTAAATATAGTAGAGAGGAATGCCAAGAACAAAACACCAAACGACTATACTACCTACAAGTATTCCGCCAATGAAACCGACGCAGCTATTAAGAAGATTATAGATGCTCAAATATTTGGCGCAAGTGGAGTGGTCACGATCTGAATCCTAGCAGTATAACGAGCCCAGGGGTATTTAATGTCAATTGAAGAGGGTAATTATGAGGTTTACGAAGTCGTCATGCTCCTAGAAACGAAGGGAACCAACACGATAGAAACAAGGAGACCATTGTGATTGATAGCTATGAGTTCCTGCATTTGAGTACATGTAACCAACTCGGAATCCCCAAAGTCTCTGTTCCTCCTAGCTGACTCCCTCATTCTGAACCCCTGAGCCAAATCACAAGCTTTGAATACTCTGAACGAGTTACTCAGGTCAAGCGGCTCTACTTCTTTCCCTGGTTGGAACTTGTGCTGGAGCCACCGCTCTGGCCGCTGCTGGAGGTGATGCCGGCGCTCTCGTTCCGAGCTGCGGCGCCCTGGGCTCGAGCGGCAAAACCGCCAGACGACATATCACCGCCACCGCGTGCCTGTAATTGGTCAGAACAGCCTTGGACAAGAGAGGTATGGGACAATGGCTCCTGGGAGACGAACTTGGCCAGATTGGATGCGGGCAGCATCATCACTCGTCATGGGCGTTCCTTTCTCCTGATTTCCAGACATGATTGGAAAGTAATTGATGTGAGGCTGTTGCCTTGGAATGTATGAGGTTTGTTGAAGAATTGAACTTGATAAGTAGTGTTTGATCGAGGCTGGAGATGTGAAAATTCTACGAGACTGAAGATGGTGGGCGAGTCCATCTATTTATGAAGTTTCCCCCTCACTTGGTTGAATCCGTATTTTCTAGTCCACCCTGTAGAATTCCAACAGCAAGCTGGCTCGAAGTGTGTGGCGGACACACATCATCTCACCCGACCCCAAGTCTACCAAATCTATACTTCCAGGGCAAATGAATTCCATGTGTTCATGCTGGCGTGACTGACGAATTGTGACACGTAACACAAAGTATTCCAATCACTACCGGTGTGTGACGACACGTCTCTCAGGGTACAGCGGTCGGAAGTTGTAAACCATGAAATAAGATTACGGATAGCCGCGATCAGATACCCTAGACATCGGATATGATCTCACGCTCTGTGCTCAATGATTGGCAACCCAAGCGGCATGAGAAGATGAAGAATGGATATACACATATAATCCGTGCTGATTTGATCAATCATGAAGAATTCGGGTGATTCAGAGTGCAGATAGCCCGCGGAATTACACTGATGCTTAGATGCAAGCAACAGACCGACTAAGCGCTGAAAGATTTCACGAATATGTGATGTAGTTACCCATAGATGATCTGATAGATGGATGCGAGTCCGGTGACTCCCGGTCTTTGTCTTCAGGGGTAGCTGCATATCATCGTGTGTTCTGGATGCCTCTCGCCCGCTCACAAAACCATTGATACAATTCATAGGACTAACATATCCGACACTCACTACCTAGACCCCTTCCGACTCAATATAAACATACGGCAGTCGTACTGATGCGGTGTCGGCGTCGGGTTACCTTAGATGGCTCGCTGCCGAGGTGAGCGGCTATGTGCGTCCGTTGTACGCACTTATCGGGCTACACAGGCACCACCGTCAAAGAGTTGCATTTCCTAACACCGGTTATGTCTGCAGTGCATGGGTAGTCTTTTGTTGCTACTGATGAGCTACCTCAGGGGACTCGTATTAAGGAGCGAGTGGGCAGCGTCTGGCCAGCGAAACGTGCCCGGGTGTGAGTTGGTCAGTAGCATGTAAGCACGATCGCTTTGCAGCTGTTTAACCCAATGCGCCTCTCAACTTAGTTGATCTACATTTCATATGATAAGATTTCTTGCGCTTATGTGCAAGAAGCTCTGTTGTGAAGATACCGCCTCATAGATCTAAGGGGCAAAGCACCTACTGTATCTTCTGGGTAGTTCCAATGTAGCTGAATGTATTTTGCAGATAGGGGTCATGGCGAACTCTGTGGGCAAGGTGCGGTCGTAAAAGAAGCCACCAATGTTTATTATACAGCGAGATAATGCGCCCAGAGGACAAAATATTATGTAAAGGATATGTACTAGGAGACAAACTAGGCCCAAATCACCACGCAGCTAGATTCAAATATGTGTCAACTCCTAACTCGCAACAAACACCAATTTACCTGCCAAGAATAGCGCTGGTGTTGAGGCCAATCTACATGAGACTTCATTTACATTGTCAGGGGCTATAGTCAAAATTTATCTCTCGAACGTCAAAAACGACGCCTTTAGACGTTCTAGCAGTCTAACGGTTATTATATAGCCCACCTGCGTTCAGCATTATCCTAGGGGTGGCTATACATACGGGTGTTAGGAAGGCTGTATGAAGTATAATACAGTAACACTCTCTCTGTATCACAAATTCTAAAGGGGCCAGAAGTCTGAAGGCATTCGGGCTTCTTCTGGCTATATGCAAGGAATCTATTTGTTCTCCCGTCTCTAAAGCCTAACAACTGGAGTTACCCCCTTAGAAAGGCTAGGGATCAATTGAGTACTTTAGTGAGTCCTATATTACCTGCTGCTTGCCTACTTGACTGTGAGTAGCCTTTCAGTCACTTTGGGCTACCCTTAAATGACATACATAATAGAACTGGCGTTTTATATCTTTTAAGAAACATATTGTTATTGGTATTTAGAACTAAGCGCTGATGTTACAAGATATATTCAGCGTTTGGCCAGCTCGTCATTGGCAGTATCACTTGACGCTCATTACACCCCTTTATAGATGTACATATCGTCATCAGAGTCTGACTCTTGCTTAATATACTCGTCCTCTTCTCCAGCATCATCATTGTTCTCAGAAGAATGCAGTTCAGGAGCTGGAGGAGGCAGTCGGTTGACTCGAGAAGTTGGAAGAGGAATTTGGGGGACAGAAGAGGCTGGGAGGACCTGACCAAGTGGATGGTTTAGAGAATTTGAAGGAACGGAAGGGTCCCCTGGAACTGTGTCGGCTGGGGATGAGCGACCTGGAGCGGGCGGAGAGAGAATTGGTTGTCGACGTGATGGTGCTGGTAACCGAGCTAATATCGCGTTAGCTTTGCTCAAGCCTCTACGAGTATCTCGGATTTTGTTCTCAACCTTTCGCATGATTATATCATGCACCTGTTCACCCTGCGCGTTTCTTATGCCTTTGAAACCATCTAGACCTAGCTCTACTAGTAGCTGAGGCATGTGCTCGTGCTTGTCTAGTGAGGCAGGGTAGGCTAGGGCGTGGGCATCAAATATGGCTTCCTGTGCCGGAGTCCATTTGAAAAGGGGTCTCCTGCTGGTAATAGTACCGGCAGGCACACCGAAGATGAGTGAATCCGCTGTCTGTTGATTGCTGGCCATTTCAGGTAAGTAGAAACAGTAGTCGAAAATTATCCTCTTATTGCTTCGATATTTTAGCAATGGGATGTTGAGATTGGTGAAAGGTTGAGTTCGGGGCATTGTAGCGGGATATTTATAATAATTCGTAATCTATACTGTTGTTCTTTAACAATAATCTTGATATTATACAAGATTATTGACAGACTACCGAGAAGTGGAACAATAACTATGTTCACAAAGACTTGTCTTAACGATCATGGATAGGGACTTGGGTTTTAAGTTCATAGTAGATAGAGTGGATGTTAGATTTTACTCACGGGCTCTGAAATTGTCCAAAGACAAGACACCTTTCAGTAAGCTTGGACACTTAAACTGAAAAATCTATATCGAGTCGCGGACCAATCTTGGATTATGTAAGAGTTCCATCTAGATATCAATCACCTCAAGACGTTATATCATAGATAGTGTCTTGGAATTATCGTCGAATGGTACAACTAAGTAGAGTCCGAACGTATTATTTCAAATGGGGTCCTGTATAACAAGGGCGGAGATACTGGGCTTGGAACTTGAGCAATTCAGATTATAATGAACAACTAGGGCTGCATGAGTCCTTAAACCAACTTCTTATTGGCTGTTGGTGGCTTGACTCGACTCTATATACAACTGGTCTGCCAGCCCAGACCGCCTAGGTCTCTGGGGCCTGTTTCAAGAAGAAGTCTGTATAACCTCACTTTCCAATATTGCCTGCATGTCTCTGTAATATCATGAACAGCCTGCAATGGCCTTTCGTACGGCCGAAGTGCAAGGCGAACTGCATATTCAGCTGGCACAGCGTTTGTGTGTGTGACATTCTGGGTCTGCTTGACGTGATTCAGGTTCCTTATTCATATTTACGAGCTTGAACTGATGGTAACACTGAAGTGGAGACGACAACTTGAGTTGTAGGATCAGTTTGGATATCTTATACCATACCTTTTATAAGGGCAAAGAAAAAGATTTCTATATAGTAGCAGCCCTTAGTGAGTCGATCAGGGCTCCTTTTTAAGAAGTGTAAACAGTGCAGCCATGGGGATACTATATGATATACATTTATTATCATCGTACAAAAGCTTTAAAGCGTTCGTGCCTGAGGTAAGGCTATATATGGAGAGTCTTCTGGTAGAATACTTTACATCCCAATGCCTGAGACCCTTTGTCAGAAAGGCTATATAAGGTATACAGTAAGACTCTCATTGTGGCACAAGGTCTTAAGTGGTCAGGAGTCTGATGATATTTAGACTTCTCTGGCTATATACAATGTGTCTCTTTGTTCTTCCCTCTCTAGACCCCTGACGCCCTTTCTCAATAATGTGGCAGCGTGGCTGTAAAATTCTAATAACAAAAATCACGTTTTAAGTGAAACTTATTTTATTGCTTAGTAATTATGACAACAAGAATTTTCCTTGATACTCAATATGGCATTGTAGGCAGTAGTATTGCATCTCTCAAAACTTCATGTTTAGGCGTAATCGACACATATTAAGAGCTATCCTTCTCGTAATAACAACACGAGTGACGGCCGCGTTGAGGGCTCAATTGCTAGTTCTCGGCAGTCACATGATGTGTAGTGCCGATTGATCTCGACTCGACGCTCGGCCCCGTTTTCGTAATGGCGTCTTTCTACAGATATATGCTTCTAAGCACCAATATTTGCTCTTCAAGGCATCCCAGAATTATTGTGATCGGAGGCAAATGTCCATTAGATGAAATCGCACGTGTTTTTCGTGAATTCACACCAAGTCATTAGTCGAAATGGGGAGGTAGGAATGTAGCGTGCTCGCTGAAGGATAGCGGACTTGAAATAAGGGACTGAAGGTAAGAGACAAGACCATGCCGCAGAGCTCGAACCCGGACCTAGTCGCTGGGGTGGGCGTTCTATCCCAGCGTGTGGAATTGTAGGAGAGCCCTCAGGCAAGGCAGAGAAGCCGGCATAACCCAAGGAGACCAGCGGCTGGAACAGACCAGGCAAGAAGCCACCAAGCTAGGGCACGGGCTCAATTGCTTTTATTAGAGAAATTGTGAGGGGATAGGTAGCATTGAAGCCTTTGAGAGTGGCGTACGAGGGCTTACGAAGTAGGAGCAAGTGTTTCCAACGTTGAAAATACCATTTGGGAGGACGTACAAGATCACCGCCGCTTGTAGATATAGTGACATCGAATTCGACAGAGCTTGCTCATCAATTAGAGACTAAACTAGCATTAGAAATACTGGCCGGCCAATTTTTGAATAAAAGAATTCATAAATAAATTCAAAGTACTTGATAAGCATGCTCAGCATCCCAATTGCCCTACACCAGATCCATCAGCTACCCTAATTTTCTCCCTAGTAACAGCTACTGCGCAACCCTCTCGCATCTATTCGGCAGTTCTGATTGGGTGAATGCTATCATCTGCAACTGTCTCCAAAAAGCTTGAGGTGGCGTAGGTCGGCTTTGAACATGGGGGGGGGGGGGGGGGGGGGGGGGGGGGGTTGGTGGGGGGGGGGGTGGGGGGGTGGGCGGTAAATTTTTTTGAAAATAAAATTGGGGGAGGGGTTAAAA